ACACTGGTGGTATTATCATCGGGTGGAGGAAAGTGGAGGGGGGAGGAGGAGGGGTATCGGTAAAGGGAGGTATTTCTGTGACTTCAACTGCACTGCTGTTTCCATCGACTGCTCGCTTGCCGGATCAACTGCTGACGTTCAGAGGCTGATTACTAATCTACTTTTTGACATGTGTGCCCGGCATCGGTGCGTCTAAAGACAATCCAGGGACAATCTGAAGGCTCTAGGGACACTGCATGAGGCGGATACCTTCTCTGGGTGTCGTCTGGAGCCGTTTCGGTGGCTGTTTTTCTCATGTGGCCTTACAGTCCTGTACTGTCTTCAGGCTGTTTCCATTCCAGTAACACAGTTTATGGGGTCAATAAAGTCATTGTGAGCTGCTACTGACTCAATTCTTCATGCTAAAGTGCTGTTTGATGTTGCTGGCGTCTTCTCTCGTTCATTAAGGGTTTTGACAGGTCTGTCTGCTGGCGGGAGGTGAGTTGGGTGATAGCTGCTGTCTAGTAAGCAAGACTGGCCCACAGGGAGCGGTGGACTTTGAGAGTCTTTACTCTCTAGAACTGGACATGTTGGTCTTGCGTTCAAAAAGCACTGCTGATGTTTCTGTCCATGTCACTTGCCACTCATGGTACTGCACTAGAAGGTTAAGGACAAGACAGCAGCAGTGACATTGGTTGCGCAGGATAATATCTGCTGTGTGTTGGTTGAGTTGCTCAACTGCTTGTGACGATGCCTGTCGCATTGACTCCGCCATACTGGCTTACGTGTCAGCATTCTGAGCTACTCCTATACCCATGCAGCCATGTGTGGGTGCAGATGTTCATGTTTTTACGACGATCTACGCAAGCGAGAAAAGCAGAAAAAATGGAGACATGTAGCGGACCAGTAGATGATCAAGGGGAGTGGCATGTCTCTCTGTCTAAGGTTCCTGTTGGAGATATTCTACCGAGGAAGCCTGTCGGGAGTCTGTGGTGGATGTTCCCTGGGGAATAACAGGAGAAGAAGAAGAGATATGAGTCTGAAATCAATATGAGAATGTTCGTCTGGATGAGCTCTTGATTTTGGTACCTCTCTTGACCCTGACATGTCATCTTTGCACTATTATTTGTCTCCAGAAGGAATTTTGGTTTTTTGGGCCAGGTCGAAAAAGCGTGGTATTCCGTTCATTTTTGGGCCGATGATGAATATCTATGTGCTAAAACGCTCATACAGGGACGGTCTTCATCTCTACGGTATTCTGTTGCTACTTTCTTGTCTCCTTCATGTCGTTGTTGTGCCCCTACTGATGGTCAGGAGGAAAGGAGGATTTTGACGTACTTCCTGAGTCAGCGCAACGGGCCCAGCAGTCTCTATTGGTTGGAGGCTTAGCAGACGAGAGATGGGGGGCTGAAGTGTGCGCAAAAGTCGAGTTATCACTGATACGATGACCCTGTTTCTAAATATAACTACGGAACTCTTTCCCTGAGGAACTACTGCTCCCCCCTCGCTCCTCCTTCTCTGTCTTCTAGACTCACTTACGACCGGCATGAACATCGTCGTTTGGAGGGAAGCAAATCTACGTCTGAGAAGCTTGGCATGGGCTAAGTTGAGACGCTTGCTGTGTTTGCAGGTGAGACACTGTGGCATCTCTTGTTGGTTGGTGCCGGTGGTTGCATTAGGACAAACGTCGCCGATCAGTGGTACCACTTTTTTGGGGCTTTGGAGCTTTTGGGCCTTTGAGCTAGACTTTGGTCCGTCACGTCGTATTAATCTTGGAGATGGACGGTTTCGGTGCATGTCGATCCGGATAGATCTGGCAGAGGCAGCTTTGGACGATCACGTGAACCCGCTGGGGTCGGCCCTTGTTTGTTTTGACTTGTCTTGTCTTGTCTTGTCTTGTCATGTCATGTCAGTGAGCCAATGGACAAGCACGGTGCTTTTATTATACGGCATCTCTGTCTATTGGGTCTCTGAGATGTCTCCTGCAGCTGACGTTGATTTTTGCGTCTGTCCACAGTGCGACGAGTCGGTTATGAGCTAGTCCGGGTGGTGTACTCGTGCTCGTTGTGTATCTACGACATTGTGGATTTGTACATGTGTCTTGATGGTGACCCCCAATCTTCCCTCCCCCCACGCTGCTTTTTCCCCCCACTGGTGAACTCTTTTGATCCCTTCAGGGATGAAGCAGTTACCCGGCAGGTTAGGCAGCACATCGACAGCGCATGGAGCATGTCCGGGAGGTGAGGCCCGGTTGTTGAGCCAAGTCTACGGGCTGCGCTGCAAGCTGTGCAAGTTATGCTTACTGGACCTGTGCGCATCGAGCTATGCCCACTCTGTCTCACATCCATGATTTAATATCTTGGTGACTTGAAACAGTGTAGGAGAAGTTTAAGCGGTGATGGGGGAGGGTTAACCGAGGTGAGACATGTCCAGATGGTCCGGGGGGAGGGACACTTGAGGGATGGAGGCGATTTGTGACGGCGGAGAAATAACTCCGAAAGACCATTCTCCATCTGGGCAGCGACGACAGTGAACTGGTCTAAACTGGTCTAAACTGGTCTAAACTGGTCTAAACTAGTGTGCTTGGTTGGTTGGTTCTTCAGATCAAAACCAGATCAAAACCAGATCGAAACCAGACCAAATTAAGACCAAAACCGAGACCAAACCAAGACCAAAACCGAGACCAAACCGAGACCAAACCGAGACCAAACCGAGACCAAACCAAGACCAAACCAAAACCAGACCAAAACCAGACCAAGGACCCTTCCCCTCTCTGAATCATGGAGATCGGCGCTGGCCGTGACATGCTGAGCATGCGCTAAACGTACAGCACTTGTACAGTGTACGAAACTATCATGTACTGTTCCTGTGCTCGTACCTGAGACCTCCCACACCATCTGCTAGCTCGTGTTTGTTGCATACAAAGAGCCAAGCGAAACAGGTGGCTGGATGCAAAGCTACTTGTCAGAGCCAGCCCGTTTGGCCAGTTAGTTTGGATCGGGCTTGATGGGCTCTTTTTTTTAGTGGGATCTCAGGACTAAATCGCATCTACAGTCTTATTTGCGTCCGTTTGCCTTCCCCTGCCGTCTTACCATTCATCTGCTAGCCGCTGCTACTGTGGCCTCCCGCTAGTATAGACTAGCGTCTGCGACTCTATCCGGCTACCTAAATTCCGTCCTGTCGACTCGTGATATCACATGGAGGTCTTAGAGGCGCATTGTTAATTTACCAAGGTTGCATTGTTTTCGGGGGGGAAATTGTCTCTGGGGAACAGCGGAAGCCAGGGATATTTTGCCGCCCATGTGCACATTTCGCGAAATATTTTTTTGCCAACTTTATCGTGAGTGTGGGAGAGAAGGGGCCATTTGGTGATCTGGTGATTTGGTGATTTGGTGATTTGGTGAGTAGATGTGTTTGGAGTGGTTAATGGAGATGGTTAGTGGAGATGGTTAGTGGAGGTTAGTGGAGATGGAAACGGGTCGAAAATGAGTGACTCAACGCATGGGATATGTTTTGAGTCATTCTGGGCTCATAAAAGGCAATTACCGACTAGTTGACCAGTTAAAGATTAGTTGAAGATTAGTTGAAGACCAATCAATTGACAACCACATCACAAACAGTCCATCAACCAGTCCATCAACCAGTCCATCAACCAACAACCAACTCACCAACCAACCCACAAACCCACAAACCCACAAACTCACAGATCAACATTATCGATCCAACTCCTACAGTAATGAACTCACACCCCTATCCAATCTGTCCATCTGTAGAGTCCCTTATTTGCATCTTATCCCCATTAACCCTTGCTTGCCTTGTTTACTTAGTTAACCTTGCAGTCTGTGTCACCTACGATACTCTGTTCCACACCTAATGTGATGAGCGTTGGTTACGATGATAGGATGAGAGGAGCGGCATGGGCATGGGGTGAGCTGGGATTGAAGGTCACGTTTGATTCGGTCTAGTCACATGCCGGCGTAATCACGCCCAACCACACGCACCCAGTCACGACGCTATCACCACATTGTCACCACTCTGTCACCATGCTGTCACCCTATCACCACACTATCACACGCCCAGCCACCACCTCACCAACCGCCTTTCAGCCAGGGTCCGTGCGAGACCCTGGCTGTACTGTACTGTGCCAGCATCGCACTGTACAAACCATTTCACAGAGTCTCAGTTCGAACCCTGGGGTGGGCGGGCGATGGGAAGGGCTCGTCGATCAGGGATGGGCTGCGAGGTTTGTTTTGCAGCGGAGGTTCTTCTTTGCCTCTGCTCCTGTTTTGTGCACGTTGTTGGGTTTCATCGACTTTTTGCTTTTCCATTTGGGGCTTGGTTTTTCGCTTTGGTTGGGACCACAGGGCCGAGCTTGTGGGATAGGCTCTGGGTTTAGGGGAAGCAGAAAGTTGACAGGGCAAAAGACAAAGTGCACGGATGAGGGAGAGCAGTAGTAAAAAAACACAAAGGCGACGATATGCACCAAACGCACCCAACGCACCAAACGCACCAAACGCACCAAACGCACCAAACGCACCAAACGCACCAAACGCACCAAAAGATGCAAACAAAGAGTGTAAACGAAAAGTGTACACCCACTCTCAACTAACGGAGTAGAGTCGAGGGGGGATGGGCGAATGGGGGGAGACAAGAGTGTGGTCAATTGGACGAGTGGGCTAACTTGGGGTGTGGTTGGCAGTTATCAATGGAGAACTAATGCTCTGAACCTCGCAATTGACCCGCTCTCTCCATCTACCTCAAGCTACCACCCACTTCCCCAGCTCGGTTGGCTTTTTAGTTTGCTCGTCTCTATGCACTCTATATGATTTTAATCTAAAGTATCTCCAGCATTAGAGACGGCTTACTCTCACCCAGTTCAACGACCATTGTTACCGCTACCCCCATTCCCACACACCATCTCTTGGAGATACTGATGAGACTGGTAAAGAGCCACACTTGTTGAGCGGTATTTGATTTGGCTGCTGGGGCATCAACACGACACGAGAGAGAGCCAGGCACCCATGAAGTTGGAAAACATTTTGAATGAGGCATCAAGAGAAAAGTCCGAGGTTCCAGGTCCGGATGCCACTCAGGCTGAGGACGGGTCCAAGCGCGACGGCAAGCTGCCTGCACACGACCACCACCCCCAACGCAGACCCTCGGTCCATTCGCCCACCAGCACCAGTACAGCTGCCGGCCAGGTGGTTGCACCGAGTGGACAACAGGGACCAAGTGGACCTAGTGGGCCGAGCGTACAAGCGCCGAGTGGCGCACAAACCACGTCCAACCAGATTGCGGCTCCCGGACAAATGTCTCGTCCTCCGAGCACGGGCCACTTTGGAATGCAGCCGGTTCCACAACCACACGAATTCATTCCGGGGCCATTGCACGCGCCCCAGCCCTATTATCCGCATCATCTACAACACCAGGGCCACTTTCCGCCCCTGCAACCGATCCAGATCCCCCAGTGGACCGCTCCGCACCACGGCCATCATCCCAGTCTGACCCCTGGGCCCTCGCCGACCGCCACGGCCCCTGAACATCGTCACAGACGCAACTCGTCGGTCTACTCGCCGTATCAGCGGCCTCGTGGCGGCTCCGTGGGCCATCTGGGGCCCGTGCCCACCACCAGCTCACATTTGCCGCCTCCAGCCACAGTCACGTTTGCTCGGGGCGGCTTTGAAGACAAGACCAGCGACGGCAGCCAACGGAAACGCAGCAAGGCGCCCAACAGCACGTGGACCATGGAGGACGACAACCGGCTGCTGGACCTGGTGCTGGCCACGTTACCGCGGCAGGACTACGCCGAGTACGCCCGTCTGCTCAACAAACGGGACAGTCAGACGGTGCGGTACCGGTGGAAGGTGTTGGTTCGACGGGCACGGGGCGAGGGAGAGCAGCAACAGCAGCAGCAACAACAGCAACAACAGCAACAGCAACAGCAACAGCAACAACAGCAGCAGCAGCAGCAGCAGCAGCAGGACAGGTAGGGTCGTGGGAACAGGGCAATTACTACTACTACAATAACACACAAACAAGAAAACAAGACCAAGACCAAGACCAAGACCAAGACCAAGGATAGCATGGAAGGAGGGTAGGGGAGACAAGAGCACACAATACAGCTTTTGGCAGGGCAATACACACGTCCTTGCCGGCGGCGGGGCCTTGTTTCCTCACCCAGTGTAATATACGCATTGTCATTTGCAGAGGAGAGAAATTTGCAGCGGTGGAATGTATAATATGGCTTTTGCAGCTCTGACGGTGGCTGGGGTGTCTCAGTTGTTGTTTGGGTCGCGGCTAACTAATTTAACAGTTTGAAAGTGCCAGTAGTGTAGAAATGTAGGTCGAGTAACATTTGGAGAGTGTTTACGAGTTCTTTGTAAGACTGTTACGAGCCGTTGGTCTCTTGGAACCCTTGTAGCCCATGAGTAGGAAGACTCAGACCCAGACCTAGACCCTGCAGACTGTAGACCGCACCCAGACCCTGCAGTCAGCTCGACCCCTTTATACAGTCAGCTATGTATCGTAGACGTAGCAAGAATGACAGGAGGTTGGCAAGTAGAGGGGGCGGGCAATGGAGGCCAAGTGCCTGGCGCTGTTGGAGTGGCAACTGGAGAGGATGAGGTGTTCCTTTTTTTCTCAAAACAAAGTGTAAGACGGCTTAAATGGCGCGAAGCCACCAGTGGATGGAAGAGGGTCAATGGTGGGTCAGCATTTGTTGTAGTCGGTTAAAATGTCGCCAGCAACTGTGGGATTATCGGTATGTTTTTGTGGTCCACGGGCCGTCTTCTCCGCCGTCTTTTCGTTCCCATTTCGAGCGGTTTGTCTACAGTGTACTAGTCTAAAAGCGGAGTTTGAGTCGACCACGCCACCTTGCCTAGGTGGGCGACGAGCAAGCTGGAGGCATGGGACAGTTGGTGACTCTCTTCTTCTTGGTCTGGTGAGTATGTTTTTGAAGAGTCCGAGTTCCTGGTGCGATTATTGACGTTGCAGAAGTCGATGCCTCGCTGTTGCTTCCTCCCACTGGATCCTTGTCTCACCATCCCCACCGACCACGACGACAGCACCAGCAAGCCACGAGGTGGCATTCCGCTGAGGGTTTCTCGGCATCGGGATCAAGGTGGGCCTGTTCTCCGAATCTCACAGTGGAGCGATGCGGTGCCGCTGAAGAGGGCAGTGTCACAATCGAGGGTTGTACCGCGGTAGTACGAGGTTTTGGCCCTTACTAATCTTCCGCCGATGGAACACTTCTCTGCGTTTCGGGCCGGTCCCATCACTAGAGAGAGCTCGATAACCACCAGCCGATCATTGCAACGTTGGCGGCAGTAACACATAGAGCGGCGGAGTAGTGATAGATAAGTCTCAACCGGCCCCATCCTGTCTAGAAAGTCCAAGATTCAGTCGTGTCGATTATGCAACCCCCTTTTAGCGGTGTAAAGAGCCTCAGTACAATTCCCCCGGCTTCAACGTTCGAGCGACATTAGAGCATTGATTAGAGAGTTTTGGCCAGACCGGAGCCACCAGATGAGACGTGGACAGCACCGGCGGAGCCTGTAGCGGTACGAGTACTTTTTTGGCTGGTTTTGGACTCATTTGACCATTACAAGCCAGAACAGAACAAAGTCAGGAACAGGAGCAGGGTCAGGAACAGGAGCAGGGTCAGGAACAACAGAAACTAAAGGTACAAGTCCTGTACAAACACCGTGACAAGAGCCACACTGTTTACCGTTCAGTGACGTAATGGATGGCTTCAAATCTTGCTCTTGAACCCACTCCAATTCAGGGAGGAACCACACGCCGTTCAGACCGTCAAACAGTCAAACAGTCAAACAAAATAGTCAAATCAGAGTGCAAACTTTCGCTCCGTTGCTTTTCCGGTTTCTCTCCATTTTCTCCAGAACTGTCTCTTATAGTTTTCACAGGCATCGAATGTTCTCACCGGCACAGCATGCCTCATACTACGGTATCGTACTCATACGGTCCCCGTAGTCATCCGGTACTCATACTTACACGCATACACTCATGGCCCTCCTTTTTCTTCTTCGTCTTCTTCTCCGTCAGTTTTTTTTTTTTTTGTTGTTTCATTTTGCCTTTCGGTTGCAACCTTTGCATCGACGGACCCCCAACGGGGGAGGGCTGGGGAAGTCTCGCGGACCGGAAAAGCACGTGATCGGCCCCTTGGGCCCCTTGGGTAACCGCGCGAACCGGTTTTCCGATCCCGCGCTCGTTGTGGGCCCCGCCGGCTCCAGCACCACACCCACCGCGCGCAAGGCTTTCACAAACACAAGGTTGTAGCCGTTGGGGGCTTGAGACAAAGAGTGGTCCCAAAAGGGCAACCGACGTACATGAGGGGACCAGAATAGCTCAGATCACAGGAGCCTATTTTTTGGGGTTGCATTGTTTTGCAGATCACGTGCGTCTCGACGTCAAATATGAAACATGGAGTGAGTAGTGGAGCGGAGTGGTGAGTAGAAGAAACAGTGAGAAGAAAGAAAAAAACAAAAGAAAAGAGAAAGAAAAGAGAAAGAAAAAAAAACAGTCAAAAATAAATACTCAAAATAAACAGTCAAAATAAAGAGCGAAAATAAACAATTCAAGTGGGCGAAATACCAAGTACCAAGCACGACCCTTTTAATACCTCGCGGTCGCACTCTACAACTGGGTTCGCTCGGAATTCTATTTGGGCCGCTGGCGAAAGAAAAACACAAGGCCAAGGTCTGGGAATGAGCTGGGGTGACGCCGAATCCAGTGAGTCGCCTGCCAACCGACATCCGCCGTCTCTGTTGACGTTTCAGAGTGCCGGATGTAGTGCGTCTACAGCCTGTCTCATGGTCCGGCGTTTGGTACCAAGGTTGACTCCAACGGTCGGTCACTGGTTGCAGGTTAGTCAAGTTGGATTCCGACGCCGACGTCTGGAGCATCCCTCCTCCCATGGACCCTGCCTCCTCGCGTGGACCCCACGTCGCCCTGTGGACCCTACCTTGTCCCGTGGACCAGAACCTGACCTCCTCCGGGATCTCCACCCCACCTCACCTCCACTCCACAGCAACCTGCCCACGCGAGTAGGTTAGTGTTCGAGATCTCACCGTTACCGAAGTCACTGTAGACTCGTGGTGCATGGCTCACTACAGCGACCAGCACTGTACAGGGCGCGCAAAAGAAAAGTGCTGCCTGCCTAGTCGTGCATCGCATTAGTAAACGGCCCCTCGGAGGCCGACGATAGACACTTGTGAGCGGTGGGTTGCTGTGTTTAGACCAGTTGGAAGACCGTACAGGTAGGGAGATCTGAGGGCCAGACATGACAGCCAGGTGCGTGCAAGTACAGCGTACAAAGTGCAAAAGGTGGTGTCAGTCTCCCACCCCAGCCGTCAGACGCTTCGAACCCCGTTATCCAGCGAGGAAGTGAGACACATCCGCGTAACATCACGTATTGAGTAATTTCTAGCTCGTCAAGGTCACCCCGGACATTGGTGCATTACATTGGTGCTAGGTGGCGGGCGTTATCGTCTTGCGCCATTTCTTCGGAAATCAAAGCAACGCAACCGCCATTCCACCCCCCAAACACGTCTAAAACTTCTTCTTTGCGTGCTCGTGTTCGTCTCTAACAGCTCTCTTCCGCCCCCGGCCCTGAGTCTCGGCAACTTGGCCGGATCGGTTACTTAACATCATATCAACAAGACTATACGCCCAAACGCAAAGCTGGACCCAGACAAGGACCGCCGAAGCCCGCCATATGAAACTCTGAGCGAAATCTAATCTGTACTTAAACTCCCTGGGTGGTCTTTTTGGCACTACGGTGGAGTTAAGTTCAACTCCGTGGGACTAGAGCACGTCAGGAAGGCTGGGGATGGCTCGAAAAAGTACTTGTAACCTGAAGACGACCCTTCGCCTAACGGTAACCACGACAACTGACCTGACAGCTCCCCAATATCACGTCATACAGCCCACATGACATTGCATTGCACTGCCGCCGGCTTCTGGAGGGTGTTGGTGCCATTGTGTTCTCACAGTGGCCCCTTCGGTGCAAGCCTAGACTGACATGAGTTTTGACAGCATGGCATGATAAGAGCGGGGCTATCCAAGTCATCAGCCCATAGTCGGAGCTCGGTGCGTCTGTGCAGAGTTCCATGGGTCTTCTATAGTCCACGCCAGGTACACGATATCGATACAGGCACACACACGGTACATGCAGCGGAAAAGTTTTCACCGCCGAGGAGCGGAGGGCGAGGACACCAGACAATGTGGTACAATGTACGAATACGACTACTATATACCCAGTTAAATGTCCAGCCTGCGAGACCCAAGGTCAAAAGACAGCTCTATCTCCAGACGGACAAATACTATCCCTGCAGTTTACCAACTGTCTCAGGTCGGAAAGTCTCAGGTCGGATAGTCTCGTTGTCGGTCATCTCAGAGTGACGTAACTGAATGGGGCGTGCGTATAACGATTGGTTCAGACATTTCGTGCAAAAAGTCACATGGAGCCTCAGTGAACAGCACACACACACACACACACACACACACACACACACACACACACCAGTCCAACCAGACTTTGGCGGTACATCTCACACTCAATCTCGCCAAAACCAGTCTCAATTTACCGTTAGTCTCATTATATTCCCACAAGACACGATATTGGTCTCACCATGCTGGACACGGTTAAGATTCCACCCCTGGCTAATCTCTCCCTGGTGACCAAACCATGACCTTCTCTTCTGTCCAGAGTGGATATGTAATCGCCATTAGTGTCTGCCGAGAGCCGACAAACTCTCCGAATAATCTTCGTCGAAGGCACTCGGGCAAATCAATGTGCTGTGACACATGTCCAACGAGCTGTCAGCCAAAACAAGCCGTCGTCTGACAGCTGTCAGAACAGTCACGTCTCCTGTCAGTGTCAAGCCAATTCGCGCTTATGTGAACACCTGGGTTTGGGGCGGTTGATTGGGCAAGAGCCACTGGCGCGGTGAAGGAACCAGGCGACACTCCCGACACGGACTTCCCAGACTACCCGTGCATTAGTCTACATGCGATAAGAGAGATAACGAGTTTATCCGCGCGGTGGAGCCTTGGCATTCTAGTGGTACAGCGAGCGTTGGGTACAGCGAGCGTTGGGCACACCAACCGGTCCGGGATAATATCCACAGTCACGGGACAAGCCCCGCGGTCCGCGAACAAACGCAGTTTACCTCCTTGTCCTGTGACGTCCCTTATGAGACTAATTTGGCGCGCCGGACCGTGTCATTGGGTCGTTGTCGTATTCGCCTAGGGAGGTCGTATTCGTCTAGAGAGGTCGTATTCGTCTAGAGAGGTCGTATTCGTCTAGGGAGGTTGTATCTTCGTGTGGCTGTGGACACTTCTAGACTTCCACTGCTGTCTCAGTTGTCTACAATTGACTCAATCGACTAATTGCAACTAGACAACCACGTGATTAACAGTATCGTATCCACGTTGATGTCCAGACATTCACAGAACGCGAGAATCTACCGTGATACGTTCACGTTTACACCACAGTTTTCAATTGAGCCCAAGCTGTAACAGATGGTGCTCTTAGTAAGTGCTCAAAGTTATCGTACAATTAGTCATATGTCAATTGTAGCCTCTCTCTACAGAATAATACACCCTACTTGTACTTGTAGCCATATGGTCCTCCTATACTCTATACTCTCATCCTTCTCAAATGCTGAGTCATACAGTTGTGAGTATGTTCATTCTACTTATACTGTACTTACCTTAGCAGTACAAATTGACTCACTCCTCACTTCACATGCATATCATTACTATCATAACCTCCCAAACTACTTGGCCTGAGAAAGGTACGAGTCAAGAGCACCGACAAGAATATCAGCGTGCTTCTCCTCAAAGACCAGCATGGGTCGCAGACGAACAGTCTGGACGCCACAGGCGCCAATGTTGACACCAAAGGCCTTCATTCCAGACACCAGGGCGTCCTTGGCCTTGCCGGAGGAGGCGTCCCAGGCAATGTAGGTACCACAGTCCTTGCCTCGCAGGTTGTTGATCTCCTTGGGGTACTTCTCAGCCAGCTTCTGCAGCTTGCCGTAGAGGTAGGAGCCAACCTCAGCCACCCGGTTGGACAGATGGTGCTTGTCGCACTCCTGCCAGATGGTCTTAGCAATGATGGCCTTGGATGGGTCACCGCACCAGGTGTTGAACTGTCTGTAGGGAAGGTTGGGCTTGATGCTGGGGTCCGAGAAGTAGTAGCCGGCGGCCTGGAACTTCTTGGAGAAGGTGACCATGTCCGGAGGGAAGGGCAGGTTCCAGTGCTCGTGGGCCCAGAACTTGCCGGTGGCAGCAACTCCGGTCTGCACCTCGTCGACGATCATGAGCACATTATGCTTCTTGGTGATCTTTCGCAGTCCCTGGAAGAACTCGGGGGAGGCGTGGTTGTCTCCTCCCTCGGACTGGATGGGCTCGACGATGATGGCGGCCACGGGGATGGGGTTCTTGGCGAGGATTTCGTCCACGGCCTTGAGACATCGCTCCTCCTCGGCCTTGTTCTCCTTGGCGTGCTTGTCCAGAGGGTACTTGAGCATGGGGAAAGGGGCCTTGGGCCAGTCAAACGCAGGGATATCGAGCTTGTGGATGGGCTTGGATCGGGTGGCGGACAGCGAGCCAAACAGACGGCCGTGGAAGGCGTGGTCAAATGACATGATGGAGAGAGACGCGGATCCGGGGCCCTGGTTGTTCATCACAGACTGCTCGTCAGCCTCGGTGAAGGGCTGGCCGTCTCGCTCAATGGTTCGTCTCCACAGAAAGGCGGCCTTGAAGGCGGTTTCGTTAGCGTCGGAGCCGGTCATGCCGGTCCACACGTCCTTGAAGCCGGGAGGAGCGGCGGCGATGATACCGTCCTTGAGGATCTTCTCGTAGGTGGAGGAGGGGAAGTTTCCGAGGGCGGGTCGGTTGACGAGCGACGAGATCATCTCGGGCGACTTGGAGGCCTCCACCAGCTTGGGGTTGTTGTAACCCAGAGCAATGGACGAGATCTGGGCGTACACGTCCAGGTAGATGTTGCCATCGACGTCTTGGATGTAGTTGCCGACGGACTTTTCGTAGTCGGCAACAAAGTTGGCTGCTCGGGTGTCGAAGACCGAGTCCAGAGACAGCAGGGCGTCCTGGGTGGCCGGGCCGGGGAAGGAGGTCTTGACCACGGGAGCCTTGGGCTCATTGGGGAAGTAGGTCTCGCAGAGGGAAGCGTAGCCTCGGAGGCCGGTCTGGGCGAAGCCTGCGCCCGATCGCACTCGAACGGCGGAAGAGAGGGTCTTGAGTCGAAGCATGTGAGTGTGTTACGGAGACAATTGGAGTGGCAGGCGCGTCGAGTTATATATTGCTGGGCCCATCACAAGCAGTTAGCGTTGCCGCCGAGCTTAAGTGGGGGGAGGGAGAAAGGCGGGGAACAACTGTGGGTTTGGAGGCGATTGTGGGGCGATTTTGGAAATTGAAAAACGGCAATGCGTTTGTTGGGCCATGTGGAGTCTGTGGTTTTAATTTCGAGCCCATACGGCCGTCGGAAGGCCGTCTTGGAGCCCTCTCTTCTCCCGGCGCTGTTTCTGATGCCCCATTTTGCCGCCGCAAAGTCCAAGTCCCTCGCATAGCCAAACCTTGTGGGGAAATGTTATCAGCTCTTTCTCCCAACACCACGCTCTCGTCAACTGTAGCGCCGCATGGATGATGCACTCCGCATTGGAAATAGTAGAATTATCCGATGGCGGTGGAGTTCTGTAGCGGGCTTTGGAGATGGGGTTGGAGGGACCGGACGGGGGTATTTATACATGTTACACACCTCACAACACGCCACACGTGACGCGACACTTGGGATGTCAGAGGAATGGAGGAAATACACATGTCTTAGACACTCTGAACACTGGTGCTATTCACTCTACACATGTACGTACCCACACTAACTACTGTAGGCTATCGCAGCTGCATCTTTTCCCGCGCGGCTAAAATGGCCTCATTGGCATTCGTGCTAGCGGCTATCTGTCCTGCCGTCATACTGCACGCGGTTGCCTCCGAAACGGCACTGGTGCCGCTGGAGCGGGGTCACGTCCAAGAACCGGCTCCATCACGGGGATTTTTACCGGTTCGTTTTTCGGGCCAAAATAAAGCTGTAACGGGTGCAAATGGGGCGTTTTTATTGGCTCACGGGGAGGAAGAGTAGAATATACTGGGATATGATAATCGGAAATAATTGGGGGAAAAAAATCAGATATAATTGGAAAATCGATATTGTTGCTCTTTGAGTAATAATACAAGTGCATCGTACAACATTACCGTACACGCAAAACATTGACCAGCTTGTGGAGGTACTGTACTTGTACTCTCGATATAGGTTTATTTTATTTTATTTATTTATTTATTTATTTATTTATTTATTTATTTATTTATTTATTTTTATTTATTTTTATTTTATTTATTTATTTATTTTATTTTATTTTATTTATCAATTTATTATCTATTTATGTCATTTATTTGTTTATTGGCTCAAATAACAGCCGAAATAGCCGCAAAAACGCTTTCAAGACACTCGCAAAGTTCAACGCTCCTCAAACCCTCTCAAATGACTCAAATGAGTCGTTGTTTCACGTCCGCCATTGGCCCTGACTGTGGTGCCTGCTGGATACAGGACAAGTACCTACCGTAATGGTGCAGTCGGTGCATGCATGTGTGGCGTACTACACCTACCAAAAGGAGATGACGGTGGTGATAGTATTCCCCTCAAGTCGCTAGAAATTTCCACTTTCCCCGTAGACTTCGAAACATGGGCCCATTTGTGCTAGCGGCACTTTATTGTCGTCAGTTGATGAACGGCTTCTCAACTGTGACTTCTGGGTGGCTACAGGTTCAAGTACTGGCTACAGCTAAAGCTACTTGTACAGTATGTCCAAAGTGGGGTGTGTATAGCATGTTCACAAGCCGCTTAGTCATCAAACCCCACATGACTACAGATGTCAAAAACCACTCGTCAAATCGTCGAGAGCAACAGATGTACGGAGCTGTACGGAGCTGTACCCAGCTGTATCCAGTTGTAGGGTGCTCGGAAGTGTTCAAGATGGTAGAATGGATTCTTGTTACGGATTTTTTTCACTGATTATTGCTGCAGATTGTGGAATTACAACGCTTATGGTCTCTCTCACAATCCCGACGCTCTCCAGATTCAAATGGTGTTGTCTGGGTCCACAGTATATACAGTACATACCTGTATGTGAATTCCCACTTGTTCCACATTAGTTGACTTTTGTTAAGAGAAAAAGTCGGCTGGGGGTTCAAATAGGAGGTTACAGAAACCGCCGGAAAAAGAGAGCAGAACCAAATTGTCCAGAAAAGTGACAGATTTCAATAAAAGTATTATATTCGGCCCCTTTTCATATAAAAGAACGAGATAATCATGATTCAAGTACCCCATAGATATTGCAATTTACTTGAATTTAGTTGGGAGAGGTCACGATGCCATCCCTCAGAGCTCAACCGAAGAATGACGAATGACAAACTGAATCCATTGATGCTCACCCCTGTCTTATGCAATACTGCTCATTATCTATAAATGTACCCGTGATCCGAAAAACAATTCCAAGGTGATAATCACAAAAAAGTGCTGCATTTCTGTCAAACATTCCTGTTATCGTAGTTCAGAGCGCATAGAAACTTTGCACATTACTAGAGTACACGGTAGGACGTGCTAATTACATCCACAACCAATAAAATACAACACCATTCCTAATATACATACTATTTATACACCTATTGCAACTGTAGCAATCACTCCAAATCAATCTCCATATCAACCTTGGGCTTCTTGACCGTCTCCGTCGACGTTTCGGCACTTTCGTCGTCATACATTGGTCCAGCTTCATACGGCTGGTTTTCTTCGCCCTTTCTTTTTCGTCCGTGATTGTCAGAGTGATCGCGGTCCGACTGACCTTGTCTACCACGTCGGTCGGATTGCCGCTCAGAGTCTCGTCGGTTACCTTGTCGACCACGGCCAAAATCTTTGGCCCCACCCTCCTTCTCCTCCAACCGCTTGACCACCTTGCCCATGTAGCCCTTGACAAACTCCTTGATTTTCTTGGCCTTCTCATCACTAATCTCAGTCATGGGCTCCGGACGTTTCAGCTCCTTGTCCACCAGAATCTGCACAATGTCCTTAGAACACTTTTTCGCCCGCTCCCGATCAACGTCGTATTTGGACACTTGATTGGGCACCACCTTGGCCAGCAGTTTAGTCAGCCGATGCGCCTGCGCGTTCACGGGCTTGGCAGACGCAGACGGAGCCGGCTCGCTGTTATTTTTCACCTCCTGCAACCGAGCCTGCTCAATGATGCGCTGGAGATCACTCTCGCGCTGCGACTGCAAAGAAAGCGGCTCTCGGGTCTCGGAATTGTCCCGTCTCTCGTCTCGACGGTTGCCACGGGGACCCTTGGGGCCCTTGGGGCCCTTGGGGGTCGAGGGTGAGCTCGCACGTGACGCCTTGGGGAAATCCCACTGTTGGATGTTCAGCTCGAGATTGTAGTAGTACACCTTGCCCTGCGGGTCGTTCGCAAACTGCCAGCCCTTAGGCAGGCTCCTTGGAGGCACCATGGGTGATGCAGGCTGCTTGACGGCCTTCTTGGGGCCCTTGGGGGCCGTTTTGTTAGAGTAGGGGGTGGGGATGAAGGTGAAGGGGGATTCCGAGCGGGTGGACGGCGAATCAGTAACGCCGTTTCCGTTGTTATCTGCTTTTTTGTTCACCTTGACAACTTCCACATCATTGGGCTCCTCAGACTTGGAGCTCTCCTTGGTGACCTCCTCGCTGGTACCTCTAGAGACCGAATGCTCGTCTCCGTCGGGATCAATTTTTCGTCGTGGGATTCGGAAAGCCATTTTCAGGTTTGCCCATTCAGACAAGAGCTCCTGGGCAATGGTGGCAATGTCACTGTTGTCGTTGGACGTCAGGCTCTTGACCACGTTTTCAATCTGCGAACTGGAGATTTTGTTCTTTGTGATTCGCGGCCACTTTTGCAGGACTCGCAGCAGCATCAGCGTCACGTTCACGCGGTCGCTGTCGTCCAGCCCAAGAGGATTGTCGCCCCACGTGGCGGTCAGAATCTGCGCGAAGATCTGGTATCCATGCATCTTCATGACTGCTGCCTGGACGGACGTGTCTGTGCACAGAGCAATACGCTGCAGCATGAGGTTGACCTGCCAGGCTTCCTGGTTCATCATGAGAGACGCCATGACCTTGGACACGTCCTGCACGGTCAGGTCTCGGGGTCGCAAGTCCTCGGCCGACTTTTTGCCTCTCAGAATGGCGTTGATATCTCTGGACGTGAGACCCAGAGCAGCGGTCAAGGTGCCGGAGACCTTGCTGGCGCTTTCCGTCTGCGTTTTTCCGCCGAGAAAGCCGACACAGTTTTTCTCGCCGCAGTAGCACGCCTGGGCCTCGGCTCCGTACCGGTCCACGTTGTAGTCAAACGTGACCTCTTCTCCCCTTTGAATGTGTCGAGATGCGAAAATGCCCATTCTGAGCCGTTTGCCCACGACCCACTTTTCCACGTGGCCATTAGGCGCGCACGAATGGTTGCAGAACCGACCCAGTCCTCCCTTGGCGGTAGCGTCGATGAACTCGCCCTTTTGCAGCATCATAAAGTAGAAATGCTTGACGCCCTGGGTCGTGTAGATGGCCGTTCGCTCCTTGAAGGTCGGCTCGTCAATCACCTCGCCCACGTACTCGTAGACAAATTCGCCGGCGGCGATGTCCTTGGTGGCCCGCAGTCCAAACCCCTTCTTTTCTGTGCTGATCACGTCCACCGATGCGTATTTTTTGCCCTGGAACCGTTTGTTCTGACAGCCCTTGCAGCACCGAACACACTCGATGGAAGTGAGTCGGTTGATGCACCCGCTGTCCTCGTCACACGCCGTGGGCCCGGGCTTACAGTCACACGCCATGACTTCCGCCTGCTGAGACGAGCCCAGACCCTTCATGTACGTGCACTCCGGGAGCTCCACAAATGTCTGAAGCGCGTCCTTGGTCACGTCGCGAGCATCGGGGAACAGCTGCGCGTTTATTGGTGAGTTGTTGCCCGACATGTCGATGTTGAGAGGGCGCAGGTCGTGATGGTGGAGAGAAACGCCGCTGGGAGGTTGTGCATATGTCGACAGTAGCACCACCAGTACAGATTATTGTATGGAGGTGAGGACGTGATTGTGCACGTGAAACGACCCAACCAGAGTTTGGGGCAACATGACACACAGATATATATATGTATATATATATAATGCTACTTATCAGCACTTTTTTCTGCTGCTTTTCTTGCCATTTTTTCAACCCCCCAGACATCACACGATAGGCAATCTGATGGTGGGATGAAAAATACACGCAAAACGCCGTACATGCGCGTAATCCTAATTACACCCATGGAGACCTGTACAAGTTTAGTACAAGAAGCTACCATTATCAATCCAAGCACGTGACCTAGCCGGAGCCATACAGTCCAAACACGTGACCCAACCCCCGGCTCCCCCCCCGCCCCTTCCCCTCCTTGGCTCGGGTCACGTGACCGCCGTCTTTTTCTTTCGTTTCTCGGTGTGATTGATTGGCTCGTTAATTTTTCGGATCAAAATTTTCCAACCGGAAATCGAACTGAGACACGGTTGTTGGAGTCAAGACGATGACAGAACTGCTTCTAATCTTAACAATCTAGTTGAGGAAGTTAGTTGACATTACTGGGGATGAAAATTCAGCTGGGGGTTCATTTACGGGGTTGTAGAAACGGTGGAGACTAGGAAAGTTGCTGTGTGGATAGTCGATCAGCAACTTGATAAGTAATAATGACTTTTGAGAATCTCTACACCACAATAATCAGAGATATCTTCATTTCAGCGTCTCGTTGTTGAGTGTGATTAGTGGAAGAAAAGTAAGATTTAGTTGGTATGTACTAGATGGGTGTAGGATTTGTACTGCAAAGCAGAAATAGAGCAGAAATGGTCTCCTAGCACCCACATCTCTCTCACTTGTACTCGCCGCTTGTTAGTCGTCATAAAAAATACAATTAACATTCTATACATAATTTTTTGTTAGACCGTTCCAGTGAAAGCCACAGCTTGGCTTGCCACTCGGTGAGCCGACAGTGGGATCTACAGTAGTCGTCGTGCCAGCTTATTTCATGCAGTAAAATCGCTTGCCGCCCTTGTTCTCAGCCTTGCACTCCCACTCCAGAGTAATGTCCAGATCTCGGTTGTTCTTCTCGTTGGGTCGGCAGTCAATGGATCCAGTCACCTCGTCACCGGCTCGCAGAGACACCTGGCCGTCAATGTAGAAGACAGTCTGCTTCCAGTGAGTGTACTTGGCATGGGGGCCGGTGGAGAACTTGACGGGGGTGGTGAGCTTGTTGAACTCAATGTCGAACCAACACAGAATAGCGTGGGCAGTGTCGTTGACCCGGGCCTTGAGGTCAAAGTTGGCCTTGAAGGCCAGATCCTCCACCTTGACGGTGTACAGATCGATCTCAAACACCTGGCAGGGGTTGGAGATGACGTGTCGGAGGTCCACGGTGTCGACCAGAGGCTCGGACAGCACAATGTCCTTGAAGGGCGAGTAGTCAAAGCCGTAGACGTCGTCCCAGAAGGACACCTTTTCGTCCTTGTACTCGCCGTCCTCCAAAAGAGCGGCGTAGATGGTGGACTTGTCGGGCATGATAATACCTCCGGGGACCAGGTACTTGTCTCGGGCGTACAGCACCGTGTCCAGCATGGATTCGTAGAGCAGGAAGTAGCCCATCCACTCGGAGATGATAATGTCCACCTTCTGGTAGGGTAGGGTGATCTCCTCCATCTTGCCCTGGATCAGGGTAATCTTGTCGCTGAGTCCGTTAAGATCGACAATCTTTCGGGCCATCTCGATGATGTTGGACATGTCCACGCCCATGACATGCTTGGCACCGGCCTGCGCAGCAAACATGGACAGAATGCCGGTTCCACAGCCCACATCCAGCACAATCTTGTCCTTGAACAGGTCTCGGTTTCGCAGAATTGCGTGCTTGTACGACAGAGTTCGCGACTCGTCCTTGAGCATCTCCTCATGGATGCCAAAGTGGTCGTACGACGAAAAGTAGTGCTGCTCGGAGTATGGGAGGGACATTGTGGGTGTGCGGTAAGAGGTCGGGTCAACAATGGTGGTGAGAAGAAGAAAGCTTCTTTATAAAAATTTCCCAGCTATGCACGATAACTTTATCGACCAACCATGCAGGTGGGTCAGAGACCGAAAGAGGGTGTTGCGGCTTGAAAATGACGGTTTTTGTTTGTGGAATCAATTTCTACGGCTTCAAAAACCACAACGAAATATCCGTGGTCCAAATCTGACCACCATAACCCCCTCCTGACCGTGCTGTTTAGCTCAAACCATGGGATATTTTTCACACACACTCGCATGAACCCTGTAGGAGTCGAGAATGACGAATATCGCGAATTTGGTGGTGGAACAAACGGCAAGAAATTGATTGTTGATCGACAGACTGGTGGTTGGGGAATCACCTCTCGTGCTGATTAAGCCGTATCAATTACGGGTGTTTATTACGAGATTTCCTCATCTCCTTCTTTATACTGTGAAGTTTGTCGTAGCGGTAATGTGACATTGATGGTTATCGTGGACCAGTGTACGGACAGGTTATGACCAGGTAAGGGGAAACAGGTATTTCCGATGGACTTGATGGTGAGTTCTCCTAGTTTATACCTTCAAAAAAGGTATCCTTTTTGGTGACAGCATCTCTTGGAGCTACAGTTTCACCTATGACCATTAATGAACTCATACCGACTGAGGAGTCGGCCCGTACCAAACCCGAACTCGACCCGACTCGACTCGACTCGGCTCGATAGTCACCCTTCCCTACCTGCAACTTGTTTCAGCCTTACTATCGCCGGCAATTCTCCTTCGGGTCTCTCGTCGGTATCCAGTCAGTTCAATGACTGTTAGGCCAGTTGAGTCTCGCTCGTTGCTCTTTCAGCCCATGGCGTAGTATTCGCTCAATGCTCCCCGGAATTGATCTAGGCCGTAGCTCGAATAGCGCCCACAACGGCCGGTAAGGCACAGGCTGGTTTACCGAACAGCCACCAACACTACTCGTAGCGTAAACCGGCATATACCTGGCGGAGTCAACAGTCGACAGTCGACAGTCGAATGGTAACCAGCTTGGTAGCCAATCAGCCAATCAAAGCAGTCTAGACGGGACTCTCTGCCAAGAGACAGCTGCTACAATGGTCCCATTCTTACCAGATCATGCTTCAAGCCATTGTTGATGCTGGAGGTTAGTTGTTCCGCGCCGTATCCAACCCCAACCAAAGTGAGACTAGACTACAACGCCATTCTGGACTCAACAGAGTCCGACGGCGACCAGAATATTTTGCCATTCGCGAACCGTCAATGGATGACTAAGACGTACAGTTTTAGTCATGTATTATTCCCATGGGGAAGAGTCCTGTTGGCAATGAAGTCCAATTGAGAATGTAGTCCAATGAATAAGCTACTTGTAGTCAAAAAAAAAGAGAAAAAAAAAAAAGAAAGTCCAAAATGAAATAAAAGTCCAAAATCATATTAATGATATTAATGATATTAATGATATTATATTCTTTGAAAGTGTCCAAAAATGGTAAACACCTGCCACGTGACCCAACAAACGACGACCCAAACCCACGTCACGTGACCCCACTGCACCATAGGACCAGGTCAGCCCGACGCTCAACCATCCATCCCGCTAGTGCGATAGAATATGCCTCGAAATATCCGCCCTGTGGCTCAGTCACAGCACGTGATTTGTGCGTCTAGTTTTTCCTGAACCCTATCCGTCTCCCACGGTCGCTTGACCAAAGGCAAAAAAAATACCTTGTTGTTTGCTCGACTTTTGGTCACAATTTTTTGGTAGAAACTTGTAGCTGATTATACTGCCTCTCTCCACATGCCCTATATATCTCCTTCCCCGTGCGCCAAGAGGCTCTTGGGCTTGTCGACTAGAGGGGGATTTAGACTCCTGCGGGGAAACGGAACAACTTTCATCCAATAAAATTCAACTCCGCGGGACATTACACCAGGGCTATTCAGCACAGTTTGAGAACGATCCAGCGGACACCAGAAAACACGCGTAAGCGCTTCCACAGAGGCCTTTTCAACCACCGTCTCATCGCTCATCGGCCCCCGCCCCCTCCGACCTACTCATTTTCTCTCTCACGTGACCCATGTCCTTCTACCCCATACTGCGAGGTCCGGCCAAACAGGAGAGTCCACCTCCTCCTCCGGCTCCTAAAAAGCGGCGAAAGACCGCTCGGGCCTGTCTGCATTGCCAGAAGGCCCATCTGACCTGTGACGAGGGCCGCCCGTGCGCTCGCTGCATCAAGAAAAACATGGGAGACCAGTGCGTGGACGGCAAGCGGAAACAGGCAAAGTACTTGGTGGGGCTCCCTCCGACGCCTCCAGGACAAGCGACGCAACAGAAACAGCAGCAACAGCAACAGCAACAGCAGGCGGTGCAGCATGGAATGGGCCCTCCGGACACGGACTTCGGCTCGTCTGCCGCCAACTTGGAATACTCCATCTTGTCCAACATTCTGGGTCGCGGAGACACGTCTTCACCTCCAGACTTCTTTCCCGCCCAAAGTCCCCATATGCCGTCTCCCATGTCGATTCCGGGTCTTCACATGGAGGAAGAAGGCAGCCAAACTGCGGGAACGCCCCAGGGATCGCCGACAGACATCTACACCAGTATAACAAAGCCCTATGCGTACACAACGGGGTTCCATGCGCTGATTGCGTATCTCAAAAGCCGGTTCGAGAAAAAGGAGCTGCTGGACGTGGTCAAAAGCATGGCCTTCTACCGGCCGTCGTTCATAGCCACCACCCAGACCCTGCAGTACGAAGATCTTGTGTTCATGGAAAAGTGCTTCCAACGCACGCTGCTGGAGTTTGAAAAGTACATTTCGTTAAGTGGAACGCCCACGGTGCTCTGGAGACGAACCGGCCAGATAGCTGCCGTTGGAAAGGAGTTTTGTGTGCTGACGATGCGATCGCAGGCAGATTTGCTGAGTCAGTTCATCATCGAGTGCATGGACAACAAGTCTGTGGTACAGTACTTTGACGTCTTCTCCGAGCTGGCGTTTGAAGACAGCAGAGGCACGATTACCACCACGTTTGGCCTCACCAAACCCTCAGGCGAGGTGGTCAACACGGCGTGTTCGCTGACCATCAAACGAGACGTGTTTGACATTCCCATGATGATTGTCGGCAACTTTCTGCCTATTCTGTAGGCGCCATGTAATTATTTATTCTGAACGAAAACAAGAGAGCAATTACTTGTATAACTAACACTTTGTAGATATTACCTGAATATGAATGATATAGATTACGAGTATTTACCTATCCCTACAACCGCATGAGCCGCTCTTCATCATCCTCACCGTCAATGTCAATAATGCCCCTCTCCTCAACCCGTCGCTCCTGAACATCTCCTCTAGACACGTACTTGACGCGCTTCAACTTGGAGTCAGCCATGGCCGGGTTCCACACGTTCTGCGAGTTCAGCTCCGCCACCTCTTGCTTTTCAGACTTGATCTTGGACTCAAGTTCTCTCAACTCCTCGTCATCTGTGCTATCGTCCTCCATTTCCTGCTCTCGGATCTTGCCATCCAGACCCAGCGAAATGACATGCTTCTTGCCCTTTTTCCGAGCGTCTCGTTCCTCCATCTTGGCCATTTGCCGCTGCTGCTTCTTGAGCTGCAACGCCCTCTCTGTCGCCGAAGCCCACTGGTTGACACCTGCCGAGGGCAGTTCAAAGTCGCCCACGTTGTCGATGATCCGGGTTCTCTCCGCCTGACTGTCCTGGAACGCCATCAGGGTGTCAAGCCGCTCCTTGGCCTGCTGAAGCTCCTTCTCCTTGGCCTCCTGCGCCTGCCGGTTCTCCTCCTCCATCTGTTTGATGGCCTCTTCCTGCGCAGCCCGCCCCCCAGCATTAGATAAGTTGTACTTGATGGCCTTTTGTTTCTTTTTGGGCACCGCCTGTTTGGGGGCGTTCACAGACCGAATGTCCTCCTTTTGTTGGTACAAAACCGACGAAATTTCATTGCGCTCCTCCGCACTCAACAGAGGAGTGCCACAGAATGTGCACGGCCCTAGCCCTTCCTTCAGGCAATGGATCTTGCCACAGTTCATGCAGTTGGGGGCAACCTCCAGCAACGGGTGTCGGGAAGCCATGCAGTCGCATTTTGCGCGCGCCGTGGTGCCGTCTTTGCGCACATCTCCATGTTCCACCAGCTCCAGGTCCCGTAATGCCTGGTCGATTTCGGCAATCGAATCCACCTTGATTTTGTTTTTGGCCTTGGTCTTGGGCTTGAGATCCAGCAGTTCGGAAGTTGTTGCTCCGCCCTTACCCACGCCGGCCAGCCGGTTGCGAGGTGTCTTTTCCTTCTTCTGTTTCTCCTCCTCTACCTTTTCTCCTGCCGTTCTGGTGGCCCACGATGCCTTCTTCTTGGGGGGCTCGCTCTTGGCCATTTTTTCAGCCTTGGACTTCTCCAGCTTCTTGGACGAGAACCGCTTGCGGTTGAACTCCTCCACGAACCGGAACACCGGCTCAGACTCGCCCAGAAGCTCCACAAAGTAGCTGTGCACCTCCAGAGGATCGGTTTTCTTCATGCCCTGATCCACCAGCTGGGCGACGGTCTCCTTGTCGAACCCGCCGAGCAACCGGCCAACCATGTCCTTGGCGTACTCTTCGGTCACTGTGTATTTTTCCATATCGTTTGAATGAAGGAATTAGGAGGTTGCTGGGATCAAGTCGTACCAAATGCTGGTGATAAGCATGCATGACCAGGCAAACTGCACGTGATTTGATAAAAGAAAACAAAAAAAAATATACAAAAAAATACGTAAAAAATTGAATATAATGTAGGAGGATGGGAAAATGATATCAAAGTGGTCAGAATAGTTGATTCTTTCCGAATTTATACTCGACGATACTTTTATAGAAATACTCATACTCTCACGCTCAAATGTCTAGTAAAATCAATTCTATGTCTATGTCTAATAAATAATGTGGCACCTTCTAACAGAAATCAAAGTCGGGGAAACCGAGATCAACTCCCCACTTGGGCTTGGAAGTTCGGTGGATACCCTCGGTCTTGTGCAGATCGTTGAGAGCCTGCAGGTCTTCCTTGGACAGGTTGACGGCGGACTTACCGTTCTCGATGATTCGAGAGTTGGTGACGGACTTGGGAATGACAACAGTGCCGTTACCAATGTGGTAGGAAGTGAGAATACCGCCGGGAGAGGTCTCGTACTTATCGGCGAGCTTGAGAACCAGCTCGTTCTTGAGCAGAGGGCCTCCGACAGATCCGAAAGGAGAGAAGGCAGTCATGATGATGTTGTTCTTCTTGCAGAACTCCATGAGCTCGAGCTGGGGCAGCAGAGGGTGCAGCTCGACCTGGTTGACAGCGGGGACCACCTCGGCCTCCTTGAGCAACTCCTCCAGGTAGGGAATGGAGAAGTTGGAGACTCCGATGGACTTGGTCTTGCCGGTCTTCAGAACGGCCTCCATCTGCTTCCAGGTCTTGGGCTGCGAGCCGGACTCGTCAATGTCTCGAGATCCGTCCGGTCGCAGAGGGTAGACGGGGTCGTTTCCGTTGGGGTTGAGGGGCACCGGCCAGTGGATGAGCAGCATGTCGACGTAATCGAGACCCAGTCGCTCCAGCGACAGATCCAGGTTCTCCTCGACTCGGTCATGGTAAGTGACCCAAATCTTGGTGGTGACAAAGATGTCCTCTCGCTTGACACCCTTTTCCATGGCCCGCTTGATACCGAGACCGACCGCGTCCTCGTTTCGGTAGTTGAAGGCGGTGTCAATATGTCGGTAACCTCCCTCGGTGAGAGCGCACTCGACAGCTCCGGCAACCTCCTCGGTGGTCGACTTCCACGTTCCCAGACCGATGGCAGGGATAGTCTTGCCGTTGTTCATAGTGAAGTCGATAGAAGTCATTGTGTGTGTGTGTGTGTGTGTGTGTCAATTGGTGTTTGATGCAGACTCCAGGGGGGATCAACCACCTATATATATACACATTCGGCAACGCTCTCGGATCATTCTGCTCGTAGATTCTTCCGGACCTTGAGTATATCCAACTTGGAGGTTTCGTGTGACGTAATGGTGTGCTTGGTGGACGCAGGCATCTGCAGTTTTCGGTGGTGCGAAATGACGTACATTTTTGTCCCTCTGAAAACTTGACGCACATTTCTGGCCCTGGCCGGCAGAAAAGATCACCACTTGACGTCATAGCAAGCGGCATTTTCTACATGTTTTGCGAGCGAATTTTGTAGAAAAATCAAATCGAAACAAGAACCGAGCGGTCCGAGTGCAAACGAGAGCAACAGCAAATGTATTCGTCCAGATGATGTAATCAATAATTAGACTGTACAAAGTCCGGAAAATGTGCACTAAAATACAGAGAGTAACACCGGAGGAGTACCACGAAAAGGACGCATCGTGTTTGGATATCAGCCTACACTTTCCTTCGGTAGATGCCCAATATTTAATGAATCTGTTGAATGTCTTAATAATCTATTAAATTCGTTTTTTAGTCTCTCCAAATCCACAATTTTTATTTATCTTATTTATTTTATTCTAATCAATTTATTTTATGTTCTAATTTTACATTTATAGGAAAATACTTAAGCAACCCAAAATATGCAACTACTTTACTTCATCAAATCCGATATAGTGTAGGGGCTATCACATCACGCTCTCAAGTTGAGAACCGTGGAGACCGGGGTTCGATTCCCCGTATCGGAGTATGTGCTTGATTATCTTTTTCCTTCACAATTTCTCACCAAAAACCCACCAAATGTGGAAAGAGGTGCGTTTTTTTTTATTTTATATATTTTCTTTTTTTTTTGTTCGCCATATATACTGTATGTTAATTTTTACAATCTGAAAGAGTTTATGGGTATTGTTCAATTAAACAGGTTGTACTACGGAATGCCAGAAAGTGGCCAAAAGTGATCGTATATAGAGATTGTTGATCTTTAAGCAGTATTTTAACAAGCAGTATGTTATATTTACGAGTATTCTGACCAAACTGCTTCCATCAATATAGATTCACACAACTCTGCGAGCATGGTATGTATTGTAACCCCGAAACTGGTTCTGACTTTAACAAAACTTTCAACTAGCTCAAGTCATGGTTGATTACTGTACGATTATAAATTAAAAAAATATTTGTAATAGCATGCCACGTACGAGACGATATTACACATGACGATATCTATCGAGTTAGTATGAGATTCAATTTCGTCGGACACTATAATAATTACATGTGAAGAGTCTGGAATCACCGTGAGAAAGTGCAGAGGACAGTATGGCCAGAGAGAACGCACTTTGCTGGCTCTGGACAAGTACAGGTACTAGTGAATACCAGCAAGACGAGCGGTATTGAGATGTACAGAAATGTCCAAATCGTCCGTCTGCTCGGCAATCTGGTCCAGCTTCTCATTCTGCTGCTCCACCTCCTCATTCATGGCCAAACCCAGCTTCTTCAGACGGCCAGCAGCGTTGCTGAGCTCGTCGAGATTATTGTCAATCTCGTCTTCCAGAATATCATCCTCTTCGTCGGCCTCAAACTGGTATCGGTCTCGGCCCGGTCGGCTGCCGTACTTGCTCATCATCTCCTTTCGGTGCTTGGACTTCTCGCCCACACCGTCCAGAGCACCCACCACTCGCTGTTGCGAGTCGTAAGCGTCACGGCGTCGCTGCTCCCTCTCCACCTGCGCCACCGCCCGCTCTCGGCGGATGCGGTCCTCCTTCTCCTGAGCTCGTCGCTTCGAGTTGAACGGGTTGCTCACGTGAGGAGCGAACATGGACCGCGTCACTGTCTTCAGCTCCTTGGCCTTATCCTCGGCAATCTTGTGTTGTGTGGTGGCCAAAGCCAGAGTGCTGTGGATGTTGTAGAGCCGTTCACCTTGAGATCCAAGCATACCAAGGGTATTTCGGCCACTCTCCTCGGCCTCGGCGGCGTGTCGAAGGGCGTTTCGAGTCGAAGCGGCAGACTGTTGCTTGGTGAACCGAATCTGCTGCTTGACGGCCTCCACGTCCTCATCCTCCTGCTCCTGCTCCGTCTTCTCCTCCTCCTCAAGCACCGTGTCAAACTCGTGGCCCTGGTTGTAGTTGTACGTGTAGTTTTGCTTGCCGTACTCCTGCTCGTTGCCGTATGAGTACGAGTCGACCCGGCCGAGGTTGAGAGTAGACCCTCCTCCCAGAAGCAGATCCTCTTCCTCATCAACCGCCACGGTCGCCTCGGAATACTCGGCCACGGCAGCCGTCTGAGGAGCAGGCGCAGCAGGCGGTTCTTTCTGACGCACCTTTTGAGACAGCTCTTGTCGAGGCATAGACATGACCGACTCGGCGTACTTGGGCTGCTCAGACAGGGCCGGGTTGTAGCTGCTGTCCATGGGCGGATCGTCTCGAGGTCCAAACAGCGCAGTCTTGTCCTCCTCGAGCTCCCGGTCAACGTTGCCAAACCGCGATCCGTAGCCCTGGTTGGCAGATGCGTAGGGGTTGACGGCACCTGGCATGGGGGGCGGGGGCAGCTCGGGCTCCTCGGGCAGTCCCACGTCATAAACGGGCTCGTAGTCGTCTCGTTCTGCGTCGTTGTAGTCTGTGGGAGCCACGTATTGGCGCGGTCGAAGTCGTGGGTCTTCCAGGGGTGGAGGTGCCTCTTCCTTTTTGCTTCGTCCAAACCGCTTGAACTTGGACGACTTGGCTGGGGATTCTTTTGGTGGTGCTCCATTCTGAGGCATGCTGTAGGGACTGTTTGTGGCGGGCGGGGGAGCGGCGTTGTTGCCACCGTTGTTCATTTTGTAGGGGCTGCCGTTGCTACCGCCGTTGCTGTTGCTACCGCCGTTGCTGTTGCTACCGCCGTTGCCGCCACCTCCATTGCTGTATGGATCACTGCCTCCGTATGGTGATCCGGACGCTCCACCTGCGGCGGCGGCGGCGTAGGGGTTTCCTCCGCTGGGCTGTTGGTTCTGGACGGCGTAGGGGTTGCTTCGGGCCGCCGGAGGAGCCGCAGACGACTTCTGGGTCACCTGGGCGGCGTAGTTTTTGTATGCATCGAACTTGTTTCGGTTGTAGCCGTTGACGTCGGTCTTGACCAACAGACCCGCGTCTTGCATCGACTCCCGGATCTCCGACTCGGTCGGATCCTTCTTTTTGAACATCTTTTTGAACCCCATCGTTGCTGTGGTTTTTCCGTGACTGTGTGTTGGTGCTGGTGCTGGTGATGAAAACGATTAGCTGATGAAGTGTCTATTTCCAGTGCATCCCAACGGCATTCGAACTGTATTTTCGCATCGAGGCTGTGCCCTCGTAAAAGTAGTCCGAGGAAAGAACAGCCAACAACCGAGACGGTAGACAAGCCCGTGGCGGCGGGGGACGGGGCTGTGTGGACTAGTGGGTCATGTGCTCGCTCCCCTTTGATTTGTTTTTAATTGCTTTCCTTTTTTTCCCCATTTTTCCCGCGCTATACATCCTCCGTTTCCCCTTGGCTTACCCCCCTTTTTTTTTCCTCAGAAAAATAGCCCCGAGAGGGGACGGTGATCTGCCCAAGGGGTGATAAGCGTTATTTCGAGTCCAGTAGAGTGACAGCTTGTGACCAACTCTAAGAGAAACGAGACAAGATCGAAAGAGAGGGTTGGTAGGAGCTGCCAGTACCTTCTACGTAGGAAAATGTACCTTCTACTTGTGGCTGCTACTGTACTTGTAGCTCCAGTGCTAACTGGACTGTAGTTGAGTTGCTCGTACTCGCGTCAGAAAGCAGATCGCCACTGCAGGGGTATTGTAAAGAGAGTAGCCACTCTTATGCGGTGAAGAACATATCTGGGGTTTCGAGTGTCGGAGTAAGATGGGAGTTGTGAAGATATATATGGTATACTGGAGTCTTTCCTACCCTCGCTCGTGAAGTCTTGCTATTTATATAGAGTTATTTATAGAGTTAGTTGAGGTGGAGTGGGTCAAGTAATGTCAAGTAATGTCAAGTAATTGTTAAGTAATGTCAATTAATGATCTACAGTAGTAAGGGTAAGTATGACCGAGTAATAGTGAGGAGTATCCAACTACGTCAAATGAGAACATAAAACAGTACAATACAATAGCCACATATAATACAAGCTTGGGTAGCTAGAGGTACTATATGTACTCGTATGTAGTTTTGCCACATTCGAGAGAGTTTACTTTATCAGGTTTTTTGTGAAATATATATAATATATATATTCTTTCAAAAGCAAAGTTATAAATGAATGAATGTATGCCGAAAAATATATATACACATATATTAAAAATGTGTGAATGTAAAAGATAGAAAACGAAAAATCTGGACCAACAATACAATAATAACACCAAAACAGCAATAAAGAGCCTCTACACTCTCTATACCCCCTTTACGACACCCTATACGCTCATGATCGTGTTGGTAACTCCAAACAACCAGAAGTCCCGAGATAAGATATTCTGTTGGCTGAGCTCAATCGCCCCACAAAACAGAAGATACTGGATACACCCAGACCTGTCAAAGGTCTGAAGATGCTAATACAGACAACGACAAGGATAGCTTTACCTTGGATCCATAAATATATATACATATATACATAGGATCGACGCTCGCTGTGTCCGACAAACCTCGGATCACCAAACAAGGTTGAGATAAGAAATCGGTGCATTATCGAAACTCTTTCTAAAATACCGAAAATCGCCAGATGATCAACACCTTTCATCTCATCATTATTATAACTTATAAAACTGCTTCAACATGCAAACCCACATAAGACTGTGTCTTCAGGGTCTTCCTTTCATGGAAGGAAGACACTGGAGTAAGACTCAACATCCCGCCGACAACACACACATCCCTTGAAGTTCTTCCACTGCAACTCATGGCGACAAATTCCACACAGAGCAAAACATCGGCAAGGCCACACAATGACGGACCGTTCTTCGTACTGACAAACAACACAGTACCGTCGTTCGTCCTTGCGCTCCATGCCTTCATATCGTTGTCGCGCCTCCATAATCACCTGGGCGAGTTTTGTTCCCTCGTCTTCAGCCAACAGACCAAACTTGGACCGTGTCAGCCGATGTTGGTTCATGTGGGCAGTCAGAATCTTGGACTCCTTTGCATTAGGCTGGGAGATGATGGATGTTAGTTCCGAGGGGTCGTACAATGTCTGGAGTTCTGACTGGCGACGTTTTCGAAGTCGGCTCTTGTGCTGTCGACTAGTATTGGTAGTCTCTTCAGTTTCTGTTCCAGAAGACGATTCAGAAAGAATGGCCTGTTCTGCAATGGTCTCTGAGACCATCATCTGCTCTTCCAAAACGTCGTCGCTATGCATTCCCTCGTCGTCGTACACCTCGTCATCCCACTCCTCGTCTTCCTCACTTCCATAATCCGAGTGCAACTCGTACGCCCTATCATCCTCGTCGTAGACAGGTTCGGTATACACGTAGTCCTCCTCTTCTGATTCATCAGCAAACGACGCCGACAGAATCGTTATCGTTTCGCCGTCGGAAGTGTGGAAGCTTTGAGTATGCGGCTGCTGAGCCTTGGACTGGAAAATAGACCGGAGCATGCCTCTCAGAGTAAAAAAGACCATGAGGGAATAGATGCGCAGAAACTCAACGTAAACACGAACGCGGTCCATGAGCTGGTTGGCAATACCCACATTGTATTGGTCTATCAACTGCTTGACTCCATCAGGGGGCATAAAGACTTGGTTGCCGTACCCCGGCGAGCTTCCCAGTTCTCGAGTTCTGTTCGGATCACGGAAGAACCGAAGCTGCTGGTCAATCCAGGTCTCGGAAGGCGTCTCCAGGTATCCGGCGTTAATGTATCTGTTTTTTGACGCAGACTTGGTAACGTTGTTGCTGACAACCTCGAACCAGGTGTAGAAGTCCTGCGAGAGGGACACACGTTCAAACAGAATGGAGGGCACCCTTTTGCCTGTCATGAGCATAGTGGCCACCTCCATGACGACTGTGCTGAAGATGACGTAGGTGTAGATGACCTGGGGCATGAAACCCAACACCAGAATCAGCGGGAAGTTGAGCAGTCTTCCCTTCATGGCCTGAACCTGGAAGAAGGCCAGGAACGACAGACCCACCAGAGCCGAGGGGATAAGCCTGTATCTGTTGAGTTTGAAGATGGCCAGCAGGTGAATAAATACGTGGCTCACGAGCCCCATCAAGCATATGACGATAATCTCGGGAACCGGCTCCTTGAGCTGGGCCGCTTCGTGGAACGACAGAGAGTACTCTATCAGAGACATGTTGGACTCTGAGTACGGCACCTGGCCCTGGATGAGCGACACGAACGTCTCGACGAGCTGGGAGATGCAGATGCACCTGAACATACCTGGGTAGGCGTCGGTCAGGGTGTCTTTTGTGAGCGAAGATGCCGGCAGCAGGTAGCGCGCCAGAGCGCCGATCCAGCTGGGACCCCAGGTTGCAGAGGCCTTAAACAGTCGCCACAGGTGCGGCAGAGACAGCATGATGGGGATACTTCGTGCCATGGTCTGGCTGGCAGCCGGCAGCACCGTGGCTCTTCGGCGCTGTGCAAACTCCCACATTCGGTTCATGATGACGGCCATGATGACCGACGTTGACGCGTACGAGCTGACAATGTAGACCACGTGGATGGTGAACTTGGACTCGGGCTTGAGCCAGAACTCGAGGTTTTGCTGCAGAGTGTCGGCAAACGGAGGGGCAGACTGAATCGTGGCCGTGGCTGTCTGGGCCGTGATAGACGAGAGTGTGGGGGTGATCTGGGCGGAGTCTGAGACCAGCGTTTCGGTCGCCGCCACCCCGAGGTCGCCCCCCACCCACTGCACAAATTCCAGAATGTCCATATAGACCAGAGTCGTTGGTGTGGGGATGGTCTGTTGGAGTCAGTCGCACACAGCTCTACTGCTAGTCGGAAATTCAATTAATTAACTCGGAAGGTGGGAGGACATGTTGGGGTGCTTTATCGGTTGCTTTATCGGGGAGAGAGAAACGCGATTAGACCACCCCTCTGGGTGGGTTTATATTTCGAAAAAATATCCAAAATTCGCGGAAACGACTCTTCTATATTACTGGATATTTTTCTCTATTTTAAGTATTTTTCAACCCCCCCAAACACCCCCTACTGTTCACCCACCCACCCCCGCCGCTCGGCTTATCTCCCTAACTTGCTAACCCTATTTGCCCATAGTGAGCAGGTCTCTACTGGTATGCCAACTACGGACCAACTAGGGACTTTTCAGACTTGTCAGACATGTGATAGTTGCGCTATGGTGGATTATAAACGACAAAAAACAAGACCTTCTCACATGATGACCGCCCATCAACATCCACAAACTCACGGCTGACTTCCATCAACTCTCTTGGAATCAAACTCTCCCTCATCACCTCCCCCAGTCGCCCTTCTCCAGATACCACCATGCCCGCAAGTGGAGAATTCACCTGGCAACTCACAGGAAACGTGGCCATCAACACGCTCTTCTCGGCCGCTTTCCCCGTCTTCACAGCCATCTACGCCATCCGCGGACTCAAGCAGGGCGCCATTGAGACCGCGAGCAAGTCCGAAGCCCGTCTGGCCAAAAAACTCGACATTGACGCAGAAACTCTGTACGAAAACTACTCACCGCTCATTCTCATCGGATACCCAATCTTTGCCGTCAATCTGCAGCCGCTGGGAACTCTGGCTCTTCTCTGGAGCCGAACCACCGGCCTCATTGACCATCTCTCTGATCAGCAGCTGGAAAATGCGCTCAGCACATGGTCCAAGTTCTCACAAGTCTACACCTGGGCCACTGGAGGCATATGCGTGGCAGCCCTGGGAATCTGGTCTCGACGACGTCAGCAGCGACGTAGTAAGCAGGTGACCAAGAAGATGCCTCTTTTGGGCGCTCCCGAGATTTCTCTGCTGCTCTTCTCGGCTATTTTCCTGCCCGTTGTTAGTCAGCCCATTGAGGTGTTCCCTTGATTACTATAGAGCGATGATAACATTGCTGTCCAAAATGTTGATGTTATTTATATGATATGAATACTGGAGACGAGACTGGCTGCCTACGTACAGTACATACTCGTCAACTATTAGGCCAAGTAACAATAACGTTCAAGTAGAGTGTTCTGGAAGAACCTGGAAAGGGGGTGGTATTGGGCGCAATTGATAAGAAAGGAGCGGTTTTTTCGTTTGAAATCGCATCTTCCAGTCTCAATTATCCGTCTCACGTGCTCATTTATCCAGTTATCTTTCTCGTACCCCTTTTTCTATGCATCTACCTCAAACCTCTCCACGTGACACTGCCCTACAGCAAACCATATATATATACTGTATACTTGATCCCCATCTCAACATCAGACACAAACAAGAATGGTGCTGGATTACTCGAAATGGGACAAGATTGAACTGTCGGACGACTCGGACGTGGAGGTGCATCCCAACGTGGACAAGAAATCGTTCATCCGATGGAAGCAACGAGACATCCATGAGAAGAGAGATCGAAATAAGATGGAGATTGCGTCGCTGGAGCTCACCATGAAGATCGATGTGGAGCTGGTGGAGCGTCTGGACAAGCTGCTTAGTCTGCCTCAGGCGCAGCTGGCCAAAGACTCCATTGAGGAGCTGCTGGTCAAGTCCAAAGAGGGTCTCAAGGCCAAAGATACCCCCACCGCGCCCAATCCCCAGAAAGAAGGGGAGCAGATGAACTGTGACGACATGCTGGAGAGTCTTCTGGACATGATCAAACCCGACGTGGATACCGACAACGGCGCCACCTTCTACGACAAGCTGAAGGAACATAGAGACAAGCTGGTGGACCACGACAAGAGCCACCGAGAGCGCCTAGCCGAGCTCTACGACGAAAAGGCAAAGTACATCACCTCCGAGGACGTGCACGATGTCTACAACTCTACAGTTTTGAACAAGACTGCAGAGCCCGATGCTGGAGAAGACGATCTGGCCGATCTGGAACGGCCCAAGAAGACCGAGACCACCATGGAGACTCTCAACAGTCCTGGACAGTCGACTTCTTCTGACGCTCCTGTTGAGAGCACGCTGGCCAAGGCTTCTGACGACACAGATGATGACTATTCTGATCCGTCTCCTGCTGCCCGCAAGTTTGCCGAGATTCCCGCTGATGATCTCAAGGAGTGCTACCGGTTTGTTTCGAAACACCCCGAGATTTGCACCGAGAAGGAGAAGGATGCGCTGGTTATGGAGGGGTTCCAACTGCAACTTGCCGGCAAGACTGCCGACATGGAGAGAACGGTTCACAATGCCATTTTATTGCAGTACTGTGCGCAGCTGGGCCCCAACGGCTACAGAAACTTCTTTGAGCGGATCCTGCAACCTCAGGGCCACCCCGCTCTCGAGGTGCTCAAGAAAGACGTGGCGTTCACCATCAACCATGTCAAGACGCGGTGCGAGATTCTCAAGAAGGAGAGCGAGGAGGAAAATGAGCAGATCCAGCTGCATGCCGTCGACCCCAACACGGAGATTGTGGTGAACCAGCCGCCCCAGGATGACGCGGACGCCATGAAGGTTTTTGGCGAGCTGTCGCCTGAGATGCAGAAGGCGGTCGAGTCCGGCAAGCTGGAGGAAATCAACAAGGTTCTGGCCAACTACTCGGTGGAAGATGCCGAGAAGGTGCTGCGAATGTTCGATGAATGCGGCATTCTCGCCGTGGAGGAAAAGATCTACGATGCAACCGAGTGGCAGAAGCAGAACAAGGACAAGGAGGTCCGGGATAACGTGGACCAGATTGTGCACAAGGAGGAGTGACCAGAGTCAAACTACAGTATGTACAAGCGCGGTACTTGTATGTACACGAGCACATAGGAATAAGATAGTCATACAGGAAAAAAGCAATTGTGAAACAAGCAATACCAGCTGTGCAGACGATACTGTGCGGGTGAAACATGTCTGCACGGTTTAATACTGTCTTAGTGCTTGTCCATGATGCAGGTTGGACAAGCCGATCGGCATAACTTGTAACAATGAAACGTATATGAGACTGCACCTTCCATGGGGGAACTGCACAGCGCACAAGACAACGTTTGAGACAGTAATGCAGCCTTCTCTCGATTGTTCCAGCTGCAATTTCCAAGTCCATTATCACGCCAGCAGGTACTTGTACAAGGGCGGGCTAGTTGATAGAATGAAGTCATGGACCAAGTCAAGCAACCTTTTGAACTTGTCGGATCAACTGGACCTTGTTATCACGTCGACAAATGTCTCTGAAAAGCTCCACAATGGGACCTTCAACACCCCTGACTGAGAATGTACCACACCAGCTGTACTTCAGCCTAATTCTTAGCTCTATGGCGCATAGTCAAGCTGAGACATCGAGTCCAAGACGCATTAACACAAGGTGGGCGCTATCTCTTCAATGTATGTACGAGGACATGAGCATATATCGCATTGTCATACCCAAAGGAGAATATCTCGGCGGTTTAGGTACTACTCTAAACGACGGGAATACGTCCAGAGTACGCCCAGAACACGTGGGGAATCCTTCCGGACGACTCAGGGACGTGCGTTCGCTTGCATTGTGCTCCTAAATGCCTCAGGGACATGCGTTGGGTGGGATTGTGATTGTTTTGTCACAGCTCACTATGTCTCTCCGGTTCATAAGCAATAACTTATCTATTCTCTATCTGTAGTTACTCCCGGTGGACGGCCTTCTTGTATTCGTCCTTGTCCTTCTCGTCGGCGTGGACCATTCGAGGCAGTTCGTAGCCCTCGGTGGTTCGGCCGTAAGAAATGCCTCCGAGTCGAGACACGGCCTTGATCTTGGTCACGTCGAGAAAGTTGAGATCCTCGTTGATCACGTCCTCGCGGGCGTGGAACTGGACCGCCTGCACCAGAACCGTGGTGTTGGTATGCTTGTTGGGATCAGCGACCGAGTACAGATCGTAATGATGCAGAAGCTTCACCTCCACGGAGAAACACGACTCGGCCACGTGAGCAGGCTTGACAATTTCAGACTCCACGGGGGTGAGACCGCTCACCAGCCACTCATCCACGTCGGAGGGCGCGGCAATGGCACACGAGTTGGCCGCTTCAACGAACCACTCACTGATGATGTTGATGGTGGCCTCCTTGGTGTCGAGCAGGTTTTGGCAGCTGTCTTTGTGGCCGTTGGGGGTTCGGGTCATGCCAATGGCGAACACGGGCGGGTCTGACGACACCATGTTGAAGAAGGAGAAGGGCGCTAGGTTCCGCACTCCGTCCTTGCTCACTGTGGACAGAAACGCAATGGGCCGGGGGGTCACGGCGCCAATCAGCAGCTTGTAATTGAACATGGGCGGCCGGCCCTCGGCCGTGGGACTGAAGCTCACCTTTTTGTGTTTCTTCCACCCGTCATCCTGCGAGTTGGCTCCATCTCCAAACTGCCACTCCGTGTTGGGCGTGTTTGTGAAGGTGAATCCCGGTCGATCTACGAATGCCGGTCGCTCCTTCTCGAGCTCCTTGAGGCTAGGGTGTCGTGACATGGAAGCGGAAAGTGTGGAAAAGAGTCGAGAAACGATTTGGTGGCGATAAACGATTTGGTGGCGATAAACGATTCGGTGGCCTGGTCGTATAGTCAGTCGAGACATTAGCCTGCTCATCACCAGAGCCTATTATAAACATTTTGGCCGCACAATTAAACTCTGCTTCCCCACCGGTTATCGACAACCGCGTATGGGGAAAAAATTAAATTAAATTAAATTAAATTAAATTAAATTAAATTAAATTAAATTAAATTGAATTGAATTGAATTGAATTAAAATAAAATAAAATAAAACAAAACAAAAGGAGAAAAATGAGGAAAATGCGAGAAAAATAAATAAATAAAAGGATCCCTCATCTCAGGATGGTGATGAGGACTCAGTGGGAACCGTCGCGGTCGTCGGTCATTCAGATTAGTCATCGAGTGGAAATGCAAATGGGAGTCACGTGACTCTCTCCGAACCAACACTGAGTCCATCATTAATTTCTTGCAAGCCTTGTACTCGCACAATACCAGTACATACTACGGTATTAGTACGATGAGCAGAGGCCGGCGGTTGTTGGCTGTTGACTGAGATGTCGAATGACATGTCGGATAACAACTTGTGGCCCCCTGAGTTGGTCATCCAGACTGACTGTCATGTTATGGGTCACGCTGATCTTCTGTTATTCTGGAACAGATATCGACACAATTCGAATCGATCAGACGAGGACTGGCCTGGAGCGGCGAAAAACAGGTCGTATATCAGGAGAGACGCGGAACTGGACATGGGAGAGCGTTGTGAGGCTGATCAGAGGGTACTGGCTGCGACTTGCGCTGGCTGAGTGGTTTGGAATCTCTGGACGCACCTACAACCAATCTTGACAGCGACAAGCCAGAGTAGCTGCAAGTTCTTCTGACTGTGCTTCAGGACTCGTGAGAAGCCATCGCAGGGAGTGTGGGCTGTGAAGCACATCGGCGTATATCCAAGTTTGCGACCGACGCATCTAACCAACTGGAGATACCTTCAGGTATAGGTCAATTTTGAAGAAACGGGATTTCCAAAAGTTGGAGCCTTTTCAACTCACCCTGGTATGACTCCAACTTTTAGTAATTCCGTTTCCACATACACCGCTAGTTGCAACAAAAGAGATGTCCGCCAACGTGTCGGGCCAGTCGCAGTTGCACCTTTCGGCAAAAAGATATGGATCTGACGTCCCAACTTACCATCAGATACCGACAGGGTGTGTCCTCGCCTTTTTATCTTGAACTCTGACGATGGCCAGCACCATTCATCCCCATGGACGAGCAGCAAAGGACTTCTCAACGTCTTCTCCGTTCAGACCTACCGCATGGTCAAGAGGGATAGCTGGCTCTGATTGTTGAGGTGTTACGGCAATGGTATGACGAGTTGAATAACTGCTTTCTTCAGTTTATTGGCCAAGACTCAAAGGTAGATGTCTACTAGTGGTACTTGTGCATAACATGACTGATCTGTTGGAATTGTCTTGGATACCGTGAATCGTGCGTTGATACTGTGAATCTTCTTGTCAAGGACAGTCAAATGATACCAATCCATTGATGAGCAGCTGTCAGTACTCGTTTTTGGCCAGAGTACTCTTACATACTTTTGTAGGACTGCAAAGAGCGATTCCATCGCAGAAACTACTACTTGTAAGACAAGTACGAAACTAAGAACCGTTGCGACACTGACAGCCAGCACCATTGGACTATAGAGGGAGCCAGGGTATCAGCCGACTCAGACAAGCCCGACAACCTGAAGACCAAGAGTCCCCAGAGCCGGAGGAGCAAGATGAACCATGTGGAGAAATACGTGCCGAGTCGCCAGCTACACAGTTGTCGAGTCGGAACTTCGAGCGGATACTCCTGAAAGCATTATTCCCAAACAAGACATTTCCTGCTGGCGAACATCACTTCTCGGCTCTTCGGATGCGACAATGTCTGCCGGCAGACCCATACCAGTCAGTATCTGGACTATGGAAGTATGGTCATTAACAGGCTCTGTTCAAAAAGCTCTTGTGGCGATATGGACGGTCGCAGGGTCATCTAGAGTCACAGAAATTCCTACAAGAGCCTTCGGGTCGCGGCCGGTTGCCTCTTCATCCGCACTGTAGTTTTCAATCCATTCACTCTAAAGATACGACAACTAAATATATAGAGAGAAAGAGAAAATGGCCGTAGTTTCGGCGACAGTGTCCATAGTTTCGGCGACAGTGACCTGTTCGAGGTACCATCGTAGCCAGTGAGGATCTCGGAACTTGCCACAGTAGACAGAGACAACCTGCTCCAGTCACTGTCGTATTCGCCTCTACTTAGTGTCAGTTGTGTATGTCACGTCATCTAAATCCGAGTCATCGCTGACTTCGGATCACTCATCCTTCATGATTCATCAATGCATTCTGTTATGTCGCTTTCTCAGCACGTTGAAGATACGCACATACTATCGGGCGAGACTACAAGTGTACCCGAAAGACAGACACCTCCAGCTACGCGGTCAGCATCTGTCTACAGTCTCATGACACTCTCCCTCCCCACATTATGTATCTCAGAGCATGACAGTCGCATTCGAGGGCCGCTCTGGAGCGGCTTGAAGAACGTCTCTGCCGCCCACTCGTACCACACGACCTTTCCGTCGGTCTTTCGCCAGAAGCAAAGGTCAGCTTCAGAATGATCGGGCACGTTCATCGGAGTCTTCAACGGAAACCAAGTGGGGAACCACGACAACATGTCTGGAGACTTGTGTCTGGTATGCGGAACAGTAGACAGGGACACGTCCTGGAAGAGAACAGCCTCAAAGTAGCCGGCAATTCCATGCACACATGCCTTGGCTGGGATCTCGAACGATGTCTTCGAGAAACGCGTATTGTGGATATTTTCTTTGCTGAACGCAGCAGGGTTTCCGGGGTGTGCAAACGACCACAGAGGTTTGGCTTGTGCCAAAATATCCACCTGCTTGAGCATAACCACGTAGGGGGTATTGAAAGAGTTATTGGGCGAACTCGTAGTGCCTCCAGATCCCTGTTGAGGGCCCTGGGCGGGTGTGGGACCACCAGAGAGCACAGAGTTGTACAGTTTCGGAGACAATGCTGGAGCAGCAAATGCAGTGTATGACTGAGGGATCATTATGCCTCTGGTGGGATGCAAGAGTCTCTGGATGGGATCGAGGGACTCGGGAGAGAGTTCATTGTCTCCAAACGAGCCAAGAAGCTCCGAAATGATGAGGTCAAAGAATTGCTCGGACCGGCTTTCGTAGGTGCGCATGTCGGACATGATCACTTCCACACGGTGACCCTGGGCGTTCCAGACGTCGTTGTTGCGTTGCATGAGCTGAACATAGGCTGCAGGGTTCTTCTCCACTGCTACAATCTTCACCTGCGTCTTTGTAGTCGTGGCAGCAGCAATAGTACGGTCGACCAGGGGACCTCTTCCGGCACCAGCCACACAAACCATAAAAGTGCCTGTTGCGCTCTTCTTTTCTCGCACAAGATGTACTAGGGCCTTCCCTATCGCCTCCTCGTACAGCGTGTATTTGACTGGGTCCTGTTCAAACGCCTCGTATGTGCCATTTTCGAGATTGTCTGCGAGAGGTTGCAGAGGCGCCTGCAGAAAGTCGTGGTATCCGTCTGAGAACTTTTCGAGTGCCGACGGACTCGGTCGACGCGCGTAAATATATCTCAGGTATATGAGAAAGGCCTGTTCCCCTCCTCGGAACTTTTCAGCTGCCATCGCGTCTTCCTGGAGCAAAGTCAGAGGTTTGAGCTTGAGACATCGTAGCAAAAGTTGTTGTAGCGACTTACTGAACACTGGGTAGCCCTTGGGGTTGGGAATAAAGGAGCCTGCTGACACGCAGACGAAAGAGATGGGTTCTGCCATCCATCTATCTATCACGTGTAGCGGAGGTAGAGCTCTGGGGAGCTGTAGAGCCACCGATAAGGATGACGGATAGCCGGCCATGGTGCGCACTGAGTGCCAGACTTCCCATATGGATAGTGGATCTGACATCTGCGACGGTTTTCGAGCATGTCCGCCTAGATGGGGGCTACTCTGGGTTGCGTCAGCCTCGGCAAATGGCAGATGAATGGCCACCTGGATGCAGGGAGAGTGTCTGAGGGCGGCTGCGACGGCATGGGCGTAGGTGGCCACGTTTTTGCGGCTCTTGGGGCCCGGAATGATGGCAAAGGCCACTCCACAGTAGGAGGCGTAGGCCAGCTCATGCTTGAGCACCTGGAGAGACATTGCGGCGGTGGCTTCGTTTTTGGCGTCCAGCTCGATCCATGCGCTGGCCAGAACCACCGTCGAGTGTACATGCGAGCCTCCCGGCATGATGGTCACATCGTCCAGAGACGGGGGAGGCACAGTCAGCTGTCCGGCAGTGATGCTCTGCTCCACCTTGGTTCGGTAATGGGTGTTGGTGATGGTGGCGGTGATCATGTCGTAGCCCTGCTCCAGCGCACAGTCGACAATGAGCTGCGACGAGTGGCCGTCGGCACTGGGCATGTTGATTCCAATGAAGCATGGTTCGGGCTGATCAGGCGCCTCCGAATCAGGAGTGGTGTCAGCTCCACTGGTTCCAGACCCGCCGCTCTGGGCCACGTCCGGCGACGACATCCCCCCTCCTCCTCTGCTGGCGGTCGAAAAAACACTGCTGGCGGCGCTAGCTTTTCGTTCCATCGTAGATCGCGCGTGTAAAAGCAGTATAGGACACTGTCTTTTCAAAAGCCCCTGAATTTTGGACTCAAATCTTAGTGCAGCCTGTACAGGTGGTGAGGTGCATCCAGAGGGTTGCCCGGGAGACGACCCCGCATGATCGGCACCGGATGGAGATTTGCACGCGTGAAGTTCGTGTTTGTGGGGGAATACAAGACGGCCGTTGTGGCTTGGACCGTGTTTTCGAAGATGGGGCTGAAAAAAGAGTGGATCTGGGCTTTGGCCGGGTTGATTAGTCATCATATAGAGTTGATATTAGTGAGGCGGTGGTGGAGTTTATTTTGGTTGCCGCACTAGTGCAATTTGTGTAAACAGATGGGGTTATAATGATAATAATAATGATATTTGGGGGGTTACAGGTAGTTGTATTTTGGGGGTTATTTGTGGAGTTTTCTTTGATTTTTCTTTGATTTTCCTTGTTTGTTGTGACTCGTTATTACTTGATGACTTTGGATTTTTATTTGGATTTTTATGGATTTTCCTTGTTTGTTATTGTTACTCGTTATTACTTGATGACTTTGGATTTATATTTGGATTTTACTTACAATTACTCGAAAATTACCAGAAAATTACCAGAAAATTACTCGAAATTGCTTGCAATTTACTTGGATTTTTATTTGGATTTTACTTACAATTACTCGAAATTACTCGAAAAAACTTGCAATCAACTCTGGCGAATGACAAAAATGATATTAAATAGGCAGCGAAACAACATCTAAAGCCCTGATACTGTTACCACCACCATGGATACTACTCCTAATCACCCTAGATGGCAGACTGCATCTGCATCTGCACTGCCCCTCCACCTTCTGGAATCTTCTCGACGAAATAGACCCAAAAGTCGATCTCAAAATTGAGCAGAAAATAACAGAGCAAATGTCGACGAATCTCGGATACGGCATAGCGTCGGAACAATTTATCCGCCCATCGGGAAAGGCCGATCGGTTCTGTATGACCAGGTCACGTGAAGCACTGCCACCGTCACTTTGCCACCCTGTCGCCACCCACTGAAACGGCAACACAGCCGTGATTGGTCATACCCTGGAGTGGAACCGCAAGATCACGAGATGGTGGACAGCGTTTATCATCGCCCATCGGCTTTGTCAGAGGAGTGCTAAAATTAGCCCTGCCATAATTATGCCAGTGTCTTGTGAGGTCATTGCATGTGCATGAACTCTGATGGGCTCGATGTAGGCAACTAATTGAGATGGAAAAGCCGATTTTTTCAAGCTTGACACTTGATTTCTTCCCCAGCTCTTCTTCAACTCCTCAAAAAGCCTCCCGTCGCCCTCCCCATGTCCTTTGTAATGCCCGACTATGCCGAAACAGACCTGGCCCACTCGCCACCAGCTACTCCTCTCCCACACTCCCATACTGACCCATTCGCGCCACCAGTCGACATCTACGACCTGGGAAACATGTACATTGTGGTGACAAGTCTGCCGGCGGTGCGGTCGGCGGACCTGGAAACCGCCTACGACGCAGACTCCAACAGCCTGACCATCAGTGGCCACTACACCAACCCCTTTGCACATCTGTCCGACTGTCTCATGGTGGGAGAACGACACAACGGCTCCTTCCAGAGAACGGTGCGGTTTCCGCCAACGGTCAAAATCGACCCGCAAAAGGTCAAAATGCACATGGCCAACGGGATTCTTGAAATGCACTTGATGAAACAGCGGGACGCACTCAAGTGAACCGCTCGACAACCTCCCCTGCATCACCCAACACTCACCATCCCTAACTGTATACTAGCATTCTGAATTAATATCTTCCTCTTTGATTGTTCCTTAGGCATATCAGCGGGGATCCCGTCAACAGTTTTATATATCGTAGTTACAACCATCAACACTTTTTGGTAAGTGTACCATTCTATACTCCAACTGGTCTGCAACTGTACAAGTAGACATGTTAATGGTAGTTAATAACATCTACAGCAGAACCTATGGTAAAGACATTGCATTTTTACAGGAAGTATCGTCCTACACGTTGATAAATCCAAAGATGCGGAACTTCTTCCACTTTTATCATCATCCCCTACTCGTACACTCGTACTCTTTGTTCGATCGCGATTCATTTCTATAAATAATCTTGTATGTACATTTACTCGGCAACAACCAGAGAAGCGGCACCCATACCGGTACCAATGCACATGGAGGTGACACCGACCTTCTTGCCAGACTCCTTAAGCTCGGAGAGCAGAGTGGCAAACTGTCGAGCACCGGTGGCTCCCAGAGGGTGGCCAATAGCAATGGCACCACCTCGGGGGTTGACCTTGGACTCGTCGATTCCACAATGCTGGATGGAGAACAGAGCCTGGGAAGCGAAAGCCTCGTTGATCTCGAAAACGTCAACGTCGTTGACGGTCAGACCAAGGTCCTCAAGGACAGCAGGAATGGCGTAAGCGGGGCCAATTCCCATGAGCTCGGGGGGAACACCGACGGTCTTGCAGTGGACAAACTTGGCAAGGATGGGCTGGCCAAGCTTCTCGGCAACAGATCGTCGCATGAGGAGAACGGCTCCGGCACCGTCGGAGATCTGAGAGGCGTTACCAGCGTGGGTGGTTCCCTCGGCGGAGAAAGCAGGCTTGAGCTTGCCGAGCTTCTCGGCGGTGACACCAGGTCGGATACCGTCGTCCTTGTTGACGGTAACCTCCTTCTCGTTGTCATCATCATCGAGAACAGTGGTCTTGATGGGGAGGATCTCCTGGTCGAACTTGCCGGCGGCCTGGGCAGCGGCGGCCTTCTCGTAGGACTTGGCAGCAAAGGCGTCCTGGGCCTTTCGGGACACGTTGTACTTGGCGGCAACGTTCTCGGAAGTGATACCCATGGGGATCAGGCACTTCTTAGCCTCCTCGTTGTTCTGGAACTTGTTGGAGAAGGGGGTGACGGAGTTGGGACCGTACTGGTTGGACATGGACTCGACACCACAGCCGATACCAATGTCAATCTGGCCGGCTCGGATCTTGTTGGCAACGTCGTTGACGGCCATCAGACCAGAGGAGCACTGTCGGTTGAGAGCGACGAAGGGAACGGTCTCGGGGATGCCGGCAACAAGGCAGGCAGCTCGGTGCTCAGTGGCACCGGCACCGGCAGCGAGAACGTTCCCGCAGACGACATCACCGATGAGCTTGGGGTCGATCTTGGACTCCTTGACGAGGCCCTCCAGCAGAGAGGCGAGCAGCTCGGAAGAAGAGGTGTCCTTGAACAGACCCTTGCCTCCCTTGGTGTGGGCAGTTCGGTAGGCGGCGGTGATGACAACGTCATCGGGGTTCTTGGAGGTGATAGCGTCGAGGCCCTTGGCGGGGTTCTGCTCGAGCTGGGTGGCGAGGTTGTTAAGTCGGTCCATTTTTGTGTGTCTTGGTTGGATGAGGTCCAAAGTGGGGGGAGTCTACCAGGCTTTATATACACCTGGTAGTTGCAACTTTCGGTATGATCCCCACGAAAGATAAAGTTCAGCATGTGGAGAGCCGAGGTAGTATGCGTGTGACAGAGACCCAAACTGGGGGTCACCGCGTGCACACTGGCGACGCCGCTCTGGAAGGTCACATGACCGCAGATACTCCGTTCTCCCCTCACGTCGATTCGGCTCGGGGACACGGTCAGCGCCATTGCCACGTGTCCACGGTTCTCTCCACTCTGTAGAAAGTCACTTCCACCAAGTTCCATGAAGCTTATTAGGTTTTTGGAGAAATCCGGGGCGGCATTTCTGGGGTAACTTGGGCAAGCCAGTAGTGGATCAATTGGGACCCGAATTGGGTGGAAAAAGGTGATAACGAGCCCTTTGGGATCCCCACAATTGATCTAAGACCTCTGCTTGCCCCGATCTTGGCCCCCTCAGCCCCAACACTGTTGCTCTTCAAACTCCCCCATACCTCGGTTCAGATGCAGCCTTCAAAACTTTAACGTACCTCCGAGCCTGTGAAAACGTGGTCATGAAAAAACGAGAGATGTAAGTCCCGTCACATACCGCTGCGAGACCACCAGCTGTACATACACTTGGCGTTCCAGCATGCACGGTCGCTCAACAGGCGCTCCCCCATTGGCGGAAAGACAAGCCCCCACTAGATTCCTGTTCAAGGGCAAAGTCTAGAAGCCCGCCCCCCCCAGCGCCCGTTTCCTTGTTAGTGCGGCCTGCACATGTCACCTGTCTGGCAGGTATCGTCGCTACTTTGCCAGTCGTATCGTCGTCAACGGATTGCGCTGCCCATTCACGTGTAAACTCTCGACGGATATCCCGGAGTTTCCCGCCGATCCTCCCGCGAGCCACTGCCACGTCGCCTCCTTCTTAGTAAGGCTGGAGAGAGCAACAACCGGTAGGTTTGATATGCACACTGTGGGGTATTGTGGGGATTCGGTTCGGTTCGGCTTTACTGGCGATAAGCGTCTCGATCATGACGTCAGGAGGTGGTGAGGAGGTGACGGGGAGGTGAGGAGCCTACCAGACAGGAAATAGAGTCGGGAAACAGAAACTTGGGCTACTGACGACCTATATATATTTGGACAAACATGTTACACAGACACACCCGTCGCACAACACTACATCGTACTTGGACCATCTTGTGAAAGTATGTATGTACACTTTTTACATGATAATGTGAAAACGTTGGTGTATCGTGCAATGCGCGAACTCTGGTGTCCAAACTCCGTTATCGCTCCAACCGAAATCCTATTATAGAGCACACATGATATACACAAAGCACGGTTTCAACGGCGTTCGTTGGTAAACGTCATCTGATGTCTCACGGCTGAACCAGTAGTAGGTTCTGCTTACGTGAGACGTTTGGGCCACCTGAGCTGCTCACCAGACAGACCATTTAGTCATATCTCTCTCCTGGCAGCACCATCTTGCCAATGTCGACACATCCAGGACCGTAGCCGTCCGATTCTACCACTCCGACGTGTTTTAGGTATTCCACACTAGCCAGCCAATTGACTGTATGCACTGGAGACCCGATCATGGACTCGTACATCTCGTCGGCAGAGCCGAACGGCTTGCCCGAGGCGTTGGATACCACCTGCGGCTTGTCAGCGCTGAAATCGGGACGGATCTTGAGCTGCTGACAAACCGCATCGAGCTCGGACACCACCGGAGCCATGATGGCGGAATGGAACGGCGCTGAAACGTTCAGGGGGATTGCCTTCAGAACCCGCAGTTTGGAGGCTTTGAGATGCGCAACTAGCTCGTTGATGGCGGACCGTTCGCCACTGAGAACCACCTGGCCGCTGCTGTTGATATTGGCCACATTGGCTCCGTTCCAGCCCTCGCAGGCTTGGACCAACCGGTTGATGTCAACCGTGCGATGCAACAACAATGCTACCATGGCTGTTTCCTTGCCACTCTCGTCGTTGGCTCGTTGCATGTAGTAGCCCCGCTTCTGGACCAATTGCACTCCCTGCTCGAGAGTCAGGTAGCCTCCACACACCAGAGCCGAGTACTCTCCGAGGGAGTGGCCCAGCAGATGGGAGTAGTTTTTGCTGGCGCCCTGATTGGCTAGGAAGCTGGCGTAAGACGAGAGAAGGATCCCCGGCTGGGCGTTTTGTGTCTGTGTAATCAGCTTCATTTGTTCGTCTTCGCCCAGACTGCTGTTGCCCAGTAGCACCTCCTGGACCTCGGTCTTCAGCTGATCCAGTGCCGGTTTGAGCGTTTCTCTTATGGCCGATTGTTGCCACAGTTTCTGCAGCATTCGGGGTCTCTGCAGTCCCTGTCCGGGGAAGAATGCTGCTCGCAAAGACATGTTGTGGTGGTACAACTCGCAGTATCGAGTCTCTCTTTTCGTCGACTTTGTTTAGTCGTCTTATTAACACTACAGTATCGTGCTTGTTAGTCGCAATTAAACTCCCAACATGCATGATACTCCGGTGGTGGCGATGTGCTGTGTTGTAGAAAAAGACGTAAACCAGCACCGATCTACACGCAGAGCGATACTGAAAAAGAGCAGACGAGATACGACGAGAGAACAGACACAAACCTCGACACAGACAGCAGAAACAAAGCGACTTACGAGCAACGACCACTCACCACCTACACCGACCCCCTCATGTCTGCAATGAACCCATTACTCTCGTTTTTATTCAACCACCCCAACCCATCGCAGAAGTTTCGAGACCAGGTGGCGCAGCTGGCGCACTCCAACTACGCCATTCTGGTGCCGCAAATATCGCTGGACGACCACTGCGACGCGGAACTGACGCCGGAAGCGGTATTTTCGCATGTGATTCGCATCTCGCACACGGGAGAAAACCAGAGAGCGCGATACTTTGCGTCGGCCAACGGCCGCACGGTGATCTTCAAAAACGATCAGGTTATGACCTACCGTGGCTACAAAAATAACGTCACCGTGAACATCGTCGACCAGTACGTCTACACGCCAGTGTGCTGGTACCTGCCCCGAACCTGCTTCCAGAACTTTCTGGTCTACGAGATCTCCGGGTATCTGACGGAGAAACCGCTGCCCGAAGCGCCCAAAGAAATAGACCAGAATCAGTACGATGGACCCAGCTTTGAGGACATTCTGCTGATCTACCCAAACGTAGGAAGACAGCTCTCGCGACTACTGGCAACCACGTTCGATAACTACACCAGCACGGCAGCCAACACGGAGGAGCTGGATCTCGAATTTGAACGAGCCACAGACAGAGCTATTGAGTACGTCCAGGCAATAGACCCGCTGATGGTGAGAAGGATTATCGAGGAACAACGACTGACAGAAACTCAATTGGAAAAGAAGATTGACGAGTACGTGGAGAGCCAGCTGTCGCGAAAGCTGTGGAATGCATTGATCGCCTTGCGAACCAATGAGGATGGACCTCTTGACCAGGCTGTGGAGAGCATTAAGTATCTCTCTTTGAATCAAGTTGATCTTCCGGAGAATGAAAAGCACTGGGAAGCCAAGGTTGTGGCTGCTGCCAACGTTCTTCAGACCCTGGCCAACACTTCTACAAACGAGTCGTTGCCATGCAATTGTCGATTCTTAGAAAACACTCTCATGAAGTGTATTGATACGCTAACAGATGACTCGATTCAGGTCAATGCTGACGTTCTGGTCTCCCTACTTCTAGTGGTGGTTGCACGGGCAAACATTTCGCATCTAAACTCGACTATTTATTACATTCGGTCCTTCTCGTCCAACGCCGTGGACTCTGGAAAGCTGGGATACATGCTTAGTACTCTCGAAGCTGTCATGTACCACATTGGCGAGAACAGAGAGCAGCTCGAGGCGATTTCTGAGGCCAACAGATGGTTCTTTGAACGGGTTGAAAAGGGCGATCTCACAGAATTTGACTTTGAGCGTCCTTCTATGAAATCCGGTCTACAACGAGACGATGCTGATTGGAAGACGGTGTTTGCAGCCACGAACCCTGCTGGAGAAAGTGCGCTCATGTGCGCTGTATCTTCTAATCAACAGAGCTCTCTGACTTGTCTTTTGGACCATTTTGGATACACCCAAGAAGATATACTTGCCGATAGATCGGTTCAAGGAAGCACTCTCCTGGTGTCTGCATTGAGAACCGAGAATGAAGACATCATCAAGCTTGTCCTTGACAGAGTTAGAGACTGTGCTGATCTGGCTCACTACTTGTCTGTTGGTGATGAGTATGGACGGTCCGTGGGACACTACTTTTTCCATTCTCTGTATCTGCAACAGCAGGTTGGAAGCCTCATCAACTGGACGGCGCGTGATAACCAGGGTCAGACGCCTCTTTCTTCATTGTGCAGATCTTACGATAACCCCGATTATCATGCTTTGTTCAAGAACGCTCTCAAGACGTGCCTAGATGCCACTGGTATGGTTGATTTGAGAGTCCATACCGACGCCAAGGGAAACACTCTTCTGCATACTGTGAGTGACGAGAAGGTTCTCAGCACGCTGTTGAACCATCCTGATGTGCTGGTGAACGTCAATCAACCCAACAAGCGAGGTATGACGGCACTCATGGCTCATGCCAAATATGCACGGTTGAAGGCGATTGAGGTGCTGTGCAAAGACCCTCGTATCGACTTTGCACCCACAGACAACAAGGGCATGAATGTGTTTGACATTGCACGCGACCGGCGCACTGCCGATTTTTTGGACGAGTGCTACATGTCGTTGCAGCCCAATCTGGGAGAAACCGACAAATACTGCGAGATTCTACGGTCTGTGATTGCGGATGGCGAGCTGTGTTTTGTTATCAAAACTCGGCAGGATGGGAAATTGTCTGCTGTGAGACGTCCTTACAGCGACTTTGTGTTTCTGCAAAAGTGGCTTGCACATGAGCAGCCCCTTTCGTGGTTCCCTGCTCTCATGACGCCCACCAACCCTTTTGCAATTCCGCACCGGCCGTCTCGTGAGATTCTTCATGCTATGCACCTGCGGCTGAACCTATTCCTCAGAACGCTTTTATTGCACCCGACCTTCAGCAACCATGAGCTTCTGTGGGAGTGGCTTCTTGTGCAGGACATTAGCCACACGCATCTGGCGGAGCGCACGACCAAGAAGCTCGAAAACAAGAAGGAGAAGGATCTGGAGGAGTACATTATTCTTGGGGAGCCGGAGATGGACGAAATTGAAGGGTTTGTGAGCCATGCGCTGCAACAGGTGGATCTCATGAGAAAGGCTACCATGAACCTTCATCAGGCCAGCGTCAAATTGTGCAATGCCCATAGGGATTACTGCAAGTCTTGGATGTTGATGAAGGAGACTGTGGATGAGCTCAAGGAGATCCCCGGAACCTCTCCCAGAGAGAACATTATTGCCAATCTGTCGTCGGCCATGGTTACGCTTGGGGACACCTTCCGAATCAACAACTCGTCGCCGTTTGTCTTCTCTTGCTACATTGAGTCGCTTCAGAACATGGCTGACGCCACTACTCTGGCTTTGGCCCATCCTTTAGCTCAAATCTCGCATTTGAGACTCCAGCAAATGCTGTTGGTGAAGCTCCAGGCCGATGCGGTGGCTCTTTCTGAGAAGAAAACGTTCCGCGACTTTTTCCATGACAGAGAGAAGGAGATACGGCTGATCAAAAACCGTATCCACATCACGGAGAACGAAATCAGACGACTGTCGATGGAGACCAAGAACGCCCAGATCACCTTGGCCTCCGAGCTTGGCGGCTTCTACCAGGTCCATGAGCACGAGCTGACCTTGAGCATCAAGAACATTGTTTCTCGCAACATCAAACGACATAAGGAGCTACAGGGGGATTTGGAGGAAATCCAGCGCAGATTCATTTAGTTGCATTTTTCTTATTTATTGTATTATTATTTATTCATCACCTCCCAGAACCTGACCTGTGCATGCGATGTGTGTCTCACCATGTGGGCTGATATGATATGGTGCATGACTAGTGCTGTCAATGTTAAAAACTAACCATATTGAGGAAATGCGTGCATTCCATGGCCGTACCAAGTGACATGCCATCTTCTCTCTATTTGGAGCATCATTGTTCTACGTACTATACTCGTACTCTACATGTTTCTTGGTCGTAAATCACTAGCTTTAATATCCTACAACCCTCATTTTAGGTCTGCCTGTTCCACGTGCGTGCATGTCGTTGTCTTGGCCTGCAGGATGGAAGGCGTCAGTGGGGACAGAAGATGCGGTCAATTGGACGAGCAGGGCGGTTTTCGGGGCGGTTTTTTCCCCGCAACATTTTCTGGCCGCCAATTGTCCGATTTATGTCTTTTCCAGCCGTTTTCAGCCCCCATAACACCCCGTTTATGCTCCCTGTCGCGCTGCATAATCCCGCAAGGTTGATAGCCAATCTAGGTTGAGAGGTTGTGAGTGTTGTCGAACTCTTAAGGGGGCGATTTAAATTCCTGCCAAGATACTGCTTCCAGTATACAAGTACTCCTGTACACGCTGATATTCGCCATGTTACGACTACGAACCATGCGACCCACACAGACCAGCGTCAGGGCGGCGCTTGGGCCCACCGCCGCGGCCCGAAACATGTCCTCCTCCAGCCCCTCCAGCTTCGAATACTCGTCCTACGTCAAGGGCACGCGGGAAATCGGCCACCGAAAGGCGCCCACAACCCGTCTGTCGGTTGAGGGCCCCATCTACGTGGGCTTCGACGGCATTCGTCTTCTCAACCTGCCGCATCTCAACAAGGGCTCGGGATTCCCCCTCAACGAGCGACGGGAATTCAGACTCAGTGGTCTTCTGCCCTCTGCCGAAGCCACCCTGGAGGAACAGGTCGACCGAGCATACCAACAATTCAAAAAGTGTGGCACTCCCTTAGCCAAAAACGGGTTCTGCACCTCGCTCAAGTTCCAAAACGAGGTGCTCTACTACGCCCTGCTGCTCAAGCACGTTAAGGAGGTCTTCCCCATCATCTATACACCGACTCAGGGAGAAGCCATTGAACAGTACTCGCGGCTGTTCCGGCGGCCCGAAGGCTGCTTCCTCGACATCACCAGTCCCTACGACGTGGAGGAGCGTCTGGGAGCGTTTGGAGACCATGACGACATTGACTACATTGTCGTGACTGACTCCGAGGGTATTCTCGGAATTGGAGACCAAGGAGTGGGCGGTATTGGTATTTCCATCGCCAAGCTGGCTCTCATGACTCTATGTGCTGGAGTCAACCCCTCACGAGTCATTCCTGTGGTTCTGGATACGGGAACCAACAACCAGGAGCTGCTGCACGACCCCCTGTATCTCGGCCGACGAATGCCCCGAGTGCGAGGAAAGCAGTACGACGACTTCATCGACAACTTTGTGCAGTCTGCCCGAAGGCTGTATCCCAAGGCGGTGATCCATTTCGAGGACTTTGGGCTCGCTAACGCACACAAGATCCTCGACAAGTATCGACCGGAGATCCCCTGCTTCAACGACGACATCCAGGGCACTGGAGCCGTCACTTTGGCCTCCATCACGGCCGCTCTCAAGGTGCTGGGCAAAAATATCACAGATACTCGAATTCTCGTGTACGGAGCTGGTTCGGCCGGCATGGGTATTGCTGAACAGGTCTATGATAACCTGGTTGCCCAGGGTCTCGACGACAAGACTGCGCGACAAAACATCTTTCTCATGGACCGACCGGGTCTACTGACCACCGCACTTACCGACGAGCAGATGAGCGACGTGCAGAAGCCGTTTGCCAAGGACAAGGCCAATTACGAGGGAGTGGACACCAAGACTCTGGAGCACGTGGTTGCTGCCGTCAAGCCCCATATTCTCATTGGATGTTCCACTCAGCCCGGCGCCTTTAACGAGAAGGTCGTCAAGGAGATGCTCAAACACACCCCTCGACCCATCATTCTCCCTCTTTCCAACCCCACACGTCTTCATGAGGCTGTCCCTGCAGATCTGTACAAGTGGACCGACGGCAAGGCTCTGGTTGCCACCGGCTCGCCCTTTGACCCAGTCAACGGCAAGGAGACGTCTGAGAACAATAACTGCTTTGTTTTCCCCGGAATCGGGCTGGGAGCCATTCTGTCTCGATCAAAGCTCATCACCAACACCATGATTGCTGCTGCCATCGAGTGCCTCGCCGAACAGGCCCCCATTCTCAAGAACCACGACGAGGGAGTACTTCCCGACGTAGCTCTCATCCAGATCATTTCGGCCCGGGTGGCCACTGCCGTGGTTCTTCAGGCCAAGGCTGAGGGCCTAGCCACTGTCGAGGAAGAGCTCAAGCCCGGCACCAAGGAACATGTGCAGATTCCCGACAACTTTGACGAGTGTCTCGCCTGGGTCGAGACTCAGATGTGGCGGCCCGTCTACCGGCCTCTCATCCATGTGCGGGATTACGACTAGAGCGTGGAATAGTGGAATACAGCTTGATAACACAGCGTTGATCAGAGTGAGTCCGAGAAGAGTCCATAGGAGTCCATTGAAGAGTCCATTGGAGAGTCCATTGGAGTCCAGTGGCGGACCATAGTAGTCGACAGTAGTTGATAGTAGTACTGGTAGATGAATGTATTATCGGCGCCAGTGACAGTTTAGTTTAGTAAGCACTCGTATGGAAATGTCATCGGAGGGACGCTTTGGGTGGGTAAGAGAGACAGAATGATTAGCGGCGGGAATATCAGGAAACTCACGTTCCTTTTTTCATGCTCATCTGGTTCTAGACCAAAAGCCATTGAACACTACCACTCCTTGCACTTGTAGACACTCAATCCTTGCTCATTGACAGGAGCCGTGTTCTAGTCAGATGTCAGAAAACATTTTGAGTTTTGGCGGAAAAACTAACAATAGTCCAATGAAATGAAACATAAATCGGTGATAAGCGAGAGGTAGGCGAATGAGTGCAAAACACCTGTCGAAACCAGGTTCAGTCTCATAGGGCAACCGGAACGACCACCAAACGCGCCCTCAGCGCCACTCTAGTATCATACACGGCTCCAACTACTCCACTTCCCCACTAACGCCGCATATGCAGGCGCTGGTGTAGCGCATAATCTGGGTTCGCTGAAAAATCAAGTGTCGAAAAATCGAGTGTCGAAAAATCGAGTGTCAAAAAACCCCGTTTTCACCAGATGAAGCGCGACGAGGAAGCACAGAAGCTAGGGGAGGCCCGCGGCGGGCCGGAGGACCGCGTGGATGTGCCGCCGGTGAAGAAACGAAACGTGGGCACCAGGGCTCTGAGAGCATGTGATATGTGTCGCCATCAGAAGACGCGATGTTTCCCCAAGCCCGATGGACCCGGGTGTCTGCGATGCCACGTGCTCAACACAACGTGCTCGTTCATCGACAGCGACAAGGATGACTTTGATGCGTCGCAAAACCAAAAACAGTTCCCCAAGGTGCCGGACGAGGTCAATGCGCGTCTGGACCGAATGGAGAAGACCATGGAGAGCATGATGGAGATGATGAAGGAGCTCAAGGACAATAACAACAACAGCAGCAACGGTGGCAGGCGGCCGACATCGGTGGCGTCAGCAGGACGACTCACGCGGGCAACAACGGCCTTTTCACCCGCAACAGCAGCAGACTTCAATTACAGAAACGTGATCGCTTCGTTCGGCACCCCAGCCGTTCAGTACGTGACGTCTCCTTTCCAGATTATCGCCGGTATTCTGCCCGAAAAACACATTCCACTGCCTGTCCAGCGGCTCATGAACCCGCAGATGGTGCTCCATGACCAGGACGTCATTTCTATGGATATTGTCAGTGAAGCCATGGTGCTACGATTCCTGCAAGAGTTCCGACAAAACTGCGGACGATGGGTCTCGTTTCCCATGGATCTGCCGGCAGACCAGCTGCTTGTGCGCATCCGACAGCGATGTTCTCTTCTGCTGACTGTCGTTTGCTGTGTTTCACTGAGATACAATCCCCATATGGCCGAATACAAGTCCAAGGTGTACCCTCTTCTGCTCAACAAACTACAACAGGAACTGACAGCATCGCTTCTGGTAGTGCCACAGACGATCGAATTCATGCAGGCTCTGACCCTGCTGTCAATCTACGGTCTGTCGCTTTCAGCCAAGGAATTTGTGATTGATTCATGGTTCATCTCGTCGGTAGCTCTGCAGCATTTCATCACCAAGGACGCCCTTGGTCTGGTCATGTCTGCGGATGGAATCTCGCCCGTGACGGAGTTTGACGAGGTCACCACCTACCGAGTGTGGAACCATCTGTGTCTGGCACACCTGGTCAACTGCGTCATGACTGGAAGAATGTGCATTCTCGACGAAATCCGGCTGGACCAGTGCCGTCGATCTCTGGATCTTTCTTCCGCTACTAACTTTGACGGCCGAATGATAGCCGAAATCTCCTTCCAGCTCATTGTCTACAACTTCATCGAGACGCTGCAGCCATTGCAAACGTTCGAGGACGAGCTGGCCCAGTGGCTGGAAGAGTGGGGGTACCTGTTTGAACAACCAACGACCCAGTTCACAGAAATGGGTTACCATTATGGCTATCTGGTGGTGCTCTACCACTCTCACTACCGATCTTTGTATCTCAAGAAGAAGAGTCAAAAACCTACTAGTGGAGGAGTGGATCTGAACAATGATAAGCGCGGCTTCACGTCGTTACTGGAGCTCACAGAACTGTCTGATTCCGTCTTTGATCCCTTTGCTCTGGGCCTGGTATCGGACGACCCTCAATTCACAGTCGTTAGCGATGTCCTAGAGGAAGTCAACCTATCTACACTCTACAAAATGGCCTCTCTGGGACGAAAAGTCATCGACGGTTTGCTCAATGTGGCTGATGACGAGTACTTCAGACACCTGTCGGACCAGCTGCACTTTAGTGGAGTCTTCACAGGTCTGCTGCTGTGCAGAATGATGTCTGTGATCAGAGATAGACAGGCCAACAAGAAGCCCAACTCGGCTTCCGACGCCAAAGAGGCCTCGGAAACACACTTCCAGACTGTGGCTGACGTGGACGTCTGGATCAGAGAAATGCTCAGCAAGGTCGTGGCGTTGTCAAAGCGTTTCCATCAAAACACAAGCCTCGACACTGATCTAGTCAAGAAGTACGCCCTGGCTCTCGATGAGAACATTGCCTTGTTAACCAACACCGTTGATGTTTCCTATGGCTAGGAAAAGACACACGTCAACAATAGTGAAACTACCCAGTAATAGAATGAACTCGCCAAAGCGATTGAATGAACTACACATACTGTACCGGTACAAGTACTCTCTGAAGCCCTAGATTGAGTACAAGTAGCTGTATATAAGTAGAGTAAACTACTTGTACCATCTTGCAGTCATATACCCGCCATTAATGTCATATGGTTCTAAACCTATAGTGATGCAAATAAATATTGTCCTCCTGAATGTCTCTCCGCTCTGTAGTCTGAATGCAAGTAGTGTCACACCTCCTGCTCCTGCTCATCGTGCAACCGCGCACTAAACACATCGTCGTTGTCGTCAATGGTGTAGTACAGATCCTCCTCCGTAGCAGGAGGCAGCTTGAGCACGACCTCGTCGCTGAACATGGCTTCGTCGTCCAGAGAAATGAGCAACGAAAGCGAAATCTCGGAACTCTTCTGGTAATCTGGATTGACTCGGTACGACTTGCCGCGTTTCAGAATCTTGCCTTCTCTCAGAGCTCGTTGCAAAGCCATAGTGGCGGCCTGAACAAACTTGGGGTCCACAGTGTCTGGGTTTGTGTCTGATGCGATCCATTTCCAAATCTGCTGCGCGCTGGCCTCCTCTCCGTTCGACTTGGCCTTGAGTGTGTCGATAAGCAGATCCTCGTAGTTGATGGAAGACAGCAAACGTCGGTTACTCTTGGTGGTGTCCGTCTTGTTAGAATTTTCCAGCTGCATCTGCAGCACGATGGAATGGGTCTGCGGCGAGTAGATGGGCAGCTTAGGCACGTTGTTTTCAGCGTACAGAATGAGCTCCACAAGCTGGGCCTTGGACAGAGACGAGAGGTACGTTTTCTTGACCTGGGTCGAAAAGCCCTCTCCTGATTTTCCCGTCTCCAGGGGCCGTTCTCGTCGTTTCGGCTGGCAGTACTTGCAGAACCACTGGGCGTCTGCCACGTCAACCACCAGTCTGTCGATGGGAGGGTTGTGACACAGCTGGTGGTAGGGCGTTCTGCACTCGTCGCAGAAGACAATCTGGTTGGACTTGGGCGAGTTACCTCGGTGGCACAACCGACACACGTTGTCGAGCACAGAGCCTCCGGTGTCGCTCGTGTATCCCGCGTGGTTGGAATTGTGTCGTTCCCGGGACGGAGGCTGCTGCATCTGGGTCTTGAGCACTGCCGAGTGTTTTCTGGGGCCTCTTTCGATCGGAGAAAGATCGCTGTCGGCCGAGTCTGTGCCTGCAGACGTGCCTGTGGGTCCCTCTTCATCTTCTCCTGCTCCGCTGTTGAAATCAAAGTCTCCATCGTCATTGAAGACGGGGCGGGGAGTCTGTCGAGTGTGCGAATGAGAGTGGCGCGGATGGGCGTGTCCATGGGTCTGTTTGACCGGTTTTTCTATTTTCCGTCGCTTGTCATCGTGGGTCCAGTCGGTATCTGACATGGGTCGCTCAGTGTGTCAACGCTTATCGTTCTTCCTTGCTGCCTCTCTTTCCTCCGGTGTAGAGCTAGAATATATATATGTATAATGTGAACTGCCCAGTTGGTTGCAAGCCGTACCGGAATTTAGCGACTGTAGGGTAATTAAGTCGTTTGGGGAGAGTGGGAGGGTCACACAAGTGGGCCATTCGAGAGCAAGTGCACGGAAAGTACGGGTCACGTGACCTGGAACCGGGCCGCGGGAGCTATTTGATTGGTTTAACGCTGGTTTACCATGCAAAAATGCCCGTTTCCACTGTTGTTGTACAAGTCTGCTTCTGCTACCTGTGAATTTTATATAATTATAATTATCGTGTCCTAAATTAATGAGCCCAAAAAATCACGAGCTTGGGCATGTGTTAATACTTGTACACTGTTGCGACCCTCTTACTGGTGTATATAAAGGTCCGACAACCGCCGCAAGAACGCTGCTGTCTGTCTAACGAGCACCTGGCCACTCCCTAGTGTCGCCTTGTTCCTTGTACGCGAAATCCGCTGCACTCTAACCTGTGCGGCTACGGTTCTGATCACAAGAGCAAAAACGTCGGTGTCGAAATGGGTCCGGGGTTGAGCCGAAGTGGAAAAAGGTGGAGAATATGAATTTAATAGATAAAAGTTTGGAAAAGGGGGGAAAATCAAAAATCAAAAATAACAATAAATTAACAGTAAATTAACAATAAAATAGGAAAAAGTGGAGGGGAAAATATAAAATGGTCTCGTGTCCAGTAGGTCCTTTTCTGACCCTTGCCCATCAAATTCAAGAGATTGTTGTTATGTCCAAAATGAACACCATAAACGTCTCCTAATTAACCACTGTATAAAACGGACTCTAACTGAACACAGTCACGCTCAAACTCACCAACTGATGACTAATACATCAAAAGAAGACGCAAAGGAGGTCATTTCTGGCCAGAAATAGCACCCCCAGCTCACCAATACCCCACTGTTCAATACAGGAGCCCCCATTTCGCTCTGGCTACAAACAATGAGTACCCTGAGTTATATTTAACCCGATATGAGGGGATTATCACAGCTATCACGAGCACAGGAAGTTATTTATGGCAGATGAGACGATCTTGGCGAATCACCCAGTTACGCGAGCTAAAGGGCATCTGAGGGGGATCAGAAAGCATCTGAGAGGATGTAAGAGCATCTGAGGGTTTGTCGCTCTTATCTCAACCGGATACCAAGACAAACATCTAATGGTAGTTACCGAGACCACTACCGAAACCACTACCGAAACCACTACCGAGACCACTACACAGACCATTACACAGACCTTTCTTTGGTACCGATAGTTTACCACCATGGTACAGCTCAAACACCCACTGTTCATGATCCATCCACACTGATTGGTGTGCTATGAACGACTCCCGATCACTGATCTGTTCGCCGGCCACATTTTTCTGTCCAGGGTATTCTCTCATGGACCAAAATAGCGCACCCCGATGCGGCTGAAAGTGGCTTTATTCGGTACCAGCGAGTGCTGAACAATGGAGAACTAGTACGAGTACTGGACCTGTTCCTATTTTAGACCGTTTAACGTGACAGTCAAATTTTGGCGCTAGTCAGGGTTACTGCTGCGTTGAGTGAGCAGCTCAAGAGAAATGGCGATGAAAGACACAGTTCGTTCCCTGCTATGTTATCCACAAGCCCATATTGTCTCCAATGAACTCGGAAGACTTGAAGACTTGTCGTGCCTCCAACCACGCCTGTTTCACATCTCGCGAAATGTGGACAGGTGACCTACGGCATCGTATGTACCGTACATACAATGTAGCATGGAACGAATGTGAACCAATTATAGAACCACCATAAGGACAAATGGGGACTCCTTCTACATCCAAGATGAATATTGAGTACCAGTTCACACACTTGAATGGTATATATACCTGGTTGCAATCTTCATACTCACTTCGAGTACACCTTCCATTTCCACTCTCGCTACCTACCAGTCTTTCGCTTCGGAATGGTCTCCACCCAGTCTCTCTTCTTCTATACTACCCTCTGGGCCTCAACTGTGTCTGCCCAGAACGTTGTGGTCGCCCAGATTGTGCGAAACATTGTCAACGGTTTCGTCGGTGCAAAGACAGACTCTTCCATATCAAACAGTCAGGCCTCTGCTGAGATTCAAGCTATCGTCGACATTGTGACCCAGAATCCCAATGTTGACAAGCTGCTCCAACAGGCTCTTCCTGCTGCCCTGATGGGTCTCAACTCTGACAACTTTCCGTCTCTGCTGAGTGAAGCTGGAAAGACTCTAGACGCGTTTGAGACCTCTCCGGATTACCAGTCTTTGGTAGACGGCTTTTCCAAAGCCATGCCTCATTATGACCCTTCTCAGGCTCTGGAAAACATTCAAGTCAACCTCGACAATGCTCTGGGAATGCTTACTCCTGTTCTGCCTTCTCTTACTCCGCAGTATTCAAGGGAGTGGGCATCAGCTACTTCACGAGTCTCCAGTCTTGGGGTAGTGTTTGGTTTTATTGAGGGTAGTGCATCTGAGGCATCTACATCAGCTGCTACTTCTGTTACAACTACAGCTGATGCATCTACTTCAGCTGCTACTTCTGTTACAACTACAGCTGATGCATCTACTTCAGCTGCTACTTCTGTTACAACTACAGCTGATGCATCTACTTCAGCTGCTACTTCTGTTACAACTACAGCTGATGTTTCTACTTCTGCTAGATCTGCTACAACTACATCTGAGGCATCTATTTCAGCTGATAATTCTGTTGGGACCACTTCTGAGGCATCTACTTCCACTGATACTTCTATTGCAAACACATCTGAGACTTCCACTTCCACTGATACTTCTATCACAGAGATTTCTTCCCCAGTTAGCTCCATAACAGATTCTTCAGCCTCTTCCCCAGTTAGCTCCATAACAGATTCTTCAACCTCTTCCACAGTTAGCACCATCAGAACAGATGCGCCAACCTCTTTGACCCAGTCATATGACTCTGCTACACCCACCGAGTCGTCCACCCTTTTCTCTTCTGCTACGTTCTCCACCAGCTCCGCCCTGTCCACCATTTCGACCACCTCATCTACTTCAAGGGTTAGCACTTCTGCTCCTCCGTTCTCCAACACAACCACCTCCTTTAGTGGCATCCACAACACCACTACCCACACTCAAACCCGCTCTGGCACAGCTACAAACCATACCCTGACAGCTACTCCCACTTCTACAAATCCATCCATCCCAATCAATGCGGGCACCCACGTGAAGGCAGGTTTCGGCGTTATAGCCCTTGCTGTTGGTGCACTTCTTCTCTAGTCCATACAGACAACCGATATCTTCGGACGCCGCCGACACCTGAACCACGCTCCTTTCGTAAGTAATCAAACCACAACCACTACAACCACCACAGCTGTCATTTTACATAGTCTACACCCCGAGACAACAAGCGCTCAGCTCTTATTGTCTCTGGCGCTTTGTATCATATCTACTGTATAGCCTACCTGTAGAAACAAAGGCCTGGAGTGCGTTAGATTGGAAATCCTAGGGCTGCGATTTGATGTCACATGTCGATAATTTCAGCTGCGGTTGCCCATTTGAGGAAAGATGACGTCTCCTTTGGTCATATAAACAAGTTGGTTGCTCTTCACGAAAAGATATTACCAATCTTGGGCCTGCTTTAGCACGTCTACTCCTTGGCCCCGGAAGCGTCAAATGGCGACGATTTTGGAAAAGACCAAATGGCAATGGACATGCAAATGGGAAATAAAAAAACCGATATATAAATAAAACCGAGTATTAAACGACTCGAAACGGTCTCGCCCAACTATCTGAACCTGGTTTATCAGTCCATCTTGTATATTTATGCAAATCATGGGCACTCTCCCCCAATCTCTCGGCATTGCCATATGCTTGTCTCCTCAGGGTCTGACTTGTCTACAATGTAGATCCCCTGCAAGTGGGCGTTAGACGCTAAAAGACGCTAAAAGACGCTAAAAGACGCTAAAAGACGCCAAAAGACGCACTTTGGGCACTGGTCGCGCTCAGATTACATTGCCCCATCCGCCGCTACGGAATGGTTTCTTGGCCTCCATTGGAATGTATCTACAGTAATTAGTGGTAGTGTAGCTATACTCATACGCCCAAGTGATGCTACGCTACTCGGACGGTACATTCCGTGAGGTTCGAGACGAGAAATGTGGAGCCATTCACGTCAAAGTCTCTCCCCAATCACCACCATGTCCACCGCCATAATATCCGGCTCGTTGAACGCCCTTTTTCCGGGGGAGCAAGTGCCTTGCCCAAAACAGTTGTCAATGTCAAACCCTAGTATTCCACGTCAAGATCGATTTACAGATACGAGATAGCAACAGAAACAGACCCTTTGGGCCGTACGTGTGGCCTATGGCCCAAATACAGCCAGATTGCGAGATACCAGCTGCCCGATGAGCGAAAAACTCATTGCAGATCGATACCTAGATCTCCTACCGAGCCCACGACCACGGTCGTCGATCCCCTCATGCCATCTCACGCTCGTTCATGCGGCTTGTGGTGCTAACGCATGGCCACTCTAGCGTCGTTGACACAGACTAAACGCGAGGTTAACAGGCTAAACAGCAGGGAAACACGTCCCATCCTTGTCCGTTGTTTGTTGTGGTGGTGGCCAAACGCGGAATCGACGCACTGGCATGGAGAATCGCGACGCAACGCACGAGGAAGAATGAACCCAAGGAATCGATGAAGCTGATGGTCATATCGGGACGTGAAGATGGACATGTTCATTAGATGACCCGCCCTTTATCACAGCCAAGGTATCCCTCACAATGCCCATAATATCATCCAGCAGCACGTCTCTTGATACCCATCACATCAAACTCCAAGTACAGTATTGTACTAACAAACAAAGACGCCCTGATCCGTACAAACCAAGTGACGCTAGCGCCTACTCGGTAGTGTGCTATGCTATAGGGTGGGAAAGAATGGCCCCTGGCGACTTGCCAAAACAGTACATAAAGACGAGAGCTTCGCCCCAGAAAAGCCCTCTTCACAGCAACCGACCACTTTCCCTCTTTTCCAACTACCACTTTCAAGTATGAAGTTTTCTTTCGTTTTTATTGCTGCCGCCGCTGCAGTTGGAGCCCACGCTCAAGCTGGTGAGTTAACTACTATCCAATCCATCGTTCCTGTCACGTGCACCCCCGCGCCTGCCCCCAATCTCGCGACCTGTGTGGATACTTGTACACAGGTGCTCACAACATTCCTAACCTGCAATGGTCTGCTGGACTGCCTCTGTCCCATCATTGTTCAAGTTGGCGATCTTGTTACTGAGTGCCTGTTGTGTCTGCCCCTTCTTGGAGATCTGCTGCGGTTTGTCACAGACGATGTCGTAAACGTGTTGCTCGGATGCAACGTTGCCACTACCGTTCCCGCTCCCACCGAGTGCTTCTCCACCACCTCCGTGGTGGTCACCGTTACTAACCTCCCAGAGTCTAGCACTGCCTCCAACGATTCGTCTGGCTCTATCACTTCCTCCGATGCTGTTGCTTCCTCTGCACCTACTTCTGCTACTGCTGATGAGACACAGAGCTCTGGCTCTGTCACTGCTTCCGATGGATCTAGCTCAGGTTCCGCCTCCAACACTGTTACAGACGGCTCCGGTGCTTCTTCCGACACTGCTACGGACGGTTCTGGTTCTGCCTCTGTCCCTGCCTCTGCTACTGATAGCTCCGGTGCCTCTGCTACTACCACTGACGGATCCGGTGTTTCTGCTACAGACTCCGCTACCGACGGATCCGGGGCCTCTGGCTCTGCTACCGACGGGTCTGGAGCTTCTGTCACTGCAAGTGCTACCGACGGATCTGGTGCCTCTGGCTCTGCTACCGACGGGTCTGGAGTTTCTGTCACTGGAAGTGCTACCGACGGATCTGGAGCTTCTGTTACTGGAAGTGCTACCGACGGATCTGGTGCCTCTGGCTCTGCTACCGACGGGTCTGGAGCTTCTGTCACTGGAAGTGCTACCGACGGATCTGGAGCTTCTGTTACTGGAAGTGCTACCGACGGATCTGGTGCCTCTGGCTCTGCTACCGACGGGTCTGGAGCTTCTGTCACTGGAAGTGCTACCGACGGATCTGGTGCCTCTGGCTCTGCTACCGACGGGTCTGGAGTTTCTGTCACTGGAAGTGCTACCGACGGATCTGGAGCTTCTGTCACTGGAAGTGCTACCGACGGATCTGGTGCCTCTGGCTCTGCTACCGACGGGTCTGGAGCTTCTGTCACTGGAAGTGCTACTGACGGATCTGGAGCTGCCACTAGAACTGCTACCGACGGCTCTGCTACCACTGCTGGTTCAGGCTCCGGTTCTGACGGCTCTGACTCCGGTTCTGGTTCAGGTCTCGAAGACACAGACTCTGGTGCCGGCTCTGACTCTAATACTAACACAGATGGCGCTTTCGCTAACTCCACCGCTCCTGCTACCGTCACCGAGGTGACCCACGTCAACTCTACCGTGGCCACCGTCACCATCACCTCTTGTGACGACCACAAGTGCCACGAGATCCCCGCTACTCTCGTCACCACCGTCACCCACGGTGTCACCGTGACTCTGACCGTCCCCTGCGAGACTACCACTGTTTCCGAGCACGGCTCGGTCGTGCCCAAGCCCAAGCCCGAGCCCGCGACCTCTTCTCCCGCTCCCAAGCCTACCCCTGAGACCTCTGCTCCCAAGCCCGTGCCTGAGACTCCCAAGCCTGCCCCTGAGCCCGCTCCCAAGCCCACCACTGCTCCTGCTCCCAAGCCCGTGCCCGAGTCTTCTTCTACCATTACTCTGGCCAAGACTCTGACCCAGACTCTGACCAAGCCCAACAACCTCACCATCCCCACCACTCCCGTTCAGGCTCCCAGCACCACCGTTGCCCAGGCCAATGCCGGCGTTCAGCAGCACGCTAACGTTGTTGTTGCTGCCGTTCTCGGTGCCGCTGCCCTCCTTATGTAGTGTGTCTAGATTCCCCTTATGAGATGTTTGTTATTGCATGGTATTGTAGTACAATACTGGAGACTTGTACTTGTAGTTTGGTACGTGCATTTCTCACAAGAATGATATAACTACAGTATGTATAAGTACGAGTATCGGTAGGTTGATACATACCAAGGCAGAAAGAACTTCCTACTGCTAATCCTGTCAACACCAATATTCTGACATATTCGACTATTCCAACATCTCTGTACTTGTATCATAATTCTCGAATTCAGCCAATGTGGGGTTTCCCCTTTTTTCCCCTTTTTTCCCATTTTCCATCATTTTCCCACCGTTTTTATTTTCCCTCATTTTTTTGTTTTTCCTTATTTTTATATTCCCATTTTTTATTTTCCCATTTTCCCATTTTTTTTCTTTTTTCCATTTTTTTTCTTTTTCCCATTTTTTCCCATTTTCCATGGTGAACTTCGGACGTTTATTTTGTGGGCTGTTATTCACCTCCCAATTGCTGACATCTCCATCGTATGCCTCCATCTGCACAACACCACGAGCAATTTGAAATGTAGACGTGAGCTTGCGATGGCGAGTGTTTGATTTCCGTCTTTAACGAGTAAAAAACAGCTCACGAGTGCCCCCCCGTTTCCCCGGCTTCGGTACCTGTCCCTGTGCTCCACTGATTTCTTTGGGGGTAAGTCGTCGTCTTTCTCCGGCCACGTGACTCGGCACAAAACTTTAGCGCGCATGTAGACCTGATTTTGAAATTTTCGTGAGATCAAGCCAGCACGACCCCACAAAAACACCTAGGCCATGCTGGCAACGCGGGTATTGAGGAATGCGTACACACGGCGCATGATGGCCGAGCTGGCCCGCAAGGGAGAGTTACTGGGCCCTCGTCCAAAGGCCGATCCCACCAAGAAGCCGCCACGAGAGACGATAAAGATGGCTCCGCCAACCGACAATGGGCGAGAAGCCAGTCTATTTTTCCACACAGGCAGCCGCGTGCGAGAGCAGGCTCCGACGGTGCAAGTCCGCATTGCTCTTTCGGACGCGGACAGCTTGTTGGACCAATTGGAGGAGGTTAAGCACAAGGCTGATGGAGCCATACACAAGGAAGCGAGGGCCCGAGCGACGGGTCCGCCCCCCAAAACGCCAAGAGTGCCAGCATTACAAAAGAGGACGGCGGCGGGGACCGTAGTCCCGGAGACTCTGGTTTCGGACCCGGTGCCTGCTTTCTCACCACATACAAGCATTGAAGAGAGTGGGTTCGTTGAGTTGGATCAAATGGAGGAGGACATAGACACTAAGCATACACAACAGGCGATAGATACAGCATCAGCAACGACAGCATCAGCATCAGAAACGACAGCATCAGAAACGACAGCATCGGCACCGACAGTGACACCAACAGAGATCAACATGGAGTGGCAGAGAGGAATCTGGGATAGGATCAACGCAGACAGTGCTTCGATGGCAGACATACAAAACTTCATTTCGGACGGCATCAAGAAGGGATACAAGCTCACTCGACGATATAGAAAGGGGGCTTTCACCGGCCTCTACAAAAGGGAGGAGTACAAAACGGTGGTGCAGCTGTGCAAAAAGCTCCACTGTGATAATCTACACACGGCCGAGTTTGAGGTCATTTTGCGCAGTGCGGCCGAAACCAACCAATGGCGGTTTGCGGACCAACTCATGAACAAACATTGGGAGCTGGTGGAGAAGGGACCAGCCAGTGTATCTCTGACGGCTTTGGAGATCTTTATCAACGTTGATTTCTCGATAGCAAGGGCGTTTGTGGATCAACTGATGCATGACAAACGGTTCAGTGATCACAAAACGTTCCAGGAAAAGGTGGCCTACGTATACTTGAAGGGCACGCGCACGGTGGCGCTTAATCTGTCCGAGATGATGCGATACGCCACCCAGTACCAGGATCTGCCGTTCATGGAGTCGGACAAAGTGCTCGGCCAGATGGTGAGAGGGTTTCATCAGCTCGGAACCCCGAAACAGATCAAAATCTTCCAGCAGTATCTGTGTTCTCGAGGCTTTGACAAGATGCAGGGCGTCAAGGAGGCCATGTTTCTGCGGTATCTGTACCTGCGGCAGTTTGACAAGGCTATCAACTTGGTTAAGTCCAAGCATTATTACACCTACAAAAGCACCATTTCGGGATACTTGGCTCTGGCAAGAAGACAGGATTGGGAGGGAGTGTTGGGGTTCCACAAGAAGCTTCTGACACTCCAGCCTAACATGAAAATCCACGACACAATGAACTGCTGCCTGATCGAGGCTTATGGAGCCACTCAGTCCATGAAACGGGCAATTATCCAGGCCCAGTCTCAGCCAAAGTTAACTCCGGCTGCCGTTTCGTCCCTTTTCCGGGTATTTTGTCATCATCATCCGGAACAATCTGGCGACTTGGATCGAGTTTTGGCGTCTCCTGCTGTGTCTGAGGTCAGAGTGCTCACCAAGAACCTCGATCTGCGAAACATGGTGCCCATGATGCTTCTCAACTCGATGGACGTGCGCAATGGTGTTTCTATTGCCGCCTTCCAGGGCGTACACATCAAGAGAAGACGGACCATCGAGGCTATGGTCCGACAAGGCAGGGCAGAAAGAGCATACAAGTACTACACGATGCTTACCAAAACGGAGATTCCGTTCTCCGAGCACGACTACCTGACACTCATCAGAGGGCTGTGCCGACAAGGGTTTCTTCATCTGGCTGAGGAGATCCTGGCTGATTTTGAACAGGCTGTTCCTCAGGGGTCCTGGAGAAAACGAGTTTGTCGTCTGGACGTGGACATGCTGAGAAGCACCAATGCAGGCCTAGACAGTACAGAAAAACACTCTGGCTCGCCGCGGGTTATTCTGGCCGACTATGTGTCTAAACACTGCACTAGAAAGGGCCCCCGACGAGATGGAACTGTTTTGGGCAGTCCCAAGTACAACACCAAGACGGGCTACGAATGGATTGTGGTCGGCATGCACATGGTGTCTCAGGGACTGTATGTGGAGGCGCGTGAATTTCTCAAGGACGCACAGTTGAGAGAACCCATGGCCTATGCTCTTTTGGCAGAGTGCCATGCTCGTCTGGGCGATGTTCCTGAGATTCACAAGCTTATCAAGGAGATGCGAGCTCGAAATGTACGGGCTGACCAGACTTACAAGGCGCTACTGAGCCTGACCGAGTATCAATACGGGACCGGGCTTGTGGCTGTTTTGGACAAGTTGAAGGTTCTGATTGATGAGCGACACCAGCACGCTGTTCAAGATCAAGGCGAGTTCCTGGAGGTCCTGGTCAACGGAGTGAGAATGCATGAGGAGAAGGAGAGCGACACCAAGAAACTACAAAAGTAGTATGTATATAGTAATAGCATGTGATGACGGTCTTTCCTACGCGCGAGTAGCACAAGTACCCGGAGTATTCACTGAAACACGAGGAGCGGTTAATTACTGTATTCACCATAACATTCGCAAAACAGTTTTTTTTGGGGGGCTACAGGGTCCATAGCCCGCGTCCTAAAGACAAGAAACCCAGGGGTCTGCCTGACTGCAAGTCGGGTGTCTGGCAGTGGAATGTATAGTGATCTTGCGATACGAACAATGAACATTCGAAGCTGCGACTTCTGTCTATGGACTACGGGTACTGTAATGAGTTGATGATTATGAGCTCGCGAACGGACATTATCTTTCTTGTTTTAAAACCGCGAAACTATCGCTACTTCGCGTCTTGTGTATGTTTCATATTCTACTTCGAGACGGCAGCAACGTGAAGTGGGGTGTGAAGGTGTGCATTCCTTTCTAGATCCCGCAATAATATATACAGAGTCGGATGTCACCTTCTAGATTGATGTCCAATGACTTACTTGTGTCTTGAGAAGAGTGGGCTGCTGACTCAGATGGACGGCGCCGATCAGGGTGATGATCAGCACACCCCATTTATACATGATGACGAATCACTGAAGACTGTGGTGTATATTGGGGGCATCCTGAACAGGCAAGCATGGTGTCTCAACCATGAGAATTACGTGCGGAGGGGTCTGAGACGTTATATGAAGGTTCGTATGAGACCCAAACATTGGAGCGGCGAGAGTAGGCAGGGGGGGGGGGGGGGGAGATACAACATACAGAGGGGAGGAGAGTCGAGGTTGAGGAGTTGACAGACTCGAACGTGACGACGAATCCCCTCAATATATTCAAGATGGACGGCGTCGACCGGATCCCTATGACCGTCTGAGTCCTATCCCATCTCCGACAATTGTGCAGCAGCATGCACTGACATAGTGTACCTCCAAGTAAGTTGAGAAACCTGTCTGGGTTGTTTCTTTCTAATTAAGAGCTCAAAATACCTGCGATCGCGGGTGTTTGAGGGATGAGCTTGACATGTCTGAGGTTGGTCAGCAAGTTAACCAGATCAGTGGAGCAGGTGGAGCGGTTGAACACCAGGTGAACGCTAGGTGAACATCAGGTGAACATCAGATGAACACCAGTGGACACCAGGTGAACACCCACTGCTTCTCAAACGTTAGGGTTGCGCGTATTACCAGAGGATGGGTGTAGAAGGAGTGAGACAGCGAGCAGAAAGAGTTGCGAAAACGAAAAGCCGACTTGTTTGGAGGTGTAGCCAATTAGCCAGGCACTATATAGACTATGGGGGCATAAGAACAATAAACAGTGCTGATTGGAGGTGAAAGAGACGATTCGAGGCCCCAAAAGGATCGTAGATGCACTCAAAAGTGTTCACCGCCCATTTTAGGACCGTTTCCTTGTCCAGCTGTCCATGAAAGGCCCCTCCTATGGACGCATGGCAACTTGGCACTCGGTACTAAGGTTCCATTAGCCGAGTTTACAAAATAGAAAATTTGAAAAATTTAATTTTTTTTAAAAAATTGAAAAAAAGATTGTCGGTGCAGAAAAACCAAGAATAAAAAATAAAAAAAATCGACAGTTGTGCGTGGGAGTGGTGATGTTCGATGAGCATTTTGGTGGGGAACCATTATACGTGCAAGTACAAGTATTCGTACAACCAAATAGTCACTCAGGTTGGTCAAATTTAATGACAAATCCAAGTGAGACTCAACCCCAATAGGCAATGTTGCTCTCATAGCCCGAAAGAGACACGGATCTGGCCACTGTACGGTATACTCGTCGTCTTACACACCTGGTCTCAGAGTCCCTCAACCCTCCGCTGCATCGCAGACCGGGCACAGAACGACTTTGACCCCTGTATGGTGAACAAGGGTGTGTTGAGGTTAGTGAGCAATAGAGTGCAACATGGCTGCCAGGTCTTGGAGAGAAAAACACCTTCATTTGAGCATTGAAACAGCTTGTAGAGCACGAGTACCACAACCGCAAGGCTCCAACTGCCCTTTAGCCCACACCCTAGTTTCTACCGAACCGGTACTCGTGCTAAATCTCCAAGTATCTCCAAGTAGCCCCACTAAGGCGGGGTTTTAAAATGCGTGCAGATCATGCAGATCACACCAATTATGCACCAACCCCATGCCAACCTACAGCTGGCACTCGGCGAGCACAAGGCCAAGCGTCCATGGGAGATCGACTGATTGACTGGAGATCATGGATGGACGATGCGCAATACGAGATGACGGGTGGTAACCAGCTATCTCAAACGGGCCCTGCCTGTGTCTGTTGTAGACACACCGGTTCAAGACTGATACCCAAAAGACGATACCATACAAGAGAATACAACCCCCGGATATCACGCGCGACACCCTCTCAGGAGCTTGGCTCCCGAATTATACTGCGACGACGACAAGCTCTGGCTTTGCTTTTCTAAAATAGCTTGAGTCTATTGCGATTGTCTACGCCGGGCCTAGGAGCAGTCAGGACCCTGGTACAATAGAAGCAACACGAAACCTATTGGGGCCCGCCGCCCGCCTGGTCTCAGTACAAGTACATAAAGACCCTGGGGCGTCTCCACAGGACCCTCTTCTCCCGTGTCCCCACGATCGCTACTCGCCACAATGAAGTTCACCACACTCGTTATCCTTGCAGTCGCCCTGCACCGGGCCAAGGCCCAGAACGTCATTGCCGATGGAGCCATTGATGGCTTCTCCAAGGGAGTCATTGCTGCCCACAACTCCCAGATCGACGACGCCCAAGCCAAGTCCGAGGTCGACCAGCTCATCAAGTACATTGCCTCCAACCCGCTCATCTACGATGTGCTTAACCAGGCTGCCAACTCCATGTTGGGTGGCTTCGACACAGACACCTTCCCTGCCTTTGTCACCGCCGCCCTCAACTCCGTGAGCGCCTACGAACAGTCTCCCGACTTCACTACAGCTAGATCTCTGGTTTCCCAGTACCTGCCTCACTACGATGTCCAGCAGGCCATCAGCAACGTACGAAGCGAGGATGACCTGTACTACACCCTGTTCACAAACAACGTCAAGTCGTTCACAACTGATGCTAACGTGCAGAGTGCTGTCGACGCTGGCGTCGCTGGTGTCTCCAAACTCATGACTGATCTGGGTATCCTTGGCGATAACACTCCTGCCACTTCTTCAGCTCCTGCCACAACCTCTGCTGCTCCTTCCAGCTCTGAAGTCCCCTCTTCTACTGAGGCCCCCTCTTCCACTGAGGCTCCCTCTTCCACTGAGGCTCCCTCTTCCACCGAGGCTCCCTCTTCCACTGAGGCTCCCTCTTCCACTGAGGCCCCTTCTTCCACTGAGGCTCCCTCTTCCACTGAGGCTCCCTCTTCCACTGAGGCTCCCTCTTCCACTGAGGCTCCCTCTTCCACCGAGGCTCCCTCTTCCACTGAGGCTCCCTCTTCCACTGAGGCTCCCTCTTCCACTGAGGCCCCCCCTTCCACTGAGGCCCCCCCTTCCACTGAGGCACCTGTTTCGTCAACTGAGGCACCCGCTTCTTCTACTGAAGCTCCCGTCTCTTCTACTGCCCCTGCTTCTTCCACACCTGTTTCTTCTGAGGCCCCCGTTTCTTCTACTCCTGTTTCTTCGGAGGCCCCTGTATCGTCTACACCTGCTTCCTCTGAGATTCCTGTCTCCTCTGAGACTCCCATTTCCAGCGAGGCTCCCGTTTCTTCTGCTGCTTCTTCTGCCGCTTCCTCGGCCCCCATTTCCAGCGAGATTCCCGTCCCTGTCTCCTCTAGCTCCATTGTTGAGACTGGCTTCAACTCCACCGTACCTGTCGAGTCCACCACGGCCTCTACTACTGCCGTTGGTCCTGTGGTTACCGTCACTTCGGCCGAGTCCATCACTTCTACTCTGACCCAGACCGTCACCCATTGTGATGAGGATAAGTGTGTGACCCCCACTATCACTCTGACTACCGTTGTGCCCACAAACCCCGCCACGACCACCATTCAGACCGTTGTTGAGGGCGTCACCGTCACCATCACCGTTCCCTGTGATACCACTGAGGCTCCCCAGCCTACTACCGAGGTCGTTGTTCCTCAGCCTTCCACTGAAGGAGTGGCTCCCAAGCCTTCTACCGAGGTTGTGGTGCCTGGACCGTCCACCGAGGTTGTTGTTCCCGGCCCCAAGCCCACAACTGTTGCTCCCCAGCCTACTGCTGAATCTACGACTGTGGAGTACGTCACCCAGACTCTCACCGAGACTCTGACGCATTGTGACGATCAGAAGTGTATCACCCCTACCGTGACTGTGACTACTCGGGTCCCTACTAATGCTCCTCAGACCGAGATCCAGACTGTCGTTGAGGGCGTTACCGTCACCCTGACTGTGCCTTGTGATACCAACACACCTGCTCCTGCACCCCAGCCTCAGCCTACTGGAAACCCCGGCCCTGCTCCTTCTCCTGGCCCCGGTCCTGCTCCTTCTCCTGGTCCCGGTCCGGCTCCTTCTCCTGGCCCCGGTCCTGCTCCTTCTCCTGGTCCCGGTCCGGCTCCTTCTCCTGGTCCCGGACCTGCTCCTTCTCCTGGTCCCGGACCTGCTCCGTCTCCTGGTCCCGGACCTGCTCCGTCTCCTGGTCCCGGACCTGCTCCTTCTCACGGTCCCGGACCTGCTCCTTCTCCTGGTCCCGGACCTGCTCCGTCTCCTGGTCCCGGCCCTGCTCCTTCTCACGGTCCTGCCCCCGGCCCTGGACCTCAGTCTCAGCCTATTGTTCCTCAGCAGCCCACTGCTGGTCCTGGTCCTGCCCCTAAGCCCACTGCTGGTCCTGCCCCTGCTCCTCAGCAGCCTTCTCATCCCCAGCAGCCCAGTGCCCCTGGAACTGGTGGCCAGCCTCAGCAGCCCGGCACTGGTAACGCTCCTCAACAGCCTGGCACCCCTCAGCAGCCTGGTGCTCCTCAACAGCCTGGTGCTCCTCAGCAGCCAGGCACCCCTGCTCAGCCCGGCGCCCCTGCCCAGCAGCAGCCCACCTCTGTCCCCCAGGTGCCCCAGTCCCCTCAGGGCTCTGTTCCTGCTCAGGCCAACGGCGCTTCTACTGTCGGAGTTTCTGTTGCCGCCGCTGTCGCCGGTGCCATGATCTTCCTTCTCTAGATAATTGTTTAGTTTATTTAATGTATTTAACGGTTTAATGAAGCATTTGAATGTAAGCGAGTAATAGATTGGAGTGCCAATAAGTAATTGTGTGAAATCTAAGGAGAGTATAACTTGGCCAGAGCGCGCGATTCTGACGTTCTCGCTTATGCCTCAGAATGCATACATACTGCACGGAAGGTCTATAAGTCGACTTTTTTCAAGATACAAGATGGATGGCGGGATGTCTTGGGATGCTTAATGCAGCTGGAGTGGTGTTGTTTCTGTTATTGAACTGACAGACCGACAGAACTGTTTAGCTACTCACCTATCTTCTCACTGAGATTCTCGCAGACTCAGATCTGCGCGCTCAGAAGAGCACATCACAATCGTGTCCGCCATTCCTCGTGTTCAGAAAGATATCAACAATCAAATCAAACGAAGCAAATATGAGCGATTGGAAAGTCTGGTGGTCGTAGAGTCCTCAACAACCAACACTATTGGTACTGGGTGCTCAGGAAAGAGACATCCATGAAATCGGAGCATTTTATGTCCAGGTGCTCACAGCATCGTTCAAGAGTGATATGGCCTCTCCGGTCTCAGCGGAAACTCAACGGTCGTACTTTTTCAGCTTGTACGGAACTGGCTGCTCTCCTGAACCTCAGGTAGTCGTATAGTATATGCGTTGAGTTCCTACCGCACATATTGAGACTTTTTTGTACTGCGAGGGGCGGGTATTATGACATCAATAGGATGAGAAAGGGATTCGGAGTTGATTAATATATATTCAAGCACCAGTTGTAGTATTTCTACCACAAAAAGTGTCCCGTGCAGCACCACCATAATGTTTAGGGGTAGCTGGGAAGCTGGGTAGCTGGGAAGCTGGGTAGCTGGGAAGCTGGGTAGCTGGGAAGCTGGGTAGCTGGGAAGCTGGGAAGCTGGGGTAGTAAAGTTATCGTACTCGGTATGAACTCTTCCATTGTATCATTGGTGTATAAAGAGCTGTCAGATTCACGATGGACCTGCTGTACAAGACTATGTACAAGACATGTACAAGTATCGTAAGTACTCGTACCAGTACCACCAACTTGGCCACTTGTCGACTGCGCGGAACATCTTTTTCAATATGGAAGTCATGAACGGGATCGACCATGAAATTTCACTGCTGATCGACATTGAGCTCTTTTTGGAGCCGCCGTTGTATCGCGAAATCTATATTTATCTCTAACATGTGTGTCTACAAGTCCGCGGAGAAGACAACGCTGAGCCGTAAGGTTGGTACGGCGTTTCTCGTTTTTATGTAGATTACTTGTACGAGTATCTTCGGTTGTGCGATATGTTTCTAATAAAAATAAAAACAAGCAAAAAAAAGTAAAACAAAAGTACTACAAGCACGAGTAGTACCTGCCGACTCGCATAATTGCCATGGCAGATATCATATCGTTGCATGACTCGTGATGTTTATGTGCTGAAACTGCAGTAGTTCCGGTACGAGTAGCTACTAACTACAAGCATGTATGGACAAGGCAAATGGAAATGAATGAAACATGTTGATAGATACAAACCACATAAAACCACACATGGAAAAGGGAAGCCCTCCGAAGCTGTCGCCTGCAGCTGGTAGGTGACGAAGATTTCCTTTTTTTCTTTTTTCTTTTCTTTTTTCTTTTTTCTTTCTTTTTTCCCTCTTTCTTCCCTTTTTCCTTCCTTCTTTTGCGATAATGACGTCACCTTTCGGAGTAACTGCATCAGAAGGCTTCCATTTCGGGTCGAAAACTCGCTGTATACGTCATTGGACGTCAGGGCAGTTGCCATGGCAGTCAAAGCCAAAATAAACAGTGGGGGAGGGGAGCAGTCGGAATGCGTCGGGTGCCAGAGCAGTGTCAGATGGAGTGTCAGGTGGACTTGTCTGTGATAGTTTCCGTGGAGATGTCGCTGTTGATTGCAGTTCCTCTTAAAAGTCGCCCCCTCATCGTCCATCCAGAGGACATCACCCCACCGCCAAGTTGCGAGCAAAGATGGCGATGTGCCCAGAAACCTAAAGCCGAGAGAGTGGGGGGAATTGCCCTGGATGGCGTCTTCTTGGGTCTCGGGAAACCAGTGCAGGGCGGCCTGGAATGTTTAATGTTTAATAGCTCCTGTACGAGCTCCACAAGCGGGTCTTGGCATGTCCGTGTTGACGTTAGCACGGGTTTCGGTAGTCCGAGAGTGGGAATGTTTAGCATTAGGGTGGTGATACTAGCACCAGAAGCTATCAACACAACACTGTGAGACATTGGTCATCTGATGACATGTTGACCAGTGTACAGCACACATCAGTAGTTGGCACGAGTACGAGACATACTTGCACTCACTCAACTCCTCCGCATCTGTCGTTTTCCGTTTCCACACTGCTGTGTCTCAGTCAGATGGGGTGACCGTAGTGTTAAAGGCCTGCTTTTGACTCTTTCAGTCTTAAATGTTATCCTATGGTACGAGTACCCAAACTAGCCGCCCACTGTTCTTGTTTGCGGTGAATCGATTGGTCTTTGGATTGTGGAACATTGTCTTCCGTGTCCGTATCAACTGCTCCGAAACGAGTCTACAACAGCCCTCGCTCGTACCCATACCAGTATCGCTCCTTCTCCGGTCAAGACAACAACCCCAACGCTAATCCACCCATGTTCGTTACACTTAAAATAGCCTTGCATCAAGCATAGATGGCTCTGGCACTCTATCTCCAACACAGTTCACACCAGACTACCGACATGCGACTCTAGACAGATATAAATACGTCGTCGGTCGCTCGCAGTAGACCCATATCCATATCCAATCAATAACAGCCCCGAAAATGAAGTTCACCGCCGCCACCCTCCTTCTCGCCGCCGCCGCCTCTGCTCTTGACGTTGTCACCGACGGCTCCAAGCCCTTTGGCATCATGTCTCTGCGATCCGCCTCCGCCATCCACCTCTCCTCGGTAGGCGTCTCCGGTGACGCTCTGACCATTGGCTCTTCCGGCGCCAAGTTCACCATCAAGGACGGCGTCCTCTACGCCGACGACAAGGCCATTGACTTCTCCTCCGGCGAGGCCAAGGTCGCTTCCGACGGCAAGGGTACCTCCGGCGTCACCCTCGAGAAGGGCTACGTGACCGTCCCCGGCTTTAACTGGGCCGGCTGCCCCGAGGGCAACGGTTACGCCGTCGACGACAACTCCAAGTGCGAGGACGACGGAATCCCCTTCGGCGCCTACGCTGTTGCTGACACCTCCGCAGAGTCTTCTGCCGCCCCCGCCTCTTCTGCCGCCGCTGCCGAGTCCTCTGCCGCCCCCTCTTCCGCTGCTGAGGCCAAGCCCACCGCTGGAGGTAACACCGGCGCCGTCGTCACCCAGATCGGTGACGGCCAGATCCAGGCTCCCCCCTCTGCTCCTCCCGCTGCCCCCGAGCAGGCCAACGGCGCCGTCTCTGTCGGTGTTTCTGCCGCCGCTCTCGGTGTCGCTGCCGCCGCTCTCCTCATTTAAACAGCTCCATTGCCCCCTTTAACTGCAATGACGCCTTATAATTATACCCCCTCATGATTAATGTAATGTTTGCCTAACACCCAACCTGTAGCGAGGCCACGCTTTTGTACAAGTTGTAACGACCTGAAAAGTTTTCTGTATGCTTCTGTTCTCTTGTTCTCTCTTGTCAGTCATCACCTGCTTGATCTAGTTGTACTCGTTCTCTCTATTTTCTTTCTTTTCCTAGGACCCCCTAACAGCGACTGTTCTTCTCGACAAGAAACCAACTCCTCGTGATACTCGATCAAGTTGATCTCGTTCTCGTCTAGAGACTGCCGAAGAGCGTTCACCTCGCTCTGGGTTAGCTTCTTGGTGAGCAAGGCGCGCCTCAGCTGCTCATTGCTACCTTCAACCCGGTCCTGCGTATTAGACACCTCCTCCTCTAGTCGTTCAACGCGGTCCTTGAGGCGCTCTTCGTGGTCTCGTTTGCACATGTTGAGTGTCATGAGATGTCATCTGGAGGAGAATATCAGCAAGATGGCCGGATTATGTACTGTATCGATCTTCATATAATATATCACATCACGAGACTGGATAATATGAAGTGCGATTCAGAGGAAGCCAACATGTAGGGAAAGCTCCGTTGCTACAAGTGCTTCAATCTTAGTATTAACTTGTATTTTAGGTGCTATTTCGACTGTTCCAACCGTTATATAATGTCTTGCTCCTGTTCACAGACACTGGCAATGGCATACATTGGACCAGATCGCCGCTTCAGTCTTCCTTAAGACCGATTAGATCTTCTTAATGTCAACTCGTACTCTTTCCCATGCTTTGGCGTCTCCTCCCTGGTAAGGGGCCGATGTCAACAAAGCATACGATCCTCCACTGTCCATTCGCGTGAGATAGCCCGGGTTGATAATCACAATCGAATTCACCACCCGAACAAACGCTTGCACCTGCGAGGGCATGATGATAATGTCTGGAGACACGTCCACAAAGTCACACAGGCCCAAGTACGCCTTGTCCAGATGGTGGTACGTCAGCGTCTGATTCTCCTCAGCCACGCCGGGTTGTTTGGCCTGAGGACCAGGCAATAGAGGGTACAGGGACCGCTGTTCCACCACATATCGTCCTGCGCGAGACATGAAATCTTCCTGCGAGCCCTTGTTGAGTTCACTCTGGGCGACAGCTCGCACAATGTCGAGGTTGGCAGTACCAAACATGAGCTCGTTGATGGAAAACTGGGCCGGGTTGGTTCGGCAGATGACGTTCTTGCCCAAATTGAGCGCCTTTCGAGCCAGAGCCGGTTGGGGAAATGCAAGGTGGGCCGACACTGAGTCTCTAGTGGAAGGGATGAGAATGATCTGTGCGGGGCATGCGTTGAGAAGAGGCGCGATTTTGTGTCTGAACAGGTCTTCCACGGTGGCCACCATTTTGCCAGGCACCGAAAAGCTTCCTTGGGCGACTAGCGGGTGCACTGAGTCAATGAATGGACCCAGGAGAATGAAAGTATCTGCTGGTTGTGCGAGAAGATCCTTGAGAGGCAGGAAGTCGAGATCCTTGGTTGTGGTGTAAGGGCCTGCGGCGATGATTTGGGTCAGAGAAGGGGTTTCTGCCACATTATCCACCTGTCTGAAAGGAGGAGGGTCCAGCTTGAGAATCTCTTCCACCACAAATTCTCGTCCACTGGAGTTGACACCCTTGAGCGCAAGTAGCTGGCCCGGAATAAGAGACACGGAGGGAAGCAAGGAGAGATTGAGCTTCACTCGTAGCGCTCCTCCACGGCTTCGGGGAGTCTCCAGCAACACAGAGGCATCTGTAAGTCTCACAGTTTCAGGAGTGTCAAGGACAATTCGACCGGCACAAACAATAGAGTTCTGGTCACTGAGAGAAGGGTTCTTAAATTCGGCGTTCGATTTAACCAGTCCCTTTTGAACACACCAATCCATGTATTGTTCAATCTGTTCGTCCAAGGTCTCAGACGCCTCAGACACCTTCTGGTACATGGTTTTGTACTTGTATTTGGCGGATTGTACGTGATCTGATATGGCGATCTTGGTTTCTGGGTCGGCTCGGCCTGGGTTTAGCTCGATAGAGCTGTTGAGGGTCTCCATAACCGTGCCTGCTCCCTTTCGAGAAGAGTAGGCGGAGTTAGATGGAGGAGGGGGAGTTGATCTGATGGGAGTCACAGACAGAGGTGGAGACATGGACAGTCCATTTCCTGTACCATTGGGCTGGGGACGTTTCTTGACGGGGGTCTGGTCGTTGTCACCTCCAGCAGGTCCTCGTTTAGCACTTCCAAGAGCACTATGGGTCAGTTGGTCGAACAGATCCATATCTCCTGCTCCTTCTCGGTTTCGTCGCATTTTCGGACGCGGGGTTGTCGTCTTAGCCTTCTTGGCCTTCTCAATCTCCTTCAGCAGATACGTTTTGAGCTTGGACAGGTTGCCCAGGTCCAAGTCTGTCTTTTCGTCGCCGTTGGTGTTGATGGCAAAACACTCCCATTTGATGAACAGATCTTCCTCGGAGAGATTGAAGATGGACATGATGTTGGCGCACTCCTTTTTGAGCTCCTCATTGTCGTCGTAGACGGCCCCAAACTTTTCCGACAGCGTCATGTTGTGTATCGTAGACTGATCAAAGTGGTTTGGCGCTGGTGATTAATTAACTCGCGACGCGTTTTTTGAGTTTACGGCAGGGAGAAATATTACAGTTCTGCAACTTAGTATGAGTAGGTTGCACTCGTATTGTACGAGTTTTCAGCGACCAGAAATGGACAGATAAGGGGCCGATTTGGCTGATTTTGTCAAAATCCATCAGTTTCCAATATGTCACCTTCAGTTTCAAATTATGAACCCTTCTGATGAAATCTGACAGAACTATGGTCGTCCTGTTCTACCTTCTCGCACGCAACCAGTATATATAGTAAGAATACATGTTGTATGGCACGGGCGCAATCACTCGTCGTGTACAAAAACCGACATCATCACATCATAGTTAATCATTGCTCTATTCAGAATCGTCTATAATACACTAATCTCGTCCTCCTCGGCCTCGGCCGCCTCGGCCTCGACCTCGTCCACCACGACCACGTCGAGGGTTACCTCGCTGTCGCTTGTTGTCTCCGTTGTCGTCGTCGTCGTTGCCTCGCTTTCGGGACTCATTGTCCTTGAAGCCGTTGAACTTTCGGGGACCCCGCTTGCCGTTGGCACCGTCGGTGAAGCCCAGCTCGGCCTTCTTCATCTCGCAGTAGGCGGGCTTGGACATGGTCTTGAGCTCTCGGCCCTGGAAGGTGGGCTTGGGATCAAGGGCCAGGAACTTGGTGGCGTCCTCGAGCTTCTCGAACTCGGCGAACACGGAGCCCTTGAACCGGTTCTGCTGCTCGGTTCGTCGTCGGAGTCGCACTTGCACAATCTTGCCGTAGCCCTCGAAGAACTTCTCAATCTCAATCTGCAGAGCAAGCTCCTCCTCTCGGGTCAGGGGGGCGCCAAGCTCGGAGGCAGGGGTATCCTTGGTGGGGACCTTGTCCTCGGGCAGGAAGCCCTTGGCGTAGACGGTTCGGGCGTTGGCCTCGTCCTTGGACTTGTCATCGGGAGCCTGCAGAGCCTTGACTCGCTTGACCTTGGTGCCATCCTCAGACACCTCCAGAAGAGAGGGCGACTTTCGCAGAGCAGAGACAATCACGGCCAGAGGATCCTCAGCCTCGGGGTTGGCAAACTGCTGCATTCGCTTGAAGGAAGCAATGGTGTGAATGGGCACCCAGCCGTCGTTGCTGTGGACGGCCTTCCACAGGAACTTGTCGGTGGGCAGGTTCTGGTCGGAGAAGTAGAACTCCACCTGCTTGAGAATGGGAGCTTCGGCGTCGGTGACGGGCTCCTTGGGCTTGGCGGGGGCAGCAGGCTCCTCAGTCTTGGGCTCCTCCTTGGTCTCAGCCTTGGACTCGGCAGCAGGCTTCTCCTCGGTGGCAGGAGCAGCCTCCTTGGACTCCTCCTTGAAATCCTCCTTGGACTCCCCCTTGGACTCCCCCTTGGACTCCTCCTTGGACTCCTCCTTGGACTCCTCCTTGGACTCCTTCTCCTCACCAGCAACAGGAGCCTCGATGGCCTCCTCAATGGGGCCCTTGACAGCATTGACAATGCCCTCGGCGGCCTTCTCAGCCAGACCGGCGGCGGCCTGGACAACGGCGTCAGCAGCGTCGTTCTCGGCGTTGTCGACCAGCAGATCCACAACCTTTTTCTCGATCTGTTCAGCCATTTTGTGTGTGTTGTGAGAAGAGATTCAAAAATTTGGGTCTGTTCGGAAAAAAATTTAGTCATGCATGGCGTCCAGCAGAACGCACTGTAATGTATATACCATTGAGGAGAGACTAACGAGGGGAGTTACAAGGGTAAGCGGACCAAAAAAAGAAGATATATTTGGTTAAAATACCACGAGGAACTTGATTTCGCCACCAAGTTTCAACCAAGCACCTCTCCATACCCCCCAAATCAACTCCTTGGTCCTTTCGCTTGGGCACTTTGTTCAGGGTAAGGGTAGGAGATGCGCCCAGTCTGTCGGGGGAAGAAAAACGAAAAAAAAAAGAAGTGGTCGACAGACTGAATAATAAATTGAGACTGCAGAATGTATCGCTACTAAAGTATTCGCACTGTCGCGTTACTGGTGATAATGTCGCATAAGGGAAAGGGCTAGAAAGGCCATTGACTGGTTAACAGGATGTGTCTCTTCTGTCACCTGGAGCCTCCACTCCGAGTCGGTCTTACCTCTTTGGGACAGCAACACAAGAGTGAGAGGCTCAGATTTGAGAATGGTGCCTTCGTCAAACTGAAACTTTTTACTGTATCAAAATATCTTCATTTTTGAGGACCCATTGCAGTAGACAAGCAGATGGTATAAATAGTGATACAGTATCGTATACTACCAGATACAAGGAGAGTGGAATCGGGGAATCGGGGGATCGGGGAATCGGGGAATAAGGGAATAATCTATACATTGTTTATATGAGGATTTGTAGTGTACTAATCAAGAGGTAGTTGGATAGACAGGTGAAGCAAACCAGGGCGATAACTAAACTAATCAACCACTTGTAGATGGACTGGAATATCGTCGGTTGGATGGCACCCATCTCCATTAAAGCACAGCTTTGAACTTGAGAAACAAATTCTGAGCAGGAGTCTTCTTCTTTCTTCTTCGAGGAACCTGTCGGGTGGTGTTATCAGCCTTGTCATCCTCCTTCTTGTCGTCGTCGTCATCGTGGTCCTCCTCAACGGTTCGAATCAGACCGTCTTGCATAAATGTGCATACAAGCTTGCCTTCATCTGTAAATAGTCGGCCCTGGTACTGTCCTCGACAGTCTCCAGCCCAGTCAGTCCAGGTCTCCATAGGCATCCAGCCCTCGTCCACACGAGAGTGCATGTCATGCATAGTAAACTGATGGTCCAGCGATGCCAGGCGCGCCAAAGTGGGCACCTTGTCTCTCAGGTTCATACAGGTGAAGAGCGAGTTTCGATCTGACAGATAGAGCATGGCTGCCACATGGTAGTTCATGTCGTCAGGCAGCTTGTAGGGCACTCGGAAAAAGTACAGCTGACGTCTCTCGGCCACGTCCTTGCCCTTGTTGACTGCAGGAAGCACCTTGTCCATGTCCACCTTGCGCATCTCTATCGGATGAGGTTCCAGCTTGTAGCCGTTAGCAGGGTCCTTGGACCAGTCCACCCACATGGGGATGTCAATGTCGGGTGCCAGATCGTGTCCCTCAGCTCCTCCAGGCACGTTTTTGGCGAAAAAATCCTGTCGTAGCTTCTTTTCGTGGAACATGGTGTCTTTGTGGGGTAGCTTGATGGAGGAATGGGCTGTGTAGGCGAGCCATTTTTTGCTGGCGGGGTCTGTGAAGTCGAAGTCAGAGGGCTGTTGGTAAGGAGACTCGGGGAATTCGAATCCGAGATCGGGCTGGTACGCCTTGACTTCTCGGGTGCAGTAAGATCGGCCGTCTCGCACAGATTCCACTCTCCATAGGAACGGCACGTCCCAACGACCCGGAAGAAGGAAGTACGAGTGCTGGTTGTGCACAACAAAGCCCTTGGGGCATGTGTAGGCGGCGCAAAGAGCTCCCTGGCTCAGACAGAATCCTCCAAAGGTGCCAGGAGACGAGAAAGGGCGCCACGGCTTGATGACGGAGTGGAAGTATCTCACACCCTGTTCGGGGTTCTTAGGAGTGAATTCTTTAAAAGCAAAGTACTCGGGCAGAGTGACGGGCGTGGGAGCTAGCTTGAACGGTTCCATTTTGTGCTGTATATGGTGAGGATCAATTCAGATAGCAAAACCGGTGTACGGTAGCAGTGGCAGATGCAACGCTTTTAACATGTTGGTGTGAAATAAACTCAGTCGGAGTGCGCGCGGGGTAATCACGTGGAGAAGGAGACGTTGAGGTGGGATTTGGGTGCTGAGGGGGGTTTTTGCGTGGCTTATAAATTGGAGTATATATAGGGGGTGTCCCGGAGGATTTGGGACTCTTTTTTTTTACCGTCTTCTGTCAGTTAAACCCGCCGCTTTACTTGCACCATACTGTATTCCAGCTACAGCCATGCAGAGTTTGTTACTGCAGTCTGGGGTAACTGGGTGGGAGCGTCAACTGCCGAGGTACAGTAGGACAGGTTGGACAACGGTGAGCGGGATGACAATATCATATCAACACGGGTCTGAAATCAGCAAAGAGATGTGATTATTCACGCGTCGATTAGTAATCGGATCTGTGTCGTTCACCGAGCACAAATGGCCCCTCCAACCACAGATTACCACCTGTTCAAACCGACTATCACAATCGCGTCTGGTCATCTGAAATCCGAAACCTGCTTTAACACAACGTCTTCATTCTTCGTAAGTCCGGTCAGCCGTTGAACCACCTTTTTTCTTTCTCCAGACACCGGAAAACTCTCGGGACAGTAAAGTGTGCGGTTTTTTTGATTAGTGATAGCAAAAACAGATGAATATGACCAAGGCAGTGCAACACATACGATACCGGTCATAATCTGTCTTCCACCTCTGTTATTGTAATACTTGTAGTTGTTCTTGTCCGTTCGCATCAACAAGCCTAGTAAATTACTTGAATGAAGTAAGTAGGTCCAAAACGGTCGCTTAAATAAGCTTTCCTGCAGCATGAGTAATAACTGTTGGTAATTACTGTACGAGTAACTGGCTTCCTCCATGAGACGGTGTGATGGCGAAAAAAGTATAAAGGGGCGTAGGTGAGGTTCTGTCACGTGACCGGCTTTCCTGTCGCGTCCAAAAAATTCAAATTTCGACATTTTTCGGCTTAAAATAGAACATCTACAAGACGATGTTGCAGACTCCTGAGTCTGGGAAAAGGTGGTTGAGGAACCTACACTGGAGCTGCGATTGGAGAGCTTCGTGGCGGCCGTGGGCCAAGATTGGGCAGAGTATGGGTCGAGCATTTCTATTGCTTCTACTGTACTTGTACTTGTACTTGTACTTACTTACTTGTACAAGTACAGACAGGAGGCTTGCTATTTCGATGAAACTAAAGCACGTTTGTTATGTACCGAAGTTCGGAACGAGGCTGTGGAGATGGCAAGTAGTTAAGTGTCATTAATTGGAGTAGGTTAAAACATCAACTGTGCTCGTTCTAACTGCTTACTGCGCCTGTTATACCACCGCTAGCGCCCTCTAACGGATCCTAGGTGCGGGTTGAACTGGTTTATGATTGCTGTTTTTACACTTTTTAGACCCCCAGAGCGTGCAGGTGATGGAGTGAACGCGCGGTGCTACAGTAATACTCTAAGACAAGTTTGGGCAGGGAAGGAAACACCTACAGGAGGCCAGGTGGCCAAGATTTAGACGGTTTGGGGAGTTGTATTTGTTGCCACGTACAAAGGGACAAAAACACGGGCTTGTAGTGGCCGCAATTCCACTGCTCTTGTGCTTGTCAGCTGCTACTCTTCGTCTAAGAGGACCCCTTCTTAATGTGAACTCAGCTGCATGACCGCGCATACTTCTTTCCTACTGCAGCCCCTGACAGGCAATACTAGCAAGTGAAGCATCCATTCTACGACAGAGGTATTTTCAGGACGAAAAAACACTCTTGAGTCGCCACAAAAAGTGAGTGTTCCGACAACGCGGGCGGAGCAGTTTGGAGTTTGGGAGCAGTGTATTGATCTGACTGAGCTTGAGAGAGTGTGTGACATTCTGGAGGGAGAAGGGAAAGGGGAGATGATATGATGGATATGGGTTGGGGAGATGATGGTATAGGACTGGTTGTATATGGAAACGATGCTTGATCGTGTTATTCCACTCAGCTGTGTACCTCCTTACGCCACACCCTACAGTCACGTTTTCACCACCCCCATCTCAAACAACACTAACACAGTGTTCTACGAAGACACCGCCGACTCCGATTGGCAGTCGTCCGACTACGACAGTGAACATGCGACCGTCAACGTGCCCATCCGGAGCAAACGGAAAAAGAATGCTGCTAAGGAGGGCAATCCAGTGGATCCCATCTCTGAGGATCCGCACCAGGAATCCTTTTCAGATGGAAGTGAAGCTGCGGGACCCAGCGCTCCCCCGGCCGACGGATACATCAACACCGCGCCCAATGGCGTCTACTCGGAGGAAGATCTTCCTGGAACCCGCCAGGTGCTTCCAGGACCTCAGGAGGTACCCGACGTGACCTCCACTCCCCAGATGAACCGCCATCCCACAGCAGATGAATCTACTCCTCAGGGCTCACGGTGGAGCCGAGGCAGAGAGGGATTTGGACATCTTGGAAGTCCCTCGTTCTTTAGACGACACAGTGCCACAGCTGAAGATATGACCCCTGGAGGAGGACCTCGACGGCTGTTCAAGCGACCACAGCTCAACTCTTCCAACACCACATCGGGCCAGCGTTGGAGAGATATCAAAGCCGGGCTTCGTCAGCGGTTCCGAAAGAAGAAGGACGCGAAATTCAGCGCTGAGAAGGCATACAATCAAGCCATTCTGGGCCAGCTTGCTGCTGGTTCTCCTGCGGCTCTCATGGTTGCTTCCTCCATGGTTCGCGACGAAAAGAACATGAAGCGAGTGCCCATTCTGCTGGAGCAGGTCCGTTTCGCTCTCAGAGATGTGACAAAGAACCCTCACGAGAAGAATCGACAGTATCGAATCGATCTTTCGTACGGTTCCGGTCACACGATGCTCGCATGGACAATCTACAAGGACTACAAGGACTTTATGTTTCTGCACAGTCGGCTGCGAACCATGGCCTTCAACGCCAAGAACCCCTTCAACTCGTCAAAACAGCCTCTTCAGATCCCCATCTTTCCTACCCGAAACAAGGTGGGCAAGAAAAAAAAAGGCAAGAGAGACAAGTCCAACCCTGGCGATGAAGATTACACAGACACAGATGGAGAGTCTGAGTGTGATCCCGCAGAGCAGCAACAAAACCAGCACACTCCAGGAGGGGGATCTTCGCATGGACCTAGGATGGTGAACCAGTTCTTTGACAAGCGACGGAAAAACCGCAACATGATCAACGAGCGCATTAAGGGTGAACTGGAACGATACCTGCGTCAGCTGTTCAAACTGCTGCTCTTCCGAGGTGAAGCTAACAAGCTGTTCCAGTTTTTGGAGCTGTCCAACATGTCCATTCGACTTGCTCCTGAGGACCATTTCCACGGCAAGGCTGGATTCCTGGTCAACCGTACGTCTGCTCGAAAGGCTGGATGGAGAGTGTCGCATTGGCGAGTCGACGATATCAGACAGATGGTGGCTCGTCACACGTCGAAGTGGTTCATGGTGCGCCACTCGTACATTGTGTGTGTCGACAACCTGTATTCCACAACACCTCTTGAGGTGTTCCTTCTCGATTCCAAGTTCAAGGTGTCACACAATCTCAAAAAGAAGAACAAGGACGGCGTTCTTTCGGGTGGATCCAACCCCAATACTTCTGGAGAGTCCGATTTGGAAGAACTTCAGAAACCGGGAAGTACCCATATTACTCTCAAGGTGGAGAACGCATCCCGACAGCTTAAGCTGGTTGCCACATCTGACAAGCAGCTGGCCCAGTGGATGGAGAGTATCAATCTGATCAAGGAGCGGTCCATTTGGGCTCAGCAGAAGCGGTTTGACTCATTTGCGCCTGTGCGAACCAACTGCAAGGCCCAATGGTTCGTCGACGCTCGAGACTACTTTTGGACGCTGTCGTGCGCTCTGGATATGGCCAAGGAGGTCATTTACATTCACGACTGGTGGCTGTCTCCTGAGATATACCTACGTCGACCCCCTGAGGGTAACCAGGAGTGGCGTCTGGATCGTGTTTTGAAGCGAAAGGCCGAGCAGGGAGTCAAGATTTTTGTTATTGTGTACCGAAATGTCGGTCAGACTATTCCCATTGACTCGCAGTACACCAAGTTCTCGCTGCTGGACCTGTCTCCTAACATTTATGTCATGCGGTCTCCCAACCAGCTCATTCAGAATACCTACTTTTGGGCCCATCACGAAAAGCTGTGTCTTATTGATCACACGTGTGCCTTTGTGGGTGGTATTGATCTCTGTTTTGGTCGTTACGATACTGCGGAACACGTTCTCGTCGACGATGCGCCCACGTTTGTGAATGCCGACAAGAAGGACGGCTACACCGGTCGAACTCAGCTCTTCCCTGGTAAGGATTACTCTAACCCCCGTACCAAGGACTTCTTCTCGTTGGACAAGCCTTTTGAAGATATGTACGACCGTCAGAAGGTGCCCCGCATGCCCTGGCACGATATCCACATGATGGTAGTAGGCCAACCTGCACGTGATCTGGTGCGTCATTTCGTGCAGCGATGGAACTATGTTCTTCGACAGAAGCGTCCTTCCCGATTCACGCCTCTTCTGCTGCCTCCTCCAGACTTCAAGGAGGAGGAGCTGGCCGAGTACAAGCTGAATGGTACGTGTGAGGTTCAGATTCTGCGGTCTGCTTGTTCCTGGAACACTGGAGTCAAGGAGCACGAGCAGAGTATCCAGAATGCGTACATCAAGAGCATTGAGCAGAGTGAGCATTTCGTCTACATTGAGAACCAGTTTTTTATCACTCACACCTCGTGGCACAATATTGTGATTGAAAACAAGATCGGAGACGCTCTGGTCAACCGAATCATCAAGGCCCATCAGAATGACGAGGATTGGCGTGCCATCATTGTCATTCCTCTCATGCCTGGTTTTGAAGCCGAGGTCGACGAGTCCGAGGGTTCGTCGGTGCGTGTCATCATGCAGTGCCAGTACATGTCCATTTCTCGAGGTGCCAACTGCATTTTTGCACGTCTTGAGAACGCTGGCATCCATCCCGAAGACTACATTTGCTTCTTTTCACTGCGAAAGTGGGGCAAGATCGGTCCCCACGACAAGCTGGTCACCGAGCAGCTGTACATCCACGCCAAGGCTATGGTTGTCGATGACCGTATTGCCATTATTGGTTCGGCGAACATCAACGAACGGTCTCAACGAGGTACTCGAGACTCTGAGGTCGCAGCTATTGTTCGAGACACCCATACTGTGGACTCTGTCATGGCTGGGCGTCCCTACAAGGTGGGCCACTTTGCACACACCCTGCGTCTCCATCTGATGCGAGAGCACATGGGCGTTGATGTGGACCATGTGGAGTTCATTGAGCGAAAGGCTGAGCTTCTTGAGAAACACAAGAGAGCTGAGGCTACCCAAGATGAGCCCCAGGAGCTTCCTATCATCAAGAACAAGTCCACACGCCGAGCACGGGGGCGTGGACGACGTTCCCAGCGAGGAGGAGAGGATTCCGATGGAGCTTCCGGCTCTGAAGATGAGCGAGTTCTCGATATCTCAACCTCTATCTTCGGGGAGACGGTTCAGGCTGCCAAGGCCGCTAACGGTAATGGCAATGGCAACGGTAACGGTGCTGATGCGTCTGCTGCGGAGTCTGTCCCTTCCGTCATGGCTCCCACCCGAAGATACTCTTACCAGGATGGAGTACCTGCCTCTCCTTCTATTGACGAGGACTGTGTTGTCGAAGGCACAACTCTGGACAATGCTGACCAGCAGCTAGCCAACTTGGACGATGCGTACGATTCCGACGCCGAGGTGCTACTGCGAGACTATGATGAGGATGTGGATCAGATCAACCGGGGCTTGGACATCTACACCTTCAACTCTCTAGCCGGTGTGGACAACAAGGGCATCCGAGAGAAGAAGCTTGTCTCTTCTGATAACCGTATCCAGGGCAACGAGAAGCACCGTGCTGACGTTGAGGGCCGGGGTCTGGACCGAGGCGCCAACTCGAAGGAGTCTGCGGAGGACTTCCGAATCCGAATCCAGCGACACGCCCAGTTTGCCAACAAGCTGACGGAGCACGAGCTGCAGCAGACCAGCGAGACGGTGGACGATGTGACGGAACTTAAGAAGCGCGTCTACTACGAGCAGATGGAGCTCAAGCAGCGGTACCACAATTCGCACATGGAGGCCGAGAAGGCGTTCAACAATCCCCCACAGTTGGAGGACTGCGAGAACGAGAAGAACGGCGTTAATGGAGTCAACGGCAACAGTGGCTCCACTGATTCCACTGCACCTGTAAATCTTGTCTCCGATGCTAACGGCAACATTCACCCTGAACATCCTGAGACATCTGATCATTCTTCGGACTCTTTTGAAGATGAGGGCTTCGAGATCCCCAAGATCCCTCCTCCCGTAGACCCCTACTGTTTTAAGGACCCTTTGGACGACGACTTTTACTACGACATCTGGCTGGCCACAGCCGAAAAGAACACCAGGCTCTTCCGGGAAGTGTTTCGATGCCAGCCTGACGACGAGGTGACCACCTGGAGAGATTACAAGGATTTCACCACTTACGCCGAGCGGTTCTCCATGTCTCAGGACACCGGCGACTTGAAGTCTTCGTATGCAGATGAACACCAAGCTCATTCCCCCTTGGCTGTCAAGATCAATGGCAATGACAAGGAAGACGAGAAGAAACAGAACAAGCACAAGGCCACACATGACTACGACAAGTATTATGCCCGTCACCAGCACCACCGATCGTCTTCGCCTCACTACCGAAGGTCCCATGTGCCTCTCAAGACCGGTGCCAACTTCACTGATCGACTTGCACACGGTGTTGATGATGCCGCTGGTCATCTCAAGTACGCCCTCGGACGGGCCAACCGCCGAGGCAGCCACCATGACACTGTTGATGTGGATGATTCTCCTCCCAGGGACTTCCTTCCTGACGATTTCAACGACCCGATCCCTGTCGAGGAGGTGGACAACACCAACCTCAACAACAACCAGCAGCTCAACCAGGAGCTTTACGAGTCGCAGGTGGAGGGCGAGAACCCTCGATTTGTGCCTAGCCACGCCATTGATGGCCAGCACCCTCGAAAGCGTGAGAAGCGACACATTGGTGAGGTTGATCAGCCTGCCGAGAAGCCCCCCATCAACGAGGCTTACAGCACTGGGGTCTCAGGCCGGCTTGGGCAGCACCAGCAGCCCCATCTTAAGCAGGAAGTTGATACTGATTTTAAGGATACCTCTTCTGCTGCTCATACGCCATTCCACCATACCCCCAACGCCAGGCGAAGACGACGACGACGGGCTCGACAGAGATCTGGCATGGACAAGGTGCACGACAAGGCAACGGCCGAGAAGATTCTCAACGGTATCCAGGGGCATCTGGTCATGTTCCCCACCCACTGGCTGTACAAGGAACTCGACAGCGGCAACTGGTTCTACAACCTGGATCGAATCCCCCCGATCGAAATTTATGATTAGAATGGTAATATATTGGTATGATAAATAATGCAAGCACTTGCATGAGTGTACTGTACGTAAGCAAGTAGTGACAGTTCAGTTAATCAAATGCAAACCCGCTGCGACAAACACGTGCTAAGCTCTTCAGATTCTTCATCACTGGTCTCGAAATCAAAGAGCTCACAGGTGTCTTCTTCCTCTTTCTGGTCACTGGCAAAGTTCCAGTATTGACGACGGACGATTCCCGAAAGCGTCCAGATTTCCACCTGTTGTTTGATCTTGTCGAAGAAGATTAGTGCAATGATGACCGAGGCCAGCTCGGGAATGATGTACGGGAGTCGAGACATGATCTCGTCTGGTTTTAGGGGAGTCTTGTCGTCTTCGGGGAGATCTGTGAAGGTGGTGTACAGAAACGTGAATGCAATATGGATCTGAAGAATCTTTTGTGTTTCCAGAGCATTGTGAACGATTTTCACGATGGTGGCGTCGTAGGCAGCCTTCTTATGAGCGTCAGGAGGTCCATTCAGCCCGGTGGAGAAAGAGTCCACGATCACGTATCTGATTTTCGAGCTGTTGTTTGACTTTTCAATGTGTCCGATGATTGTGTCTGATTGCAGCTCGGTGGCGAGCTGGTCGAAGGTGGTTTTCACAATCACGAGGTTCTGGCGAATATAACTGGCAAGCACATTTTCACCCAGACCAGTGGATTGATCCAGCACAAAGTAGTTGATGACGTTGTTTTTCGTCCATGAGCTGTCGAGATCCAGAACCAGAACCGTCTTGTTCTCGCCTCCTGGAGTGTCGAATGGCAAACACACACGGCACAGCTCGTACAGCGCCGTGGTTTTGCCTGATCTTGGAGCTCCGGTCAGAGTGATCAGCCCTGCAAGCTGTGCTGATGGCAAATGCAGCCAGTGTAACAAGTTTTCTGCCGCATCAGACGGACCGTAATGCTGAATGGCGTCGAACAAGTTTTCCTTCTTGTTTTCCGTTTCCATGATGGTAGTTGTCAGTGATGTTCGCACTGGTAGCAAGTGTTCCAGATTAGCATGGTACAATCAGAGTTATAGATAGTGACGCGTCTCGTGAATACTCCAATATGACTAAGCGTCATTACGAGCACATTGTAGATACTTGTATCGCATCGTACGTAGATATCGGTGTGTAATACAAACAATCTATTAGTATGTGTCTATATGATAAATAGTATGAGGGCCAGTTGGCCACATTAGTATGGTAATGTACGAGTATTCGACTACTTGGTCAAAACCTCCGCCATCAGGTACATGTAGACGGGAACAACCACATTGTCATTAATGTCCGAGTTCGCCTCCAGCAAGGCAGTGGCGGTGGTGGTGGCAACAATCTTAGACAGAGGCATGTCACTAATGACAGAGTGGGTGTATCCTGGAATGAGCTGTTGGCAGAAGTAGATTCCAGCCGAGGCCATAAAGATGAATGCAAGAGTTCCCTGGACAGACTTCTTGGTGTCGAACCACTTGATGGTTCCGATGCGTCGTCCAACGATAGATGCAGAGCTGTCTCCCAGTCCCAGACACACGATTCCAATTGGAGACTTGTGGAACAGAATCGGCAGAAATATTCCAAGCATCAGGTAGACGTGAGATACCACTAGGGGTCCAACAGTGTCTCGCTCGTCCACATACGCGAGAAGAGCTTCATGGATCTGGGATCCAATGGGGTAAAGAGCAGTAGCTCTAATGAACTCGACCCATATGAAGAGCACAAATGTACAGCCCATGGCTAGCATGGTAAAGGTGCTATCTGTGTTGACTCCGCAGGGCAGGAACATGCCCACGATGCAAAAGTGCCAGATTTTCCGTCTAATATCGGTCGAGAACTTGAACTTGTTGCCAATCTTGTCAATGACGGGAATGGCCGCCACAAACAACGCCCAGTAAGCCATCATGTACAGCCGGGTGTGGTCCACTCCGGTTTCTTCGTTGGGGTTGAGATACAGCCACATGAATTCAAAGGGGGTGACTCCAAGCAGATGCGTGCAGACTGGCACAGTCAGTATGATCATGAGCACGAAAAAGGTGCCGAGAATGGCCACGCTGAGTTTGGTGAGCGTCTTTTCCCAATGCAAGGGTCTTCTGTGTCTCGGGGTACGCATGATGGCGATAGATCGCTCGACCCAGGGGTATGTAGGAAAAATACAGAAGACCGAGCCCAGAAAGAGACATTGCAACACAATGGATTCGGGCGAGGGGTCTCGGAAGAGATGCATGCAGACCACGTTGACCACCAGAGACGAAAGCAGTCTCTTTTCGACCTCTGTGAGCGACTCCTGGGTCAAGGACGACACGGCCTGTTCCACGTAGTCATACGTTGACTTGAGGGTTCGAAACGGAGGGGTCACATACTCGAGAGCCAGAGTGGGACCCACAATGTTGAAGTCCAGAAATTTGTCCCAGACCATAGTTGGGTAAGGCAGGGTGCATGCTGCGAGGCACAGGTTGACCGAGAGCAGTGTTGTGGATGCCTTGTTTGTGGTGTAGGCAACGAGGGGCGGAATCAAGGCCAAGTAGAGGGTGTTGGCGACGAAAATACCACTGTTGTAGCAGTAACTGAGAGAGATGGCCAGGCCAGCTACCCAGACTTGCAGAGAGAGAACCAGAGTGGTGTATTTGGGGTCTGTGAGATCGATATCTCGTTCGTGGTAGATGGCGATAGCTGCCGGAAGCACCACCAGGAATACTTCTATGACGTTTCGGGTTTTTTGCTGCGAGGTTTCCACAGGGGTTAGCTCGGGTCTATCAAGGGTACCGAGGGAGCCTCTGGACCGGGTTCGTCCATGTTTGAACTGCTTGGTGTTGGGGTTGACGAGCTGGGGCCATGGCTTTGTGTTTCTATGTCGGATCTCGTTGAGACCGTTCTTTTCCGACTCGTGGCCCTCGGAGTGGTCAGCTTCCAGGCCTGATTCGACTCCCGAAGAGACCTGGTCTCCTGCAAACGACAGCTCGGAGACCTCCGACTGGGTGACGGTGCTCGAGTCCATAGAGCAGGGTGTTGGAGGGGATGGAGAGGTTGAGTAAAGCGGAAGTTGCGGTTTGCTGGTCGCGTTTTAATCTTCTTTTGTAATTTAATCTCGGTATGCCGACGTGTTTCGGAGAGTTAATTTTAGCTGTCAAAAAAATGGATCACCAGGATAGACAAAGAAGAGAGTGGGACAAGGATCTTTCCAGCCGCTAATATCGGCCAGTTTAAGAGCAATTCACGGTCCCTGGAGTCCATATAACAACGCCAATCTCGCACTTGTCTGCTCCCTCGTCACCCGTCCAACTGTCCAATCCAATCTATGCCTCTCATGATCATCTTCACACTACAGTAGAGTAGGTAAAGGTAGACTTATGGGCTCCTCGAATAATTGGACTCTGTCTAAACCTTGTGAAGTTACCTCGGTCGGTAGAGTTCGGCTGGAAGGCCATGATTACTAACAACATCGTACGAGAGAAAATCAAGATGAGTAATACAATCTCGATGAGTAATACAATCTCGATGAGTAATACAATCTCGATGAGTAAGACTAGGTGGTGTCACGACTTTTAGAGGAATGAGCAGCTTTCAGGGTTATTATAGAGACACGTCCGCGGACGAAGTAGCTGGTACATCGAGCATAAGCATGGTACAAGTAGGAGTAGACTAAAAACCAACAGTTTGAATAGTCCATGACAGTACGGGCGGGTACGACTGATCTAAGAGAACTGGGGTATACACGATATAGCACAGTACAGAGAAAGTGGGCTCGTTTTGCGTTGGTAATCGAGGTAGATTTCGTTGCTATATTAATCCATTCACCCATAGCTCCACAGCCAATGGTTCGCCGTGGGTGTCGATCTGAAAAATGTTTCATATTACCTATCTCTCTCCTAAAGTAGCTACAAGCACTTCTTGTGCTGCAGTCTCTACTGAGTCTTCTGGCCAGCGTAGCCAATCTGGTCGGCAGTCTCGCACATGGCCTTATAAGTGGTGGCCATGAGAGCGTCGACGTTGCTGGCGTCCAGACCCTTGGTCTCAATGGGGCTCAGGACGTCGACAAGGATCTCTCCGGCGTCCAGCTTGCCTCGGCCGAAAGAAAACATTCGGGAGGTGTTCTGGACCACCACGGGGACAATGGGAGCGCCCGACTGGACCGCCAGGTGGAAACAGCCCTTCTTGAAGGGCATGATGCCGACGTCCTTGGAGTAGGATCGGGTTCCCTCGGGGAACATGAAGACGCTCTGGCCCTTGCCTCCGTTGCCGCTCTGGATGGTCTTGACGGCGCCGCCGAGGGTCTGCACGGACTTGGTTCGGTCCTTTCGGTCCAGGAAGATGGTGCCGGACAGCGCCATGAACTGGCCCAGCAGAGGGTACCACTTGAGGGCCTTTTTGGCGGTGACGGAGCAGTACTGGGGGAAGATGCGACCGAGCACCAGAATGTCCATTTCGTTCTGGTGGTTGGAAATCAGAATGCATGGTCGGGGCAGGTGTTTGGTGATGTCGTCAATGGGCTTGGTGGTGTTGGCGACCTGGATCTTGGAGGCATCCAGACCGGCGGTTCCGGTCACCTGCCGGCTACGCAGCTTGATGCTGATACCCAGGAAGATGCGCACCGAGTAGTAGAAGGCTCTGGCAACGGTCCATTGGGCCAGGCCCTGCTTGCCGATGGCGGTGAGAATGGTGGACGCCAGCACGCCGTAGGTGGCACAGGCGGCAAAGATGACCACGGCGATGGCGGCGCGGACGTAGAAGACGAGCTTGGATGCAACGGACATTCGGGCAATGAGAACGGCAGCAACTGCAATCACAGCGACATATATCCAACTGTTCATGTTTGGTTTTCGGATAGTCACACACCTTAATTTTGATGCACGCTTTATGGAGTCTCTCTCTCTTTTTCTCTCTCTCTTGTCGTCGCTCTTTCTTGTTTTTCAACCACCCACTTGATTCCTGCAAACAAACTACCCACACTAATTTTTTTTCGCTGCATACCCTCAAATGAGCCTAATTGGCGTGTGTCTCCGCACAAAAACACACCATGCACGGCTGGGCTTGTTGGGAAACTTTGTCAGGGGGGTCCAGGGGGCCATTGGCAGACTTGGCCACGTGTGCTCATCTCGGCTTCGTCGTTATTACGTGTCTGTGTAATCAAAGTCGGGCGTTTTTTGCGCCATGTGTCCGCATGAAATTGGCCCCTCTTGAAGTCCCTTGTGCACCTACATGTGCCGAAATGAAGGTTGGAGTCAGCGGGGTCATGCCGTGGTATTATGCTGTGGCATGTGGCATTAAGCTGTGGCATCAAGCCGTGGAATCAAGCCGTGGTTCACGCCCTTGATTGCGCAGGCACATGGCGCCATTCTTGCCTCTGCTGTAAGCCCGGCTTTGTGTGATTCAGAGACGCTGCTACCGCACAACTGCCCATACTCCTTCTCCTACTGTATACATCCACCCCTCATGCTGATAACATTATCATCTCATCTCAACTCAACATTTCCACCAACTTGGGATCAAAAACACGTTCTAATACTGTACACTGTCTACGATATAATTACCGTACAGTGTGGTTATAATGAACATCTATTAGAGAGAATTGTTTGTTGCTCGTATCAGTCATTGGGAAGCGGGATACCATGTCATTTTCACCTATATCAACCATGAAACTACAGTATGTACAGTAGAAGTATATACTGTACTGTTATTAACTATACTTGTGACTAGTGTTCCAAACTACAAGTATATACTGTACTTGTACACGACTATCCGACCAGTATCCAGTATACAATAACCAACTACTCTACGTACGTACTAAACTAAACAAATAGATCAATGCTCAATGTCAGCTGGACGACGTATACATACAGATTCATTGTTCAATATATCCAAGTATGATATTGTACCGTACATACTTGACCAGAAGCCATACCAGAGGTATCTGAAGACCCTCGTGCTCGTGCTCGTGCTCGTGCTCGTGCTCATATCTGTAGATACACGGTAAGTACATACTATATCTATAGATGATACATTTTCTTTTTATACCGACCGCCCAAGCCACACGGCACCTTAATTAAACGGCCACTTTGACATGAGACCGAGCTACAAACCAGTCGACTACAAGTACTGTCAAAGAGTCGAAATTTGTGGAGTCGGGAGTTTATAATGTCCATCCAAGAACACCCTCATTTCCTGCTCGTCTTGTGTTTCAGTAGCTAATTTCACATGTAAAACGGCGGTCTTGATCCACCCTGTCTTAACTCCGGTCGGACTTTGCTGCCATAACGTTCGGACACGCAACTCTTTCCCAAATCCAACTTACAGCATCTTACCTAATCACACCTGCCCTCACATTAGGCACCAACCTAAACCCAAGCTCAACCGTCGTCGACTCAGCCCCGAAGAAGCAGGTACTCGTGCAAATATATAACGAACAGTTTAACGGCGGCCCGGAAAAAGATTCGGTCGTCACGTGACCTACCTCCACCCTAAGCCGGTCCCTTCACCCCCCACTTTTCTCACTGTTCTCACTTTTCTCACCCCCACTGTGGCTCTATCAAACTCTACGATGACACACAATGGCAGAAAAGTGCCTCTGCATACACGATCCAATAAAACGGTCAGTACACGCAACTTAGTGAGGGGGAGGGGTTACATCCAGCAGGTGGTGCTAATGTTACGGCAGCTTTTCAGTAGTGTGCTCGATATTTCAGCCCCCGTTGGACCGCGAAAAGCACTCTACACTCGTCTTCTAGTATGTTCGGTCGTGTCCCACGCACTTAGTTGCGATAAGCGCTAATCATGCTTTTCTTTGTCTGTGCGGTGGCGATTCGGAACATAATCACTGTAAGCGGCGCATGTTGAACCTTATTTTGCCTTTGAGCCCACACATGGATAACACCTCATATATAACCTGTCCCCTCCGCTAACTCTCTTGCTTCTCTACAACATAACCTGTTGAACCACAAAACACCTAATCAACAAACAACATGCAGATTTTCGTCAAGACGCTGACCGGTAAGACCATCACGCTTGAGGTGAGTACAACGATGGCTAGTTTAGGGGATTTCCGCCGCCCTGTGACGTAGACAGGGTGGCGTCCAAACACAAACACACACAAACATTACTAACAACAGGTCGAGTCCTCCGACACCATCGACAACGTCAAGTCCAAGATTCAGGACAAGGAGGGAATTCCTCCGGACCAGCAGCGACTGATTTTTGCTGGTAAGCAGCTCGAGGATGGTCGAACCCTGTCTGACTACAACATTCAGAAGGAGTCCACTCTCCATCTCGTTCTCCGACTCCGAGGTGGTATGCAGATTTTCGTCAAGACTCTGACTGGAAAGACCATCACTCTCGAGGTTGAGTCTTCTGACACTATTGATAATGTCAAGTCCAAGATTCAGGACAAGGAGGGAATTCCCCCGGACCAGCAGCGACTGATTTTTGCTGGTAAGCAGCTCGAGGATGGTCGAACTCTTTCCGACTACAACATTCAGAAGGAGTCCACTCTCCATCTCGTTCTCCGACTCCGAGGTGGTATGCAGATTTTCGTCAAGACTCTGACTGGAAAGACCATCACTCTCGAGGTTGAGTCTTCCGACACCATCGACAATGTCAAGTCCAAGATTCAGGACAAGGAGGGAATTCCCCCGGACCAGCAGCGACTGATTTTCGCTGGTAAGCAGCTCGAGGATGGTCGAACTCTTTCCGACTACAACATTCAGAAGGAGTCCACTCTCCATCTCGTTCTCCGACTCCGAGGTGGTATGCAGATTTTCGTCAAGACTCTGACTGGAAAGACCATCACTCTCGAGGTTGAGTCTTCCGACACCATCGACAATGTCAAGTCCAAGATTCAGGACAAGGAGGGAATTCCCCCGGACCAGCAGCGACTGATTTTCGCTGGTAAGCAGCTCGAGGATGGTCGAACTCTTTCCGACTACAACATTCAGAAGGAGTCCACTCTCCATCTCGTTCTCCGACTCCGAGGTGGTATGCAGATTTTCGTCAAGACTCTGACTGGAAAGACCATCACTCTCGAGGTTGAGTCTTCCGACACCATCGACAATGTCAAGTCCAAGATTCAGGACAAGGAAGGAATTCCCCCGGACCAGCAGCGACTGATTTTTGCTGGTAAGCAGCTCGAGGATGGCCGAACTCTTTCTGACTACAACATTCAGAAGGAGTCCACTCTCCATCTCGTTCTCCGACTTCGAGGTGGTATGCAGATTTTCGTCAAGACTCTGACTGGAAAGACCATCACTCTCGAGGTTGAATCTTCTGACACTATTGATAATGTCAAGTCCAAGATTCAGGACAAGGAGGGAATTCCCCCGGACCAGCAGCGACTGATTTTTGCTGGTAAGCAGCTTGAGGATGGCCGAACTCTTTCCGACTACAACATCCAGAAGGAGTCCACTCTCCATCTCGTTCTTCGACTCCGAGGTGGCCAGTGAGTTATATAATTAGCTGTAGCTTCTTAATATTATATTCTCTGGAGAATATTCGAGTACATACGATCGTGGCACTCGTACTTATTTATGGTGTGCTGTAGTCTGTATATTACTGGGTTTGTCGATTGTACTGAATATTGATTCGAGTAGAGTAGACCATGGATATCTTATCTTTGCGCCAATTATCCGATTCTCCTTATCCAACACAGCCAATGGGAACCTGTTGATAAGACATTTCAAGTACTGTAACTCGTGCAGCACTTCTACTTGGAACTTTTGTTTGGTTCAGCCATGACCTCAAGTGCCTCCAACCGCGCTGCAAGTATTGTATGTACAGTAGCAACTTCAGGTCTTAGAGTTGCTGGGTTCTGGCACATGTACTGTAGATGCCTGTCTGGGCAAGTGTGGGGAAAACCTGTCAGTAGCACTTCAACTTGAGTCTCTACCTGGCGCCCGCAGGGAGAGTTACAGGTGGGTCTGGGTTTGAGTGTGAGAGTGGAAGTCGTCGGTCACCCGTCTTCCAGACGTTTATTATATAATATAAATGAGATTGAGCGTTTGTATAGCGGGACTTGGACAGCCTCCGACTGTCGCACTGCCCGGCCCTCCCCTTACCCTTATCACCAGGTTATTCGTCCGGGTAAATGATTGTATTGCTGTTTGCGGGGGTGACCGCGAACGCGGGGATTTGGGGAGGTTGAGAGTGTCGTTGAGATTGGACCGCGAGCGGCAGATATTCCCGGCTAGACCGCGGCAGCTCAGGTGGCAGTGGCAGTCTCGAGGGTCGCTTCATCTGCCCGTCTTCTTTAGAGTTATGACACCACGTCTCACGACCTTAGTGTTTGCAGGCCGGAAATTATGTCACCAGTAGTTCATCAGATACGACGTACAGACCATCTCTCGGTTGCCGGCACGCTGTTCCTCCGGCTCTCCGACCCTTTGAAAACGACACTACTGCGCTCTGAAGCCCGTCTCACTGATCTGCAGCAACCTACCCCTGGCGCAGAACAGGCACGATACTGCCCTTCACTCATCTTCACCACAAGACACGCAACTAATAAGACCACCACTCTCCGTCAACACACACGATGGACAATACACAGCTCTCCAACGCGGTCAAGGCGTTCCAGAACCGCAAGCCATTGCCGAAAATCGACTTCACCCAGCACACCATGGAGGACGGATCGGTGGTGTCGACGGTCGACAGACCCATCAAGTCGGTGCCTGCGCCCGCCACTAACAAGCCGTCCGACGACGACGTGTTCGACCGAGCCACCGGGAAACCCAACTTGGAGTTTCTCAAGGACCACTTTTACCGAGAAGGCCGACTGTCCAACGAGCAGGCGATTCGCATCGTAGAGGCCGGATCGCGCATCCTGGAGCAAGAACCGACGCTGCTGGAGGTGGACGCCCCCATCACCATCTGTGGAGACGTGCATGGCCAGTTTTACGATCTGCTCAAGTTGTTTGAGGTTGGAGGAACCCCCGGACCCAGTACACGGTACCTGTTCCTGGGCGACTATGTGGATCGAGGCTACTTTTCCGTCGAGTGCGTGCTCTACCTGTGGTCGCTGAAAATCCACTACCCGGACTCCATCTACCTGCTGCGAGGCAACCACGAGTGCCGTCATCTGACGGAATACTTCACATTCAAGCTGGAATGTGTCCACAAGTACGGCGTCGATCTGTACGAGGCGTGTCTGGCCTCCTTCTGTACCCTGCCTCTGGCCGCCATTATGAACAGACAGTTTCTGTGTGTCCACGGAGGCCTGTCTCCTGAATTGCATACCCTGGACGATCTGCGGCGAATCGACCGGTTCCGAGAGCCTCCCACCCACGGCATCATGTGTGATTTGCTGTGGGCCGATCCCTGCGAGGACTTTGGAGCCGAAAAGGGCAACGAACACTTTGTCCACAACTCCGTGCGAGGATGCTCCTTCTTCTACTCCTATCACGCCGCTTGTGCCTTCCTGGAGGCCAACGGACTGCTGTCCATCATTCGAGCTCACGAGGCCCAGGATGCCGGCTACAGAATGTACAGAAAAACCAAGAGCACTGGTTTCCCCTCGGTCATGACCATCTTCTCGGCACCCAACTATCTGGATGCATACAATAACAAGGCTGCGGTTCTTAAGTACGAGAACAACGTCATGAACATTCGGCAGTTCAACTCATCTCCCCATCCCTACTGGCTGCCCAACTTCATGAATGTGTTCACCTGGTCCATGCCCTTTGTGGGTGAGAAGATCACCGAAATGCTCATTACCATGCTCAACATTTGCACAAAGGAGGAGCTTGAAGATGACGACAGCGTTAGCGGGATCAGTGAAGCTACTGAGCCCAAACCCGCTGCTTCTGTCGCCACCGGTGACTCTGATGCTCCCAGTGCCATCTCGTTCGACCAGCGAAGGGCTCTCAGAAACAAGATTCTGGCCATTGGGCGAGTGTCACGTCTATTCAACGTTCTGCGACAGGAGTCCGAGTCTGTTTCAGAGCTCAAGGCTGTGTCTGGAGGCAAGCTTCCTCAGGGAACCCTTATGCTCGGTGGCCAGGGTATTCGAGACGCTATCACTTCGTTTGAGGAGGCTAGAAGCGCGGATCTGAGCAACGAGCGCCTGCCTCCTACTAGTGAGGAGCAGGCCAAGGAAAAGCAGCAGCAGCAGGAGGGCTTCAAGAAGGCCATGGGCGAGCATGATGAAAAGATCCAGCGATTGGCCCGACGGCTGAGCAGGGGTTGAGAATTTATATAGTATAAAGCGACGTTGCACAGTAGTACATACTAACAGCTGACGATGATGTCCGTGGAGGCAAGAAGATGGCAGAATAGATTAGTCAATATCACACGCTTCGTCATCTTACATATAAATAGCCGCCCGTCACTAAACTGTCACCAAACTGTCATTCCAACGCGTACCTGTGTGCGCTTGACAGAAAAAAAAAATGTCTGACATAACCACGCGTCTACAGCTGACGTCGGTAGGTACATACGGTACTTGTAGAAGCGCAGTCCAAAAAAAAGGATACTTGCTGAGCCTTAGCCCCATTCCAGAGCGCCTTGTGCCCTACATCTAGCAGCAAGGGCAGATTGCAGTGTGCCTAACATGTGTTTTGGAAAACGCTGCGGAGTTCTAGGGACTAGGACATTCCATTCCAGATCCCACCATTCGTTGGAACCGCTGCAGACCAAAAAAAAGACGAACGGCATGAACAAGGCGCTTGTCTTGTGCAGTATGTATTTGTAGCACCAGGCTGTGCACAGAAACCCCAGGTGCCTGGTTCGTTGCAGAAAGTGTCGATAACGGCAATGGCTGCCTGTACAGCGATAACAGATGGCTGTTCAATGTCTATTTTGCCGTCTTTATCCGTCTACGGGCCGCAATCTTTTCTTTTTCAAGATGTAGTCCGTGCATGGTACAGGGTCTGCCGAGAGCGATGCAGCAGTTGCAGAGTGCATAGAAAGATGCGGTTGTGGAATGAAGCGGCTGCCCAGTCGGGGAAGAATTGGCACTAATCGGGCAATGGCCTGTCTGGTTGCCGCAGTTATGGCTCCGTTGCCGCAGTTACGGGTCTCATAAAGATCCGCCATGGTCTCACCAGCAGCCCAGAAGCAAGCAAGTGTGTGTATGGTATGGGACCAACAGACTGTAGATTCACAGCATAACGGCGGCTGTGATGCGGTTAGGAAGAGCAGCAGATATTATTTCCAAGAAGCAAGGAGCCGACTGATAATATCGAGCCGACTAATATCGAGCCGACTGTTACCGAGCTTTTCGACAGATACTTTTTAATATGACCTGTCAGATGAGGAATATTATGTTGTAATAACGGCTTTTTCACCATGAATTGATTCCACCGGTTAGCTGTCGGAACTGGTTGTCGGACCCGGTTCAGGGTGCGCGCACTACAAAAAGCTGCCGTATTATGCTGTACAAGCAGGCTATACTTGGCGAGCTGTAGAACCCATGTCCAATATCTGGGAAATACGGTACATATACCAAAGCGTCTTTTACTATGTCGATCTCTGTTCATGTCGGGTTTGAGACATTTCGGGAGATTGGCTGGGATCAACATTGGCTGTGGGGTCTACTCCTCCAAGTGGTGATTACTAACTCGTTACGACGGAAATGCAGGGCTTGTACAGGACAATAGAAAAAATATCTCCATATTATTTCCACCGTATTGGACGTGCCTGATAGCTGTGCTTTTCCAATGTGCCTCCAGAGCGCGGATGGACCAACTGTATGCATGGATCTAATTGGGGTCTCCACCCTTGCACTTGTAGCGATGCAATGGCTCCAAGGAAGACACTAGTTGTAGTGCGCAAGTCCCTTTCCGGGGGGTTTAGAAACTGTCTGACGTTCATTAATGGTGCCTGAAGAGAGTCCGGGCGTATTTTCGAGGTGGTTTTAGTGCCTCAGATCCCGTATATATCATTAATAGACATCCTATTCCGGAGTCCGAATCATGGTTGGGTAAATACGTCTTGAGCCCCCGGTACAGTATCTCCGCCAAAACAAAACGAAAAAAAAAAAACGGGAAAAAAACGAGAACCCTGAGCACGCCCATGATCCCAAGGCTTGCTCAATACAGTCCAGGACTATTACCAGGGCGCTAATGTCGCGCCAGCTCGGTCTAAAATGCTTAGCGTGACCAACATGGATTGTGAGTAAATAATAGTTATACGAGAAGGGCATGCATACTGGTGCAATACGTGGTCTAATATCGCGCCATGTCTCGCTCGTCTCGCTCGGCCTCGCCCCAATCGGGTCTTGATTGGACCTCTTTGGAACCTCTCTGTTTATTTATTGTGTTTCACAACCTCAATGTCTCAGGTTGATTGGGCGGGCCGTCCCCGAGTGTGGGGAGATGTAAAGAGGAAATGTGTCAGACGTGTAGTCCAAAAGAGAGACCGAGAGCGGTTGGAGGCAGGCATCCGTGGAGGTGTTTCAAAGATAGAGATACCCATGTGGTTCACGTGATTGGCTTTTTGCCCTTATTTTGCCCAATGTTCACACTGCAATTGGGCTTATCACCAATGATCGTCTTCCGTGTAGATCCCCCAATCAACTGGGGTCGACGATAAAGGACTGACGGGTGTCTCTACAGTACAGTCTGACGAAGGAAACAGGGGAAGGAGCTGTCAAGCTGTCATCTTCCTTGTTTGGTCTACATGTCTTCAGGGCAGTTGGACATTTCCGCCCCAAAAAAGTCTTTGTTGAGTGAGCCATTTCAAGACCCTCAGTTGCTGCTCATAATGAGTTTTCGTGACAGGAAAAATCGCAAAAAATCGCAAAAAATACACTGTAACGACACCACTTTGACTTTACTTGGCTGTGAGACGGTCTTCGGGCGGGGTTAGGGCTGAAACCCGGACCTTTGGACATGTTCTTTGGAGGCCTTGGAAGCCGTGGATAGTGCCGTTTGAGCACCCAAGATTCCTCCCGCTTCTTTCGGCTTTCTTCTGTCTGTTTCTCTACGTAATATCGCCTCTCATCTGTTTGTTTGCGTCTCTACCGCCTCAGTCTCACCTGTACAAGTGGGCCTCTACAGCGCAAAGTTTGAGAAATAGGCACCCGGGTGTACAAGAACGTCGTTACTTTTGGACAGTGGTTCCAGAACGGGTCGGTACAAAGGTTTTGGGGGATTCTGACAACTGGGTTTCATGCCGCGGGTGTCCTATAGGTCTAACGTGTGTCCGGGATGTATCAATTGGTTCCATGTGACATCATCAACGTTTGGTAGGCTATCTGCCAGTCATACAGACCTATGTCAGACAATGGAACCTTGTTTCAGCGACGTTTCTGAGATGGAGGGCATTTCCGAAGGGCAGGAGAGAAGTGTTGGTAAATACATGTCACGACGGGAGAAATTACCATGGTTTTTGCGGATTTTTCCTCGTATTCGAAAGATCCATAAATCAGGTTCCCCATCTTTACTGTTCTGGGCTAAACATCAACATTGCTGGAGCCTAATTTTTTATACTCACGGGTACGCATTTAAGTTATTTTTGAGTCAAGAGGTGCTCGGATAACTGGTACCGGGGTGTTTTGGCTGATGGGGAACGAATTTGTGTATTTTCAGAAATTCATTATATTATACACACAATTCCGAATCGATTTATGCTACTTTCATCCAATTCGGCCCACTACTTGATGCGGTAATGTGGTTCTGTGACTTAAATGGGCTTCTCCACCTCCGAGACACCAAGAACTCTCTCATATGCTCTCAAAAGACACATATAGGCAGTGCCATGGCGTCTGCAATGTAGTTATATTTGAGTCTCCAGTTTGCAACCGGCATCCGACTCTCACCGCTTTTCACACCCGCCCTTTTCTGATTGTGGAGAATGTCGCTCAAATCGTTTTTCCTTCGCCGCAAAAAGCCCCAGTTTGAAGAGGTGGCTCCACGAAAGCTCCGCGGCAGCTTTTCCATGCCCAATATGCGAGCAGTGACGATTCTACGAGGCCGGGGAGGCGCCGGCTCGCGCGACGATCTCGTGGACTCGCGCGAAATGCCCCTATCACGTTCCGACCAGTCCGACATCAGCAGCGACTATCTCAGCTCTTCAGGCGACTTTGGCCATCACGATTTCTGGTCCACTCTGTCGGAGGAGGAGCAGCGACGCATGAGCAAAATGTACGAGGACGCTCTCAGCGTAGTGGAGTACTACAGCGTCTAACGACGTGAATTGACCCACCAGACCACTAAACACCTCACCAACACCAACACCACCAACGCAAACACACACACTTTTTCAACACGCGCTAACTACTGTCTATAGTCAGACCGGTTCGATCCCACAGTGCACCACCCTTCTCTTTCGCACTACAAGTAGCAGCATCGCTCGCTTTCTGCAACGTCGTAACCGAACATGTCGTATGTCTCGATCCGGCACTGTCAACTTGCAGCACAATGGAGACGGAAGACGGCCCACCAAACTTCAGACAAGACTGTGCCTGAACCATTGTTTCACCGTGACTAGCCCAGTTTCCTAATGCGTCAATCCTACATCATACAAGCGGGCATCTCTGACACACAAACACCCCGTCTCAACTTTGGCCCTCTCTCTGTTCGGATCCCGATGGATCCCGTCACGCTTTGCTTTCCTATTTATTTTTGTCTGTTTCAAATCACGCTGACTGGCGTCCCTTTTTTTATTTATACCCTCTTTGTCTAACGACCGCACTCTCCGCATTCTTCTATTTATATACATGGCTGGACCATCTCTAATGTCATTCATTCTTTGTTGCTCACTAATTAGTACAAGTAAACAGCCGTAGTCGTATACTGAACAATGTCGTATTCTATACGGCTCTACGACACATGGTTGACTCACAATCTGTAGCTACAGTCGCACTTGTTGTATAGACGATACCGGAAGTGCAATACGTTCTCCATTCCCCACTCCAAATGTGTCTAATTCTATTAATTCCCTGTTGAAAGGTATAGTACAGTTAGTAGTTGATTTCCGAGGCATTCCTGATACCCATCACTCCACCTTCCTCCACTTTTCGGCCAGCTCCTCGGAGCCCTCTCGGGGTCGGACAATGCCGGCACGTACCTCGTTTTCTAGAATCACCTCCAAAGACGCATTGTCCATTGAATCGGTCTGGATCTTTTCATGGGCAATCCAGCCTCCCACCCCCTCCTCGCCCAAGTCTCCATCGGGCTCCATCTCCTCCGCGTGCGTCTCCAGGGCAGGTTGAAGCTGTCCCATGTCGTTATCAGAGTCTGAAGGATCTGGATGGAGAGCTGCACAGGTAGAAAGAGAAGCAAACAGAGTGTCAATCAGAGTGTCCGGTTGAGTGGAGATAATCACCTCGCTGAACGACTCCTGGCTTTCGCCCGCAAAAGGACCGACTAAACTCAATGGCGAGTCTTCGAGCTGTAGATAGATCTGCTGGTGGCCGTCAGATCCCTGTTGTGTGGCATGGAGTAAAATTTTCTGGTACGGAATGTTGACACCCGAAGAGGTCTGCGCGAACCACAGAGTCACATGACTGGTCAGCACGTAGATCTTTCCCTGCTGGTACGCCGTCTGGTCTCCCTTTCCATCTTCTGATAGCAGTTGGACATTGACAGTTCCTTCAAAGTAGCAGACGACATTGTCTTCCAGCGAGAAAGACGCCGGGGTGGACGACTGGTGTTCTGCGAGCGCCACGTAGTCCTCCCGCGTGAGATCGTGGTCGATGGTGCTGTATTCCATGTGCTGGCTGGTAGTTGGCACGGTCGAAATTCTGGTGATGTTCTGACCAAGGAGGTCTCCCACGTGGTGCATAAACCAGGTGCCAATTTTAAAAAAAAATAGATCAAACCACGTGATTTAGACCGGCTAAAGCAGGTCCTCTTGGTGTTGGGGTTCTGTTTTGTTGAGGGAACTCTTGTATCGTCGTTTGAGTCAAAAAAAACCAGCTTTTTTCCCTCGTCGTTGGCCACTCAGATTTCGAGATTAGTCATCGAAGGTCGAATATGAAACTTTGCAGTCAAGTTGGCAGGGTACAGAAAAAGTGGTGCTAAACGGATGGTAGTGATTAGCAATTTGGACAGGGTGGTTTAGTGGTGGGGAGTAACTTTCTGCCCCAAAACCAGCTCGTAATCTCTCTTAGAAGCTGTTTTATGAACACTCCCTCGTTTTGTTAGATGCTCAACCTGGTATCACATGACTTGAGCTAATCAGATAACTTTCTTCTGTAGTCTTAGTCAGTGTTCAGCCTGCATAATTACCAAGCATAGACATTCGTCACCCCTCATATATCAACCCTGAAACGACCCCGAGCCAGATCTTTAACGGTGGAATATCACTTTTCAACAACCGCCAAACCGATTTACAACCTCCACTTTTCGGTATCACCTGCAGAAAACACGAGATCAACACAGATAAGCCCTTGACACACATCCAGCATGGCTCAAATGTACTCTACCGCCACCCAGTCTTCTCCGTCGCTGGCTGGAGTCAAGAACATCGTCTTGGTTCTGTCTGGTAAGGGAGGAGTCGGCAAGTCCTCAGTCACGACACAGCTGGCTCTCACGCTAGCAGCACAAGGGAAAAAGGTCGGAGTGCTGGACATTGATCTTACAGGACCTTCCATTCCTCGGTTCTTTGGAATGGAAGACAAACAGGTCTACCAGTCGTCGGCAGGCTGGGTTCCAGTCTACACCGACGCCTCCAGGAATCTATGTCTCATGTCCCTCGGCTTCTTGTTGAGCTCTAGAGGAGACTCTGTTGTTTGGAGAGGTCCCAGAAAGACAGCCATGATTCGACAGTTCATCCGAGACGTGGTTTGGGGAGAACTGGATTACCTACTCATTGATACCCCTCCCGGAACGTCAGATGAACACATTTCTATTGCCGAAGAGCTCAGATTCTGCGACCAGATTCTGGGAGCAGTGATTGTCACGACTCCCCAGGGTGTAGCACTGGCAGATGTGCGAAAGGAGCTGTCTTTCTGTAAGAAGATTGGCTTCCCTATTCTTGGAATCATCGAGAACATGAGTGGATATGTCTGTCCTCATTGTTCCGAGTGCCAGAACATCTTCTCCAAGGGAGGAGGAGAGAACCTGGCTAAGCAGTACGAGTGCAAGTTTCTGGGCACGGTCCCCATCGACCCCAAGTTTGTTCTCATGGTGGAGAACGCCAAAGGTGGACTCCAGGAGATTTACGGTGAGACCGACATGGCCAAGATCTTTGCAGGTATCTGTGATAAAGCCTTCAGTGAAGAAAATGAGGAGGAAGCCAAAGAGACGGCCGAAGAGGAAAAGTCCAGAGCAGCCACGAACGGGCAATAACCAGTGTATGTAATATATAACGAATTACGATTGATGAACAACAGAAAGAAGGAGAGAAAAAAAAATCGTGATACTGCGCTGTAACAAGCATCAACGCGACCACGTTCCTGTTCATTGAAAAGTTAGTAACAAAACACTGACAAAAAGAGAGGACGACAGGACTCGAACCCGCAGCCTTTGGAGGACGTCGTTCAGAAGAACCGAAATCCAATGCGCTACCATTACGCCACGTCCTCAGGGACTTGTTAGTAAAAAAAGCGTTGGAGCTATATATTTTTAAAAATGTCTTATTTCCCGGGAAATGTGTTCAATTGTTATTTTGAGATATTCAAAAGATCCATTAATGCTCCATATTCTATTTAACCTACTTTTTAGCTCAGTCTTACTGTCTTTAATCGGTTTCGGGGAAGTCTAAACATTTCGAACTTGTGGTTGCTTCGCAAGATGATGGATGACGTCTGTAAAACCTTTCTTGTGAGCATTGAAGTGACTTGATGTTATAATTAAGGCCTCAATCATTGCTACTTTCAAGTCCCCTTCTTTACTGTCTCATTGTTTGTATGATATACTCAATGTCGTATTCAGCTCGAATCTCTATAACACCAGATTTCTGCGCTCCACCAGACAAAAATCTATCGTAGTCATACTCGTAGTAGCAAAGACTGTAAACCTCTCTATTATTACTATTGATTAAAGCCATATATCTTGCGCCTTAAAACTACATCGTCCCACACTCTCAACACCTCCACGGAGCCCCTCTGCATACTCAGATAGGCAGTTATAAAATAGTCAAGTTCCGCACGAAGAGAGCATGTCCTTGGACTTTTTGTTCTATACTTGCCTTATACAGATGTACACAGTATGGTTCCACGGGCTTTGGTATCTTCGGCTTTAACACCTTCTCAGCTGAGTTGGAGAGAAGGATTATATATAGATGTGAGGAAGACCATGTCTTGGATGTAACTCCACCGACGACAATGATCAAACAACTTTACATTTCTCTCATCTCAACCTTGGCTCTTGCCGGTACCCCTCCCGTGGCCTGTGGCTCCTCAACTCCTTCTTTGAGCTACACTCTTGGTCTGCTTCTTCCTGGAGCTAGTCAGTCTCAGACGCTTCAGATCCGAAGGGACCAAATCGTCTACGGTCTTAGTCAAGGATTTTCCGACTTTGAGGTGACTTTTTCTGGCAACTTTGTCAACGTCATTTCTCCTGGTTTCAACAACGAGCCCCGAGAACTATACTCTGAATGCGACGGAAAACTTCTAGTCAGTGATGTTGCTGCCCCTACTGTCTCCCAGGAAGGACGAAAAGGGACCTGGACTTTTGTTGGCGAAGGAAACCAGCTGACTGTTCAGAACAACGGCGAGAGCATCTTCTACAGCTGCCCCAACCCCAATGAACCTATCCGGGGTGGTCAACAGGTCTATGCCAAAACTGGTGACTCCTTTGCGTGTCCTAACCCTGCTGTTGGCACTCTGGTGGCGATGAAAAAGTAGTCATATGGGCTTGTATTATTACATAGGTCGTTACAATAAATATTAGAGAAACCCTCTGAGTCTCTGCTCGGCAGACATTTTCTTCTTGGGCGAGCCCTTGAGGAAGTCTGCGATTCCTCGGAAAGAAAAGGAGGATTTGATGGTAGCAGCACGCGAAACCGTAGACGCAGAGTCTGCCTCCATGAGAGGCAACTGTCCGGAGTTGAGACTTTGCATACTCTGAATGCTCTGCATTGAAACCATGCGTCTAGGAGCTCGAGTGGTGGCCACAGCCTCTTCAAACAGCGTCTGAGGCTCGATGGGACTCATGGTAGTAGACACATTGCTGGTGGAAGACATGAGCGACATCATTGGCCGAGGGTAGAGAGAGGGGTATGTTTTGGTGTTGAGAGCACGTCTGTTGTCTCGCAGAGATCGTAGAGACTCACGTGATTCACGTGATTGGCTGCTGGCAGGACGCAGGAACTCACGTGACGACTGTTTTGATAGCGGCGGTCGGTCTGAAGAGGTCGAGTCGCGTGATCGGACTGTTTGTAGCGATCTCTCTTGCAGTTTTGAAAGTGGTACCTGGGAAGAGATTGAGTCTGTGCTTTTGTTTGGGTCACGCGAGGGGTATGGATGGTTAGTTATGTCTTGTTGTTGGTCTCCTGGTGGAGAAGAAGGTGATGCAGAAGGGCCTCTGTCATTTGCTCTCATCCACTCATGTAGCACAGGGTAATGTTGTTTATGGGGGCTCTTTTCCAGGCCTAGACGCTCGTAAGAAGGTAGCTTTTCTTCGATCGAAAACAGGTGGTTGATGATCGAGTCCAAACGATGGTAGGTCTGTTCGCATTGTGTTGAAATGTTTTCCACCGACTTGAGGGTGTTCTTGGAGGTCCTGAACTGCTGGATGTTGATGTTGATCTGCGTGGACGTGTTGACCAAAAGCGAGTCAATTTCGCCCATTCGGCGAATCAGCTCGACCTGTGCCCTCTTCACCTCGTCCACCTCGCATGACAGATCATGCTGGTACTTTGCAGCAATGTGTTGCAGACAGTCGGTCACGTCCTGGGCCTCGGTTTCACATGTCGCCAGAATGGAGTTGTACTTGAACGACGAGACTGGCGGAAGTGGCTTTAAGACGCGTTTCTTGGCATCCATGGTGTTTGATCGCCCACTGGCCGCATTCGCGTTGACAATCACCAGGTTTTCCGGACGACTCGACATGGTGATGTGTGTGTACTGTTCGAAGCAGGGATGTGCCATATGCAGTGTGAGCTTGATAACCTCACATCGGGGTTAGGGAATAACGAGATGAAGGGAGTGAGAGTGTAGGGAGATTGTGGATAGCGTGATTGGGGGCTGTCGTGTCTGTCGAACATGTGGCGATCGAAAAAATACGTAGAAGGCGCCTTTTCCCTAAGAGATATGCTGTTGAGGTAGCAATACATTTTACTTCAGTTAATGATTGATATTACTTGGCATAGAGTTAAGGTGGATCCTACCTTTTATTTGGGCAGAATTTTTGGAAAAAGATATAAAAAAGATTGCAGCACCCAGGATTCTCGTATGGTCTCCCACTACAATACTAACTAGGCTCTCTGGTGCTTGACTATGGCTGATCGGACGGGAAGCCGTATTTTCACCAGGATATGGCCGCAACCATTGCGATATATTTTGTTTGGGCCATAATATTGGGCCAGATAGGTCACGTGCCGGGATTTTTATATGATCATATCTTGACGAATAGAGATGTTTCAGAGATTTGAATGATTTGACAAGTATATTTGGCCTGTGTTATTTAGATTGATAGAGCCGGATTCATGAAAACACCAATATTTCATTGCGTACAAGATTTTTCAAGAACCGCCTTGTCGATCTTTCCACATGACATATCTGGACTAATATTGAACATGTCATGTATATGATGGCTGCGTCGCTGTTCGCCCGTCTATCTTTCGATTATGTGATTGGCGGTGCGTCTCTCGAAACATATTCTGTCAGCATTCTCTTCCCTCGTCTGTATCACCACCCCATCTATCTGTTCTAACCTTTAGTTGGCTTGCACAAATGTTTAGTTGGCTTTCTCCAGGCTTTAGCTGACGCCTATTGCAAGCACAAGAATGTAGTTCGGAAACCTCATCCAAAGCCCATCCAAGGACATCCACACACACCAGACAACCCCCAGCCCTTCACTAAATGGCCCACATCCTGGCGATTACTAAGCAACCCCTCTTCAACCTCTTCAACACCCCTCATACGGCTCTTCACACAAGGTTGCATGACGTCACGCAACTTTTTCCGGATCACCGGATAAACAACAAGGTGGGTCGTTTTTTGGAGGTTGATGAGCTCAAGGGTTACGTAAGCGGTAAATGCCGCTATGGAGTCACGTTACCACATGAAATAGCCAGTCTGAAACCCTCAATTATCCCCCTTTGGCTCTTTCACACCCTTGTTCTTCGTCTGTCGTCTCCTCTGTCTCCCGTGGCCACGTCCAGTGCCGTATGCACATCAATTAGCCCGGCAAGAGGCTCTATAGAGGTACAATGAGGAGATCCAAGTGCCACCCAGAGGGCCTGGCGCCGCACACTAGGAGTACAAACGACATGTAGCGAGTCCAGAAGTTCTCCAAAGCCTCTTAGCTAAGTTTCGAGGAGCTCAACAGACGTGTCAAGACCTGTTGTTTTGTCTTATATGGCCCCAACCATGCATAATATAGCAGGAAGGTAACAGGGAGTTGGAGTCTTTATCACGTGATCAAGGTGTGGTGGAGATATGGTGGCTGGGGTTCTGGGTTTCTGGCACCTATGTAACTCGTCTGGAGCCATCTCTTAAGGTCCTTGTCTTTCACAGCAATCTTTGGAGGTCTCCGTGGCTGTCTTTGATAACGCATCGGTAGCCGAAGCTAGGGATTTAGCATGCAGGCTATAGAGACGGCACTGGAGGGTATGAGATGGGGGAAAAGGGCAAATATACAATAAAATAGCATTTGGAGTTGATTTCCGTACTCTACACGCTCGCACCTACCCAGTAATACCGATTTTATGGCGTTTGTCAAGCCTCCAAATGGGTGAATAAAGTTCGAAACAATCGTCACGCTATATATCTCCCACCACCCCCCACCCCCACATTTTGTCAATGCTACGATTGCGACTTCCTCAGCTCTCGTTTCTCACCCGAACCCGTTCTTTCCACACCGACTTCACCATGACCGCTTCTTCCGGCGAAAAGCTGGCATTATTGAGACAGCTGATGGCCTCCAAGGGTCTGGGAGTGTACATCGTGCCCTCCGAAGACGCCCATCAGAGCGAGTACACCTCTGTGTGCGACCAGCGACGGGCCTACATTTCGGGCTTCACCGGATCGGCCGGAACCGCCGTTATCACCTCCGACACAGCTGCCCTGGCTACCGATGGACGGTACTTTCTGCAGGCAGACGAGCAGCTGGACAAGAAGTACTGGAACCTGCTCAAGCAGGGCGTAAAGGGCGTGCCCACATGGCAGGAGTACGCAATTGACTACGCTATCAAACACGGAGTCGACATTGGAGTCGATTCTCGTCTTGTCAGTGCTGTTGAGGCCGAGGATATCACCAAGAAGCTGGCTCTCAAGATCGAGGAGGCTGGAGTCCAGGCAGATGAGAAAAATGCTTCTTCAGTCAAACTCGTCGGCCTCCACGACAACCTCGTCGACGCCGTGTGGTCCAAGCTCGATACTCAGCCCTGTAGACCCGGAGATCCAGCTTTCCCTCTGGACGTGAAGTACACTGGCAAGCCCTTTGATCTGAAGCTGGAGGAGCTGCGAGTCAAGATGCGAGAGTCTGGCGGCTCTGCCATCATCATTTCTGCACTCGACGAGATTGCCTGGCTTCTCAACCTGCGAGGATCTGACATTCCCTACAACCCGGTCTTCTTTGGCTACGTCATTGTCACCCCCAACTACACCACTTTGTACTGTGACTCCAAGAAGATCACCGAGGCCTGCGAGAAGCACCTGGACGGTCTGATTGATCTCCGGCCCTATGACGATGTTTTCGCCGACTTTAAGAAGCTCGGAGAGGCTGCCCAGCACGACAAACTTGTGTTTGTGCCCAAGAACTCGTCCTGGGCTCTGGTCGAGTGTCTCGGCGGCTTCAAGAACGAAAACAAGACTTACACCCAAATAACTAGTCCCGTTCTCAAGGCCAAGGCTGTCAAGAACAAGACTGAGCAGGAGGGAGCCCGGGCAGCCCATCTCAAGGACGGAGCTGCTCTGTGCGAGTTCTTCTGCTGGTTGGAGGGTGTCTACGATGCCGGCAACCCCGACAAGCTGGACGAGGTGGACGCTGCATCCAAGCTGGTGGAATTCCGGGAGAAGCAGCCCAACTTTGTGGGTCTTTCGTTTGAGTCCATTTCTTCTGTGGGTCCCAACGCTGCCATCATCCACTACGCTCCCGAGAAGCCCAAGGCTGCCATTCTCGACCCATCCAAGGTATACTTGTCCGATACGGGCTCCCAGTTTCTTGAAGGAACCACAGACACCACTCGAACGTGGCACTTCGGCAGCCCCAGCGACGAGGAGCGAACCTCAAACACGTTGGTTCTCAAGGGCCACATTGCTCTGGCCGAGTCGGTGTTCCCCGAGGGCACCACCGGTTTTGCTCTCGACATTTTGGCCCGTCAGTTCCTGTGGAAGTACGGTCTGGACTACCGACACGGCACAGGCCACGGTATTGGCGCCTTCCTTAACGTGCACGAGGGCCCCTTCGGAATCGGCTTCCGACCCGCCTACAGAGACTTCCCCATGGAGATTGGAAATGTGGTGTCCAACGAGCCTGGTTACTACAAGGACGGCGAGTACGGTATTCGAATCGAGTCTGTTCTGATCTGCAAGGAAAAGAAGACCCAGGAAAACTTTGGAGGTAAGAAGTATCTGGGCTTTGAGACCATCACCCGGGTGCCTCTGTGCCACAAGCTGATTGACGTTTCTATGCTGGAGGACTCGGAGAAGAAGTGGGTCAACCACTACCACCAGGTTGTGCGGAACGAGGTTGGACCTCTGGTTGAGGGCGAGGTCAAGGAGTGGTTGCTCAAGGAGACTGCTCCTCTGGAGTAGACATGTCACTGTAATTATTCTGAATGCATAATGATTTACGAGCGTTGAGGTTGACTGTATGAACAATGGCATGCCGGTATAGGTGCTGGACACCAGAGACCACTAAAGGGCCCCACTGAGTGCTGTACTAGAGCTTTAGAACAGTTTCTGGTCTTCCTGGAGTGCACTGAGGCTGAAGAGAGATACAAGTACATACGGCATGTAACTGTGATGGGATGAGGACTATAAGAAGGAAGCAGTACCGTGCACGACTTGAATTGATGGGCGTCGAGCTTTTATTCTGGCTGTTCTAGAAGTGTGATAGCGATGATGGGCACGTTCAAGCGCTAATTACAGATTCTTTCCCGACAAAGAACGGGTCCCTGTCGGAAGCTACTGCCAAAACCACGGTGAAGTATGGGACACCAAAGGGAGCCTTTCGGAGGAAAAAGCAATAACTATTCCGGAAGCCCGCCAACTCCAAGATCGGGTATTATATATTGAGAGCTGAGATGAAGGGCTCAACATGTCCTCTTAGTTATGGACGCTGGTAACATGTCTTGAGATGTGCTTCTATTGCTGCTACTTTTCTAGACAGTACATACAATGCAAGTAGGAGCACTCGCAAAAACGGTCAATCTGGTAAGTGACCGACGTGGTACCGAGGCTGATACGATATACTGCCCTGGAAACAGCTTGTACTCGTACTGGTACATGTAACAACTGTAGCAGTTAAAGCAACAAGCTAATCACTCAAGGCATATTATAGATCTATCACTCAGGACACCTTATAGATCATTCTCTTCATCAGATCTATCACTTCATCTTATAGATCTACCAAAGATAACGATTCACAAACCACGCTCTACAATTAGGAATCCTACTCCGCACCCCCGCCCAACGCCAACAGGATCCGATTCCATTCCAGAAGTGGTCTTTCTAAAGCCGGTCGATTGTGCGGCTCAGATAAAGTTGATGTTCATGGTTTCTTTTTCATATCTGCTGATTCTCAGACTTTGCCCTGGAGATCAGACATGGCAACTATGTGTGTATGTATGTACATACGATGATAATACCAACACAGGGTAGGATGACTCTTGGCGAATCGATGGCGAGATGTTAATCAGCAGACTCGGATAAGGCGACCTTTTCTCCTCCAGTATCATTTTTCTATCCGTATTCGGACTTGTACGATACTCCTGCTACCTGCTAGTGGTTTTGATCATGTACATTTTGATCCATGTTGATGCCCTGGATTCAGAACCCTAACGCCAGATTACGCACAATGGTACCTTGTGCTTACCCCAACATTTGCTCAGCCAATGGGCGTCCGTGTAATAAAAACCCGGTCAGCATATTACTAATCAAGTTTCCACAGCCTTCCATGGCATTCCAGCGCCAATATCGACGCAGATACACACTCTCAAGCTGGTTTTGCCAGTCGCCCGACCTTGCCGGTTAGTCTTCCTCGACTCTTTTAAGCCGCACAATGTTTGCACCGATGGTTACTGGCGGAGATCATGTGATGCATCAGGGGCAATGTGAGAGCAAGTCCCACCAGATTTATCGGCGCCGACAAGAGTTTTGGACCGCGGAAACCCGGAAATTTGCCCTGACCAAAGACTCAGGTCGGTGCTGCAACCACAAACACCCGATAATATCGTCCATATGGCTCACTCCGGAGACCCTTGCGGTCACAAGATAAACTGCCTGTTAACGAGAGTGCAGAGTCATTTCCGAAACCTTATTTTGGAAATATAACGGTTGCCTGATTGGCTGTCGGTGGGAAGCTTCGGGTGCGTAAAGGGGGGGATTTTGGGGGCAGAAAACCAGATTAGGGCTGTTTTGAGCTGCCTAGTAATATATGGACGTTTTTTCCATCTGCAAATTCCGCACAATTAAACCAGTTGCACACGTTTCCGTGGTTTATGACCATCTCATTACGTCACCAGTTATGGGGAACCTTATTGCCTCTCTTTCTGAACTCTAAACCCAGCCAATCACAGCTCGAACATATGTAAGCTTGGTGTCCCAACAGCAGCCCCGGGGCGGACCCGAAGTTATTTAACCTCCACACATTTTGATTTATAAGAGCAAAGGTTCCCTCCAACGCTACTAAGTCAACACAACAACACTACACACACAACATATGACAATGTCACTACGAAACAAATTGACGGTTGGAAAGCGATTCCTACAGACGGCGGAGCGGTCGACTCCTTCCATGACCCCGTTCATGCTCAACAACCCGAATGCGTACCATTCGTCCAAGAGCGACAACCAGGCCGAGAACAAGTCGTCTTCGTCTCAGCCCCAGGGATTCACATGGGCCCGTCACCAGCTGCCCCGTTTCGACGCCGCTTCCAAGTCGTCCAAGATCGAGACCCCCAAACCCTTTGCATTCAAATTCCCCAACACACAGGACAAGTCGTCGCGACCTGCCACCACTCCTTTTGCATTCCGACCTGCCGCCAAGACCAGCGCAACGGCCGCTGCTCCTACTAAGGCTGCTGCCCCCGCTGAAAAGGCTGCTGCTCCCGCCCCCGCTCCCAAGCGAACCCGAAAGTTGCGACCCCGAAAGGCCGTCATCACTCTTTCGCCCACAGCTGTCAAGCACCTCAAGGACCTCCTTGACCAGCCCGAGCCAAAGCTCATTCGAATTGGCGTAAGAAACCGAGGATGTTCCGGACTCACCTACCACATTGACTACGTGGACAAGCCCGCCAAGTTTGACGAGGAGGTTGTCCAGGACGGCGTGCGAGTGCTCATCGACTCCAAGGCCCTGTTTAGCATTATCGGATCCGAGATGGACTGGCTCGACGACAAGCTGTCTTCGCGGTTCATTTTCCGAAACCCCAACTCCAAGGGAGAGTGTGGATGTGGCGAGTCCTTCATGGTTTAAGAAGGATGATCGTTCAGAGGAGACGGATACAAAGATAAGACGAGACAATGCTCAAACGAGTACCCTGCATTATTTATAGCATAATATTATATTAGATATCAACATTAGTACGAGTGGAAGTATCGTTGTCGATAGGTTCCTCTAATGGGTGCCTAAATGCTCCTCACGAGCAGAAGATGAGAGATGAACACGTTCAGCGCGTTCGTGTCTTACAAAGTGTGTATTTACGCACGCGCGTTGTAGCTGAAGACTGTGGACGTCTAAGTAAGTCCAAGTACATGTACTCGTACTTGACTCTTCTATACAGACGGTTATTGCTACGCTTACACTTACATCGTAGGCGTGGATAGAGCCGTCTGAAACAATTTTGTAGGCTCATAGAAAGGTCTAGTCGTTTGTGGTCTCATTACATCAACTACCGGTTGAGGAGATGATTGGAAATACAATTACAAGCAATACTCGTATTATGATACCAATGGCTCTCTACCTCATGATAGCAAGCCATGGCATGCTGTACACAGCCAATATGGGTACTGTATATGGATACAGCTGCAACACTTTAGAACATTGCCGAGTTCAGAAACATCTCTTGTACACGTCCAGCTCGCACGTACAGTATCATGCAATATATTCCTATAGAACACCTCCAGGGGTACCTACGACGACGCCTGTCTGTTTCATGCCCTCGATATGGCGTAGCATGAAGACGGGCTGTTTTCCGGCGTCTTGCAGCTCTTTGAAAATGATGAGCGGTTTTTCCTCAAGCCCCAGAAGCCGTTCCTGGTCTCCATAGCACACCAGCAGCGCATACTGCTTCCAGTCGCCGTTGATCTTGTATCGTCGTAGAGCTGCCGGCAGCACCTTGTAGCAGGGGTCGTCTAGCGTCACTCGGAACGACTTGAACGGTTCTGTCGCCAGAGTGCTGGTGGACTGGCTGCTGTTAGAAACCGGTTGGCTGGTGCTGGTGGGTTGTGCGTTGGTGCTGCTTGGCTGGGCCCCAGGCGAAACCAAGGATGTGTTGGAGAAGTTGACTTGTGACGATGCGGCAGACCCGCTCTGGTAGGGATGGGAGAAGTGTAGGGTGGTAGAGCCCCCCGGCGTAACTACGGGAGTGGCAGCCACCGAGGAGTCTGAGGGAGACAATAACGACTTGACTGAGCCGAGATAGAGATTCGGCCGTTTCTGTTCCGAGGGTCCAGAAGTTCCGGAGGAGCTCGCTGTTGCTGCAGACTCGGGTTCCAGAGTTGTGGGCGACTTCTGGGCACTCTTGTTGTTCAACTTGCTCAGCTTCCGGGCTATAGAAGGGCCCGGGTTGTTGGCCCCGGAACCTGGCTCTTTGGCGGCTGTATTTGGAGCAGCAGCGTCATTGGGGGTTCCTGGCGAATGTAAGTAATGGGCATGGATGGGGTTGGTTCCATCAGGAGTGGGCAGCGGTTTGCTTTCCTTGACAAACTTGAACAGAGGAAGCAGGTCTTCTCTGATCTTGTTAAAAGAGTCAATGAGCTTCTTGAGCTCCTGCTCCACGTGGTACACGCGCTCATCTCGGATCTCAAAGCTCTTGAACAGCCGGTTGTAGTCGTCTATATCGGTGGTTTTGATGGATGGAGGAACGTAGCCCCCGGCGTCTCCGTCGCCATCCTTGTCGTATGTGCCTCCCTCCTTCTCCTTCAACTGGTATATGCTTTTGAGAATGAGCACTCTGTGACCGATCTTCGTCACGCCAATGTCGCTGATATCATCGTGGTCGAGGTGAACCAGCACGTCGCCGGTGATGTTGTTGTCAATGAACGACTTTGAGTATTGCGGGAACCCCAGCGAAGATATCCACTGGCCCACCTGGTCCGTGTTCCACGCCTGTGATAGCATGACGGCTTGCGCAAAGTGTGTATGGCTGTCTGGCTCTGTGTAAATGAGCTCGATGTGTATTGCCCAGCTCTCTGGCTCTGTCGCAACTTCTGTCGTATGGTTCTGTAGAAAGGCTCTGTACAAGCTCTGTACAAGCTGTAATGTAGTACTACCGCACTTGTATCTGGAATGTTGCTGCGCGGGTTGCGAAATATGATGCCGCTCGCTTCAAGTCGACGGTGCAGTTGCTGATACCAAATTCTCGTCCGAGTCCGAAACTCCCTCGTTATCTGGTGTTCACTGGATTGCCAAATATCTGACACTCGACGGAATCGCACCAGGGTGCTGTAATTAAACTTCCATGAGATACTCCCCCAAGCCCTTCTTTTTTGGGACCGGCCTAAAGTCAATTGATCAGACAAAAATATATATACCGAAAGACGCTGCAGTGCTAACAGACCTAATCCACGTACCAACAGACAGACACGGCATATTGCCCCTCGCCCATCTTGCGTCCGTCACGTGACCAGCTCCGACCCCCGGCTAGCCCCGGCTAGCCCCGGCTATCATGCATATATACTCCCTATCGGCCGTCTCCCCGCACTCCCACCACTGCTCGATGTAGATCCAGAAAATCACTCGTTAGAGTTCCTCCACGCGTTCGGTAGGCGGTCGGATATGTAACCAGTGGAATTTACACGAGGCGCGTAAAGGGAGTGTGTGCGAGAGCGCGTTTGCAGGCGGTCGGCAGTAACAGAGAAATCCCGTGGTATCGTAGCGACATTGATACATTCCTGTAGCACACTCATTAGTCTGTACTTGATGTACACTTGACTTCAACACACCACTCCGCAAGTATACCCTCGTGTCGATGAGGGACTGGAAAAGTTGTATCCTACTTGTACAAGTTGTAGCTTGAGGTACACAAGTACTTCTGCTCATACTCGTACCTGTAGCCCTGCCAGATCTCAATGGCAGTATGAATATCTAAGTATGCATTAAAATAAATAACTGTATAAATAAAGAGTATAAATAGTGATGGTATGAAGGTACTCGAAAGTTGTCGTTGTTGTTGATGATACCGGCTTGACGGCTATGTGATTACAGCCCTTCGTCCTCTGATACGCTTAAACACCCGCGCTAACTCAGACTCTTGCTGCTCACTGGTTTGCTCGGGCTGGCCGTTGAGTCCGGCCTGAACCCCCTCCAGCGTCCGGATGGACCCGGACTTGAACCGCTCCACGTGTTCCAATAGCTCTGAATGAGACTCAGACCGCGACAATTGATGATTGTGGAAAGCCACCGGAGGCGAAAGCGGAGTCCGGGGAGACAAAGGAGTGGCATCTGTTCCTGTGTTTGTGCCCGGCGTCAACGGGTTTCCGGGAGATAGCACCTCCCTACCTGGAGACATGGGCAACGGCTGAGGCTGTTGTTTGGGCGTGGAGGGAGAAGCAGACGGCCCTTGCGGTTCTTGGCCCAAGGGAGAAGAAGGAGGTGAAGGCAGCGACTTGTGGGGCGTCGAAGGAACAGATCTCACTGGCGCCTTGTAGGCTGACACAGGAGTAGCAACGGTTTTCACAGGAGTGGACTTGAGGCTGTCCCGAAGCTGTGAAGGGGGAGTTGAAGGAGTCGAGGCCTGGGTACCACCTGGAGATGTGGTGTGTCTCATCCCCGAAAGAGGAGGCAGCTGTGCGGGTGAAGACACTCTCATAGCTGAAGACTCTTTCAGAGGTGTCTTTGGAATGTTCATGGGTGTCATGCCGAGGGCCGATACAGGTTCTTGGGTGGGAGACGTGCGATGAGCTAATGACTGAGAGACGGGATGAGGTGAGACACGTTGAGGTGGTACGCTTTGAGGCGTCTTGGGCGCATGTGTCCTGGGAACATTGTCACGTGTTGAGGAGGGAGTTGTGGGAGTTGTGGGAGTGTGGTCTTGGGTGCACAAAGTCCTTGGTGTCGGTTTAGGAGTCTTTGGATCTGGCTTAGGGGTCACTTGCCTAGTTGGCGGTGTTTTTGCAGCCTCTCCAGAGTCGGGAGATGAGTTGTTCTCCAAGTCACCCTCCAGCTCAACAATTCGCGACTCCTCGAGCGGGCCCCCGAGATATCGCTCCGTGACACGTTCGAGGACATTTTCCAAATCCACTTCCAAGATACTCTCAATGTCGTGATCAGACACGTGTTCCCAGTCCTGCTCCCCGCGTTCCGGCCCCTCTGTGTCGTAGTTGGCCAGAACGGGAGGTCTGTCTTCAGGCAGGTTGAGAACCCGCTTGAGTTCTCTGATGCGCGCCTCGGCCTCGAGCGTGAGTCCCGACGACGCGCGTATGCCCTGGGGGTCGTATTGGGGCTCTTGTTGTGTTGGTTGTTCCTCGGATCTAATCAGTCGGTACAGGCTCCATCTCCACAGCCCTGAAACGTGTCTGGACAGCCGGGCGTGCACCGGCGACGGACAGATGGAAGACAAGGGTCGAGAGCGGGAGACTATCAAATGTTGTGAGGCGGCGGCTGGAGCTTGTGAGGGGTCGTCTGGAGCCGCGGAGTCAAGTGGAGATCCGTGTCTTGTGGTCGCACTTGCCACCCTCGATCTCCACCCTTCAAACTGCAAGGAGGGGAGTTCCCCATGGAAACGAAGCAGTTGTGTAGCTACCATGGACAGATGCTGACAACCCTCCAAGTTAGCAATAGACGTGTATGTGTGTGGTTCTCCTTATTAGGTGGTGGGACACAGACGTGTACGTGCACGTTCACACTACATGTCCAAAAAAAGGGCCCGCCGCAGAAATAGAGCCACTCTAGGTTTCGAACTGCTGGAACATGCAGAAGCTCGTCTGCCCCCGTAGATCTGATAAGGGCGAGTGGGGGAGTGGTGAAAAGCACACCATGGGGCTATTTGGGGCAGTTACACTCGGAAATATGGGGCTGTGATCGCGGACCATCACGTGTCTTTGGTTTTATTTGTCACCTTTCCCATTTACTCCACGGTTTGACCCGCTCCAACTGCCGTCCAAATTCCAGACTCTATGTCCATTCCATCTATCGTACATTAGATGAAACCTTCCCAAACGGGAACTCTACATTCCAGCCAGCCTTACGAGGGAGCTGACAGACCCGTTAATGGCGACTTGTTGGGCACAAAAGGCTCTTCTGTCCCACATGGCTGCTCCAACAACGTCTTGGAGACCAATAATCAGCCGCCAAAAGCCCGTCATCCATCAAAAGTCGGACGATCCAAAACTCCCAAAATAGCTCTGTTTCCAGCCGAGTCAAAAAGAGTTGGCCGATTCGACCTGTGACTTGCGGATACGAGAATGCAAGTGCGAGCATGGCCATAGTTGGCACTGTTAGTAAGCCAAGAGAGAGAGAAAAACACGAGCTCGGTGGGAAATTCGAATCACGTGACCTAGACGGTTTCTTCTCCTGGCTTGTTCAGCCCGGTTGTGCTTCCATCCATTCGAGGTGCCGGCGGCACAATGGAGTGTTTGTTCGTATGTACATCGACATGGCGTTCAAATAGGGGCGACGACAGCAGGGAGATAATATTTACACCCCGAGAAACCAAAATTAGTTCCGGAATGCCCGGAATGTCCGAAAAAGCCGTCTAACGAGTCTAGCGCGAAAAGTACCGTCTTTCCCAGCTTCCACGAGGAGAACACCATGTGAATGGGGACAAGCTTGATGTTGAGGTGAGAGGTAGTGTCTAGAGGAGGCGAATGGGACTTGTGATTACGGCGAAAAAGGCGATTAAACAGCTGTACAAGTATTGAGATTATCTTCTATATAGCCCCTGGAAGCTGTTCATTCCTACAGTATGAAAACGTATGTTTCTCGTGAAGCAGGGTGTACAGCGAGTTAGTCCACTGCTGTTATCAACAGTTTTATGGTACGATATCGGTAAGAGTACGAGTAGCCACCGGCGCAGTACATACTGTGCAGTACATATACAGAGTACACCTCAGAGTACATCTGGTTATTCGGGCGGTTTAGGGAGGTTACTTCTGGTTTTATGCCAACAAAAGAATCCGAGTATAGTAACAGCTTGATACCTATAAGGTCAAGTAAAATAGGACTATGTAGTAGAAAATGTACATAAGTGATGAGATAAATGTAGCAACAATCGAATTCTGCCATTAAGACGAGCAAATCAAGACTCTCGCCATCTTTTTATCCCAAAAGTAGACCAAATTAGAAGTGTCATGTTCCGATGGAGCAACTCCTCAGCATTGAACTTGCCCCTTACTTGTACAACATACCCACACCATCACAACTCACCCACACAAAACTGACATCACAATACACGGTCAACGTTTAACAACCACATCAACTGATTCACGTGACCGCCCATCATGCCCACGCCACGTGATGCTTTCTTTCTGCTCTCATTTCCACCATCTGACCTCCGCCACTTTTGGTGAGCTAATTTTGAGGGTTTGAAAATTCTTCAGCCACGTTTGTAGGTCGTTCGGCGTTCCTATTGGTCGAAACCTTAATTCCAAAACGGAAATGTGGCGAGTTTCGGGACAGGTGCATGATTTGAGGCTAATAGAGTTGGGGATATGTGGCTGGAGAATGGGGAGGGGAAATTGGAGACACTATCGGACATTGTTGGAGCAGTGGATCGGAACCGATATGAGTCTGACGCTGAGATTTCGCCCATCCTACCAACATACGTCACGTAGTATTCTTCCTTGTTGGCCGCCGTGTGGTGGTGCATAATCTGAATGTTGTGCGAGCAAATAGCAGGGTTTGGGTGCATTAAATAAGTGTGTGGTGAAGGTTAAAGAAGCGTACGACCTTTATTAGGTGTGTTTGGAGATGAGGGCTTCTCTTTCTGTCATTCAGTGGACACCAACGATAGCTACGAGACGATAAACCGCGTGTTTGACGAGCTGAGACACGATAGAAACATCACGCACCTACACAATCACCTACACCTACACCGACAGCACCAGCAGCAGACAGCAAACGATAGTAGGGAAAACACTAGCCTTTTTGCCACAGTATCGTGTGACCTATACAAGTCAGTGGTCACCCTTATCACGACATGAACCGAATCAAAGCACCTGGTGGGGCGCCCAATATCCACACGCACTTTGTGCTTCTTCGATCCCGAGCTTTTTCTTCCACACAAAAATGCATGGACTATCCTGCGCACGACAACCCCTCGCCCTACGAGATCTTTGGCATGGGCCCGCACAATCTCAACCAAAAGGCCCTCAAGCGCGAGTACTACATTCTGGCGAAAAAATACCATCCCGACTCCAATGGTTCGAGTGAAGAAACCGCAGATTTGACCAAGGAGATCAAAGATGCGCGGTTCCGAAAGATCTCCAATGCCTACGAGATTCTCAAAAACCCCAGTAGACGACACGCCTACGACAGATTTGGCCAGGGCTGGGAGGGAGCTCGTCCGGGGCCCTACGGTCAAGATGGCGCCACTTCGAACCTGTACAACCAGGCCTCCACCGCTACAGCTGGCCATGGACCTCGGTACTCGACCCAATCGGACGGGTTCTGGGGCGCCTCGGGATGGCAGGACTATGAGGATTTGCGTAACCACAGCAGCAAGGCAAAACAAAACGAGAACACGACCCTCATCGGCATGGCTTTGGTCGTGGTCGCGGTGGTAGTTACTTACTTGCAGATCAAACGAATCATCGACGTGATGGAGGACCAATATTTCCGAGTTAAGGAGCAGAACAAGAAGCTGGAAGACTCGCTGTTCTGGGCCCGAAACAATTACGGATTTGCACAGGGCAAGGACGACCGAGTATCTCGGTTCCTGGTCATGCGACGAAACTCGCTGGCCGAGGAAGGAGACTACATGGAGGCCCAGCTGAGTGAAGACAACTGGCGACGGCGAAAGATTGCCGAAAAGCGAGCCAAGCAAGCAGAAGCGGCAGCGGCAGCAGCATCCAACGGTGAAGAAGTGCATGGCAAGCTGGATGCTACTCCCGAGCCTCCGGTCCGTCCCCCTCCCACTGCTCTCGAGGTGGTGAATGCCTTTTCCAAGTCTGAGCTCATTTCCAAGGCCGTTTCTCTGACCACCAAGGATCAGGTGGTCTCCACAACGTCGGCTGTTTTTACAGATTCACTTCTGACGTCCATCCAGGGTGTGGATAAAGAGTAGATGGTGGACATGGAGGCGAGAACGGAAAGCCATTTTGACACGATATAATGAATGCATATTTATTTCTGACTAAGATAAAGTGGCAATGGAGAGCGGAAAACGTAGCGTTTCAGCGTGCGTTCAAGTGTGTAGCTGGTTGGTCATTCATCTCGACTCTATCACCAATATGGAAGATTGCTCGGCTCCGTCATTGCATGTTCCGAATAGCGTATGTGCAGTAGGAGTACGGTCCCGATCGTTGGGTTCTTTCTTGTAAGACGACTGGAGTGTGTGTTTGTGGCATCAGTAGTCTGAGCTTCTACAAGTCGCTGGGACCGGCCTCGCAGTTGCACTGTTGCCGCGAAACGCATGGTGGTGTCTACAAGGTGAAATGTGGCATCTGAACACTTAACGGCCATATCTGCCAAGCCCCCAACGGTTGTACCCATGGCCCGATAATGCCTGATAACGAGCTAGCCGCCTTGGCAGGGGAACTTGCTACTGTAGGCTCCACTGCACGGCACTATCTCTTTGTCACAACGGAGACACAAACGGCGTCAAGAGAGACACATACTAGAAAGGTTTTGCTAGTTTGGTGCTAATGAGGATGAAGAGGACAAGTACAAGTAGCTGACGGCGGTGTTGTGTGGTGGAGCCAGGTGCTGTAGTGTAAGAGAAGGCCTTTCTCCAAGAGTCTCAAAACTAGTCCACTAACATCTTCAATTCTTACCGGTCCTTGCGTAGACATGGTAGACTTGCGAAACGAATCTTTTCGCTTAGGATATCTTCATATGAATGGTCAACATCTCTCAAACAAGGTACGAGAGTGTGTAATGTACTAAATAGGACATGAACCATCGACATGAAGTACCAATGTCTGTTATAGGCGGATCATAACCCAGGTAACATACCCCAGAGACGGATCTCACCGTCTAGACGCCGTGCCGATCAAGCCACATTTGAGCCTTGCCAGTGGGGTGTCCCAAACCGGTTGACTTGACATACCCTTGTGTTACTAAGACTAAGACTGCATGGCATGGCACGGCACTGATGGGCTGTAAGACTCCAGAAAACCGGTGTGCGAGACCGGGCGCTCGAAACGTTTGTTTTTTTCGGAGCTCGTACGTTTCTTTGTGTCTCCAAGCGAGCCAGCCACGGTCCCTAGACTCAGGTGAGGCTTATCTAGGTTTACGGCTGAAGAGGGCCTATCTGGTGGGCGTTGGAGGTTAAGGCGTGGCCAGGGAAGTCCAGAGACCGTTCATGTGGATGATGAAACATGCTGGGTGTCGAGGAGGTTTTTGCATGCAACACAAACACGTCTGAAATTGAAGTATATATCAATATATGCCCAAAACACCCCACATTGGCTTATCTTCTTGGTTATCAAATGAAACTCATGGATACTTTAGTGTCTACCTTGAGTTTGAGCTGGGTAAGATTGTGGAGACCGAACCTAGTTGCAGAGAGGAGTTGTCATCGGGGCAAGGGGGGAATATCGAATTCCGACTGTTTTCATTCTCCACCAAACGATCAAGAAATCCAGGTGTATTGGCACATGATCGCCAAGTCTCGCTTACATGCTGGTCCGTTGCTTGGCGGCTTGGCACCTCCCCATTCACGTCTAGAGTTTAGACTCCACGACCCGCAGTTGACTGCTTGTAATCACCAACGATACAAATCTGAGACACGGTCGACTTTATGAAGATATCAGCGCACAAAGAAAACCACACAAGACCGCTGTCTGCTCCTTGTTTGTTGCCGGAGGGGACCCTTGGCGTGCATCGAGCCGTGCAGTGGATGCCGAAGCTTGCAGTTGCAAACAAAGAAAACCTGCCTTCTCCGGAACCTGCTACCTAGGGGACTTGTAGTCGGATATTATTTCCATGTCAATCAGGGTGATCTCTGAAGACTTATAACCTGGAGTCTGTCCTGCTTGTGTGGTTCAACTCCAGTCTCCCACAATGACAGACATCAAGCCTGTGGACCTCGACACCAAGGAGTATGACATTGACACGGCCGATGTGCGGGAAATCACCCTGCACACCGAGGAATGGATTGCGCAGAAGCTGCTGATTCCTCCCTCGGACGTTGACGGCACCTACCCTCGAAGTGTGACCGTCATCTCCCAGGCGTTTGAGAACATGAGCGAGGCCGAGGCCATTGCCATTGTCAAAAAGGCCTGGGACCAACACAGTTCCGACGCCAACTTAACCGCCGAACACAAGGATGTGTTGCAGCACCTGATCGAGATGATAGGAGAAGGCAAAGAGGGCGAAGATGAATCTGTGCCTCCTGAGGATCTCGAAGAGCTCAAGTACCAGGCCTGTCTGTTCCATCACTGGTCTCCCTACCAGCAGGTCCGATCCGTGACTACTCCCTTTGACGACCAAGACGAAGAGTGCGAGACTTTTCGATGCTACGTTATTGGTATCATCTGGGTCGGTATTGCTGCCTTTGTCAACCAGTTCTTCAGTCCTCGTCAGCCCCCCATCCAGCTGACTGTGGCAGTTATCCAGTTGCTTCTGTACCCCTCGGGTCGTCTGTGGCAGTTCATTTTCCCAGATTGGGGCTTCAAAGTCCGAGGAGTTCGATACAGTCTAAATCCCGGCCCGTGGACCCAGAAAGAACAGCTTCTGGCCACGCTCATGGCCTCTGTCGCCAATGTGCCTCCCTATATTGACTACAACATCTTTGTGCAGTATCTGCCCAAGTTCTACAATCAGCCCTTTGCCCTCAACTTTGGCTATATGGTAATGATGATGCTGACGACACAGTTTATGGGCTTTGGCATGGTTGGATTCCTGCGAAAGCTCGCCGTATACCCTGCCAAGGCCATGTGGCCCACCCTGCTACCTACTCTGGCCGTCAACAAGGCTCTACTTGCCCCCAACCGAAAGGAGAAGATCAACGGCTGGACTATGACTCGATACACCTTCTTTCTGCTGGTGTCTGCCATTGCCTTCATCCAATTCTGGGTGCCCAACTACCTGTTCCAGGCCATTTCCACCTTCAACTGGATGACCTGGATTGCGCCAAACAATGTAGTTCTGGCCGCCATCACCGGAGGCGCCTCTGGTCTGGGCTTCAACCCCATTTCTTCGTTTGACTGGAACCAGTTCACCGCGGCGGTTTTCCCGGTAATGTTCATGCCAATCTCATCGCTCGTTCTGGGAGTCTCAGGCATGTTTGTCGCCGGCTTCATCATCCTGGCTGTCTGGTACACCAACACCCAGTACGCCGGCTACCTTCCCATCAACTCTGCAGACGTGTTTGACAACACTGGTCTTCCTTTCAACGTGTCTCGAATTCTGACCAACAACGAGTTTGACGAGGCCAAGTACCGGGCCTACTCGCCTCCCTACTACGCCGCAGCCAACCTGGTGGTCTATGGAGCCTTCTTTGCTGTCTACCCCATGTCTTTCTTCTACACGGTCATAATGGAGTGGGAGATCATGAAGGTCAGTCTGCGAGACCTGTACGACGGCTTCAAACACTGGAAACGGTCTAATTACTACGGGTTCGACGACTACTTCAGCCGAACCATGTCCAAGTACGCCGAAGTGCCCCAATGGTGGTACATGGTGATTCTGCTCATCACCTTTGGCATGTCCATTGCTCTGATTGAGCACTGGAACACCAAGGCCACCGTGTGGATGCTGGTGGTGGTCATGCTCATCAACTTTGTCTGTCTATTCCCCTTTACCATCGTCATGTCCTACACGGGTATCCAATTCACTCTTAACGTGCTGGTGGAGCTCATTGTGGGCTACGCTCTGCCCGGTAAGGGTATTGCCATGATGATTCTCAAGGCCTTTTCTGTACAGATCCAGATCCAGTGCCAAAACTTCCTGACAGACCAGAAGGTGGGCCACTACGGAAAACTACCTCCCAGATCAATGTTCCGAGTCCAAATGCTGGCCACTATTGTCGCTGGTCTGGTTACCCTCGGAGTCATGCAATTCCAGCTCAATGATGTTGAACACATGTGTGACGTGAAGTACCAGACTTCTCATGAAAAGTTCACCTGTCCGTCGGAAACCGTCTTCTTCTCCGCCTCCGTCATTTGGGCTGTGGTGGGACCCAAAAAGATCTTCGACTCCCAGTACCCCATTCTGCGATGGTGTTTCCTCATTGGCTTTGGAATCGCCCTGCTGTTTGTCTTCCTCCAGAAGTTCGTGCCTAGAATGCTCAAGAAGCGATACCCCGACCGAGCCTCTGAGATTACCAAGTGGGAGGCCCGATTCAAGGAAGTTAACCCGTCCATCATCTGCTACGGCTTCCTCAACTACGCCCCATACAACCTGACCTACGTGTGGTCCGGAGTCTACCTGGCCTTCTTCTTCAACGTGTACATCCGAAAGCGGTTCCCCGGGTGGTGGGAAAAGTACACCTACGTCTTCTGCTCGGCCATGAACACCGGCATTGCCCTCAGTGCCATCATCATCTTCTTCGCGCTCCAATACACCAACGTCAACCTCACCTGGTGGGGCAACACGGTTTCATTTGCCGGTGTCGACGGAGCTGGCGGAGCAGGCATCGTCCCCATTCCAGACAAGGGCTTTTTCGGCCCAGACTCTGCTCATTATCCTTAGTAATTAGTAATTTAGTATTATGTGCTTGTAAAATCACGCCTAGCAAAGTAGAAAAAGTATCTAAGAGACGAGATGAAGATGAAGGGGGACAAGACCACAAATCAGAAGGGTTGAAAACAAGCCTTTATTTTATCCTACCTTGGTTAAATTTCCATATTTCTTCCCGTAGCCAGGATATCAGGATATCGTCAGTAGCAAAATTTCCCATTTTTTAACTATTTTTTATTTTTAATTATTACAGGGGCGTTCAATACATCATGTACTTGTTGCGATGTGGATTTTCGAGGCGCTGTCAGTTGGATCGTCGTCGCTTCATCTTGTCCTTGTCCTTGTCGCCGTCTCGTGGTAGTGAATCAAGACCAAAAAATCAATAAATCAATCATATCAATCGTCTGATGTCTTATTCTGCTGCTGTTTTTTTTTCCAAAAAAAATAAAAAAAATCTAAGGAAATACATTTCAGCTACTTGAGGCCTAAAGACAATGATATACCCGCAAAACGGATTCGATATCGGCTTCGGTTGTTCAGAAGAACGGATGGCATTCGTGTTCGCTTGTTCACGGATTCTTCCTGTTCCATCTCTTGACCGGATATATCAACAGGGGTTCTATCTATGTTTTTTTTTCCCTAATAATCTGGTTTCTTTTTTTATTCTAATGATTCATTACATGGTCACGCGACCTAAACATTAGACTGCACAGGCCACAAAACCAAAAATATTTGTTAGAACCCAGGCCCCGTGACTAAGCCGACTGATGACTCAGCCGGGGTGGCCATACCGAAGGTATGGTCACTGCCGTCACTCTCAAGAAAGGTGTATTAGAATACATGGAATACAGGGGTTTATATGTTATCCAGGGTTGCGGCGCAACCCTTTGTCCGTGATAGCAGGCTTGGCATATCGATATTAATGATAGCGTAATCCCACTGAGGGCCCACGTGGTGGCCCCTCGTCGTAGTCTCCGCTAGCGGTTCACGAGAGACTAATCAGGCGGCTATTTCTTAGCCGCTGATCCCTAACATCATCCTCCCCTAAGATGAAGTCGTGGAGCGACTTCCATCTTACACGATAAAAGCACCATGATTCGACGTCGAGATGTCCAAGACAAACATCTCCGTGAACAACAGATCTTATGGATCAGACTATCCATACAATAGGTGCAGCTCTCAGCGACCGAGAACTTACACGAGCACGTTGAACTCCTCATGACCAGAGAACAATCACAGCCGACGACATCAACCCGGGGTCAATGTCTAGAATAACAAGGCAAAACACAGCCAACTTCGCAGCTGACGGATCAACACCGACAACCACGTCGACTAGGCTTCAACAGTTCCAGTGACAGGAAACTCGCCTCGGAGAGCAGACTCTCACATCTCTAACAGACCAGAGATGGCTGTACTGTACCAACGTAACCTCAGCAATAACACTGAGCCGTTCATCCCAATCCACACCGAAATGAACAAACCGACATACGAGAAATAGAAACATCAGAAACCGTTTCGTTCCTTTCTCACCCCACCTCAAGATGATAGCATCATCTTCAATGCGACTTAACACACTCCAAGGGATCTACCGACACAGACAGAAAGAAAAGTCTGGTCTAAACCCTTAGAACAGCAACATGACGATAACAACACGTCATTACTCACCTCAGGACGACAACCTAGTCGAACGTAGCGGAGGCTTTGGCAGTGGAAGCGACTACTTGTAAAGTCCACACAACAGACTTACAAAACAGGGGGAAACATCACGAACGAGCCATGACCAAGTTCAGTGATAACGGGTTGCCGCGACAAGTTCTTGTCTCCAGCGACACTAACCAGCAGGTCGCAGGGAACTTGAGCTGACCAATACCGGTGGCTGAGTTTAGAGAGAATCTCAATCGTTGGTACGCCAACCGTGTCATTCGAAGACACTCTTGAATTGCTAACTCTTTCTCACGAGTCCATATGACGTCCCGGACCGCTCTTGAAGACGACGAGACAATAGTCGTCAGAGTTCCATGTGTTATGCAGCTGGACACAGCCCAACACAAACCTTATGTGGCAGATAATGCACACCTTGCAGCAATTCAACCGGAAGACACCAGCAGGGAGCCTATCTTCCTCAACCAACATGTTACTGTACCATTGCACTCCATCGACTAGGATCAGTCGTCTCATGAAGCCTCCTTTAAGCAATCACAGACACACGCCAGTTCCGCAACATAGTGGCCTCGATGCGTCGTAACCGAGTATGACGACAACGCTGAACGGAATCCTTCATGGGGATGCCCTCCACCGCAGCTGAAACGACTCTCGAACCGTTCCTATGAAGCGCAGCCGAACCAAAGACCGTCGGCTATTCACTCGGAGCAACCATGCTACAACGAGTGCAAGATACGTCCTCTTGTCGAGCGCGCCTCCTTGGGGAGAAGACGTCACTCCTGTGAACTTGACTGTCCACCTTATGGCAGTAGGAAGGTATGGAAAGCTGGCAGAACCGCAGCACCTTCGCTACTCTCAGTGCAGACGCCACGTCTGATGTCGCACTGCCGTGAGCTCCATCACCGACATCGTCACTCTGGGATACATCATCCACAGACATCAGCCAGCGATACCATCACTCACTCAGCCAGCTCCTCGACAGCCGGAGCGTGACTCCCACGACGACGGGATGAGACTGCTAGACGATATGACACCAATACATGTCGATAGCCATCGCCATTCTTCTCACCTCTCATCCTTGGAGAGTAGTCATAGTCATGCCAACTCTCCTACCACTCGTGCATACTCACTCTCCCCTCCTCCCACGGAGGCCTTGTCGATACTGCGACTCCAGGGTGACACCATCTTCACCCCTCAAAGAGACGCCGACAACTAGAGAGGCTCGTCCCCACTCGCCTCTACCTGTACCCAGCCACCCCTAAAAAAAATTCCGGGGTTTTGGAACGATGACCTGAACTGAAGGCAGCACAACGGTAGTGACTTGGCGAATTCGACGACCGTAGCGGTGTAGTGTTGTGTCGTGTAACCTGACCGACCTTCCCTGGCCTGGTTCTCGCCCCAGAATCGCATGCAACAAGTGCATCGCTACCAGATGTTAGAACCCAGGCCCCGTGACTAAGCCGACTGATGACTCAGCCGGGGTGGCCATACCGAAGGTATGGTCACTGCCGTCACTCTCAAGAAAGGTGTATTAGAATACATGGAATACAGGGGTTTATATGTTATCCAGGGTTGCGGCGCAACCCTTTGTCCGTGATAGCAGGCTTGGCATATCGATATTAATGATAGCGTAATCCCACTGAGGGCCCACGTGGTGGCCCCTCGTCGTAGTCTCCGCTAGCGGTTCACGAGAGACTAATCAGGCGGCTATTTCTTAGCCGCTGATCCCTAACAATATTAACCTCCGGTTTCTTGGTCTAGTTGGTCATGGCATCCGCTTTACACGCGGAACGTCGGCAGTTCGATCCTGTCAGAAATCATTTTTTTTCCCAAACGAGTTTTGGTATTTTTTTTGGATCAAGCAAACCCCAACGCTTATTTTGACGTACTCCGAGTCTTACCATACTGATTACTTCCTCCCCGAACTGTTACACAGTTTTCCTTGATTACTCACACCTTTTTCAATTATCAATATCATTCAATAAATACTCAAACCACGTCTAATAATCTATCTTACTTCTCCATGTCGGCCCAGGCGTCAAAAACGTCGTCCTTGGCGGCTCCAGCGTCCTGGCGTCGGAAGTAGACTCGCTTACCAAACTTCCACAGCTCAACCAGCACCAGGAAGATGGCCAGCGCGGCAAAGCAGATGCCCCACTCCCAGGAAATGCCCTTGTGGAGGAACACCTTGTCGTTGATGACAGGGATGTAAATGCAGGGGAAGACGGTGAAGAAGCCGCCGATGACAGACCAGAAGAGCAGCTGGTTGCGCCATAGGTCGTTGAAGGCCTGCTTGGGGGGCTTGATGAAGACGGACCGTCGCATGTCGACCACCTCCCACGCCAGGAAGAGCATGAACCAGGTGATTTCGGCAAAGGCAACGGACCGGCCTCGGAACACATAGTGACACGACTCGGAGTACTCCTTGTTACACAGGTAGCCTAGCTCTCCTCCTCCATCTCCATAGACCACAATGGCGAAGGAACCCAGACACAGACCGGCCATGATGAGGCCGTAGACCATCATGTCCATGAGCAGCTCGTAGGAGAAGACACCCTTCTTGGGGTCACGTGGGGGCAGTTCCATGAGATCGGGAGCACCTTCCTCGAGACCCAGACCCATGGCGGGTAGGGCAGAGGTGACCATGAGACACCAGAGGATTTCAATGGGCGAGATGGGGAAGGTGGAGAAGTCGTCCGAGTCCATGAACACAAGACCGACCATTTCAAACACGCAAAAGGCCACGTTGGCAGCAAGCAGATGCAGCACAAACTTCTGGATGTTGTCGGCCATTCGTCGTCCCTCTTCCACGGCGTTGAGAATAGAGGCAAAGTTGTCGTCTGACAGAACAATATCAGAGGCGTCCTTGGCAACGTCGGAACCAGCGATACCCATGGCGATACCAACATCGGCCTTGGCGAGCGAGGGAGAGTCGTTGACACCATCTCCAGTCATGGCAGTGAACCGTTGTCGTCTGTGAAGAGCGTCAATCATTCGGACCTTGGTGGTGGGAGAACATCGGGCAATAACAAGGGGAAGAACAGGGAGAGCGTCGATCTGCTCGTCGGTCAGGGCGTCAAACTGCATGGCGGTCATAACCATGGCGGAAACCACGGACTCGGGGTAGTCGGCGATATCTCGAGGTAGGATTCCAACCTCCTCGGCAATGGCTCGTGCGGTTCCAGGGTGATCTCCAGTAAGCATGTGGACATTGATTCCGGCCCGATGGCATTGGGCCACGGCACCAGCAGACTCAACACGGGGAGGATCATAGATTCCAACGAGACCCAGGAAGGTGAGACCCTGCTCCATCTTGACTCGGTCCTTGGCGTCCTCAGTCTCGAGGTCAACAGGTCTGGTAGCAAACGCAAGCACTCGGAGACCCTGCTTGGCAAAGGCGTCCATCTGCTGCTGAATCATCTGGTCAACTTCGGGGGTGAAATCCTCAGTGGTTCCACTGGCGTTGATCCAGGTGGAGCAGCACTCGAGAACACGCTCAACAGCGCCCTTGGTGTAGACAGTGGACTGGCCCTTCTCCCCGTCAGTGTAGACGGCAGACATTCGCTTGATGGTCGAGTCAAAGGGGTGCTCGGCAATGTGGGTATATCCAATTGTATCTCGTCCAAAGCCCAGTCGGGAAGTGAAAACCTGGATGGCAATCTCAGTAGGGTCTCCAGACGCGGTCCAACCATCAGTCTCGTCCTTCTTGACCTCAGCAATGTTGGCCAGGGTGGCAGTGTACAACCAGGGGGCCAGAGAAGCAGGAACGTGGGTGTGGGAGATGATCTCCGGGTCCTCATCTGAGGAAGAGTCCTCGCTCTCGTTCACGTTGATGGCCTTGATGGACACGGACTTGTTGGAGTACCGTGACACACAGGGAGACAGAGACAGGTCCTGGTCAATCTTCTTGTTGGCCTTGACGGTCATTCGAGCGTCGGCAACAGGGTCCACTCGTCGCAGCTCCACCGAGCCCTCGGTGGGGTTGTAGGGATGAGTAATGTTCTGCACAGACAAAGTACCGAGCGAGGGCACCCAGCACTTTCGGGCCACCATCTTTCCTTGGGTCAGGGTGCCGGTCTTGTCGGAGCAAATGTCGTTGACGGCACCGAGAGCCTCGAGCGAGTCGAGTTTTCGCACAATGACGTTTCGCTTGACCATAATCTTGGTGCCCACGGCCATGGTGATGGTGAGCACGACAACAAGGGATGCGGGAATCATGGACACAGCGACAGCAACGGCGTAGATGGCGACCTCTCGTGTCACATCAAACTTCTGAGCAGCCATGACGACAATGGCCATGACGACGGCAATAACGAAAATGAGCACGGCGAGCTTGGCCAGTCTGATCTGCAGAGGCGTACCGGTGTTGGTACCCAGGAAGGTCTGGATGTAGTCTCCGCACGTGCCAAAGAAGGCGGACATTTTGGCTCCAAAGGAGTCGTCCTTGGGCTTTCGGAAGCTGGTCTTCTCGCCCTGCAAGGATTTGGCAATGGTTCCAATCTCTGTGTTCATACCGGTGGAGGTGACAATACCCTTGGCTCGGCCCTTGGAGACAACAGAGGAAGAAAAGGCCATGTTGACTCGGTCTCCAACGGGACAAACGGGGTCGTCGAGAGTGGCGGGGTCCTTGACAACGGGCAGCGACTCTCCAGTGAGCAGCGCCTCGTCGGTCTCAAAGTTGACGCCGGAAATGAGTCGGAAATCAGCGGGAATGGTATCTCCGACCTTGACGGTCACAATGTCTCCAGGCACAACCTCTTCGGACTCGACCACGAGCTCCTTGCCATCTCGAATCACGTTGGCGGAGGGCGACGAGAGGTTTTTGAGCGAGTCAAGAGTCTTTTCGGCGTTGTACTGCTGGATCACGCCCACCACAATGTTGATGGCGACCACACCGGCAATGACGCCGGCGGAAATCCAGTCTCGAATTCCAAACGCCACGCACATTGCAATGATCATGACCATGATCATGGCGTTGCAGGACTGGCCAATGATCACCTGGAGCAGCGACACGGCGTCTCCGGTGTCCAGCGCATTGGGACCATGCTGCTGGCGCTGAGTGGCCACCTGCGACGACGAAAGACCCTGCTCCTCATCACAGGCAAAGTGGCTCAGCACCTGCGGCACGTCCAGAGTATGGAAGGCAGTTGGGGGGGATTGAGAAATGTTATCAGTCATGTTTCAAAGGGGATCCGGTGAATGGCTGACTAATTCATGAGCTGTTCTTCTGACGTCGACTTGTGGGTGGAGAGCGGAGGTTCGAAAACTTGATGGAAAAAAAAAGGCGAGTCCGTAGCCCGTCCGCCACGCTCTTATATATTTGCTGCACCCATAAGCCAAGCCTTTTTTGGCCCTCTCATCTGTTGCACTCTACATTATGGCTTGTGGAGCCCGCCAAGTGCAAAGTCAGCGCTACGTGCATACAAGAGACAGCTGACGCCCAAACGGGAAATTCCGTATTCGGCTTATCAAAGCGACTGCTCTTAATGTAGAGTGTAATGTACGTGTGCGGCTGGAGCCAAAATACCGAGCCTAAAATGTCACGAGACATGTTTGAGATTTTTTTCAGACCGTACCACTGAACCAAGAGTAGCAGAGACGGGGGCCCAAGAGGAGAGCTTGCGGGGCGAAATCCGCACTGTGGGATACTGGTTGTCACGTGACCCTTGGCGTTTGTCCATATGCCCTTCCCCTCCTCTATCACCATCACTCTGGCTCTGCTATAATTCCCACCACCACCTCAAACCTCCGAACTCAAATTGCTCCATCATGCTGTTTTGCCCTCGATTAACCGGTGGAGCGCGCCCGTTGTCAAGCGGAAGGGTAAAATATTTGCAAAAGCAAAAACTCTGACACACAAGCCGCGGCAAGAGTGAAAATCCAGCTAGCTGTGGTCATCGTGAGTCCCGGTCCGCGACCCAAACGGCCCAACGGCCAAACAGCCTAACAGCCAAACAGCCAAACAGCCAAACAGCTGCCCAACTCCGATCAGCTGCCCAACCTCAGACGCTAGTTTATGGATCGGAGGGTCCAATGGGCGGGCAGTAGATGACGCCACCCAATGGGGCCTTGTGGGCACTGTACACACGTACTGGGGCCGTACCTTTGACCGTGTCCACCTTCTACCAGCGCTTGCAACTCCTCTCCTGGGGACAACTCTATACAGCAGCAGTTTCCGCCTTGCTTCCGGAGGGTGAAGGGCCAAAAGCGAAAAAGATGGAAGTGGAAAAACAAATTAAAAAATACTTGAAAAACAGTGGAAAAAACAGTGGAGAATTCCGGGCCATTTTTGGTCCCAAACCCACAAAAACATGCCCCGTCCACCAAGTATATGCCTCAGACACACTACTGCGGGTAATCATGTGACCCAGCCACCTCCCAGACCACATTAGCTCAAGGCAGACACTATCAGAAGGACCCAAAAAAAGACGAGAGCGCGGCGGCGCCGTTGACTTTTGGGTTTCGGTCCACAAGCGGCCCTGACAAGTTATGCTCGTATGTACTGGCGGTCTGGGTTTCTTGGCACGGTCGGAGAGTCCAAGGGACAGGTCCGATCACGTGGAGCGATTGGTTGTAATATCTGTCGTGGTACGGACGTGATCAAACCAGTCGAGGGTGTCGTGAGCCCCCTTCAACTATACGTACGTTTCACAGTTAACGTCAAACTCCCATCTCCTGGCACTTGTACCTTAACTTTCTGTAGGACTGGTCACGCACCTTTTTCAAAAAAATATCTTTTTTTTTTTTCTTTTCCCTTTTTTCCTTCTCTTTTCTCTTCTCTTTTCTCTTTTTTTTCTTCCCTTTTTTTCTCTTTTTTTCTCTTTTTTTCTCTTTTTTTCTCTTTTTTTCCTCCCAACTATTTGCTCGGCAAGACATTGCCTCCCCTTGCCCTACTTTTCGGCCCATGTTGCACCAGCCAAGAGCTCGACAGCTCTCCTCCTGGCCTTGCTGGGTGGGGGTAAATTTGCCGCCGGAAGGACCTCAGTAATGTGGGGTATTACCGTCTTTACTTGTTGAGCTGTTGGGTTGGTTCAGGTAAACCATTCATTTAGTATACTGTCCTGATACTTTGATGAAAAGTTGGAACAAACCAAGGCCGTCTAGTCTGAGTTGCGACCGTCGAAGACCCACAACCCCGTCAGCCGAGCCTTACCTCGCCCATCCGCAGATCGCTGGACACCTTGTCAAGCCGGTACCTTTTGCTATCCCTTCCAGCGGTCTCACTATGATGAAAACGTGCATGTTTGGTGCCAGGTTTGGTGCCATGTCTGAAAACCATGCCTCTACGGTGTATCCTCGGGCTTGGGCCTCCGTACCGCGAGTGGGGGTCCGGGACAAGACGGAATTGTGGCTGGAATGGGACCAAGAATAGCCCATTTGACCAGGCGCTCTTGTACGTACTCGTACTCGTACTCTGGCTCTCTCTCTCCATGCGTCATCATCAAGACGATACTGTAGGTTGGCGCCCGCTTAAAGTTGAGCCGTGCAACGGGAGACAGGACAGCCGCAAGTTTGTCGACGGACTATTGACTATTTTCCGACAAGGTGCGATACGACGGCGGTTGTAGCCAGCCAGCAGCGGAGAGCGGGACATGTCATATGCCGTTGGGGTTTCAACATCACCTTCCTCCTCGGCTGCTCTTGCCCTCGTCAGACTCGTTCCAGACAAGGCCCAAAAACTGCACAGTGTCGCTTTCGCTTTCCTCAATTTTTCTTCCTATTTTTTTTTCTTTTTTCCTCTTTTTTCCTCTTTTTTCCCCTTTTTTTCCCCTTTTTTCCCCCCTTTTTTCCCTCTTTTTCCCTCTTTTTCCCTCTGTTTCCTTCTGTTTCCCTCTGTTTCCCTCTGTTTCCCTCTGTTTCCCTCTGTTTCCCTCTGTTTCCCTCTGTTTTCCTCTGTTTCCCTCTGTTTTCCTCTGTTTTCCCCTTTTCTCCCTTTTTTCCCTTTTTTCCCTTTTTTCTTCTTTTTTTTCTTTTTTTCCCCCTTTTTCACACCTTATTTGACGATAATCCAGCTAAAACCTGCCCGACATTGGCCGCAACCCGAGTTATCCGGGGTATGCAGCCTACCTTATCGCTGCAATAACCCCCCTCGGCTCGCACATTAAACTGTTTGTTATCAATAATTCTGCCGACTATCCTGCTGCTATAATACTGGGCGTTATCCCGGACCAAGCACCAGGCTCCTCCGGAATCTCCGACGTTTAGCATAGTGCCATAATCACACACAAGCTCTCCGGTTCGACCTTGGCATGTGCATCCATGACTCAGTGGAAAGGGCAAAGAGTAAATAATTCACCACCAGAATGAAATTATCCACCATCGGAGCAACGGTGCTCTCAAAGTCGACCGCTACCACCGGCTATGTACTGAAACGAGGCATGTATGACTCCGTCAATCGTCAATCGGGTAGCTATCAATAGTGATAGACTGACGATATTAAATACTCGTACACACCTTGCCATGTACCGTACAACATTGTACATCCGCGTCTCGTCTTCCGTATCCTCAGATGAGACCACTTTGAACAGTCGAACCACCATTGTTCGTATTCGACTGGAAGCTCGCATTATTATCGGACTGGCTGGACGATACACTTAGGACGATACACTTCGGATGATACACTTAGGACGATACACTTAGGACGATACGCTTCAGGTGATACTTGCTCTAGGACAGAGAGGGGAGTGGGGTGCCACAATGGCCGCAACCAGGTCGCGAATGCGGAATGCCGGCATTGACGTTGATTGCCGTCCAGCACTCGGACCATACTTTACCCTTCCGACCCTTTCTGTAATTGCTGGTAAATCCTGTACCGTGCACTCAACACTCCAATCTAAGAAGCAGGGGAGAGTCATATGATCTTTGGCAATTATTTCAGACCACGGCAACAGCGAGACAGATTCCCACCAATCGGAGACGCGACAAGTCCTCGGTTGTTGCTCAGTACGAGTACAGTATGTACCGTCCGGTTCCTGTATATACTGGGCCGCGTACGAACACCTCTCCACGGATCAGAAACATCCTGTAAGAAGAATCCCACGGGTCAGAAACATACCGCAAGAGGAAGGATCGGTCTAGACTCAACAAACGTCTCAAGTGTACGGACTTTTGTTGATCGTCATAGCCATAGCCATAGCCATAGCCATACCCATACCCATACCCATAGCCATAACCATGGCCGTAACCAATGGTACTTCCCCACAATGTCTCAGATATGTACAACAACCTGCTGTACCAATTGCCGATCAATTCACCTCTTTAATACGACACAATCCGGAAACGAACCTACATCCGTTGAACGGTCAACCTCCCACGTTGTATCCCCTGACTTTTTTTTCCTGTATGAACATCCAATGGTGTCTGCATATGGGAGCAAAATAACACATGATCGTACTTGTACAAGTACACCCCCTATTTGCCTGGCGACAATACCCGCTTATATAACCACCACCTTGGCCCCCGTAATGCGCTTATTGGTCCACTTGTATACATTTATCCTCCACAAAAGGCGCCACCTGGTTGCTGCCCGTTTTTCCCTCGCTCATCTCTCAGCAGGTCGCGCGTTTCCCCCCTTTCGCGTATTTTCAGCTGCGCGAAACTTTATCACGAAAACATGACAGAAGGGTAGCCCGACAGCAACGTGACTTGCCGACAAGGGTCCACCAAATGGGGCTTTATAGAAGGAAATTTGACAAGATTTCTACATCAAAAAAATGAGCATCCTCGGCTAAACAAAACCATACAATTTTCATCCTCAAACTTGTGCCAAAACCCCCCCAAATACGCACTTCTCCGCCCCCGTCAGTTTACCCGGAAGTGTTTCTTGGGTAACCGGCCACGACGCGTTGCCCAGGCAACCCCCTTTGTTTGTCTGGCCACCACACCTTGACACACAACTCCCCCAACCTTATTCTGTTTTTGTGTCGCCAAACTTGTTCTCCTGTATCTCCTCCCCTTTCCACCACACACAACTACACAATCATGAGAGAAGTCATCAGCATTAATGGTGAGTATGGCGATTAGCCGAATGGGCGTTTGCGGGCGCTCCAGGCGCGGTATCACGCGTTTTCTACGTCCACAAAGGTGGCAAAAAATACACAACAATAGGACGCATGTAAAACACGGCAACGGAACAACTGTTGATTTCGCAACATTCCATTGCAAAGAAGGAGAGCAAGATTGGGGAGATTTGGAGGCGGATTGAAGGACGAATAATACTCAATGACGAATTCCCGACCGTCCCGAACCTTCCAAATCGACGCTGTATCTAACGCCACCTCCATCGCGTTTCGTTTCCACCAGCCAGCCATCCTCTCCCTCCCTACAACATCACAATACTAACCACAGTCGGTCAAGCCGGTTGCCAGATTGGTAACTCGTGCTGGGAACTTTACTGCCTGGAACACGGTATCCAGCCCGATGGATACCTCGACCCCGACCGAAAGACGGGATCCCGGGAGGAGGGATTCTCCACCTTCTTCTCCGAGACTGGCTCCGGCAAGTACGTGCCCCGAACCATCTACGTCGATCTCGAGCCCAATGTGGTCGATGAGGTGCGAACCGGAAAGTACAAGAACCTGTTCCACCCCGAGCAACTCATCACTGGCAAGGAGGACGCCGCTAACAACTACGCCCGAGGTCACTACACCGTTGGAAAGGAGCTGATCGACCAGGTCATGGACCGAGTCCGACGAGTCGCCGACAACTGTAACGGTCTCCAGGGCTTCCTCTTCACCCACTCTTTCGGTGGAGGAACCGGTTCCGGTTTCGGAGCTCTGCTGCTTGAGCGACTCTCGGTCGACTTCCCCAAGAAGTCCAAGCTCGAGTTTGCCGTCTACCCTGCCCCCCAAGTCTCCACCTCCGTTGTCGAACCTTACAACTCCGTCCTCACAACCCACACCACCCTGGAGCACTCTGACTGTACCTTCATGGTTGACAACGAGGCCATCTACGACATGTGCCGACGAAACCTCGATATTTCGCGACCCTCCTTCGAGAACCTCAACAGAATGATCGCCCAGGTTGTTTCCTCCGTCACCGCCTCTCTGCGATTCGACGGTTCTCTCAACGTCGACCTTAACGAGTTCCAGACCAACCTGGTTCCTTACCCCCGAATCCATTTCCCCCTGGTCACCTACGCCCCCGTCATCTCCAAGTCGCGAGCCAACCACGAGTCCAACTCCGTCAACGAGATCACCAACGCCTGCTTCGAGCCCAGCCACCAAATGGTCAAGTGCGACCTCCGAGAGGGTAAGTACATGGCCAACTGTCTGCTGTACCGAGGAGACGTGGTCAACAAGGATGTACAGGCTGCCGTTGCCTCTATCAAGGCCAAGAAGTCCATTCAGCTGGTCGACTGGTGTCCTACCGGTTTCAAGATTGGTATCTGCTACCAGCCTCCTCAGTACGTTCCTGAGGGCGACATGGCCAAGGTTGACCGAGCCGTGTGTATGCTGAGTAACACTACTGCTATTGCCGAGGCCTGGAAGCGACTTGATGCCAAGTTCGACCTCATGTACTCCAAGCGAGCCTTTGTTCACTGGTACGTCTCTGAGGGTATGGAGGAGGGAGAGTTCAGCGAGGCTCGAGAGGACCTGGCTGCTCTCGAGCGAGACTATGAGGAGGTTGGCGCCGATTCCGCCTACGACGATGACCTTGAGGCTGAGTACTAAGCAGTTTGAGTTAAAGTGTACGAGCCTACTAATTAATTTAATGATACCGTGTTGATTGGAGTTAACTGTAGATTTTTAGGAGTAGAGATGGCGTGGAGGAGTGAAGAGAAGATGTACTGTGTAGTATGTACTCGTACGGTACAAGTGCTGGAGGTACTCGTGCGAAACTGATCTTTCTTCATCTCCATATATGTTACTCTTCGTTATCATAACGCAGGAACGACACCACCTCGAAGCCACCGTCGAGATAGAACTTCATCGTACACTAGATCCGCAGGAACATCATCGTCCCAACGGCTGAGCAGTATGTACATGCTGTACATACATACTCCAGTCTCATAAATACAATAAATAACACTATAGTCTATCCAGACTCCGTCTGGTGACGGCGTCTCTACCTCCTCTCCGGCTTGACGGGGAGCTCGCCAATGACCTCCTCATTATTCCGTAGTCTCTTGGCTCGCTGACCTCGAGTAAGCTTCTTGTCATGACCAGACACAATCTGTTTCTCCTTCTCGAGAGCCTGGGCTCGGTCGGCCTTCTTAGCGGCAGCCTTTGCGGCCTCTTCTCGCTTCATTCGCTCGGCGTGCTCCGTTCGGATCATCTCCAGCTTGCGTTCAACCTCCTTGGCTGTGTCGAGCACTGACGAGCCCTCCTTGGTCTTGTATTGATCGATGGAAATGTCCAGTTTTCGAGCCAGAGCGAGGTGGATCTTGGTCGGGTTGTTGCGTTCCTCCAGCTTGAACTTGTTTTTGATCTGGCGTCGAGTCCGACCGGGAAAGAATTGCGAAATGAGGTTGAAATCGGAGCCCCATTCACTGAGCTTGATGAAGAAGCGCGTAGTCTCCTCTGCGGACCATCGGGCGGCCTTTTCGTTTCGCCTGTGAGTGACGGAAGTAGTGGGCCTGGAGAAGTCCTTGACAATCTCTTCAACCTCTCTCTGATCACGTCCTGCTTCTACATGTTCATGACGATCAACAACAGTGGAAGACTGGTCCACCACAAACTTTCCGCCCTTGATCTTCAGCTCGGGTTTGTTTCTTCGGTTTGGCGCACTGTCCAACGCCTTCACAGCCATGTCCTGTTTGGCACGCAACTCGCTCTTGGGCTTGGCCCCCTTCTTTTTCTCCTGCTCCTCGTCATTCTCGTCAAACAAAGCGGCCATATCAAGAGGAATACCCTCGGCCTTGATGTATTCAAAGCCGTCGTCTCGAACTCCCTCGTTGGGTCGCACGTAGTTGGGATTGTAAGCCAGGGCTTCTTCCAGAGTTGGAACAGGTAGTTCGTTACCCTCCATATCCAGATTACACCGCAAGTTGGGCGCTCCCTCGCGGCTCTCCTCAACCCACTTTTTGGCACGTCGGTAGTTGTCCCGTCGACGTTCCAGAGCTGCCTTATGCCTGACCGCCTGGTCATTCTCCGCACAACTCTTGCCCATCCGCACATCGGAACACAACTGGGCCATGGTGACCGTTTCGGGGTCCAAAGTCCACTCTTCGGGGTTGTCGATAAAGATGGATGGCTTGCTTCGGCCAGAAACAAGATACAATGTTTCGGCATCAAACATTTTGTTGGCGCTATCGGGAAGTCTTCGAGGTGGAAGGAGAGGACCCGAGGGACCCTTGCGTGCTCGTCCAGCCACAGAAATGTGTGTGATGGGCGCAGACGACCCTTCTTCTTCGGCGGCGTTATCTCTCAACACCAACACATCTGTGGTGACTCCGTCCATAGTTCCACTACTGCTAGCCACGGCCTCCTCGTCTTCTCCTCGCTGGGTCGATCGTAGCGAACTGGACCCAGAAATCTCCTCTGCATTTCGTTTGCCACTTCGTGTGAGAGTGGGGGACCTAACACTCGTGACGGTGGTTGTCGTGGTGGTGGTGCCCTCGGTAATCGTCTTATTAACAACCGCAAACCCGGACGACCGAACAACAGTGGTGGACTCCTCGGTCACCTGGGACGAGGGAGGAGACGCCAGGCCACTCACCTCCCTTTGTGTCTCTAGACGAGAGGCCAGGGCAGGTCGTTCCGCCAGGGTGGCTGAGATTCGCGCTCGAGGTCGCGGGTGCAGTCTGAGAGCAGGCTGAGACGACTCGGAGGTCTCTTCGGTGGCAGGGACGTTCTGCGACGCCTGGGGAGTGGCAGGAAGAGTCACCTCCTCTTCAGCAATAGCCTCTTCATTGGATACTAGTTTGGACGCGGCCTCTTTGAGCTGCTTGGTGGCCGCTGCGCTGGGCTTTTGAGTCACAGACGACAGCCTTCGACGGCCAGACCGCGGTTGGACCTTGGGAACAAACCGCTTGGTGCCCTTTTTCACGACAGAAGACATGTTGTAGTGTTGTGTAGTGGGTGAGTGTGTGTTCCTGTTGGTTTTTTTTTTTTTTAATTCTTCTGCGATATGGAGTTTTTGGACGTGACAAAAATTACGTTTAACCCTTACCCAGTAGTAGAGGAGAGTGCGACCCCAATGACGAGGTTCGTTATACGAGTATTCGAAGTAAATCGACGAAATACCAGGAGAAAAAGTGGTTGAGAGCACTTTTTTAGGCGTCCGTTTGTGCGGAGGGTGTTGTTTCCGGGTCACGTGACATAACTCATTAGGTAATCATCTGTCTTTTGCCCACGTGAAGCAACATCGAGGGGTGCACTATTAGTAAGAGAGAGAGAAAGAGATGTTGGCGAGAAAACAGGGGAAAAAGGAAGTCAAGACGTCAAAAAGCCAAAAAAAAAGATTACCATGTCACGTGGTACAATGTCACGTGATCTACCGAGGCGACAGTTCTCTTGTAGGCATCCATTTCTTCGTTCTGCTAGATTACAGCGTGGGTACGTCTGAGCTGCAATATGCAGTATTTTTTTTGTTTGTAGAATTATCTTTTTTCCTGTATCAACGCTCCACTCCACACACACACACACACACACACATACACACAAATGAACGTATCAGCTGCCAAGGAACTTCAGCTGTCCGGCAAGGAGTACGTGCTTGCGATTGTGCCTGTTCCTGCTCGCAAGGCAGTTGCTGCAGCTCTGTCTGATAACTCCATCCATCTGGTTTCTCTGGATCTCTCTCACAGCACCAAGATTGTCGACAAGAGCCATGAACGGATTGTGGGTATGAAGAACTTTGACGAGAGCACAGTCATGACATGGGGCAACGACGGCGTGAAGCTGTGGGATCTGCGGGAGCAGAATTCGGATTCCAACAAGCCGCTGCTGTGGATGAAACAGGGCACTCTGGGGCCTATTGTGAGCTGCGATTTCCGCGACAACATTGTAGTTGGAGGGTCTGAGCTGGTGGGAACCGATGCCGGCATCTGTTTGTGGGACGTGACCAAGCCCAAGGCTGATGGAATGCCCTTCATCGAGTTTCCCGACGTGCACAATGACGATGTCACCGAGTTGAGGTTCCATCCTACCAGAGAAAACATTGTCGTGTCTGGCAGCACGGACGGGCTGGTGAATGTTTACGACATCAAGGAGACGGACCAGGATGAGGTGGTCAAGCAGGTGTTCAACCACGACTCTTCTATCCATTTTGCTGGGTTCACTTCTGCCAACAGAGTCTATGTTATTTCACATATGGAGACCCTCAGCATCTACGAGATGGACTTTGAGAAGGATGACTACGTTTCCCGAGAGCCTCTCGAGTTTGGAGATGTGCGCCAGAAGTTTGGATGCGAGTATGTTGCCGACATTGTGCCTGGATATGTCATTTCCGGCAGCAACAATGCTGATACCTATGCGCCTGGCCAGGTTCAACTGCTGCCGTTCCGAAACGAGACTGTCACGCACGAGAACGAGGCCGCTGGGGTCGTGACTCTCAACGAGGCCCATGGGACTGAGGTGGTGCGAACGGTGTACCTGGATGCTGCCAATGATGCCGTTTACACTGGAGGAGAAGATGGATACATTCGGCTGTGGAACGTGCCCGATCTGCAGCTTGGGTTCGGCGATTTCATGACCAACGAAGACACCGAGATGGGTGGTAGTGATGAAGGATGGCAGGAGGTGACCCCCAAGAAGGACAAGAAGGACAAGAAGGACATGAAGGACAAGAAGGACAAGAAGGACAAGAAGGAAGATAAAGACAAGAAGGAGAAGCGAGAGAAGCGCGAGAAGAAGGAGAAGCGAAAGAAGGAGAAGGAAGAGGCCGACAAAAAGGATAAGAAAAAGAAGGAAAAGAAGGACAAGAAAGACAAGAAAGACAAGAAGGAGGAACGGTTTGCTCCCTATTAGACAGAGCCGAGCTATAATAGATGGAATTCATTATAGACTCTCAAAATTCACTTGGCAAAGTTTTATAGGATAGTCTATAAACTTCGGATCACCAGATCTGCCAGATACGGAACGTTACCCGAGTCATTTTATGTTTGAAGTTATCTAATGGTCGCGAGACTTTGTCTTAGAACGTATAGTCGCAGTCGGTGGACTTTTCTGAGCGAGTTTCTCCACTCGTAGACTGGATTGCTCTTCAAGATGACTTGGATATACCGGTAGTATAGGCTCTCACAGGCCGTAGCTACAAAGCAGCATAAGATTTGACGATATCTCTACAACAAGAATCAGTAAAACTTCATCTGTCGACTCAGAGGCTGCCAGCCGATTCATTAGATCATTCAGTTTGGTATCTTAATGTCTGTGCGGTGTGTTCGCGTTGAGCGTATCAAAAAACAGTGATGAACATCAATCCACAAGTCCCTGTCCGGCCATGCCAATACAGTATTATACTAGAACTACGTGCCACCGTTAATCATCAATCATTACTCATTACTGTCGTATCGTACATACATAATTTTATCCGTTTCACTCTTCTTAGATGAGAGCAAGAGCGATACCAGCAGCACCAATGGCGCCTCCGAGAACGGCCTTGACGGCAGAGCCGGCGTTCTTGGACTCAGAAGTGGCGGCAGCAGAGGTGGCGGCGGAAGAAGATCGAGCGCCGGAGCCGGAAGGAGCATCGGAGATCTTGCCGTCAGCAACCTCCTGGGTGGTGGGGGTGGAGTCGGGAGCAATCTCACCCTCGGTGGTGTTGAAGCACATGGCGGAGAAGCCGGTGTTCTGGAACTGGTTTCGCTCGACAAAGTAAACATCGGCACAGACAAAGTGGGAGATGTTCTGGGTACCGTCAATGGCGTTGTACTCCAGCTGGATGGTTCCGTTCTGGCCCTCCCGGACGTTGTTGGGAATGTCGGGGAACTGGTAGCAGGCGTGGCCCTTGTCAGCCTCGGCGGAAATGTTTCCGGTGAAAATGTCCTCGAAGTCGTCCTCAGAAGTGGGGTTGTTCTGGTACGAGATTCGCACTCGGATGCCCCAGGCCTCGTCCTTGGCAACCAGAGCAATGTGGCCGCCGGTCAGAGGGAAGTTGGTTCGGTTGTGGATGGCAGCAGAGGCGCCGGCACCGCAGGGTCCAGTGTTGTCATCATCGTCGGCCCAGGGTCGGTCCTGAGGCCACAGGAAGGCGACGGGGCCCATGGACTGGGCAAACTGCTCACCGTGGCCCTGGGCGGCGGTGAGAGAAGCAAGAGCAAGAGCGGAGATGGAGGTGAGAAGCATTGTAGGCGTGAGAACGATGGCTGACGGGATGTAGATGCGATGGATTAGATGTTTATATAGATATTCGGGGGACAATAGAGTTGCAGGGTGTGCGTGGGATGGACGTGGGCTGGGAACGGGCTTAATGCGTCTGCAGTTGGATATTTCCGCGGATTTATTAGTATCATTGAAATCGCTCGAGGATCAGGAACAAGATGGTGTAATTATTAGTATGATTCGGGCTCTCTATCATCGATTTTTCACGGAATAATCGCTTTCAGCGACACCCAAAATTAAGTTTGGTAATTAGAATGGTGTGTTTATCATTTTCATCTGCTAAGGAAGAGTGCCAAGGAAGAGGGGTCGTGGTGTCTCGAAAATGTGACATTTTGGCGAGTTTTTCCGCATCCCGTCTTCGCTGGGTGCTTAGTAATCATCCCCGTTTGCGCCGCTCCCGAACAACATCCATATTGCCTCCCTTAGCGACGCCAGAACCGGGCCATTCGCCCATCAGATAAAAGTAACTTTGTGCATTCTAGGTTCGGCATGCAGTATCTTTGGGGCCAGCCTGAGAAATACAGTTTCAACCTTTATCAATCTGATCTTCCTTTTTTTTTCAAACCCTAAGCGACCCGTTGCACCATTCTGGGGCCCTCCGCACGCCCCAAACCCTCTTGGAAACCCTCTGGCCGGCCCTTTGACTCACGCTAATGCTGCATAGTCTTTGTCCTCCGGGTCGGAACACTCTTTGGGCACCCTGAGGACGCGCACTGGGTTGCCTTGTTTGGTTCTTTGCATTTTCGGCTCACACCCCGTGCCAAGACTGGTAGGTCGCTTGTTGAGCGCAATCTGTAGTAGACTGGAGGCTAGAGGCTATGGGGCCGTTGTCCATGTTCAAATGAGGTCTCTGCCATTGGACGAGCGCGAGAGAAACAGGGTCTACCAGAAGCTACCTGTGTCGGTAAACCCATTGCCGGATGCCCATTCCCATTCTCAGTTGAGTTTTTCATAGCCGCTTATACTGTAACGACAATTCACTCATCGGGGTCCACGGGGGGGACATTATCTGATGGCCAGGCAGTCCAGGTGCACGGGCGGTTGTACGCACGTCCATCTTTGCACCAATCAATTTCATCTGACGCATGGTCCATATGCGCCCGGGGGTCATATCATATCCTTGTGCCAAGAGGGCCAAGAGGAATGCTGCGACAAGAGTCGTCGAGTGCCGTGCGCGGTATGATGGAGAGAGGCCGAGATAATAGTGTTTTGGCAGTTATGGAGTTGCCAGAGTTATTTTGCAGTGTCATGTGACTGGATGGCGCCGTTGAAGAGGCCGTCCACAAACCAGTCAATCTGTTTGCTACAACTCTCGGAGCAATCGCGAGCGTAACCCACAGCACATGTGTAGCTGCGCGCCTGTTATGTAAAGATTATCAATGCGCGGAGATGTGAACTTAGCTGGTTGGAGGGTAGGTGTTGGGGTCGTTGATGAGGTCTTGTTGGAGGCCATAGCCAGTTGCTGGTTATCGTCATCGCATCGGCCGTCGGTGGTGTCGTGCTGGTACGAAGCCAGCAATAACCCGCTGGGGATCCTTCTCTACCATTGTAAACGTCCACTAGCACTCGTTTCTTGTTCTCGAACAAGCTCGTCCATTCAAAGACAGTCTTGAAGAGCACGCATCGAAGGGTCTGCATCAGAGTCAAAGCGTCATGCTGGAGAAGTACTGCAAGTGATAGAGTGAATGGAGGAGCGTGCTTCACAGGTGAGCCCAGAATAAGTCAGATTACGTCTCCTGTCACCACATCTTCAACCCATCCCAGTCTGGCTCTTGTCTTGTCACTCTTGTCACTCTTGTCTCGTCTCACTCTTGTCGTCTCGCTTACATGTCTCAAGTCCAAAAACCCATAGAGTTGCGCCGATCCGAGACCCCGGAGCCCGGTTTCAAATTACGTCACAAGGACTTATATGCCAGCCGTGATTGGACATTGCTCTTGCACAAGACCATGGCCATGACTTTTGTCCCCAGCAGAACATGCGACCAGTACATGCGGGACATATGGACCCAGGTCTGCTCGTTCTTGTGGCAACCTCAGCCTTTGCCCAGCACCTCCGCCAACAAGGTATGATCGCTACTCCATGTACTGTGTCGCCCTTGTAGGTCGGTGCCGCATGGTCCAACGCTTCTGTCAGGAAGCCAGCCCCCACGCGGAATACGACAACTTTCATGGCCCTGTGGAGGCAGGATAGACTCGACGCTACCACCATCAGCGTAGGGTCGGCGCAGAGCCATGTTGGTCTGTGATGATCCATGATGATCCATGATGATCCACGTTGATCCACGTTGATCCTGATGATCCAATGTCGACCTGATCTGATAATTGGAAAGGGTGTGGGCAAGTACATCTGTGAGTTGACAGCCGCTGACTGACTTGACTTGATACTTGTGACATTATAGTCTCGGTTATGACCCTTGTACTCACGTGATTCGTATCCCTCCCCCTCATGTGATTCTCCTCTTCACGTGATTCGTATCCTTCCTCTTCACGTACCCTTCTGGTCTCATTCGGGCATTGTTCAGGTGAGACTTCCTTGCCAGCCGGTACAGGTAGGGCTATTGTCTCAAACGAGGAGGAGTTGACTGTAGCGGAGTTGATTGGCGAGTCAACTGCAGGGGAGTGGACTGTAGTACTAGTACGAGTACTGCGGAGATTGATGGCTTCTGCTCATTAGTACGTTCAGTCGGCATTCCTTTCTTGGGAATGAATCTCAGGTTGTAGATGTGATAGGAGATTATCAGCTCTTTCGGTAGAAGGACGACTACGGACTATCAGTAACATCCGTAGCGGTAGCAGCATGAGAACAACGAACAACTCCACGATTCGGCTTTCTTCTCGACTATCTACCATCCAAGCCGTGACTCCTAAACTACAATACCTGATACTAGTACATACTTACGCTTTACTTACGCTTTACTTATCTTCATCTTCTCAAACATTCCAAGAAATTTCCAGAAAGACCTCTTTCGACCAGGGCGGCACGAGAAACGGTCACATGATTTACTAATTGGTGCTTCCTTAAGGCTCGGTACCTTTGGTATATACAAGAGCTCTACAGATCGACTCCAACGACACTTTCATTTCAGTTCTCGAAAGTGACTTGCGCCTACGCGAACAGCTCTCATATTGTGGACACAAACCGGTGCAAAACCCCCTTGCCTGCAAGGAGATGTTGAGAGTCGTAACTACAAGTAGTCGCTCTCTCACGCTATGGCCAATGGCGCTTCTACTTTGGCGACGCCACCAACCACTCTCTGGTTCAACTGCAACGCTAGTCGTGGGTCAATCTTGGGCTCCAGTGAGTCAGAAACGGGCCGGAGAAACGGGAAAAAGTTGATGGAGATGTTCAATTTCGCGTTTTCTGCGGAATCCAACAAAATCAGACCCCAAACCTCCCCCTATGAGCACCCCTCCGAAGCTGCAACCTCCTCCACCATCCACTACTGTGCCTAACTCTAATGGCCCCCTCCCAATATGGTGTCGACGACGGGGTGCGGGAGCCGAGCCTCTCAACCACACGATTGAGTGAATTTAATTCGCCCGACTTTTGCTCCCCCATTCTCCCCCGTCCGCAACAACCGCCTTGCTCGAAAAATGGCCCGAAGATCTGCCCGATTGGCCGGAGAAAAGGCCCCTGCTCCCCAGGAGCTGCCCTCCAAGCGCGCCAAAAAGCAAAAGGTGAATGGAAGTGACAAGAAGGATATCGAGGAGTCCAAGACCGAGGAGTCCAAGACCGAGGAGTCCAAGACTGAGGAGGATGAGGCTAAGACCAACGAGTCCAAGCCTGAGGAAGTCCCCACTGAACTCCAAATCGGAGACGCCCTGCCGGAGAAACTCACACTGCTGGACCAGGACAGCAATCCCATCGATCTGAGCGCGCTCGTGGCCAAGGAACCCATCGTCGTCATCTTCGCCTACCCCAAGGCGTCCACTCCCGGATGCACCCGGCAGGTGTGTGGCTTCCGAGACAAATACGACGACTTCAAGAAGGTCGATGCCACCGTGTTTGGATTGTCGGCTGATTCCACCGCCGCCCAGAAAAAGTTCCAGACCAAGCAGAATGCGCCCTACGAGCTGCTGTCCGACCCCAAGCACGAACTGATTGGCATTCTGGGCGCCACCAAGACCCCCGGAAAGGTGCCCAAGGGCGTGATTCGCAGCCATTGGATTTTCAAGAACGGAAAGCTCGCCGTCAAGGAGGTCAAGATTGGCCCCGAGGCCAGTTATACCCAGGCGCTGGAAGAGGTTCAGAAGGAGTAGCCAAACGGATCTCGTCGAAGCGCCTGTTATATACCAGTATAGTATTGTATAAGACATGAGAGAATGACTAGACGAAAACTGAGCGAAGCCATCAGACCAACCCACCCGTCGACTTGTTTAGGTGGGTACAGTGAGAGACTATAGCCTGCACAAGAAATCAGCGAATCACGGCTCATTGGCTCACTTCCACCTGCCAACATTGTCGCTAGTCTTGGTCCCACAAAGTCCAACTAAACTCAGTTGACCATTAGTTGCAACATCCCCGTTTAACTTCCTACTCCCACCGCACTCCCTCTACACACCTTCACCACACATGTCTCAGCACATTTTCGAGCTCCAGAACAAGCGTAACTCGCTGCGAGAGACGGTAGATGCGCTCTACGACGTGCTCAAGTCGCACAATGTCAACATGACCACTCCGCTGACCGTTGATGGCTTCCCGCGGGCGGATATCGACGTTCACCAGATCAGAAACACTCGCCACCAGATCATCCGGCTGGAAAACGACATTGAGGCCATTCAGAAGGAGCTGGAGGAAGCTGTTATGGGCCATTGGCAGAACCAGAAGGAGCAGACCAAGTCAAACGGTGATGATACTGCTGTTACTACTAATGGCTCCGTTTCTGCACCTACCGCTACACCTACCGCCACGCGCAGCGACCACGTGGTCCCCTTTGCCGTCGTGGGCGTGGTGTCCGATGGCTCGCCTGCTTCTTCGGTGGGACTCAAAATCAACGACAAAATCGTACGACTGGGAAACGTGGAGGCTACTACTCCTCGTATCCCTCAAGCCTTGCCTCTCGCGGTTGTTGAAGGAGTGAGTATTATATTATGACATGGATGGGTTGGCTATGTGACTCTGAACAGGTTGTTTGTTTGTTTGTTTGCTAACACAGAACCCCGTGGATGTGGTGGTTCTCCGAGAAGAAGAAACTCTCACCCTCACGCTGCTCCCAGCCAAGTGGGAAGGAAATGGGCTTATCGGGGCGGCATTGAGACTGCTGTAAGTCGGTTCTTCCGCGACCCATGCTTATCGGCTCATTTTGACCCAGCTCTCTTCCTCTACCCCTCTTTTCCTCTAACCTCCATGAAGAGTTGAGGCAAAGATGATGACATCTCGGGGCTGCAAAATGTACTGGTCTTCGCCCTCCAGCTCCCAGTCCGAATCGTTGATGAGCACCAACACCCCGGGACGCACACTTTCGTCCTGCAAGAAGATGTTTTTGCCCTCTTCTCGCTTGTGATCCGGCATCAGAGTCTCCACCATATGGTGCAACAGCCAATTGACTGAGGAGCCCTCCGGCACGTCCAGCACGTGCTTTTTGTTGCCGTCGAAGGCGGTTTCGAGCCCTCCACTGGGTTAGTTGACGTCGCGGGTGTTTCCTGCGCCTCTTGCTACTCACCTGAATTCCACAGTAATTTGCATGGTGTGCGGTTGGTATAGGCAAGAAGATGATGCATGCTTTTATTAATATAGGCACTTGATCTTGATTCTGCCTACAAGTAGATTAGGGTTACGACGAGGGGCATCTTTCTGTTGCTTTTGTGGCTAAAAGAGAAGTAGTGGCGACATCTGAACTGCTCCTTGATATATAATATGACTGATTAATGCATCATTTCAAATTTCAGCGTCAAGGCTGCCTTATTGCGATTGTTTTCGTTACTTATTAATATTCAACAAAAAATTGATATATAGTTATTTTTGTACTTGACATTTATAAAGTGTACTTTGGGAGACGTGAGTTCAAATCTCACCGAGGACACAACTTGAAAATTTTGAGAAATTTTGAGGGAAAAAAATAAAAAAATTACCAAAATCGTCAGAAACGGTCAGAAACTTGTGAACTACTCAACCAATGCTTCATAAAACACTTTTGGTACTTCGATTCAACATGTAATTATACTCACACGTAACTAGATCCACATTACAACAGTTTTTCCCCTCTCACCTCACGCCCCCAACCCCTCCCACAATTACTAAGCAGCTACCCACCATTACTAAGCAGTCACATCATTACTAAGCTACCGTACCATTACTAAGCAAAAAACCACCATTACTAAGCAGCCACATTAGGTTGAAGTTATGGGGAATGGCGTCAGAACAGCAGAGTAAAACGGAGAGGCCTGCCATAAAATGGACTGACTATGGGAAATGTGGGTGTCACGTGAACGCCTGGAGTGGCTACCCAGCGTATGTGGTTCTTGTCTTTTTCCGCGCGGATTTTCCCCGTCAATTCGAAATTCCACGGCGTTCCATCAGCATCCACCAGTCACTTCTTGAGTCAGAGTGCCGTATGTTGTCTGAGATAGTGTGTGTACTGTATGTAGAAGAAAGAGAAAAAAAAAAGACATGGTGGGTTTATTTCGTCGAAAGTGGACGCTTTTTGGGCGCAGAAAAGGCCAATCTACTCAGAATAGAAATATGTATTTAATGGCGTGTCCATAATCCACCAAACTCTTTCCATACTTGCTCCACAAGCAGCTCGTGTGTCGTTCCTGTCGTATCTTTCAAACTTAGATTCAACTCTACTCCCACCACCAACATCTACTGTACACACTTGTTTTTGGACAACACTTGCACAACACTACACTAATCCCGCAAAATGAAGATCAGTCTTGTTGCTGCGGCCATGGCTCTGGCCTCCACTGCATCTGCCTGGGGCAAGAAGGCCGGCCCCGTTGAGATTCCCGTGGCTTCTCATCTGCAGTTTTCTGCCGTCGCCCAGATCGGCTCCAACTCGGACGTGGAGGCGTCTGACGCCGGATTTTTCGTCGCCAACACCTTCATCAACGGCGAAGACGTGCCCATCAACCTGGTGTTCGAGAACAAGGAGAAGGACCCCATCTCTGTGGTGGCCGTGGGAGGCACCTTCTACGACCTCAAGACCGACAAGGTGGTGGTCAGCGTCCAGGGCACCCAGGTGGGACCCATCAAGGTCGACAGCGGCAAGACCGCGGCCCTGACCCACCAGTTCGAGACCAACCTCGATGCCAAGGTCTACCGAAACGTCATCCAGGTCTACATCCAGTACGGCAACGAGGTGTACCAGGTGCACGCCTTTGACGGCCCCGTGTCGATTGTCGACCCCTATGTTTCTCCTCTGTCTTTCAAGTTCCTGTTTGCCCAGATTGTGCTGGGAATCACCGCCGCTGCTCTGGGATACTACGTTGTTAACGTGTACGCCATCCCATACGCTACCGGCACCTACGGACAGGAGAAGAAGCCCGTTCGAGCCAAGCCTGTGGTTCCTGCTGGCTCCGGCGTCAAGACTGGACCCAAGGGCTACGATGAGAGCTGGATTCCCAAGCACCATCTCGACCAGGAGAAGGTCAAGGTGAAGAAGAGAAGTTAAGCTGAGTCATGACCAAGGTTTGCGTGACAGATTTTTTCTTTTCCAAGCACACCTGTTGGTGGCGGACGTTAATGGATTGTGACACTCGTGTTGTCTGCTGACATTGATAACTCCTGCTGTCAATAGGTGTGTTCTGGTTACTTACTTGTTGATGACACTAAATAGCTAATTTATGTTGTACGTATTGCAACAGTGAAGAGTTGCGCGGCGACTCCACCGAGCGTTTTCGGGGTTTCCGAGCAGAAAAATGGATCTATCGATACTATCCCGTATCTCCGACAACGTCTGGTTGTATATGAGACATTGTTAGTTGAATAAGATGTGGTCGTCATCTAGGAGCCTAATAATACAATATATCTGCCGTTTTGGTCGTTGGAAGGCGGGAGTATGTCGAAGGACTGGTAGCTGGTGTTGAGGAGATTGTTTTGGTCAACTGTTTGCTTGATTTGGTCAAGTTTTGGTGTTGTGGTTGGTTGGTGGTGGAGATAGAACCAGTCATGAGGTTGTTGGAGGCTTTAGATGGCGCAAGTGTCTGGAAGGAGGAGTTGATAGTATTGATTTTGTATTGGCTGATTAATTCCATTGACGGATGCTATAACAATGAGTAATCAAGTCCTGAGAGTCTCTTCTTAGTCATGGCATTGTTGTGTGGAGGGACAGATGGAGCTGCAACAGATATATTACTCAACATGTTGAAGATGTCGCCAAAGGTGCTTCAGATGTTGCCAAAGGTGCTTCAGATGTTGAATGTTCCTCCTGTCCACATCTCTGACAATCTGCGATGTCTTATTCACCAGTTGTAACAGATGCGACATGAGAAAGTTCCTCTCTAGCACTCTCTAGGCTAGTTATTCCATATTGAACATCTTCCGACATGTTTTTGTCGATTCTGTCGGTTCTGTCGGTTACTTCTTCTGGACTCACTCTAGAAGCTAAGTAAATGTCAACTCCATCTGTCCACATATTAACCAAAAAGCGTCTTTCTGTACCCCATACTGTCAATATTATTACACATTTGTTAAAAAATGAGCCATTTCCTATCATTTAATCCACTTTCAGCGTTGCTCAGGTTCCTGTAACCCCGAAATAGCACCCCCAGCACACGTTTTTTCTCAATTGTTCTTTCAACTAAATCAAACTTGCATTATGTAATACAAAAAACACCACTCACTCATGGACTCGTCCGGGTAAGTCGTCTCCCAAATTTGCCAGAGCCACTCAAAGTTTGAGAGTTTATTTTGTATGACAGATCCGCCATGGAAATCTAGCCAGTCAGTATAAACAGGCAACTGAAGGATTTTTTGCGCCGTTAAAGAAATTTATTGGGTATTTTTGCCACTCTCTCGAACCTCCAATTTCTCCTCTCTCGCTATCTCTTCTCAATCGCCCAACAAAGGCACCCTTCTTTCCACATCCTCCTACCCCCCCTCCTACCCTAACCCAAAATCGCACCGTAGTAGTGTCCTCTTGTCACCTCTACACATCTCAGTACACTACACCGACACCAAGACTCTCGACTCTCTCTTCGACATGTCTTTCTTCGGTATCGCACAGCCCAATCAGGGCAACGTGCAGGAGTACGAATTCGACGACACGTACGACGACAATCTTGGCGGACAGCTGGATGAGTCTGGCGACGCCTTCAACGACGAGACGTTTGGCGGCGAGGCGTCTGTGGGCCGGGATTTCGACTTCCACGGCGAAACGGCCAAAATCTCGTACGCCATTGACGAGGACCAGGTTGCCTACGAACGCCGGGCGCCTCAGCACGCCCAGATGCAGCACCAGCAGCAGCAGCATCAGCAGCGACAAGCTCCCCCTTCTCTGCAGCCCATGGCGTCTCTGTGGGGCGCTCCCGACCAGAAGGAGCGAATCATGGGCGACGAGGCCCAGCACGGCGGCCAGCAGGCCCAGCAGGCTCACCTGCAGCAGCAGCAGCACTACCAGCATGTTGCTGCCCAGCAGGGCGGTCAGCAGCCTCTGTCTCTGGAGCAGATTGAGGCGCAGCTGATGGGTCGACAGGCCCAGGCCCAGGGCCAGCAGCAGCAGCAACACGGTGTGCCTCCCCAGGGTCACGCTCCTCCTCAGGGCCACTTTCCTCCCGGGTACGGCTACCAGGGCTTCCCTCCTGGTTACCCTCCTCCCCAGGGACACCCCATGCAGTACCAGCAGCCCTGGCAGTTCCCTCCCCTGCCCAACCATGATCTCAACATGCAGATGATGATGCACTACCAGCAGCAGCAGCAGCAGCAGCAGGGACAGGGACAGTTCCAGCAGCCTCAGTTCCAGGGACAATCTCAGGGTCAGCCCCAGGTTCAGGTTCAGCAGCAGCAGCAGCAGCAGCAGCAGCCCCAGGCTCAGACTCAGGGTCAGCCCCCCGCTGTCGCTTCTCAGCCTGCTTCTCAGCAGCAAGCTGCCCCTCCTACCGCGCCCCTAGGCCCCAAGGAGGACAAGGCCATCCCTACCGCTCCTCAGGGCTTCCAGGGCCCTCCCCACTCGGGTCCCTACGGCTACCAGCCCGGCCCCGTGCACGTATCGCCCAACCACACGATCCCTCCCATGGATGAGAACGCGCGACTGGCCAAGCGAAATGAGATGATCAGCAAGCGAAAGCCACACAACAATCTCATGACCGGCGGTGACAAGGACTTTGTGCTGCGAGTCCAGCTCCAGCAGATGGTCACCGAGGACCCTTACAACGAGGACTTTTACTACCAGGTGCACTCGGCCATCAACGTGCGATCCAACCCCAACCAGCCGCTCGACGCCTTTGCGCGAACGTACCTGTACCAGCGGGGTCAGCGGGGCCGACGGGCCCGCGGCAACGAGAACGGCCTGCAACGTCTGCAGCAGCAGGTCCACAAGGCCGTGCAGTTTGTCAAGGACCACCCCAAGAAGGACTCCATTATCTCCCAGGGTGCTCTCGGTAAGATTCACCTTGGCAGCAACAAGGGTCCTCGACAGGCTCTCGACCTGCGAAAACGAGATGATACTCCCGACGCCGACAACTCTACTGAGGCTCCTACTGAGGGAGTTTCTGCCACCCCCGAACTTCGATCTGCTACCCCCGTGGCCACCACCACCACCACCACCGATGCCATTCGATCCATCACCACGTCAATCTCCAAGTTCAACCTTCAGGGCGGCTCGTACGTGTCTGCTAACGACAAGCGAGGTATTCTGCGGGCCATTGAGAACGTGTACATTGTGCTGCTACGTCTGGAGGCTGCAGAGAGAACCCAGCCCGAAGACGACCTGTCCGACGAGTTCCAGGTGTGGAAGGGAGAAAAAGACGCGCTGGTGACCCAGCTGTGGCGTGAGCTGCAGATTACTGCGCCCATCGACCAGGCCGACGGCTCGCTGCACCCCTTCATTGCCATGCTCTCGCATGCCAAGTGCAAGAAGGCCATTCCCCGAGTTTTCCGGCATATTTCTGCCGAGCAGCGGCTCACCATTCTGACCATGATCATGGCCCACATTGGCGATTTGGACGTGGTCAAGAATGGCCACTACAGCGGCGAGGAGTCGAACCTGCCCGCCAAGTCGCGGGAGGCCATTGAGGTCTTCTCTCAGACCGTCCTTCCTCCTCTGGTGCAGTACATTTCTGAGGCCGAGTACGGCGTCATTGTGGGTCTGCTGGAGTTGATGATGGATCGAAATGACACTGCTGCTGTTGTCAAGACCAAGGTTGGATCTGCATTTGTGACTGTTTTGATTTCCCGGGCCGAGCTGATCAACCAGGAGGGCTCTGTTTCTGCCGAAGATGAGGAGACCTGGAACCGCATTTTCAACCGTGTTTTCGGCATTGTTCAGCGCAACAATCTCAACTCCCTGTTCCCTCCTCGAAATGTGGACGATTCTTACGTGTGGCAGTTCCTGGCGTCCATCGCCTTGGCTGCGAAGATTGATCACCAACGTGTTATGGTTGACGATGTGCGGGACAAGATCTTTGGTACTATGAACGAGGCCAAGGCTCTTCCGCCAGATCTGTCGCAGCAGAAGATTAACAATCTGAACCTGTTCCTTAACGTCATGGGTCTCAATGCGACCACTTCGGAGATTGGTGAGTTGCAGGGGTGATTAGATGAGGGAGCAGTGGTTATGTAAAATAGGATTTTTGAGAAAAAGATGATTTGACCGTTTGACCGTGGTGAGCGTGTTAGATAGATAGGAGACGAGACTGCGTAGGGGCTCAGTGGAAAAGTTCATGATAGACATTGTGGAAGTGGTAGTACAACTAGACGGCGGCACGAAGGTACCGGACTGGCGTGGGAACTGGTTGGGAACCGGGGTCCCGAACTCAAGACTCTTCCAGTCTAGATTCCGAGTCGTCAACCAGGCTTCGAAGATATCCATTAGGGAGCATTTTGAAGAGTGCTGACATGGTATTGGCCTTTGATCTAGCGAAACATCTTTGGGCAAGGTTGATGAAGAGCACTGATGGTTACGCTCCAGGTCGACGGATGATGGCTACGGGACCCAGGATGCTCTGGTATGAGCACGAGGAAAAGGGAGCAGCAACTTCTGAGGTGTTTGTCAACTTCTGAGGTGTTTGTCAACTTCTGAGCTCTGGAATCAGCAGCTTCATCCGTCATCTTCTCCAAGTCGCACGGTGGATAACTTCGGGAAGATCACTTGCAGTTGTTCTGAGGACAAATATCGATTGCTGTTGGATTGTGGATTATTCTTGTCAACTATTCAGCCATTGCTCGATCTACTTGGATCTACGTGGCTCCTCTACAGTCCATACAGTAGTGTAATCTCTGCCGAGGGGTTCTCATCATACTGTAGTCGGCTACATGATGTTGGAGTAGATACAGTCAGTACAATACAATAAAGGGCCAGCGACTGAAGTGACTGGATTGGTTGTTGCTACAAGTCCAATTTGAGAAACTACTGCCTTTATTCACGTGGTTCGTGGATCCGGTGATCCCGGTTGTATTCGTCCTTGTAGCTTGACAGACATATCTTTACAACTGGCTCTCGCAGCCCCTCATTGCCGCCAGTTTTGGACGATTCAAGTTGATATACCGATTATAATGGCCGTTTGAAACTTGATGGTCTCTTCCGATTTCGAATCGGGTGTGTGTTTCGTTTGTTAGAGTCGGAACGTCTGTCTTTTGTAGCGCATTGCACTCTACGTACAGTATCCTCCAGACAGCTGTTGCTAACCCCCCCTCTCCCCGGGTGAAACTGCTACTGGTCAGAACACTCGTCTGCTCCATCATAGGTTGTATACTTGACGGTTCGAGTGTCTCTATTCAGTTACTTTGGCAATTTTGGGGTAAACAAGTGCCCATGTACTTTACTTGGAACTCTTCACTAATACCCGAGAGTTAGTTGACTGGAGCTAGAGTAGAGAGGGAACTATTGTACAAGTGCTGGAGCACCTGAATGGCGTTCTTAGCATGCGATATGATGATTTTGACATTAGTCAGCACGTTTTCTCGCCATACCTGCCCTCATCACCACTCTCTCGGCCTGCGCCTGGCTCAAGAATGGCACCTACATCTACAGCACAATACGTACAAGCATGTTGCACATTCTCCCAACACGCATGTAGGGTTAGGAAATTAGGCTTCCCCCACAGGACATGAGAGAGATGGAAAGACACATGTCATCACGAAACACAACGACTATGGATATTGTGGATCGAGAGAAGAGTGAGTGAGGCGAAGGGGGCGAGGGGCAGGAGGAGATTGTGGGCGCGGCGCAGGGGCGCGGGCCTCACGTGACGCCGGATTTCCCCGTACTAACACAGATCTCTCTGTGGATCCGATTTTTCTGGTTTCGGCCGAATGTCTGGCCATCACCTCGGCGATGCGCAAAAACGCGCGGTGGGCCAACTCGGGCGTGTCGAGCATCCTGCGAGGCCCCAGTGACACCAACGGGCGGTCGGGATCGGACATTCGCTCGCGTCTGGGCCTCCGAACCCGAGGCAGTGAGTTCACGGCTGCCGTGGACGCCCACCATCATCACCACCACCATGAGAGCACAGAGCGGGGTCCCGACGACCCGCTGATTGAGGCGTTTGCGCGTCTGCGCGTGGCGGTGGCACAGCTGGACTCGCTGGAGCACTTTGACATGTACCAGCTGTTTCTGCCGTTCATCGAGGTGATCAGATCCCCGTCCACCACCGGGCCCATCACCGCCATGGCCATCACCGCCGTCAACAAGTTCTTCGACTACAACATTGTCAGCACCCGCAGCGTCAACCTGCAGCATGCTGTGTGCCAGCTCAGTATCGCCATCACCCACTGCCGGTTTGACGCCACCGATCAGGCCGACGACGACGCCGTGCTGCTCAAAATCCTCAAGCTCATGGACACCCTCGTGGGCGGCGCCTCCGGCGATCTGCTCAACGACGAGTCAATGTGCGAGATTTTCGAAACGTGTCTCTCCATGGCGTGTCAATTGCGACGGTCCAACGTCCTGAGACGCTCGGCAGAGAACACCATTCTCGATATCACTCAGAAGGCCTTTTCCAAGCTGCGACGATTGGAGCCCGAACAGGAGATCCCCGTCGGAGCTCCAATTGCTCAGGAAGAGGTGGTTGTTAACGCCCCGGGTGTTGTGGACACTATCGTGAGGGAGGAAGGTGCTCCTGGTGAGGAGCCCAAGGAGGAGCCCAAGGGGGAGACCAAGGAGGAGACCAAGGAGGAGACCAAGGAGGAGACCAAGGATGAGGTCAACGAGGAGCCCAGCAAGGAGCCCAACGAGACGCCCAGGGACCAGAAAGGGGAAAAAGACGAAAAGGAGATGGCAGCAACTGAAACTACCACCTCCTCCACATCCACATTCGGAATTCCAGCAATCCGGGAATTCTACCGAGTCCTCACCTCTATCCTGGACCCCGCAAACCACCACCAGTACACAGAAAGCACACGAGTCATGTCGTTGCAGCTCATCAACGTGGTCTTCGAGGTTGCCGGAAAAGAACTCACCAAGCACCACTCGCTTCTCCAGATCACCACAGACACCCTGTGCAAGCATCTGTTCAAAATCATCCGAATGGACTCTCTTCCGCTGGTCCAGGGCGCTCTGCGGGTCATCTCCACCATGCTGCATACTACACGTTCTCATCTCAAGTTGCAGCAGGAGTTTCTCTTGGTCTACTTTATGAGTTGCTGTTGTCCCCTGGATGGACCCTCGGATGATCCCTCTTCCGATATCACTGCTCCGTCCATTCTGCTTGAAAAGAACTTCAACTACAGTAACAGTCAGTTAGGTGAGATTAGTAAGCCTGGCACTCCCAGACCGGATTCCAGCTCTCCAGGTGCTGATGATAACATAAACGGCACTCCTAGCCCCACTCAGGCACAGTTTGCCACTTCGCGAAGCCCCGAGATCCGAGAAGCAATGGTCGAGACGCTCTCCACGCTGTGCAGAGAGCCGTACTTTTTCGCAGAACTGTTTCTCAACTTTGACTGCGACGTCGACCGGGTTAATCTGTGCGAAAACATGATGCAGTTTCTGTGCCGGTCTGCATACCCTGATGCAGCCCAGTGGTCGTCTTCGTCCGTGCCCCCATTTTGTCTCGACGTTGTTCTTCAACACCTTTCCAAGCTGGTTGGTCGACTAGATCAAAATGGAGACGATAAGAAGGAGGCTGCTTCTGAGCTCGTGGCCCGAAAAGCCCGCAAGAAGGAAATCGTCGAGGCCATTGACGCCTTCAACGTGAATCCCAAGGTGGGTATTCAAAAGTTCCTGTCTGGAGGTCTCATCAAGGACACTTCGCCTACTGAGATCGGCTCGTTCCTGTTCCAGTCGTCACGAATCAACAAGGCCAAGCTCGGTGAATTCCTTTCCAAGCCCGCAAACCTGCCCACGCTCAAGGCATACACTGCGCAGTTTGATTTCGATGGCAAACGAGTTGATATGGCGCTGAGACAGTATCTCTCTGCGTTCCGACTCCCCGGCGAGTCGCAGCAGATTGAGCGAGTCATGGAGTGCTTTGCCGAGCACTACTCGTCCTTCTCCGAGAACCAGTCCGTGGTGAAAAACTCCAACGACGGTGTGGTGCTCTGTTTCTCCATCATCATGCTCAACACAGACCTGCACAACCCGCAGGTCAAGAACCACATGTCGCTGGACCAGTACAAGCGCAACTTGCGGGGTCAATGCGACGGTCAGGACTATGAGGCTGAGTTTCTCGAGTCCATTTACAACGACATTAAGACGCGAGAGATTGTCATGCCCGATGAGCATGACTCCAACGAGTCCTTCGAGCACTCGTGGGGCGAGCTGCTGATGAAAACTGACCAGGCGGGGCTCATGACGACCGACCTTAACTCGAACGCGTTTGATCGGTACGTGTTTGAGGTCACGTGGCGGCCCATTGTGGCCATGTTGACACGTGTCTTTTCCGCAGCTACGGACGACGCTGTCTTCAGCCGTGTTATTTCCGGTCTGGACCAGCTGGCGTCTCTGGCAAGTGACTTTGACATTGACGAGGTCATTCACGTGATTCTGGACCGTGTGGGAGGTATTATGGCGGCCCTGGGCGAACCGATTGACAGTCTACAGAACATTGACGTGTGGGTGGACCCCAGTCAGACGGATCCCATCACGGTCTCGGATCTTTCTGTGCAGTTTGGACTCGATTTCAAGGCTCAGATTGCCGCGGTGGTCTACTTTACGATCGTGTCCAACCACAGCGAGCACCTGAGCGACGATGTGTTTGTGTTTGTGGCCAAGGTGCTCAACAACATTTACGAGAACGGTCTACATCCTACTCCGTTGTTTGGTGCGTTTGAAAGCACCGAAAAGAGTGCATTTAAGAATGATTTGCCTCGAATTGCCGCTCCAAACAAATTTAAAAAGTACGAGAGCGGCAAGGAGGGCGTGGGTCTTCTGAGTACGCTGTCTTCGTACCTCACGGGAGGCTACAACGAAAACAACCAACCTACTGACGAGGAGATTGAGGCTACTTTGAGCGCTCTAGACTGCCTGGCGAGCTGCAAGGTGGATGAGCTGTTTGGGCGACTTCAGACCGGTGAAGAACCGACTGTTCAGTTCGTTAATGCCCTTACTGGAGTCCCCTCCATCTACTCGTTCCATCTGATGGCACTGCTGGGCCAGAAGAACAGCCATGTGACTACACTAGTGATAGACCGGTTCGGCGACTCTCTGGACGACGGTGCTACTATTAATTATCTTGCAGGATTGCAGAAGGACAGTGGAAAGCTCTTCGCGCAGCTTCTCAAGGTTGACTCTGAGGTTCTGCGTTCTCTGGCTCCTGAAATCGACTCTCTGATCCTCTCCTTTGCTCTGTTTGACAACACGGACTACCTGGAAGTGGTCAAGATCCTGGCATCCAACGTGGCATCCAGCGAACGGGTGTTTGAGTTAATTGAAAAGCACGTGGACGACATTCCCGTGGCCAACCTCGTGTCCATTCTTGACGAGTTTGTGTCAGTGTCGTCCGTGGGCGCTCCTCTCGAGCAGCGAGGTCTTGTTTTGGACTCTCTGACTGCGTCCAGCTCTGAAAAGGACGTGGATAAGCTGCTGAGCAAGGTCAAGTCCAAGAGGGAGGACACCAAACAGACCGTGGAGCACGTTATTCGCGGCCTTAAGGCCCTACAACTCGCGCACAAGGCAGCCTTCACACACAACACCTCTGCATACATTGAGTTCCTGGCTCATCAGAGCTATAATCCTTGTCGGCGAATCCGATCCGAGACTCTCAAGACTCTGGAGAACCTGTTGCGAGACAAGGAGATCTACTCGCAGCCCGGGTTTTCGTGGGAAGAGAGTGTGTTTGAAAACGGGCTGTTCCCGCTAGTCAAGGAGCTGCTCAAGCCTGAGGTGTACGAACTGGATAGTGCCGGAATGGGCTCCACGCGAGTCAAGGGTGCCATGCTGCTGTGCCGAACGTTTTTGCATTACGTTGATGCGGCTGAGGCCAATGGAGGCGATTTCGATAGCGTGCACGCGCAGGTGATCCAGCTGTGGCTGACCATGCTTACCATGCTGGATCGGCTCATGTCGTCGTCTTCCGACGCGCAGGAGGCGCTGGTGGAGTCGCTCAAGAACGTGCTGTTGGTGCTGGTGTCGTCCAAGCATCTGGATCCCCAGCAAGGCGGCTCCGACTGGGACGATTCGTGGAACCGGCTCGACCAGTTTGTGCCGGGTTTAAGAACCGACTTGTTCCCGGATAGCAAGGAGCCTGAGGTCAAGCGGGCTACGTAGGACGAGTTCGAGTGAGTAGTACAAGAGTAATAGATTAGAAATGTTAGTGGATGGATATGAGTATCGTCAGATAGAAGTCTGGCGTGGCCTCTGTCGCTTGGAGAAGACCCTCTCTATATCGAAGAAAGTCGATCCGTGCCATATGCAGCAACATACAGTTAACATTGACTTTAGGTGCATGTTTACATCTGTGTTTACATTGGTGTACGATCGATCTCTCTGCTGCATTATGTGGAAGATACGACCGTATAACGGTTGTCGAACATGGCCTGTTTAACGGTCTGAGAGGTTGTTGCGGCTGCGGCTTTGCACGGTGATTAGTCATCGGTGGAGAACCAGGATAGAGAGCCCTTTTGGACGTCTTGATGACTAAGAGGGTGGTGATTACCAAGAGCTGAAGAACAGCTTCCGTTGGCACAGCTTCCGTTAGTACGACTCCCGGCTCGCCCACCAATCAAAACCTCGGCTATTTGTACAGTCATGACGATGTAAACAAACATGCGTCTGTTACGGCATGTGTTTCGGAGATGGCGCATGGCGTGCTGTTGACAGGCACTAGCGGGCACAACGGGCAAAGCGGGCAAGACGGGCAAAAGCGGTCCAGAAGGCCCTCGTCGGGGGTCTATAGCTTCTCTTGGCGTCGATCCATGTCGTTTAGTCCACTGTAGTCTTCTCACGCCATTGTAGTGGAGCTTGAGCACTAGTTCAGTGGTTGGCGCTACTTGTAGCACAAACAGACCACTACAAGTAGTTGTTTTTGCAGCAATTGCTTGCAATGGAACCCTCTGGTCTCTTGTATGTATCTCTTGTCCCCGGACATTGGCATCGGACTTGGTGTCTCACTCCATTCGGGCACTTGCCCTGGAAGACAAGCATCAAATACAGTGCAAGTAGACCTAAGGAGGGCCGGGCTAGTAGGAAAACTAGAGGTTGATAGACTTGCACTAACGGCTGCGAGAAGAAGCCCCTTTGGCACCAGTCTGGAGATGCCGATGTGGGTGTGAACTGTAGCTCAACGTGATTATTCACCCTGTTCTTTTTTCTGCCAGAGTCAGAATCAGTGTTGGAGTCAGACAAGTGAGGGGCAACTGTAGCCAGGAGGCCGCTAAAGTGCTCAAAACCAAGGTGTAAGTGCTGGGTGGTTGCAAAAGGAGACTGCGGATGAGCACTTTTCGCCGTCCAGGGTCGGATTCTTTTCTGAAACGAGAATACTTGGAAAAATGACGCACCTTGTTGCTCGTATCGCATCGAACGACCGGCCAAGGTCAACGTTGCTTGTTGCAAGACAAGGCGAGAAGGGCGAGAAGGGCGGGCGCTGCGGCCACAATGGCGGTATCAGTCGACTCGGGCCAGTGAGCTGATTCCAGATGTGAAACAGTCACGTCCGTGGCGCAACTGTGGCGCATTCGGTGGCGGTTGCAAGACACTGGGCGAGGGGAGACAAGGTTCGTACAAAGACGTTGCGAGGCGTATTGTGGCGTTGGTGAGTACGATACAAATACGACGTCACGCACGTGGCGTGCAATCCCCCGTCCATTAGTCATTGTGCAGCCATACTTGGTCGATTTGAAATCCGCTGCCATTTTCCACCGACGTGGCCACCTCCATTTCGACCCATTTCGACCCATTTCGACCCATTTCGACCCATTTGACATGTGATTTTTGTTAATAGCAATTAGATGGGGGATCCCGTGACTGCATGTGCAGTGCATATGCATGTGCATACTGGTGCACTCCTAGTGCATCCTGGTGCATACTGCACCCGCATACTGGCTAATTAGGAAATGGGCCGGGCAGCCAATACGTACATGCACCTTTTATACAGTAGTTAGTAAGGTTGCAATATGCTTCAGATTGGCAGATGGTAGGGTTTTGGCCGGTCCGAGGACTGAGCGGCTTTTATCCTGTCTGGAGCTGGTGCCCAGACTTTTGACGGCTTGGCGTCATCGCAGGGTCCACGGTAATGTTGCTGGTTGACGCCCGCCACAGCTTAGTCATCCGGGCAAGTCTTCGGGCAACGGAGACTGGTGGCTCTCTGGAGCAGTTACACTCCTCTCGCCCTGACCGCAGTAATATGAGGTCAGATGGCGGGGAAAAATTACCTCTAGCTTTGGAGCTTTGTAGCCATTAAAGGTGTAACTTTGGAAATGAAAATTGTATTCGCTATTGCAGCTTGCTGTGGAGAGCGGTGGTGAAAGGGCGACCGTGTGGAGTTTTGGAGGGGGGCGGTGGGCGGCGGTGATCGGGGGTTGGGGGGTTGTCTGGAGGAATATCGGGTCATGGCGCCAACCTGCTGCCGTCCTTTGGGCGACCCGGTCATGTCCTGTCTCTCTGAGATTGTTTGCGGCATTTTGGCACTGTAATTTTTTGGGCATGTCCAGTGGATTAACGCCGGGTCTAAACTTTGGGACGTCTTGAGCCTCCCTGCGTTGGTGGACCTCTCTCGATACGGCAACCGAGTGAGTAATATAGACCCTTCACAGGCTCGGGCAAAGTGGAGAGATGCGTCTTTCGCATGTTGCTGTTGAGAGAGAGACATAGAGTCAGGGCCAGTGCAAGTGCAGTGCAAGTGCAAGTGCAAGTACAACTTTTGCTACAAGATGCTGGACAAGCAAAGGAGGCCTTGGCCAAGTGCAAGTAGCTACAAGTAGTGCGTTCCAGTGCCAGAAGCCCTGGACTCTGTCATCTGACCCTGTGGAGCCACCGCTGAGGCTAAGAGCCGTTTTATTTTTGTCTTCCGTTGCTTTTCGCTACATCCACCCGCCGTTGTGCACTGCCTCGCTCGCCAAAATCAATGTATCGGGCTCCGGGACAGCCCACAGCTGGGTAGCGAGCGACAGTCAGCAGGGAGCAACGAGAGCAACCTGTGAGCAGTGTGCGTGAGAGCAAGGCACGGGAAACGGGCCCAAAACGGACCCAAAACGCTCCATTTTTGTCGCCATGTGGGTCGAGGCGCAGTCCGGAGCTCAACTCCAGGTTGAGACCATTAAATTCCGTATACACACTTGTCCCTCTCCCTTCCACAAACATCCCCCCCCCCTGGCAGTATACGAGCTCACCTCAACTCCAAGGCCAATATATCAATATAGCGTGTCGGTCTATGCTGTTTGAGATATCTCCGAAATTTAAATCCGCCGATGTAGTGCACTTGCAGCAAGGCGGTGGCGTCACTCGGCAACGCCGGGAAATAGGGATGGAGAGCGCGAGGACGCGGCTTGGGGGGAGGCGGACGACTGCGGGGGCCATTGGCACCGTCGAAACCTGTGGAACCCCTCGGAACCTCCCCAACCATTGTCGCTCGAATGGAGCTCTCGTTTGACTTTGTCTTTTCCTGGCCCCTATTTCTTGCCAATTAGTTTGCCCTATTTCTCTCAAAAAGCCAGGGCTGAAAAAGAGCTTATGCACGGTATAAAGTTTAAATGTACATGTTGGCCTCTTTGGGCAGTGGACGCATTAAACTCTGCAAACTTAAGGTCGCAGCTGAGATGCACCATGTGCCCAGATAAAGACAAGCAGCGGGCGAGTCTAAATAAAAGTATTATGTCATTGCCGAAGTCATCCACGCACAAAGTCAAGTCATTATCTTCGGTGACTTTGCTCCTTTTTTTTTTTTTTCCCTTTTCTCGCTCACCCTATTTCATACTCCCGGCGCCCACATCACTCAAACACAAACACAAACACAACCACCAGCCCACACACACACCTCCGCTAGCCACCGGATCCTCTCAGCAGCAATGAAAGTGTCCATTCTCCTAGCAGCGGCTACTGCAGCCTCCGCAATTGCTCTCCCACAACTCCACAGACGTCACGAGGGACATGATGAGACAGAAGCCACGGGCATCACCAACACACCCCACAGTAACGACAAGACAAACATCAACGATATCAACGATAACAACGATGCAACCTCGCCATCAGCACATAGCCATAGCAATACCCACAGCGGCAACTCGACACACGACAATGAAGACATGATGGAACCCAACCCAGCATCAATGAACGGAGGCCACCACTCCCACGGCCTGCCCATTCTGGCGCACCCCGAAAAACTCGAGCCCCAGCAGCTGGCGTACTGGACCGCCTACGACCCCACCAACTTCTTCAACACAGAAACCCCCGGCCAGAGCCTTCTCACCTGGCACATCCTCATGGTGGCCACCGCTTGGATCGGCGTCTATCCCATCGCGGTGATGTTGTCGTCGGCCAAATCGGGCCTGTACCTCCCGGTCCAGACCGCCCAAGTGGTCATGGTGGCGCTCGGAGCCATTTTCCTAGGCATGTACGGATCGTCCCCCGAGGTGGAAAAGATGTACCCCGGCGCCATCTACGGAAAGTTTACCGTGCTCGTTCTCATCCTGTCGCTGGTGCACTACCTGGCGGCCCTGCTGACCTCGCTCGCCTACCGAGACACCACACCCAACGATAGCGACCCCCGCCAGCTGGCCGAGGCGTTCCAGCTGCAGCCCTACCACCGGGTCAGCGACTCCGACTCAGACCACACCCTCAATGGCACTCCCTCCGCGACCCCCTCCGTTCCCCAGCCCTCCAAGTTCCGAATCTCCGAAGACGCCGAGGACGATACCCCCATGTCTCCCTGCCAGTACTACGGAGACGACGAGTGTGGAGGAGCCGAGGCTGCTTCTTCGTCCTCGATGCGGCCCCAGCCCTTTGAGCAGAAGATGGAGGACAAGTGGGTCGCACGGCTGATGGCCAACTCCCATGTCAGCAGCACCGTCGACCGGTTCGGAGCCCTGGCCAACTTTGTGCACACCTACCTCCAGGGCATTATGCTGCTCGTGGCGTTTGCATACGTGATCTGCGGCGTGGTGACTGGCTGTCGCCTAGGCATGGGCCACAATGTGTTCAACATTCTCGCTCACTTTATCAAGGGCGGTGTCTTCACCGTGCTCGGTCTCTTCACCTTTGCTCGTTACGTCGGCGTCTTCACCGACAAGGGCTGGGCCTGGAACCTGAACCAGGAGCAGGTCAACAGCGTCAAGATGCTGCATTCTCGAAGCAGGGCCAACTCGCGCGGTTCTCGACGACGAGCGCGATCTTCTCCCCCCGCTCCCACCAAGATGACTGCTCTGTCTGTGGCTCGAACCGCAGTTTCCAAGGTGTTTGGCGTGCTGGCCTTCCTCAAGCCCCAGTCCTTCACGTTTGAGTTTGTCGAGTCCGCGCTCATTCTCATTTACGGCGTGCCCAACATCTTCATGGAGCACCTCGCTTCTAAGGACGGTCACTGGACGCCCGCAGACCTGCAGCATGCCTCCATTGCCTTCATGTTCATTGGCGGCGGTCTGTCTGGCGTGCTGCTCGAGTCTGCCCTGGTGCGAAAGCTTCTGAGCTCCAAGACGTACCCCATGTCCTTTAACCCCTTCCCCGCGCTCACCATTTTCTGGACCGGCATTCTCATGTCCCAGCACGCCCAGGCGCTGCCTCTGTCCACTGCTATCCACACCCAGTGGGGCTACCTGCTGGCCATTGGCGCCGTCTTCCGAGGAATCACCTACTTGCAGTACTTTATCGTGTACTCGCAGGCTCTGGCTCGACTTGACGGGGGTGCTGAGATGAATGTGGACCAGCTGACTCTGCCCAGCCGTCCCTTCACGGAAATTGTGGCATCCTTCTGTCTCATTTCTGGTGGTCTGGTATTCATGCAGAGCAACCGAGAGACGGTCGAGGCGTTTGTTTACCGGGGCATTGACTCCATGTTCACTCTCAACGTGACTGTGGGCGTCACCTCGTTCATCATGGCATGGGAGCTTGTGGTTCTTGCCATCAAGGGCTGGGCTTCTCGACGGAAGCGAGTTTAAGGATTACGAGTCGGGAATCGCGAGTGAGGATTTCTGCCATTGAGGTCAGCATTGTTCTGGCTGTGGAATAATTGGGGGGGGGGAGGGGAGAGAAGGGCGGGATTGGTCGCTCGGTGTCTCTCTCCCATGGCTTTGGTTGGCCCTCAGGAAATACCCGAGACGACGAGGAGGGGCTTTTATTGCTGAAACCCGACGATGACAGGGACGCAGACGTTTCTAGTCGTCCTAATAACACCACCACCTATAGGTTCTTAGCATTCTTTACTTTTTTATCTGCATTTGCTAATTTTGGTCTCGGTTCTGAAATGAATTGAGCACTTGATGTAATATAACTATTGATATTGACAATACCGACGAGTAGAGAAGGGTCTTTCTGTAGGAGGAGTGAGGAAGTGGTCAGTTGACGTGAAGGAATACGTGATTATGGCGCCGGTCCATCTTTGTTTCAGTGTAGCATGTAACCGTGACTGGTGTTAGCAGTGTTTGTTTAGTTCATGTTACATTTTTTAGACTACACTTGTTGTATCTACGAGATACCGTGATATCGCCCTTTGGCAAGTTGCAGTTGCATTTTTCCTTCATCGGTGCACCGCCACAGATATAAATAACTGGGTGGCGACGGTCGTTCTTTTGTGTTTTTTGACGGGTCTGTGTTTGCATTGATTAGGCAGGGTGGAGATGTGATTGTACTTGGGTGTTGGTCGTTTAGTTAGGTTGTTAAGTATTGTAGTTATGGTGTGGGGGTATCTTTGGTCGGTTGCCTGCGGTCCGCGCATCGGTCCAAGCACCGTGGAACTGTCGTATTGCGGCCGTATATCGTGGCACAGCCCTGAATCATGTCCGTGGCAGTCTCATCATGTGCCTCTTGTCTCAGAGGTACTTGATGGCTGTACAAGTCATTGCTCGTCTCCACATCTTAAAATAGCATGTGGAGACCAAGCAGTGGGGGTTGGGGCAGAGAAGGAGGGGGTTTTGGGGGTTTGGGGGGTGTTGGGGGTTGGATGGGTGTCACGTGGTTTTTTGGTGTCACGTGGTTTTTTGGTGTCACGTGGTTGTTTGGGTGTCACGTGGTTGTTTGGGTGTCACGTGGTTTTTTGGGTGTCACGTGGTTGTTTGGGTGTCACGTGACTGGTTGTGGCGCTTTTCTTCCCGTTTTCCCGTTTTCCGCTATTTCCGGCTTCGAGTGTTCTGATGCACCAAGCCATTGGCTATGGTGATCTGGGTCTCGGCGTGTCTGCTGCGAGATGTTCTCTTCCACCAATACGTCAACGATGGAGATGAGAATGAATGGAGCCGGGCATTATCAAAGTGTGGGGTACTCGAGGTCCCTCCAGCTTTCCACTGTTGAAGCCCACTCTCCACAGCTTGTCACAGCTGCACACCGCCATAGAGTTGTTGTGCTGGCCATAGTGGTAGAGAGCAATGGCGTATGTGATTCCGGTCTCGCATGAGCTCTAGAATTGGACACGTCTGCACCTGCTTTGGGCGTCGTGTCAGGTTAGCCAGCTTGATGACATGGCCAGGCACAGAGTGCGACAGACTCTCCAGCCCCTGCAGACGGCAGTCTTGTATGTTCGTAGCTTGGAAGAGGAGTATCTCTCACTTCGTCGTACACATTTTCCAGCAATTGGCCGTACAGAATGGGTGTGATGGCCCCATCTGACAGCTGCTGCCATGGCTGGTATGCCCGCCGCTTACCTGACTCTCCTGTGATGTCAAGACCCGTCTCCAGGTCGAGCACTGTCCGGCAAGTCTTCAACACTGGCTGAGGCCGTTTGTCATTCTGCGAGAAGGGGTTGTGATGCTACCTAACCTGCTGTCTCTGCCGGCAAGACTTCAACACTGGCTGAGGCCGTTTGTCATTCTGCGAGAAGGGGTTGTGATGCTACCTAACCTGCTGTCTCTGCCGGCAAGACTTCAACACTGGCTGAGGCCGTTTGTCATTCTGCGAGAAGAGAAACCCGCTGCCTTCTTCAAGGGAGGAGCCGCTTGAGTGCTGTGTTCATCACCCCAGTTCGGCTGCTCATGGGCTGCCTACGAGATGCTGCATAACCTGCTGTCTCTGCCCGTCCTCCTCCTCCTCCTCCTTCGACCATAGATCTAGAACGCCCTCGACATCTGTTGGATATCGACAACTTCGAAGCCGTACGCTTGCCACTGGAATGGTAATCGCATCAAAGAATCTATGCGGGAGCAATAATGGTTTGTAGAGTGCAAGATTTTGATGCCCTTCTGGTGGCAACTACCTGGCTAGCCTTGTGAGCGTTGAACTGGACAATTGATCCTTGATCCTTGGTACGATATGTACTGTACATCAGTAGCTGATGTTCACCAGACCCGAGGTACAAGATGATACTTCCACAATGCATCTTGCGACGACTAGAGTATGTACTGTACTTGGTCAAGTCGAGTAGTTCGATCTGAAAGGCATACAGCCATATCGCAACGGTTTTGGCCAAGTGTGATATACTCCACGAAGTGCTCGGAGCTCAAGTCACAGTGTCCAACATGTTTCAACTGCCTGACTTGACTTCGTTCTGACATCAGAGTACACTCCAAACGACCTGCGCTACAGAAAAGCAACAAGAATTGTACATGTTGGGGATCAGCGCGCAATTGTGAACCCATTGGTGAACTTTTCCACCCCGTTTGCGTCGAAGAGCCCAGTTGAGATGCTCTCTTCGTGGCAAGTAGTATACCGTCTCGTCTACTACGTCTCGGCTCATCATCTTGCATTGATCTGGAGTGAACTTCCGAGGCATGTCGGTGATATCGCACGGTAGACACTCTCAGACCCTCAAAGTACTGTACTAATAGTCCTGACTGGGTCTCATGGTGGTTCGAAAGACCCATCTACCATCTTCATAACATTCACTATCGATACTCCTCCACCCAACTCCTCCACACAAGTCACGGGCCCCAACTGGCAAGTCACGTGTGCTCAGCTGGCAACCAAAGAGAAACAACAGACTGAAACAACAGACGGAAACAACAGACGGAAACAACAGACGGAAACAACAGACGGAAACAACAGACGGAAACAACAGACTTGTCTGCGCTCGCACCGACTCGCCTCTCCTATCCCCCTATACTAAACTGAGCTACCCTAACCCGCCAAAATATTACCAAACCCAGAAGACCAACACGCAACCAGTGTGAAAGGCAAAACGCGCTGTTGACAACACCTCCCCGACAATATCTCCTTTGACCATGGCCCGCCGAAGCTTTCTGCCCGAGTCGTTTCTGTGGATCTTCCCCCTGCAACAGGCCGCCGAGCTGATCATCGCGCTGGCGCTCTTCAACAAGGCGTACGGGCTCTATGCCCTTCTGTGCGCCTTCATCACGCCGCTCTCCTTCACCCAGGTGGTGATGGCGCTGGTTTCGCTGGCGCTGGTGTTCCCCTACGCCATGTCCATCCCCGTGATCCGCGCTCTGCCCGTCACGGGCTCGGGCCCGGGCGCCCTGGCCTCCACCATGGCCTCCATCTCCCCCTCCACCATGTCTCCCAAAGACATCATCAACAAAATCCCCATAGTGCTGCTGGCCTGCGTGCTCTACACCTTTGACCTGGTGCTGACCATCTTCAGCGGCGTCATTTTCGCCCACGACTGGGCCGAGGACTGCGAGGAGTGCGACGCCGCCGCCGCCGCCAGCACCGCTGCTTCCGTGTCGGCGACCCTGTCAGACGCCGTGTCTGCCACCGCCACTGCCACCGCCACTGCCACCGCGTCGGTAGTCTCGTCGGCCGCATCTGCCGCCACCTCCGCCGTGTCGTCGGCTGTCTCGTCGGCCGCGTCTGCTACGTCTGCCCTCGTGTCTGCTGCCACCTCCTCCGCCCTCAACGTGGCGACCTCGTCCGTGTCTCCCGACGACGAAACGCGCGTCCGTTTCGGTCTGCGTGACGCCACAGACAGAGACCTGTCGCTGGACTCGGCGTCGCGAGGCCAGGAAACCGCCGCCACCATCATCATCGCCGTCTTCCTGCTACTGGTGCGCATCTACTTTGCCCTGCTGCTGCTGTCGTACGGCATCAAGCTGCGGGCCTTGCTCAAACAGCTCAAAACCAACCAGACACAGCTCCAGACCCACGGCCACGGCAGCCGGCTCTCGGTGCCCGAGGCAAACCCTCTGCGTCCGTGGGCACAGAGCCGCCCCTCCATCGGCGGAGGAGGCATCATGGAGCCCAACCCGGGAGCCGGCGACACAGACCCCATCCAGGGCACGGACTTTGGGCCCTACTCGCCCGACCGCTCGGTCCCGTACTATCTGGACTCTCTTTGGCGGTCGTTTGCGTTGAAGTCCTTTGATTTCATTTCCGGACAGAAGACGTCGAGAGATGGCGTCTACTGATTGGCCCCAGAGACACCTGGCGGTCGCACAGACACAGAGACTGGGCATCGCCAACAAAATCAAAGAGACCGGAAGATTGTGCCCGCGTCTTGAACGATACCACTTATGCATATAAATAGAAAGTACACTCGTTATGTAGTAATATAGCTAATTAGCTGAGGGTACGGGTACAACGACCGCTAAGTCCAAGTACCGGAACCAGCACCAACACGGCACCAATAGCCCCATTGCACCATCATTCTTGCCGTGTATGTCAAATGTCATTCGGTGTTCAAGTCGCAATGACTTGTACCCATATAAGTACTTGTTGGAAGGCATTTCTAAGTCCTTTGATTCCTGGGAGATACCGGAGATGATTTATCTCTCAAGTTGTACTACTTGTAAGGATATAAGAGATGAAGACTTCGATCTCGACGACGACCATGCCGTTTCAGTCTTATGACACTGGTAGAGTCAGCAATGGTTATAGATTGATCATTCTCAGTGACTCTAGTGGTTCATGTTACCACAAGTTTCGTACAGTTTAGTTCAATATAGCTTATAGATGTCTTTGGCGACGAGAAAGGGGCTCGTATTAGCTAGTCTAGGGAACGAATGTCCCTTTTGTAGGGCATGTACTATCCATGAACATGTTTCGTCGCTGTCGTCGCTGTTCGTCGCTGTCGTCGTTGTTCGTCGCTGTTTGTCATTGTTGGTCGTTGTTGGTCGCTGTTCGTCATGGTTGCCATAGTTGTCATGGTTGTCATGGTTGTCATTGTCAAAGCTCAATTGACAGGATGAAGACCAGGACCGCCGTTCAGGACATTTTCAATGTTGTCAATCACATTGAGCTCGGCCGCCAGGGCATTGTCCTCGGTTCCACTGCCCAGATGGGGCAGCAGTTGGATATCCCACCGCCCAAATAGCTTGGGATTGACAAACGGCTCACCCACCTGGACGTCGAGGCCTGCGGTGGCAATCTGTTTGGAGCCCAGCGCCTCGAGCAGATCGTCTTCGTTGATGAGAGTGCCTCGACCAATGTTGACGATGGACGCTCCTCGGGGCATGAGGTTCAGGGTCCGTTTGTTGACAATGTTGAGGGTGTCTGCTCCTCCGGGGAGCGCCAGAATGAGCTGGTCCGAAGCGGCGCACAGATCGTCAAAGGAGGAGTGGAAGATGAGGTCTGAGGGGAGATTTGAGGCCGCCAGCTCCTCAGCGCTCAGCTCGGATCGCTTGTAGTAGTGAATTTCGACCCCCAGAGGCGCCAAGCGTCGCACAATGGCCTTTCCAATGTTCCCGAGTCCCGCCACGCCCACCGCCCGGTTTCGGCACATTCTGGCGGGTCCTTTCGCGGTGAGATCTCCAAAGGCGAATCCTGAGGGCGGACCACCGAGAACCTGGCCCGAAGCGGGGTCAAACTCGCCCTGCGCCACCACACGCCGCGCGTCGATCGAGTTCTTCTCTCTCTGGAACGAGCCCTCAAACAGGGGGATTTTGCGCATGCATCCAATCGACAGATAGAGCGCAATGTCCGCGACCTGCTCGCCGCTGTGAGAGGGCTCCATCGACGGAGTGTTGGTCACAATGATGCCACGTTTCCGGAACGCAGCAACGTTGAACTGGTCGTACCCCGTGGCACAGAGAGCCACCACCTTGAGACTCGCCGGCAACTGGGCAATCTCCTCCTCGGTCTTGAGGCCTCCCATGGCGTAGAATGCCGGCCAGGAGCAAAACAGACCCTCCACGTTGGCCAGGGGACCGCCGGGTAGACAGTCTTTGAACAGCTCCTCCTTGGTGGCAGGCACGGGGTAGAAGATGGTGTTGAAGTGTTCCAGCCGGCTCAGAACCTGGTCGAACCGCGACGTCCCTCCCGCTAGCGCAATGGTTGGTTTCGTAGACATCAATGAGGGTGTTAAAAGAGTGACGTTCTGTGTCGGTACACGTAACAGTAGGAGTGGGTGGGTGGTTGGATAAATGTGTTGAGGTGGACACCCTTGGTTGTACTATTTCTGCAGAATATAACCTTGTGTGGATCCGGGGTGGAATGCAAATATTGGACGTTGCGGAGGTCTGATCTGGGTGGAGAAAAGAGAACTGGAATCGCAGGAACTCGGAGAATCCATTGGTTCTCTGCTTTTTCAAATCTGACAACTTTTCAGCTCCCTGGTGGACCCCGGATAAACCCGACTTATTTTCACTTTATACATTAATTCCTTTTTTACATTTAATCCATTTTAACATTTAACCCATTTTTTTTAATTCCATTTTTACATTTTATCATCCATTTTTACATTTTTTTTCCGACAACTCCAACATTGAAGTTAGACTGGGATAACAGACCAAAATACAACAGCAGCAACAGTCGCCATTTCGGTTGAGAGAGGGTGGGTCACGTGAATACACTGGCCCCGGTCATGTGGGGTTTGTTCTGGTCACGTGACCACCGTCCTCGCCGTGTCCTGTCTCTCCTCCAAACCCCGTGATCTCCGCTTCTCCAGTAATTATATTAAAGACTATTGTTGATGCGACGTGCGTCTGACGGAAGTTTAATGACCCGGGGTTGAAGAAAATGAGGGTTGGCAAAAGTGCCATTTTTTTCGACTTTTTGGATATGATAAGGGCGATTTTTGAGTGTTTATATATGTCTTGTTTTGGAGGGAGGAGATTTTGTGTCTCCAGGTGTGGAAATGCCCGATTTTTTCTCTTAGTCGGTGTGTTCGGTTGTGGTATGGTATAAGATATACTACAGTATAGTGCATTCTATTTTGGGGGAGTATGTTGTGGAGAAGTGTGGTCACGTGATGATTTGTAAGAGTCGACGAAAGAAGGAGGAGTTGATTGTTGGTATGTTTTTTTTCTTCATTTTTTTCTTCTTCATTTTTCTATTTTTCCCATGCACAGTACATACTTGGTTGTAACTTCCATTTTCCCACATGTTCCTTTTATTTATTTTTGCTCCTCTTCCTCCCAACTACTTCCCCAAGTAATAAAAATATATCCCAAGTAATTATTGAAGTTATTTTTTTATAATAAAACTGGGTTAATTTTTTTATTTTATCAAATGCATGGTTAACAAAATCCAAGTAAAAACGTTTGGATCAAGTACAGTAGTCGAATAATACAGAAAAAAAAAGTCACTTCAAACGACGAATATCCTGAAAAAAAAACTACACAAGGTCCCCAAAGATATAAATACAGCCCATAACAAACCACAGCATTCTCCACAACCGTCTCAATCCGCCTCTAAACATCTTTAATGTCACCATCATATTGAAGAGGATACACTACATGCGGACTCCGAGCCATATGACACCAGACATTGCTGAGTGACACAGAAACATCGTTCCACCGCAAAACGACACAAAACCACTCCCGCAGCCTTAAATACCCCTCTTCCCTCCCCTTTCTCCCTCTCTCCCAATTATACCGCCATTTCCAGCTCCGATCTACTACCCCAACATTTTGCCCGCAACTTAAACTTCCCCACTTAGTACAATATACACCATAACACCACTGGCTAACCCCACGACCTACCGACAACTTCCGATACAATGCTCCAGAGAACACGTGGCGTGGCGAACCGGGCTGCCCTCATCACCAACTTCAGTCGGCGCGCCCAGAATTCCGCATCACGTGACCACAAACTGACCCACAGGATGTTTTCTACGACCACCACCGCCTCCGTCTCGTCCGTCTCGTCCGCGTCGTCCGCGTCGTCCGCCTCCTCGTCCGCTGCGCCAACTGCGGATCACATTTTGGAACGCAACAAACGGCTGCAGAGCGAAACGGACGCGGCGATTGCGCGACTGGCGGCGCTGCCACAGAAGACAATCACGCTCGACGAACTGGTCAAGTTCCCCCGAGACCTGGAGACTAAAGAGCGCAACGAGATCCTGATAGCCAATGCCCAAGATACGCTGGAGCAGATTAAAATCGGACTGGCGCATCGGCTCAATGCGCTGCGCAATCTGCAGTACCTGGTGGTGCTCAATCCCCACATTGCCCAGATCTACCAGCTGTACTACTGCTCGTTTCTGATCATCTCCAGCTTCAAACCTCCTCAGACAGTGGAGGAAAATCTGCACTTTGTGGAGCGCCTCAAAGACCTGGTGCAGACCCACTCCAACACTATCCCAGTGCTGTCGCGGGGCTTCTCCGAGTGCCAGAACCTCATGCCCCTATCGCAGATCAACACGCTGCTCAACTCGCATCTCAATGCCCGCATGGGCACCCGGCTGCTGGCAGAGCACCACATTGCGCTGACTAATCCGATCGCAGACAACTTCATTGGCGCCGTGCAGCTCGATTTTTCGCCCGGTAAAATGCTGCACGAATGCTCGCAATTTGCTGGTGAGATTTGCAACCTGTACTTTGGAGTGCGTCCCGAGGTGCAGATTGACGTGGGTGAGGACGTGACGCTGCCGTTTGTGCCCGACCACGTGCAGTACATTTTCCAGGAGCTGCTCAAGAACTCGTTCCGGGCCCATGCTGAGTCGTCCAACGGCAACGATCCTATTATCGCCACCATTTCCAAAACCGAGGATGGAGTCATGATCCGACTCAGAGATATCGGTGGCGGTATCAAGCCCGAGAACGAGAACAAGATCTTTGAGTTCTCCTTCACCACGTTCCAGGACGAGGGGCAGGGCGATGGGTTTGCCACGCTCAACAACTTTCACGGAGGCAGCAGTATTGCGGGCATGGGTTATGGGTTGCCGTTGAGCAGAGCCTATGCCGAGTTTTTTGGCGGCAACTTGAAGCTTCAGAGTTATTTTGGACTCGGAACTGATGTCTACATTAGTTTGAAGGCGCCCAAGGTGAGTCTGTGAACAAGTGCCAACGAAGTGCCGAGGAACAAGTGCCGAAGGTAGTTGCCAGTTCTGAGCAGAGGCAGGGATGGCAGAGATGACTCTCTGGAGTACCTCCTGTTGAATAATTTAATTGCATCATTTATAAGTTAACATGAGCGTAGCGATCTTGAAGCTCGCGAGACAGCTCAAGAATGCTGGTTTTTTATATTAATCTATAAATGTAAAAATTGGGAAAAGGAAAAAGAGAAGAAAAAGAGAATTTTGTATATCCAAGTATTACCTATTCAATTACAGATTTTTGGCTATATATTGATACGAAAAGACGGACCAAATCTGTCCAGATGGGGTTTTTTCAAAAATAAATAAATAAATAAATAAATAAATAAATAAATAAATAAATAAATAAATAAATAAATAAATAAATAAATAAATAAATAAATAAATAAATAAATAAATAAATAAATAAATAAATAAATAAATAAATAAATAAATAAATAAATAAATAAATAAATAAATAAATAAATAAATAAATAAATAAATAAATAAATAAATAAATAAATAAAAACAACTCAATAAATATCAAAATAATTCAAAATTCCAAAATAATTTGATCGCTTGAAAATACCGCAAGACTACATATCAAATACATATTGTGCTCGAAAACGAATGAAAAATCCCTCTCCATTTCATCCTGAACACGAGCAGTACGAGACTGGACACACAGCTACAGTACATGCAGTAAGAATGTCTGGTCAGTGAGAATGGGGAACTCGAAGTTCTCAGTAATTCCAGTCACATGACCAGATAATGGACACGTGACATGACAAAGCGGGCGATCAGAAAGGAGCGCGGACTCATGTCTCTTGTGTCCAGCATTGTCCTGGTTGCGAAACTGCCGGTACAGTATGTACATACCACTGCTTAAACAAGATCCCAGATCAGCCCGACATCAGCAGGACATAGCGACTGGGGTGTAAGTGCGTGTCATAGAGCTGGGAGGCAATAGTGATTATGTAGCTGCGTAGATCCGATAGACTGGAGTTTTAACTGGTGCTGGCGATGGAACGGTCTCTCTCAGAGCTCTAGAGGGAGTCTCAGAACTATCCAGACGGCAGCTGTAGGACCTGGTGATTGGGGACTCAGTCAGAGGTCAATGTAGAGACCAATTGGTGAAAAGACCAAAAGATGGCCTAATAGAGACCAAATGGTGATCAAGAAGCGGTCAATATATGGTCGACAAGACCAAAAAAAGTACCTGAACGCCAAGTCATAAATAATGTACACACGCATAAGCGAAACTCTATTATTGTCTATATATTTACACAAAGAAACCGTTTTTTTACAAGTGAGAGGGAATAGACACGGTGAGGTGAAGGGGTATTTTTGGAAAAGGGTCTTCCTCTCGTTCAATTGTCATTTCACGTGCTTTGGGCTTTCCAACGGTCCCTTTTCGACCCATTTTGGTACCATCCCCAAACTCCATATCTGAGATGCAGACAGAGACAGACGGAGATATAGCGACAGACAGAGATATATAGAGACAGACAGAGTGACTCTCGAGCTGTAGCCAAGACTCTCAAGCTACAACCAGGACTTTCGAGCTATAGTCAGGACTCGGGCTTAACCAAGGCTCTCGAGCTACAACTACATCCTACGACGACTCTCCTCTTCAGCATCTACTTCATTCTCCCTCTCACAACTGCTCCAACCCAGTAGAGCAACCACACAAACACTTCTGTGCGTGATGGGCCTGTACCAGTCTCTTGTAAACTGGCCACACGTCAATCTACGAGTTCCTCGGGGGTGATTTCTCAGCTCCCTCAACTCCAACTTTGGCAAGCAGGTCCACAGGTTGTGTCAGCCTGGCTACATGTCCGAGGTCCGCATGCCTAGTTGCCAGAGTCGGTGACAGCAACACAGTCTACAAGAATGAACTGCCCGTCCTACGAAGAACAGTCAGCCATCACTATGGTGGTCAAGTTGGGGTTAGCCTAGCAAGCGCGTCAGGACAGCAGAGCACCTGGACAGCGTCTAGAGTCTTCGGCGGAGCATTCGAGAACGGAAACCTAGGGGTAGCTGGTGAGACGGTGATACGCCAACTTGGCCGTTGATCGACTGAAGACAATTGCGCAGTTTGTGGCGACAGTTTTACCGGAGGACAATGGACTCAAAGCCTTCATGGTGTTCAGATGTCGATCTACGCTAACCGATGCTCAGATTCGGACGTGACCTGGGACCCAATCCCCGTAGCACCCTCTCATCAATCATTGTCTCACCAACCTGGCTCTTTACCGGTGGACATCTACGCTGGTCGATATGACATTACGCTACGCTCTCTTCTATGCTGGTCGATCTGACGTCGCTACGCTCATCGATGCTTCATACACAGTGCAATTTTTTATACATCGCCTAAACGACAACCTTGGCGGCGGCAGCAGGGTTGATCTTCTTACCGTCCTTGTTGAATCGGACTCGCTGGGGAGGAGTTCGAACCTTTCGGCCCTCTCGAGATCGGACTCGGACAACCTTGGAGTGGATGGCGCAAGACACGCAGTACTGGATCTTGAGGTAGAGCTTGGGCAGCACGTACTCCTGGTAGACGGAGGCCTCGGAAAGATCTCGGATGGAGGCGGCCTCGACCATGTTTCGGATGGTGAATCGCTTGATGGCCTTGTCCTGGGGTTAGCGGATAAACGTGGATAAAACACACACAAGTGTTTTGTGAGCAGCAAGCAGTGAAGAATGCAGTGCTTATTAATCAGTCATCAGTCATCAGTCATCAGTCATCAGTCATCAGTCATCAGTTTGTCACTGTTCACCAATCACTGTGCTCTTCATTTCTTCTTCATCCTGCACTCTTCTCATTCGCAGCTTGGCTACAAAGACCTGTGATACTCACCTTGGGGACCATTCGGGCACAGTTAGAGCATCGGATGGAGGTAACGTGTCCTCGACCCTTCTTGTTTCGTCCGTTGGAAGCTCGCTTCTTGACCATCTGAGTTAGTAGTGTTCGAATGTCGCATTGTGGCAAATGACGGAGACTGAGTCCGCGTAACCCGCAACAGGGACCGTATAACCCGCAACATGGACCATGTAACCCGCAACATGGACCGTGTATAACCCACAACATTGCTCGTGAAATCACAACATCGCCAATGTGGTGCCCACAACACGATCCATGTGATCACCACATCACCCATGCCACCACCACATCCGCCATGTCGCCTCCGGATCATCAATCCGCCACCTATCGCCTGTCGCAATCACTGGGTCGCAGTCATGTTGTCCTCTCGTCTCTCGTCGCTTTCTGTCCTCTCGTTTAACATACCTTTGCTGTGTTGTGGATAATATCAAAAGGAAAGAATGGCTCTTTTTTTTCACCCAACACTCCAGTTGGGACAAGACCCAAAAGGGTAAATTTCAGCCCGCGTACAGTATGGTCTCGCAGTAAACACAGGACCGCCAACCCTATTGGGACCTAGGGTTGGTCATGTGATGACGCCAAATTGGGAAAACCGGACCCACAGGTCGTTAAAGTCATGTGATATCTCAGCGACCAATCGCTCAGATGACCTGATAGCGCCTCCAAAATTATATAATACTTTGGCCATTATTATAAAAACAGTATTAGGCAATCTCACAATTACTCAGCTTCCCAATCCGACGCTTACACACCGAGTTGCACAACTTTTGAAACAGGTTATGACCACTCAACTTTGACCCAAACAGCGGTATTAGGCGACTTAGTCAGCGAAATCAAATCCGTCCCGTGACTTCCCGTATCACGTGCGTACAATGATGTTACGTAACAGCAGAAATTTCCACCGAAAATATCCTCGTCTTTTCCAAACTCCTCATTTTCACTCTTTTCTTACCTCCCCGATTACATAATTACTTATCTTTGATTTTGCGACCCACCAGAAACAACCAAATTGGTTGACACGTTTCACGTGATCCAATTACTAAGCACACCAGCCACCAGATGGGACTTTAGCCACATCCACTGGGTACCCAGCCACGATTCCGCCCTAACCACAACCCCTAACCCTGAACACCATTCCAGCCAGTAAAAGGCGGTGCTTAGCTAAGCTTATTGCTGCGGACCTGACCCCCAACCCTAATCCTATTGCTCAAAGTGGAAAAATGACATGTTATTTTAAGGTTTCGCAGTCGGCCCACTCTGGCGCGCTGTGATTGGCTTAGCTCGGCTAACAAATCATGTCCCAAACTTTTAACAGTGTGTGATACGATTTCAGTGTTGGCTTCCACATAGCACCTTTCGGTACATTCCATATTTTTGCATAAAGTGGGTATTGAGATGATAAGGCGGATATTGTGGGGTGGACGAGAGAGGGGAGGATGTGACTCGGGCAATGTCACCTGTGAACAGACACGAGTCTTGTGTTTTTTGAGCAAATATCGACAAGCTACAGATGAGCAAATGAGATGACAGGGAGAGACCCAGGAAGAGGTGGAGATGACGAAAACAAAGACGATTGCGGGATGGATGGCACGACAGTTGTGGTGACGACGTGGAGAGTGTCGTGGATTGACTTGGAAAGTGTCATGGGGAGACATCGGGAGTGTCGTAGGGAGACGCGGGCAATGTGATGACTACATGCAGCGTATAACGAAGGAGAAATCGAGACCGGGGATGTCGCTATGTCGCTGAACTTGACTATTCGACCATTCGACTATTCGACATTGTGATGCACTTTACTAGTCGATGCCAGTCACTTCGCACTTAGCACTTTCAATGCATCAACCCTCTGACGTTTCCACCGACCCGTTACCTAATTCTGCACTCTCAGAACAGCTCAAATCAAACGACACAAAGATTTCGCAGATATCACAATTTCACGGATACCACTGAACCCCTCGAAAACGTGTTTGTGACACACCTGTGGCTGTGGCTGTGGCTGTGACGTGACTCCGTGTTACGGCTAAGTGACGTGACTTATGTCATCATCAACAGATGGTGACAGCGTCAAATGCCATTTACCAGTTTCACAGCAGTTACTCTCAGCTGTGGCTGTATCCCGTACCAACGTATCCAAGCCGATTCATCATGAGATGGATGGGTCTGTGAGTTTGTACCAGACTTTTTGCACACCACGCTCTCACTCTACTGAGTCCACCACGCTTATGTCTCCTGTGCTTCAGTACTAACCCAGATGTTCGCCCTGAGAAGATCTCTGCTTTCCGCAGGCCGAATCGCTCGACCCCAGCAGGTTGCTCGATTCTCCTCTGCCTCTGCTCTCCTGCAGCACAAGGCCGTCAAGCCCGCCGAGAAGCTCTCCGAGGTCACCGGCCCCGAGTCCCTGATCGGAACCTCCGCCGCCCCCGGCACCGTGCCCACTGACCTCGAGCAGGAGACCGGTCTGGCTCGACTCGAGCTGCTCGGTAAGATGGACGGTATCGACATTTTCGACCTCGGCCCCGTCATCCGACCCCAGCACTCCGTCAAGGGCACCCCCGACGACCCCATCTGGGTCCCCACATACGACAACTCCCGAATCGTCGGCTGCTCCGGTACCCCCCACGGCTCCCACGAGGTCCAGTGGTTCCACGCCGGTGTCGATAAGGTCGGCCGATGCGACGAGTGCGGCGCCGTCTACCGAGCTTATGAGCTTGGCGCCGATGAGGAGGCTCCCCACCACTAAGGCTATGTATGTTAACTGAACAAACTGAGAGATTTGTCGCTTGTGCGTTGAAACCGTAGCGACATGCGAAAGAGAAACAACCATGGAACGTACAAACACAGCGTCTGTGTTGTTTTACAGAGGAAACCCGCTGTATCACCGCATGAGTAGCACTGTGGATGTAGACTGTAGGGTGCGGACGGGTGAATCTGAGAACCCACTGTATTATTGTGATACTGTAGAAAGTACGAGTACCTTAGTGGGACTGAGATGTAACCCTGAAGGCGACACTTGTTCGGACGTCGAAAGTCACGACACACCATGGGTGGATGTAACACCACCGTAGTTCTTAGCACCGTCATCTGCTCAGCTGTGAGACTGCCGACACGAGTTTTTCCAGTCACAACTGGAATGACACCGCTCACCGAGAGTGATCGATACAATGAATGGGTAGGCTCAATGGGTAGGCTCAATGGGTAGGCTCAATGAGTAGGCCCAATGGGTAGGCTCAATGAGTAGGCCCAATGGATAGCTACCTTTTCGGGTCGCAGGGTGTCGAGAGATTCGGTACCTAGTGTCGCATTAGCACCGTACGCACATGACCAACCAACTGGATAGGTGTTTGTGGACAGCAATTCTGGTCAGGTCAGATGTGAGGTGTCAGGGCTTTACAGTGTAAGTCAGATATGTGGTGTCAGGGCTTTGTAATGGGATAGCGCTGCCGGTCCTTGTCACACGGTGGTGTTGCAGTCACCGATTAGTGGAGGCGGGTCGTGAACCTCACTCACTTGTGGACCACTAACTATGGACACTTTTGCTACACCCAGATATCTTATCTCTCTCTTCCCACACGCGCGCCGAATTGGAGACAGAACATGATTGCGTCCGCTGCTTTGGTTGTGTGGGTCTGAGATAGTGAGGACGTGAGTGTAACGGCCGTATCCGTGAGTAAGTGAGTGCCCACTCGAGGTGTGAGTCCGTAGCGATCGCTGGTCTGGAAGCACTGGTGCGTGACACAGATGTGGTGGCACCGAGGTGCAGTGGAAGGCAGTCCCGATATGAGTCGATTGAGTCTGTGTCACCGGGAATAGGTGGGAATAAAAGTGATGAGGAAGAGGAAGAGTTGGGGGTGTCTGTCGTTTGACTTAAGGTGGGATGTCATGTTGATAGTTACACCGCCGTCATTAGATCACAACCAAAGAAACCAGTATGTCAATGGATATGGAGACCGGGTTGAGTGTCTGTGGCGCAATGTGAGGTTTGCGATACTCAATGTGATCATGATATCCCAAACAATGACTCTCAAGACTGTTTACCAACTCCAACTCCAACTCAGACAAGTCCTCTCTTCAGATCTACTGTTGGAGACTCAAGTTGAGCTTCTGGAGAGTGCTGCAGTAATCGACAGAGGGTCGGCAGGGTGCTTGACAGAGGGTCGACTGGGTGCTCGACAGAGGATCGACAGATGGAACTCTCTGGATAGTGGTGATAAAGGTGGATTCAGCTGAAACTGAACTACAAGTCGAAGTCGACTGAGCAAAGCTGAGTTTTCAGCGACCAGATCATCAGAATATCAATCGGTAGACTTGGAAGCTCGTCAGCTGCGTTCAACGGTGCTCAAAAAGCCGTCTAGATTGCGAGATTGGCTATGACTGTGCCACATCTGTGCCCAAAAGAGTCTCCCAAACTATTTTCAGTCAAGTCATCTGTTGCTGGGCTCTAGAGAAGAGATACAGAGACTTGAGAAACAAAAGAGGAGAGTTGATCCTTTGATGGAGGATTCTGGTGTCCTTTCTGTTGTTTCTTCAGTGCGAAAGTCCAGAAAAACAGTCACAGTCACAGTCACAGTCACAGTCACTCTGAACTACTCTCAACGCTCAATTGACTAACGGGGCACTCAATTGGGGTTCAATTGGTGCTCATACACTCATAGAAACTCCATTGGCACTCCCACGCTCATGGACACATATTCATAATATATTCAATGTACATAGTTCACAGTTCAGTTGAAGAAGGTCTTGACAACAGGACAAAAGCCCGAAATGACAGCAGCTCCGATAAGGACAATCTGGGAGCCGAGATTGATCAAGGCGGGGATCTTTCGGTTGTCGGGGTTGCCCTTGGAGTAGGCAATGACGTAGGCGAACCGAGAAACGGCCCAGGTCAGGAGCAACGAAGCAGCCAGCTGGGGGTAGTACAGACCGGAGATCCAGCCAGCCACCAGGGTCAGAGCGGCGTTCTCGTTGAACTGCATGTGGGCCTTCTGGGCACAGTTGAATCGCTGACGCGCCAGCTCCAGCTTGGGCTCCTTGGCGGGCACAGAGGTGTCGGCAAACAGCAGGGGCAGGGGGGTCTTGGACTGGGCTCTCCAGTAGCCCGTATTGAGGGTCTGGAAGAAGCCCAGAACGGGGTAGAGCGAGGTGGCGGCAATGACGTACTTGAAGTCGAGCGGGAAGGACATTTTGATGGTGGTTGGGGGGACCTGGCAGAGGGGTGGGAACTGGACTACCTATATATACTTTTTAAATATGGTTATCTGATGGTTAATTGGCATGTGGCGAGGTATTGTTTTTCTTTTTCTGACGCAATTATCTCGAGGTTTTGAGGTCGTAAAAAGATGCGGAAAATGGCAATCAGCTCGAAATTCCCTGGAGAATTGATTTATTCAAAAATCTCACCAATTGACCGACCTCTACCACCTCAAATTTCCATCCACTTTCCACTCATCCCCGTCAAAACATTAAACTTCCAAGAAACAAGTCTCACTTCAAAAAACCACCTCGAATTTCGGACTAAAAATCCCAGCCTACGACAATGCCATGTGGCGGGGCGGGTTGCCAAATAGGCTTCACCGCCAACGTTACAATTGGTGTGCATCAAATCGATTATCTACGCCGCATCTCGTCTCTTGCTAACGCCACTGCCATTTGCCACTCATGCAAGACTCGCATGAGTTGCTGTGGAGTGCAAGTATGTGCATGTGTCCATATGCGTCTGTAGATGGCGATGATTTGTAATTGCATATTTTGAGGGAGCAGGGAAACAGTGGCTCTTTCGATTCGGCGTTTTTCCGGCTCAATTGCGGCGTTTTTTGAACCCGTTTGGCTGGCCCTATTCTGGCTATTAAGTCACCACTTTTGACAGTGTCATTTAGCACAATTAAGATCACTATATAAATAAAGAACACAATATAAATAAAGAATATTGTACTCGAACTTTTTTTCTCTCTAGAAAATATAGCTCTAGAAAAGCTACGAGCGACCAAATGTAAACAAAAATTATACCGCCGGAATTACACGATCGCCATCTCTCCAATTGACTACTTTTCAGCTCCATCCGGGCGCTCAATCATCAGCCGCAATGGTTCTCGTCCACCATTAAAGTTGTCATTTTATTTATTTTTATTCTGTTTGCCACCCAGGTCTTAGTCTTGAGTGCGCCCAAGAATGGAATAATTGCGAGAGATCGGCAGTTTGTCCGAACTGAATAAGTACGAGTTACAGTATCAGTATCGGTCGAGTCGAGCATGTGTGTCGACACACCTCGTTATCGGAGGTGTGATGAAGAGATCATGACTCAGCAACGAGACAGTTCCGCGATATCAACCAGTATAATAGGGAAACGTGGGAGTAATACTACTGAAGTATTGTATGGCCGGGTTCCAGAGCTATCTGGAAGGCTGTCCACAAACCTGATCAACATATTCAGATAGACGATGAACGTGAAAGGACGTGAAGGAACGTGAAAGGACGTGAAGGAACGTGAAAGGATGTGAAGTAAGATGATAGTCGAAGAGAACGTAAACCAATTGAGGACTTTTCATGTCATTGAGACGGTCGCAAAGTGACGATACGCAGTTGGACTAGGTATGATCTGCTAGAGTCCACACATCCACATTGAGTAAAGAGTACACTATAGAGTACACCGTTAGTGGACATCATTGTATCATTGAACTCCCCACGCCGGGCTGATTCGAATGGCGTAACTACTGGAGATATCGAGAAAAAGTGGGTTTTTCAGTGTTGCTTAGATCGAAGCTTTGAAAATCCACTTTGAAAAAATTACTGTTATCATGTTTACTACGAGTACAGAATGTAGGTCGTTTCATACGAAATTCCCGACATGCGAGTATTGTCACGTTTTTTTATATATATATATTTTTATAATGACATAATACATTTTTATAACATACTATATTTTTAATACATTTTTACAACATGATATATTTTTAAGACATTTTTACAACATCATACATATTACAACATACATTCTACAGGCTACAGTACATAATGTATAATACAATGTTATAACATAACATTTTTCGTATTATTTTCTGCAGTATGCGTTTTTCTGTAGTGATACAACTTAAATAATTTATTGTCTCCAGTTGAGAGTTTACTTGGGAGTAGACGACGGGGATGTGAACAAAAGACTGTTCTAATTCCACCAAAACACGAGATATTCGGACCAAAATTTGACCGTATCATGTTTGGGCTACAATTGTCCGAATCAGCTTGTTATATTTGCTCCAATGCCTCCCACTTCCCATCCACAACACCGTTAGTGTCCTCCCCATCTTCCCCAAATTCTCCGTCAAAATAAACTTTGTGCCACGTTCTCCCAACACGTCACTTCGAGAACGCACTACCTCGATCTTTCTTCAACTGAGAACACATCTCACAATCCGTCAAGATGGAGATGCTAACTAAGGTGAGTAATCGAGGCGGGTTTTTGAGCGGTCAGGTGATCATTGGGCGAGAAATCGAGGCGGGTTTTTGAGCGGTGAGGTGACCATTGGGCGAGAAATCTAGACCGCCAGCGATGACACTATTAGGGCGACAGACAGAAGCGACACAGAAGCGACACAGAAGCGACACAGAAGCGACACAGAAGCGACGCAGAAGCGACAGACAGCGTGGAATGAAGTGCGGGGGTGAAATGTGATCAACCGTTGCTCATGACGAGACGCATTATGGGACAAACGTGGTAGCGACATGGTAGCGACATGGTAGCGATGACAACAATATGATGACCTGTTGGCACACTGGCTTGGTTTGCCCATGTTCACGTTACTCCTTGTCGTTTACCAATCTGCTGCTTCACAACAGAGGTTGTTGCTTTAAGACAACTACTCGGTCTTGTTCACATTTGATGTGTCCAGATGTGTGTGACCACGGCCTGTTTACGTTGTGACGCGTTGTGTCATCCCGGTAGTCAGCTCATGCCATATCCTGATTCCACTCGTATACTAACCCAGTTTGAATCAAAATCTTCCCGAGCCAAAGGCCTAGCCTTTCACTCGACCCGCCCCTGGGTCCTGGTCTCGCTCCACTCGTCCACCATCCAACTCTGGGACTACCGAATGGGAACCCTGGTGGACCGGTTCGAGGACCACGATGGCCCCGTTCGAGGTGTCGACTTCCACAAGACCCAGCCGCTGTTTGTGTCCTGTGGCGACGACTACAAGATCAAGGTCTGGTCGCTACAGACCCGAAAGTGTCTCTTCACTCTCGTCGGCCACCTCGACTACGTGCGAACCGTCTTCTTCCACCACGAGCTGCCCTGGATCATCTCGTGTTCCGATGACCAGACCATTCGAATCTGGAACTGGCAAAACCGACAGGAGATTGCCTGTCTCACCGGCCACTCGCACTACATTATGAGTGCTCAGTTCCACCCCTCCGAGGACCTGGTTGTGTCTGCCTGTCTGGATCAGACCGTGCGAGTGTGGGACATTTCCGGCCTGCGAAAGAAGCACTCTGCCGGCGGCGGCGTGTCTGCTGGCGGCGCAGGCTCATCCATGTCGTTCGAAGAGCAGATGATGATGGCTGCTCGAAACAGCGGTGGTCCCGGCGGCCCCGGCGGACATCCCCAGCAGGGTGGCCAGGACATGTTTGGCAACCAGGACTGTATTGTCAAGTACGTTCTTGAGGGCCACGATGGTGGTGTCAACTGGGCGACTTTCCATCCCACTCTGCCTCTCATTGTGTCTGGTGGTGACGACCGGGTCCTCAAGATTTGGCGAATGAGCGACACCAAGGCCTGGGAGGTCGATACCTGCCGAGGCCACACCAACAACATTCTGTCGTGTTGTTTCCACCCCTACCAGGACGTGATTGTGTCTGTGTCCGAGGACAAGACGATCCGAACCTGGGACCTGCACAAGCGAACTCTCATCAAGCAGTTCAAGCGGGAGAACGACAAATTCTGGGCCCTCACTGCTCACCCCAACATCAACCTGTTTGCTGCTGGCCACGAGAGCGGTATCATGGTGTTCAAGATGGAGCGAGAGCGACCCGCCTCCACCATTGACGGCAACTCGCTGCTCTACATGTCTAAGGAGAAGCAACTCAAGCTGTTTGACTTCAACTCAGAGCAGGACAGCATGCCCCTGGTGTCTCTCAAGAAGTACGGCTCGCAGTATTCACCCATTCGGTCTATCAGCTACAACCCTGCTGCCCGGGCTGTGCTGCTGCTCACCAAGGACAAGGACCAGTTTAACTACAACCTGGTCCATCTGCCCAAGGACGCTGCCAGCGGTGGCATTGAGGCCACCGAGGAAATTGGCGGCAACGCTGCTCAGGCCGTCTTTGTGGCCCGAAACCGATTTGCCGTCTTCAACAAGAATGCCCAGACCATTGACATACGGGACTTGAGCAACACCACCACCCGAACCATCAAGCTGCCCAAACAGGTCAAGGATATTGTGGTTGTCCCCGGCTCGTCGGGCCAACTTCTCCTGCTGGGTCCTTCCCACGTCTACCTGCTGGACGTTGCCCAGAAGACCATTGTGGCCGAACTTGCTGTGTCCGGCGTCAAGTATGTCAACTGGAGCAAGGACGGCAAGCACGTGGCATTGCTGACCAAACACACCGTGACCATTGCTTCTGCCACCACGCTCAAGTTCATTTCGTCTCTTCACGAGACCATTCGAATCAAGTCCGCGTGCTGGGACGACAACGGAGTGCTGCTTTACACCACTCTCAACCATCTCAAGTACACTCTGCTCAACGGCGACTCCGGCATCATCAAGACTCTGGAGAACACTCTGTACATTGTGCGGGTTAAGGACCGACGAGTCTACTGTCTGAACCGAGCTGGCGAGGTGGAGGTGGTCCGAATCGACCCCACCGAGTACCGGTTCAAGCGGGCGCTGGTCAACAAGAACTTCTCTGAGGTGCTGCGAATCATCAAGTCGTCCAACCTCGTGGGCCAATCCATCATTTCGTACCTGCAGAAGAAGGGCTACCCAGAGATTGCGCTGCAGTTTGTGCAGGACCCTAAGGTCAAGTTTGATCTCGCCATCGAGTGCGGCAACCTGACCGAGGCCCTGGAGCAGGCCCAGATTCTGGACGAGCCCTCGTACTGGACGCTGCTCGGAAAGGAGGCTCTGTCGCAGGGCAACTTCCGAATCGTCGAGCTCGTGTACCAGAAGCAGCAGCTGTTTGACAAGCTGTCGTTTGTCTACGTGCTTGCCGGCGACTCGCCCAAGCTGCAGAAGATGGCTGCCATTGCTGCCCACCGAGGCGACGGCGCCTCCATGCTCCAAAACTCCCTGTACACCGGTTCGGTAGAGTCTCGAGTTGATCTTTTCCGATCGGCCGGTCTGCTGTCTCATGCCTACGCTGCTGCCAAGCACGGAGGTCTAGACGACGTTGCTGCAGATATTCTGGCCGAGGCCGGCGTTGAGGAGGGCGACGTGAAGATGACCCTTGGTGAGGGTCTCAAGCCCGCCACTCCCGCTGTCCAGCAGCCTCTCGGCGACTGGCCTCTCAAGCAGACTTCCCTTTCCTTCTTTGAGCAAGCTCTGCTTGGCCAGGTTGAGGTTGACGAAGGCGAGGACGACGACGACGACGAGGAAGACGGAGTTCGAGCCGTCACCTCGGACATGGTCGATCTCGACCTTGAGGACGACGACGACGACGGCGATGGTGATGCTGGATGGGACATGGGCGACGATCTCGACGTTGATGACGTTGAGGTTGCTCCCGTTGCTCCCTCTACTCCCTCGTCCAAGGGCCACAAGAAGAATGCTTCTGTGAACCTTGCCGCCACTTCGTCCGAGCCCGAGAACTGGATCCGGGCTTCGTCTGTCGCCGCTGTGCATGTCGCAGCCGGTTCTTTCGAGACTGCCGCCCAGCTGCTCAATCGCCAGATCGGTATTGTCGACTTTGAGCCTCTGCGACAGCGGTTCATGACCGTGTACGAGGCCTCCAAGCTGTACTACAAGTCTAACGCAGATCTGCCTCCCCTGGAGCTCTTTGTGAGAGGCGCTCTCAACGACGACACCTCTCTGCCTCTTGTCCCCGGCTTTGACTCTCTTTCTTCCGATGTCAAGGCTGCTTTCCGGCTCATCCGAGCCAACGACGTCCCTGCTGCCATTTCCGCTTTCCGTCAGATTCTCTACACTGTTGCCGTCATGCTTGTGCCCACGCACGACTCTGTGGACGAGTGCGAGAAGATTATTGACATTTGCCGCGAGTACATTGGCGCGTTTTCCATCGAGCTGGAGCGTCGACGAATCGCCGAGGAGGATCCCAAGCGCAACCTAGAGCTGGCCGCCTACTTTACCAAGTTCAAGCTGCAGCCCGCCCATGCTGGTTTACCCTGGCAGGTGGCCATGACCCAGGCGTTCAAGCTCAAGAACTACGCTTCTGCTTCTGTGTACGCTGAGAAGTTCCTGGAGACCAACCCTGCTCCTGCGCAGGCCGAGAAGGCTCGAAAGGTGAAGCACCGAGCAGATGCGCAGCCTCTAGACGCCATTGAGCTGGACTTTGATGTGACCGCCAACTTTGCTATTTGTCCCCGGTCTCTCAAGCCCATTTACCCCGGCGATGCATCTGAGAAGGATCCTTTCACCGGAGCCGAGTACCTGCCCAAGCACAAGGGTCAGTTGGATGTTATCGGAGGTATTTCTGCCATTGGCGCTCCTTCCACCGGTCTCAAGTTGATTTAGTGGGGGACCAGTCTGTGGTGGTCTCAAAACTTGTTTGTATGTATGTAAGAATTGGAATGTTTTACCTAAGCTTGTGCGATACTTGTATATGGAGGCAGGAGCAATGATTTAAGGCAGTTTTTGTGTATTCAGCAATTTTCGGCAGTATTTGCGTTCCTCCAATATTTTTGCTTTGAATATTGTATTCTGAGTGTCAACTAATCCTAAGTAAACCTCGACGTCTGTTGAGACAACTAATAGCAATATCCGGCAATTTTGTAGTGTACGGTCCGAGATTTGTTGGTTATTTAAATATATACGCTTTTTCTGAATCTTTTGGTATATATCTCTTTCTTCTGGCATATCTGGAACCTCTTATTTGCACCCCCAGCCGATTTTTTCTTCAACTAATTCCCAAGTAATTAACGTCGTGTTAAGTGATGGTGCCTCGAAACTCTGTTTGTTACCCCACATATAAGAGTGTGGGGGTGGTGAGTGGGGTGTGATAGTCAGATGTTGAGATACTTGGATGGAGGTTGGATATGAGAGGCGTTTTGATGTGGGTGTTTCTCCAGATGGAAATGGCTGAGTCAGATTCATTGCTGACTAATTTATATGGGTTATATATCTTCATTTATGACAATTTTGGACCACGTGAAAGTCTCCATATTAGCCTTGTTCTTAGTATATATAGTCTGTCCTATGCTCCCCTCCCTCCTTCCTTTTGGGACCCGATTCTCCTTTCAACAACATGGGCGAATTATCAGATCATACGGCCGTCATCACCGGCGGCTCCGGGGACCTTGGAATGGCCATCGCCGAGAAATTGGCCCTCAATGGATACCAGGAGGCTCTGGACAAGAGTGTTCCACTGATACCTGTTCCCGAGGGGCCAGCGACACCAGGGCCATTTCTACGACGTTACCGGGGCTCAGCGACCGCCTGTGGACTTTGCGGCTGTTGATATTCTGGTCAATGGCGCGGGAATTGCCCAAGGAGGGTTCTTGCCAGATATGGAGGTGGAGCTCATCGACAAGATTGTGGCCACAAACCTCACTGGAGCCATCAAGTTGACCAAGTATGCCCTGGAGGCATGGGTGGAGCGCCACGAGAACTCGCCGCGTCCCAAGAGCCGTGGCAACGGCGTCATCATCAATCTGGCGTCGGTCCAGGGACTCCGGCCCATCATCCCGGTCTTGTCCGTCTACTCCACCACCAAGGCTGCTCTCAACATGTTCACCAAGGCCGTGGCGGTGGAGGGAGGCGCTTATGCGATTCGCAGCAACTCTGTGTGTCCCGGATACGTGCCTACTAATATGACCGATGGCATGGAGGTGCCCGAACGGCCCTCCCTGGTGGAGGACGACGACGACGTTGGATGGGTGTCCAGAGACAGTATTGCGAGGGCGGTGTACTATTTTGCCACCAATTTGCAGGTTTCGGGCGCCATTTTGGCTGTTGATAAGGCTATGAGTTCGCTGTAGAGTCCGTGGACATTGGTCGACTTCAAGAGCCATATCTGGACAGATTTGCGCGGGAAAATGTGGATATCAGTATATCGATGGAGTCGTCGGAGCATTCCGAGTTCATTGGTATACTTTTTTGTCACCGCTTGTCCTACAAATGGCAGATGTTGACACACTCTTTGAATGGCGTACTGTATGTACATAGTTCTCCTGCCTCCTGCCTCCTGCGTACAGCAACGTTGCTATACATAATATAACACGTGTTCATGGGTCGAATTACAGGCGTTTGTGCAAAAGTGGGGTCTCGAGTGGCTAGTTTAGCTGATATACTGAGCCTCTCGATGGTGGTGATGATGATGATGACTTGTTTTGTCGATCATTTCAGGGGGTTTTCAGACTGGGCGTTTCTTAAGTGGTTTACTTGGGAAATACTTGGGATAATACTTGAGTTTAGTTAGAGTTAGTATACGATAGGGCTATCATCGTACCACCAGACATCCACTTCAAGTCCGTCAATAATGCGTTTTTCCGAGTGAAAGTTGCTTGGATCAACTCTCCAGGGTCCATGGGGAGATTTCATCTCCGTATTTCTCCTCCCTTTCCCTTCCCACCGTCTCCAGAGGCCCCCATCTCCCCTCGTAGGATCCACCTGCTCACGCGCACAACCCTAATTAGACACCGGGAATATGCAAGTCGACATCTGGATATCGCAGCATCTTACGACCACCAAAACAGACCGCATCATCCGTTCCGCGCACGCAGTATCTCGCTCCAGCTCGAAATCATGTTCTCGCTGGCCAACATGCCCGACATCGAGGCCCTGGGCGCCTCCGAGGCCCTCGACTGCCTGGCACAACAGCTGCAAAACCTCCTGGACCTGGCGGACAATGTGGGCCGCAAATACGACGAGGACGCGCTGGCACGAGTTGCGCGCAAACGCAAGCCGGAAGAGCCACCGTGCGAAGCCGACCACGTGAAGAAACAGGAACCAGCAGCCCCCTCAGCGCCTTCTAATAGCTACGGAGACGAGGGACACCCCGAGCTGGCGTTTGAAAACATGAACGCCAGACAGGTGATTGGAGACCATGCGGTGGACCTGACGGACCTAGCAGGAGTCCAGTCGCCGGTGGTTGGCGGACCAGAAGGCGGATCACCCGAACAACAGCAACAACAACAGCAACAATCTTTTCAGCAACAACAACAGCAGCAGCAGCAGCAGCAGCCAGAACTGTCTCCAAGAGTCACAGCGTACCTCAACATTGCCCGAACCATCTCAGATATGGTCGAGATGGAGGCCGCGGCAGCAACCATGCCCAAAAAAACACCCACTTCACATTTACAGACCCAGGAACGGGACAGCCTGACCCGCACGTCATCCACCACCTCGTTAACTACCCTTCTCACTACCCGTGGAGAAAACGACGAGCCCAGTCTAGTCCAGGCCCAGAAGCTGTCTATTGCTAAACGTTTCTTTCTCAAAAACCCCCCGCCTCTGACAATCGCACAGTACCTGCAACGCATCCACAAGTATTGTCCTCTGTCCTCTTCCACCTACATGGCCGCAGGACATTACATTTACAAAATCTGTATCAAGCATCACAGCGTGCCCTTCATTCCGGAAAACGCACATCGAATGGTTCTGGCAGCTCTTCGCATCGCGTGCAAGGTCATCGAAGACCTCACGTACCCACACAAGCGGTTTTCCATGGCCGGAGGAGTGTCCAAGCTCGATCTCTTCAAGCTGGAAATTGCATTTCTGTTTCTCCTCGACTTTGACATCAAGATCGATGCCCCCGTGCTCAACAGACACAGGCAGAAAATGGTTTTTATCCAGCGAGCCCGAGACTCGATTGTGGGCGAGATGGACGTTGATCAGAACTAAGCAGTCGACGGGGGAAGTATTTAAAATAATGGAAATGCATTGACGTATGAACTGTATGTATTACGCTCGTCGCAGATGGCCCGTTTGTCAGTAGCTGATATATGACGGGTTCCAGATTACCGTTACTCGGCTGAGACGGTAGAGATATTGTTGAGGAATAAATAAGATGCCTTTGGTAATCCTGAGTCTTGTAGATTCCCCCTGGATCTTGGAAATCGCCACAAATGGGTTTTTCGTTTTGCCGGGGAAAATATCAGCAGAAATTATACTGTCTAGGGAACAATTTTGTTCCCGCAACGAAATTTCCGCGCCGATGGTTTAGTGGTAAAATCCATCGTTGCCATCGATGGGCCCCCGGTTCGATTCCGGGTCGGCGCAATTTGGTTACGGCCATATCCTGGTGAAAATACGGCTTCCCGTCCGATCAGCCATAGTCAAGCACCAGAGAGCCTAGTTAGTATTGTAGTGGGAGACCATACGAGAATCCTGGGTGCTGTAATCTTTTCCTTTTTCTTTTTCCACCGCTTGCCAATGGTCATGGTGTCTGGTGCATGACTGTACATTGATTTGGCCTCCTTCACAGCCCTGGCACGAGTATTGACCCAGCCTTTTGGTGACCAAATAACAGGTGCACCCTGCTGGCATTGCTTGTATTCTAGATGGCTCCGTCGAAGCCATATTCACGTCTGTGTCCAAAAAGCCATCTCCATTGGCATGTTCTTCAACGGTCTTGTGGTTGTCGCGTATGAACCTATCCCGTGGAAGCAGGCGCTCGGTCGACACGATGTTCAGCACAGCCAGCGGTCGTTTGGTAGTTTCGAGCACTCTTGTGTGTAGTAAGAGTGTGTAGGTTAGACCTATTAAGGTAAATGCTTTTATGTACAAGTACGTCTTTTTGTTTTATTATTATATATATATTTTTAGTTAAATAATTAAAATGATTTATTTTATGTACTTGTCTTGTACATACGATATTGATGTTCGTATATATGGGCGGCGAACGTTTCATCACAAAAAGAAACCACTTTGTGTTGATTATACATGCAAAACAAAGCATGTATGTCACTCGCGTTACAATGCTTGCCCTAGACATCAAAAAGAAACTCCGCAACGGAGAATTGAACTCCGGTCCCCCGCGTGCTGAACAGAGTTCTGACAGGCGGAAATTCTAGCCACTAAACTATTGCGGATAAATCTTAAAAGGCGATAAAATAAAATCTTGGATATCAGAATTCTGACGATTTGTAGGCGCATTAGAATAAAAAAAAGGCGACGGTTTTTCGGGGTGTTGCAGATATCTGGAAGACTGGATAAATCGAGGTGTATATATCACCTTTGAAAGTCCACCTGGCAAAGGTTTGAGGCTTATTGCGACCCTGGAGCTCGTTCTGGCGATACTCTTAGCAGAGGGGCCCAGCGAGGTTATACAGCATGGTGATGTGGAAAAAAAACAAAAAACAAAAAAACAACAACAAAAAGAAACCAACTGTAAGGGATCATCGGAACAAAAAAAGAAGTGGTTTGCGTGGTTGTTGTGTAGTGAGCGGATGTCTGAGCTGGAAGAATAGAAACTAAATAGCAGTGAAGAAGCACAATACTTGTCCTTGTATGACAGACCACTATATCATACAAGAGGTTGTAACTGGGATGAATCTCTGTGACCGCGACTGTAGCTGTAAACGGGTTGCAAGTAGAGAGCTGAGGGACAGATCAGTCTAGAGAACTGTTGAAAGGGAAGTATCACATGTCTCCGAAAAAAAAAACACTGCTAGCGTCAATGTGAGTGCCATGTACCGGACAACATTGAACGGTAGACACGAGGCTGCAATGACAACCGCTATCGTGATTGATTCGACTGGAAACACAAGATGAAGATGGCTGATCGGTTCATCTGCTTGACTTACATTCTGGATATATACGAGTCGCAGTGTGAGTTCCGACTCAGACTGGGGAGGATGCGACCAGATCGAAATCCAGGGCAGGTTCTACACCTTGCAGAGTGGAGCTGTCTCCCATTTCCAAGTCCAGAGTGTGGACGTTCGGGCTTTTCGAGAATGTCGAGCAGAAACAGGGTCGAGTTGGCGCATAAGTACCCTCTTTCGATCTGTTTAACCTGGAGTTGGGGTGTTATTTTGGATTATGATAAAAAAGAAAGAATGAAAAAAAAAGAAAAAAAAAGAAAAAAAAGAAAAAAAAAGAAAAAAGAAGACAGTGACAATTAGCATGCAACCATAAGAGCGACACAAGAGACTCGAACTCAGAACACTTGTATCTGGCCACATGTGCTTCGTCTCTCAGTCTCTCCATCGCTTCTAAATTACCCCAACATGTGCCAAAGTTCAATGCTAGACAGCAATAGGGTTCCCCCCACAATCTTGGGCAGATGAGAGTGGGGCGGAGGAGATGTCATGGTCAATTGTGGCGTCAATGGAGCGTTTAATGGGCCCAAAAGTTGATAGGGTCGTTCATTGACAGATTAGGATTGTAGCGGTCAAAAGAACCCCCCGAAAAAGTCCCTCGACACTCTCTCTACCATCTCCCCAAAATCGCCTTCATGTGATAAACTCTAGCGCGGGGCCGTTACTCTAACGAACTTAGAGACATTCACATGCGGAGGTACCGTAGCTACAAGTACCAGTAGAGGAAGTCCAAGTGGATAAATCGTCTTCCCGAATACCGACTTTTCTCACCACCAATTGACATGGCGCACCTGACCAAAGAATACTACGAGCCGTTCCACCACGACGTGATTCTCGGCGGCAAGAGATGGCACTACCTGGACATTCCTCCGGAGGGCAAAGACAATGGCCGAGTGCTGGTTCTGGTCCATGGGTTCCCCGATTTCTGGTACGGCTGGCGCCACCAGATCCCCGTGTTCCGCAAGCGAGGCCACCGAATCATCCTGCCCACTCTGATGGGATTTCCGGGCTCCGAGGTACCCGAACCTCCGGCCATGGAGGAGTTTGAGGAGAACGAAGATGGCATCAACATCTACACGGAGCTGGGCCAGGAGGACGACTGTCGTGAGCTGCACTTTTACGGCTTCAAGTTCTTTGCTGACTGCATGGCCGAACTGCTCAAGAAGCTGAACATCAAGTCGGCCACGTTCCTGGGCCACGACTGGGGCGCCCACTACGTCCCCAAGGTCTGGGCCTACCACCCTGAGATTGTGGACGCCATTTCGTCGGCCTGCTGGTACTACCAGGTGCCCGAGCCCGAATGGGTGCCGCTGACCGACTTCTCCGACAAGTGGCCCACCACAAAGTACCAGCTGCAGTTTGGAGGAGACGCCGTCAACAACATTGGCCCCGGCATGATCCCCTTCTTCCTGCGACGGTCCTACACCGTGGGAGCCAACTTTGACGGCGAGCCGGACCCCGAGGCGCCCATGCACATGACCGAGGAGGAGTTTGCCGTGTACGAGGAGCACTTTTCCAAGGAGAAACGGTCGCTGGCCGGCCCCTTCACCTATTACCGCTCGCGAAAACTCAACTGGGAGCAGGACAAGGAGAACTTCCTCGATAAGGGGGCCACCAAGAAGGATCTGACCGTCAACGTGCCATACCTGTACATTGGCTCCACCAACGACATTGCTCTGATTCCCGAAATGTCCATGCACTTGGACGAGTATGTGGAGAAGGGCAAGCTGACACGAGAGCACGTGCCCACCTCGCACTGGGCGCTGTTCGAGGCCCCCGACCAGATCAACAAGATCTATGTTGATTGGCTGGACAAGCTGGACAAGACTAGTAAGCTGTAGACACCATAATAGATGCCCATATTTGAATGATTTAGAATAACTACGGCTGCACTAGACACCTGTAGTTGGATCCTATCTGAGCTAATCTGGATAGCTAATCTATGTTGAGTATTTGTACAACTACAACTACAAGTAGTCGTACCCCGACGGGCACTTTTCAATTTGTAATCAATCTGACAATCTCTTAGACAACAACCAATCAAAGCAACGCAATAAGCCACTGGAAGATACACCCGAGAAGACAAGCCACTGGAAACAGATATCCAACCCTAAGCCACCAGCACGCACCGGGACTGAGTATCTCACGCCAGCGAGACCGTCAACCAAGTCAGAAACCTGCAAGACCATCAACCAAGTCAGAAACCTGCGAGACCATCAACCAACACAAAAGCCAGCCCACAAGTCACACTTACTCAGCGGCTCCATAAGCGGATTCGGTCTGTGGCACATGGTTCTCACCGTGGCGTTCCGACTCAGGCTCATCTCCTAACAAACTTTTTTTGCCAATGACGAGATGCAGCCACAAGCCACGATAATGCAAAGACATGCACCATAGATATGCAGAGGTTAGATAGAGTGGGCTTAAGCTGGAGGACGAGATTTGGAGCAAGACGTGGTGGAAAACATGAAAATTGGCGGGACAAAAAAGATGATTGTTTCTCTCTGGCCCCGTCGCCATCACGTGACCGCCAACATGCTACCAGCCGCCTTGGCCCACCCTACTCTGCCGTTGCGCGCTAGCCAAACGTCATTCAGAGTTGTGGCTTGGGGCGGAGATGGCGGAGTAGCATTTGCTCAATCTGGGGGGTGTATAAGAAGGAAGGGTTGGGATTTTGGTCCATGAGATCAATCTTGGACGTGTTTGTTTCTTTCTATCCATCATGCCTACCGTCAAAGGCCCCATTCGACAAGTGCAGCTAGATATCCCTTCTTTAGTGGAGAGAAAGAGAGCCCGAGACTCCAGTGTCGAGACTCCTGGACCCCAAGACGAACAGCTTTTCGACAAGAAGGTGAAGGTGGAGGTTAAAGAAGAGGTTGAAGAAGAGATTGAGGATGGCCTGGACTCCTCGGACGACTCGGACACAACCACCATCGACGTGTCCAACCACACTGTTGTTCTTCTGGACAAGAAGGGACCATATACCCATTCATTAACCTCTCACACACGGTACACTCCTGGCTCCGACGAGGTTCTGGTGCGCAACAAGGTCATTGGATTGAATCCCATTGATTGGAAGGCGGTGCGATATGGCTTTGGAGTGTATTCGTTCCCCTGGATCAATGGAAGAGAGTCTGCCGGCATTGTGGAGAGCGTAGGACAAGACGTGACCCGAGTGAGACCAGGAGACGAGGTGATTGTCACTTCCACTTCCTACAGAGACAACCGAACATCCACTTTTCAGCAGTACACAATAGCCAAGGGCTCGAATCTGATTCTCAAGCCCCGCAAAATCAGTTTCAGCGCCGCAGCCACTCTGGGTGTTGGGGCCGTCACTTCCACTCTAGCATTTGCCGACAATCTGAACATTCTTTCTCTCGACGAGCTTCCCACCCCCAAACCGTCGCCGAAAGAGTCCGAGTCGTGGGTCGTGGTATGGGGAGGTGCCTGTGTCACGGGTATCTACGCCATTCAACTGGCCAAGCATCTCGACTTCAACGTGTTGGCTGTATCCAGTAAAGAGTCGGCAAACTACGTTAAGTCTTTTGGAGCAGACGTGGTGCTGGATAGACACGATATTGCGGGCAAGGAGCAGGACTCTATCATTGCAGCCATACCCGAGGGTCACAGTGTTTCACACGGCTTTGACTGTGTGGGAAGCACCAGTAGCAGCCATCTGGCAAGTGTTCTCAGTCAGCAGAATACTAGTAGTACAGAAAAAGTGCCGCTGGTGTGTCTTGTCAAGTCTCCTTCCAAGCCCGAGGAGCTGGCTCGATATGACGACACCAAGGTCCGCATCGAGTCGGTGCTCATCAAAAAGTTCCACGAAGATCTCGACCACGGTCTCAAGGTGTCACGGTACCTGGAGCAGCTTCTGGAGCTGGACATATTGCGGCCCGCCCAGCACCAGGAGATTGCCGGAGGTCTTCAATTGGGCGTCATAGAGGGTCTTCGCAAGCTCGAGCACGACAATATCAGAGCACAAAAGTTGGTGGTTCCAGTGTAGCCAGAGTATATAGATAATGAATCTTAGACCAGAGGACATGGCGACAAGCACGCTTGGAACGCCGCAAACGCCATTAGTGGGCAAATAGAGAGCAATTGCTGCTGGAACCGCTTGTACCAGCCACATTACACCATCAGTAACCTCTAGATTTGTCTCGCTTTCAGCCATGACGCGATAATAGCCTTCAAAGCAAAAGTGTGGCTGGAGAGTATAAGAGGAGTGTCCAATCTGGGGTAGATTTGAATCTTCACTGAGATGGACGTCAACAGTTACAAGGGAGTGGAGAACGGCAAAGTGGCCGTGTCGGAACCGGTGAAAACCCCCGACAAGAAAAAAATCATCCTCAATGCCTTCGTCATGAACACACCCAACCATCTCAACCCGGGGCTTTGGAGACACCCCGACAACCAGCAGAAAAACTGGAACGATCTGGACTATTGGGTCAATCTGGCCCAATTGCTGGAGAAGGGCAAGTTCCACGCCATGTTTGTGGCCGACACGGCTGGAATCTACGATGTTTACAAGTCCGACAAGGATACTGCGGTCAGGACTGGCACTCAGTATCCGGTCAACGACCCGCTCTATCTGGTTCCTGCTCTGTCGCTGGCCACCAAGAATATCGGCTTTGGAATCACCGTTTCCACCACCTATGACGTGCCCTATGCTCTGGCCCGTCGTTTTGCCACCGTCGATCATCTGTCCAAGGGCAGAGTAGCCTGGAACATTGTCACGTCGTATCTGGAGTCTGGTGCTCTCAACCACGGTCTGGACCACCAGGTGCCCCATGACGAGCGGTACAACATTGCCGACGAGTATCTGGATGTAACGTACAAACTGTGGGAGTCTTCATGGCGAGAAGATGCGCTCAAGAAGGACGTGGAGGCCAATGTTCTTGCCGACCCCGAGCTCGTCAAGTACATCAACCACAAGGGCAAGTATTTCAAGGTCCCTGGCCCCGCCATCACTTCACCCTCACCCCAGAGAACCCCGTTTCTGTTTCAGGCAGGCATGTCGACGGCTGGTCGCAAGTTTGCCTCCAAGCACGCCGAGGCGGTGTTTGTGGCCGGGCCTACGCCGCAGTTCATTCGAAAGTCGGTCGATGATCTCCGCGAGCAGGTTTCCAAGCTCGGACGAGACCCCCAGAGCATCAAGGCCATTCCCGTGGTGTTTGCCATTGTGGCCGAGACCGACGAGCTTGCCCGACAGAAGTACGATGACTACTTTTCGTACGTGGATCCCGAGGGAGCTCTGGCTCTTTTTGGAGGCTGGTTTGGGCTCGATGTCAGCAAGTATCCCGACGATCTGGACCTGCGAAAGGTGACCGATAACGACACTCTGGTCAAGTCGATTGAGCAGTGGGCCGCGTCTTCCAACGACTCTGACGGGCTGTGGAACAAGTGGCGGGTGGCTAAGGAGTTTGCCATTGGAGGCCGAGGCGACGTGATTATCGGGTCTCCGGCCACTGTGGCCGATCGACTGGAGGAATGGGTGGAGGTGGGCGACGTGGACGGGTTCAATCTGGCCAACGCCATCATTCCAGGCACCTACGAGGCCATCATTGAGCTGCTGATTCCCGAGCTCCAGAAACGCGGTCGGTTCTGGGAGGACTATGCTGTTCCTGGCGGCACTCTTCGAGAGAACGTTTTTGCCACGCCCGGCCTGCCTCATCTGCGAGACGACCATCCCGCCAAAAAGTACACTTGGAAGAAAGACGAGCCGTTTCCGCTGGACGAGGAGGGCAACTTGCGTGAGGGGAACACATCTGAGGAGACCTCTGACGGTCAGAACAAGCCCGAGGAGGTCACTGGACCAGCTTCTGACGAGCCTGTTGCAAAGAGAGCAAAGGTTTCAGTTTAAAATAGACACATAGAAACACGAGGTGGAGAAACACGAGGTGGAGAAAGAAAAAAAAGAGGCTGACTATATGTATTGTGGTTGGGTGGGGGTCAGAGTATGGCGATTAGTTATGGTGGTTGGTAAACTAGTCTATAGCGGATGCACCGAAAGTTGTGATAGTTCTCGGCCTGGCTACCACCACTGTAACGTGAAGCGCACTATTGGTAATATCGTACAAGTATTGGTAGTATCGTACAACTACTGGTGATAACGTACAATTACTGGTGATATCGTACAACTAGTGGTGATATCGTACAACTAGTGGTGATATCGTGCAACTACTGGTCGTACAACTACTGGCCGCACAACTACTGGTAGTATCGCACCACGGCACGAACTGCCTCCGTTATTCCATTCGTTCCCACTTTCGACTTTGTCCCATGGTGCCTTGTTCGGTTCATATCCACACTCCATGTCCAGCATTCCTTGTCTGTCTGCCCCAAAGACAGCCATGCGCACCTGCAGCGTCCGTGAATATTTTGTGGGGTAGCGAGCCGGATCGAAAAGTTGCCACATTGGCGAAGGTTGCCACATTGGCGAAGGTAGCTACATTGGCGAACCGTCGCCGAGCTTCTCTTCCTCGACGTTGGACCGCTGACGCCAGCGTTAGTCGGGTCTGACAGGATTGGTGGGTGATACTGTACTGGCCGAAAAAGAAAATCACGCTGGTCATCGTACTTACAGTACACCATCGATATTGTACTCTTGTACGTACATGTACAACACTCGCACTTGCCAGCTCCGACAGTTTAATATAACTTTACCGTTTGACTGACAAGTACGCACGGGCCGGAGAAGACTGAGAGATGTCTGTAAAGGGCAAAAAGTCGAGCCGCGACACTTGTGGGCATTCGCAGCAACACCTCCAGTCCCAAACAAAGCCCTTGTTGGCATGGTATTGTTTAGACCGTACTTTGGGCGTGGGGGGCTCGTGGGGGACCCCTGGGGGCTTGTGGGGGGCCCCAAAATATACACCAAACACAATCCCTAACGACGCACGCAAACAGGTTTCAAACAAGCCCCGTATTGGCCGTGTTGATGTCCGGCGAAGGTTGGCCACGGCCTCTCGTATTTTTCCATCTAGCTCTCCTATCTGAACCACAGTGCATGTTAGATGCAAGCAAGTGCATATTGTACATAGGTACGAAGTGCCAAAAAAGACCCCACTCTGGTCCCCGGCACCACAGGTCTTACCGGTAGCCGTAGCCGTAACGAGGAGAACGTACGTGTATATATAAGCGGGAGAAAATAAAAGACGGAGGGCTTGTGGCGCTATCCATTTCACAGCACAAGTCAAGATTTTTGTCGCCAAATGTCTTCCTATCCGCAAAGTTCAACGTTTCTCTTCCCCAACACTCAACAGACATTGTCCTACAGACACGAGAGGTACTACACCTCACCACCGCCACCACCGTGCATTGAGGGCAACTACTACTCTTCGGTACCGCTGGATATTCCCTGTACCAGAGACAGAAATTTGCTCACCGATGACTACCTCCTTACAACCCCTCTGGCGTCTCCTCCAGATCTCCATCTGGGCAGCCAACATGAAGCCTCTTGGGGCTCCCACCAACAAGATATTGCTGCGGTATTGTTTGGTGCGACCAACGACAATGTGGCCTCGTCTAGGTACAGTGTCGCTCATGGCCTGGAACCTGCTCATGTGCTATCTAGTTCGTGGCCTGGTCACACAGGTGCTGCAGATGGAGGATATCTTTCCCTCGATACTACGCCCGGATCTCTGTCCACCAGCCAATCTGATCTCTCTGGTGGTCTACCTGTTGAGACTCCCCCGAGCGACCTAGACGGTGCCACGGCCGAAGAGACAGACGTCTTTTCCCTGCACATGATGTCGCCGTTCCTGTCGCCCTATCTTCAGCCCCGACTGCCCTCCGCTGAGACCACCTCACACAATCCATCACCCACCGCGCTGTTCGATCCGCTGCCGTCCACACCGCCAGACACAGAAGCTGCCCACGTGCCTCGAAGCGAGGGCCCACAAAAATGCGGCATTCTGGCCCTGCTCATGGCCAACCCAGCCATGTGGCGCCAGGCAACCCTCTCCAAGAAAGGCACCTACGTGTGCAGCCACTGCACGTCCCTGGGCAACCCCAGAAAGTTCAGCAACCTGGCTGCGCTGGCCGCCCACTTTGACCACCACGAGGTGATGCGTCTGTGCAAGTGTGACTACACCAGCTGCGTGTGGTCCCTGATCGGCTTTTCGTCCATGCCCGAGAAGATGCGACACCTGAGATCCCAACACAGTAACAAGCACTACAAGTGCGGGGCGTGTCAACGGGCGTTTCTCAGGGGCGACTCTCTCAAACGACATCTGCGATTAGTTCATGGCCAAGAACACACAACCGCTGCCGAAATCAACGAAATGACCGTCATGGGGCCGTTTGAGCCTACGGTGAGAAGGACTAGTACTGCGACCAGCAGTTCGAACCGCTCCAGCACCAAATCCCCACCGCCCTCCACCTACGAGCCGGTGTTTGATTTTCTCTGTTTGACTCCTTAACCGGATCATTATCAAAATGTAATTATAACATGAAAAAGCAAAGCAGAAAAGTAACAAACCAAAACAAACAGTACATAATTCATCAATGTTCCTGATGAATCCTTATGAGTTTACAATCAGGATGAATTACCGCCATTCATCAAAGTCGAACACATGTATTTCTATATTCTATATAGAACCGATCACCGATCGCCAATCATCACCGTCAACGCGGTTCGATGCTAAGAGTTAGTATGTTTTGATGAAATCAATTGTTTCCTAAGAAACGTTTCAGAAGTAAAAAAATAAGGTAGCTTGGGTTTTTCCACACCGACATAACGTCTCGAGCCAAATGCACTCTTGTCATCAGTTTAACGTGTCCTCAACCGAACCTGTTGTACTCACTTTTGGCCAATGTCGTGATGAAGAAAAGACGAAGTTTTTCCACACCTTATATAATGGGAGGACGGAGGATAACCCTAAGTGTAATTTTGGGACTTGTAATTTACCCTGTCGGGGTGGGCAAGATGAACGTTGTGCGGTGTTGCAGGCAGGATTACTAAGCCTTCAACGGCTCTTGGACATACAATCGTTATATTCATTATATTCATTATCATTCATAAGAGAAATCGCCAGCTAGAACTGCAGCTTGCTCGGTTTACTGCAGTTTTCGGTAGCTGATCTTGTCCACTTTGACGTCGCCATCAATGTACATGTACACGTAGAGCACACATACGGACCCTTGGATGTCCAGAAGACAGAATGATGGAATGGCTTCGGAGGGCTCGGTGATTTTCGTCTCCTCTCCGTTCGTCTCGGACTCCTCCTTGTTCTCAGACTCGTCCTTGCCGTCCTCATCCTTGTCCTTATCGTCCTTGTCGCCCTTAGACTCTTCCTTCTCCTTGTTCTTGCCGTCCTCGTCGTTCTTGCCGTCCTCGTTCTCGTTATCATTCTCCTCCTTACCATTCACTTCCTCCTCCTCGTCCTCCTCTACACCGTCGTCTGTATACTTTTCAACGGAGAAGGCTCCAGTGGCGGAGCCGGGAGACACAAAGAACTTGCCGTCCAACTCGAACGCCTCCACTCGATGGGCTCCGCCGCAAATGAGAATGTCCACGTCCAGTTGACGAGCAATAATCAGCTGAGTGTCGGGATCGTGCAGAGAAAGCGTGTTGTGGGCTGCAGTGATGCCAATCTTCAGCTCGCCATGCTGCACCGTCTTGAACAGAGACAGACCGGCGTAGATCTTGGACGCATTGGTGCCTCCAGGCACCTCCAGATCCAGAGATCGAGGCAGAGAGTTGTAGATGAGCGACGAGGGCTGCGAGTCCTGGTCGCCGCGGATGAGCTGCAGGTCGGGCGAAATCGATCCCAGCCAGTCCAGCGTCTGCTTGTCGGTCAGATTGCCGAGACACAGAACCTGGGAGATTTTGCCGGCCACCAACAGCTTTTTGAATTTCGTAGGCACGTCCTGGGTTAGTATGCCACCATCTTGGGGTCACGGGGAACTGTCACCTCCTGCCCCCTGGAATTGTGTCTAGCTACTCACAATCGCCCGGTCGGGTATATGTAGGTCTCCAATTGCCAGCACAAGCATGATGGGTGGGTGTGTCTTGTTGGTGTACTGTAATGTGTGAAGTTGTGCGGTGTCGATTAAAGTGATAACATGCGTGGCGGAGTCTATCAATGTGGGAGTGACATGCAGATGAGCTGAGCTGAATAGGTGAGAAAGGACTGTTGAATGAAGGGTGGGAGGGGCAGACAAGAGGTATTTATATTGAAAGGTGGTGTTTGAGGTTGTCACGTGTATACAAGAAAAAAGTGGGTTGTCGATACCGAATATCTATGAGTACTTATACTTGTCTTGTACATACTGTACCTGTAAGACATATGGACCCTCATCTACATGCACATAGAGGGACCATCAGTATAGAAGACAAGAATTGCAAGTACTTGTACTGTACTGGTGGATTACATCGAGTCGGACCGATGTACTTGTACTTTACTGGCCCTGGCCCTGGCACTCGTACTGGTACCTACTTGCTGGAACTTCTACCTACCCTTTATTACTGACTATGTACAACTCCACTTTCCTCTCCGTCTATATGTCTCAGGCCTTGGGTCCGATTTTGAAGCACAAAATGTCGTTCTTACCAACATCAACAGTGTCCTCTTCTCCCACGCGAGCTCCCCCAACACCCTCAATGGCCGTGATAGGCAGATCTCCCATGATCTTACGCACTACAGAGGCCACAGTGGATCCTCGTCGCACCAGAGTACAGTCTCTGAACACCTGGGCGCCTCCAAAGTTGTTAATGTTCTTGACAGGGTAGACGGGAACCAGCTCGAGAATGTTTGCCGCCGCCTGCAGAATCTGTACCAGGCCAGTGGATCCAAATCTATACAGAACCAGGTCTCGTACGTTTTCGACCCGCTCCTTGAGCTTGTCGTCCAGCGGCTTGAGACCGGCATCGGGAAGATCCTCGGCCGTGTCAAGAAACTCGGTGCCCTCTTCGTACTGCACGTAGCCCTGCTTGGCGAGTTTTCGGATAAACACCTCGGAAATGGCAGAAGTGAGAACCGAGGGAACATCAGGATGTCGTTTCATGATCTTGGATACGTTCATATCGGCATCGGGATGGTCCATCTTGTTGAGAGCCAGAACGGTGGGGAACTTTTCCCTGGTGAAAGCCCGAACAACTTCACTGATCTTATCATCATCCCACTCCTCCATGGGTGGCAGAGTCAGCTTGTCGATTGCCCGATGGACAATATCCTTGTTGGATCCGTAACCGGAAAACTGATTCTGCAGTGTGTCCACAATATGGCTCTTGGTAGAGGTGTGCCTTCGAACAATAGATCCCCATTTCTCCTTGAGGTTACCTTCGATCCACCGGAAGATTTCATCCTGAAGCCATTCAATGTCATTGACAGGGTCGTAGCCTCGCGTGTTCTTGCCCTCGGCATCGGTTGTTCCTGACACGTCCACCACGTGGATCAGAGCGTCAGCATGTCGCAAATCGTCCAGAAACTTGTTTCCCAGTCCTCGGCCCTGGTGCGCTCCCGGTACCAAACCAGCCACATCTAGCAGCATGATAGGCACGAAACGGCGTCCATCTTTACATGTGCCGTAGTTGGGCTTGCACTTCTCCTGGACCTTGAACCGCGCACAGGCACAATCTATTTGCAGGTAGCCCGTGGCCTTGTTGGGGTCGATGGTTGTGAAGGGAAAAGAGCCTGTTTTGGCGGTTGCATCTGTTAGCGAGTTGAGAGTGGTCGACTTGCCGCTACTGGGCTTGCCGACGATTCCAATTAGCGGGTCTCTGGCCATGTTCGGGTCGTTTTGCGCCTGGTGATATGTGAGAGAGAGATGTTGCAACTCAGATGTTAGGGTAAGAACCTAGATGGAGACAAGACAACAGTGAGTCAGCATAGCAAAGAGAGGGCATGGAAGGTATAAACAGGCTGGAGGGGCATCGGAGTCGATTTGAAAATCCCTGTTTTTTTAAAGGGCATTTTTTCAGTTGCGTTTCTGACATTTGTTACATTTTTTGTCCCACCACCCGAAACTTTTGCTTCAATTTTTCACCTTGATACTGATCTGAAGATAAGTCTACCAGAGGTGGAAATTCGTTGAAAAATAGATGGATTCGCTCCAAAAAACACACGGAAAGGGTCATTTGTACAAGTACTTGTACTCAATACTGTTTGGAATATAGTCATCGTTGCAAATTCGTGGATATATGCATCGTCGCATTCACCGTAACCTCTCAAGTAAAAAGTCAACTATTTCCAGACAACAAGCAGACTTATTTCACAGCAAACGGAAACATAATTGTATGACAAAACATGTATATTATTGAATATTAGTTATTAAATGCTGTATTTGGTATAGAATAACGTGCCTATAAAAACTCCACCGTTTTCGGAACAGCAGATTTGGACCCCCTGCGGACTTCTCATCCCAACAAATTTCAATTAAACTAGTTAAAAAGCTAGGCTACTTGATAACGGATGATGATTCCACGAAAAAAAACAATAAAAATAATACATTGTTGTAACAGGAACGGGCAGAGGCTCTGTACATTGTATAGATAGATTATTCGATTACAGTACATACGCCGACAACCCTCGGACAAGGTCCTGGTGTGGGTGTCGACTACATCCATATCATACATGTATTTTAGTATTTTTACGCAACGACCTAAGTAACTAAGTAACTTAAGAAGACTGCATGATCTGCCAGACTCGGATGACGTTGTCAGTGTAACCAGCAAAGAGGTTCTGGCCGTCAGCGGACCAGGTGAGGGACAGAGCCTCGGGCTCCTTACCGTCCTCGGAGGTGGTCTGGGTCTTGAGCTCGTCAATCAGCACTCGCTTCTCCAGGTCGAAGACCTTGATGGAGGAGGAGGTGGCGGCGCAGAGCCAGTATCGGTTGGGGGAGAAGCACACGGCGTGGACCTCATCACCAGCAGGGAGGGTGTAGAGGGCGGTGGAGGAGGTCAGATCCCACAGGAGGATAGAGCCGTCCTTACCGGCAGAGGCGCAGAGGGATCCATCGGGGGAGATGGTGATGGTAGACACGTATCCGGTGTGGCCGAGGTGGTCAGCCTTGAGAGTGCAGGTATCGAGGTCCCAGACCTGAGTTAGTATGTGCAATTGTATCACTAGCGATGAGCTAGCTGGATGCAAGCAGTACCAGAGCGTGGGATTGTCAAAAGTGACCTGAGGATATGATCAAGATGTCGAAGACAGTCTCAAAAACATCCAGAGACCAAGCCCAACTTGTTCAGCACAGCATATGTTGTGGCACACATTTCAACTCCACAAAGGTCCAAACAAATCAGATAATATGGATTTTTGTCTCATAGCCTTTCGGGCTCTGAAGTAGCAAATATTCATGTTTTTCCGTTAAATCATCATGCTGTTTGGGGGCAGAACGCCCAAAATGGTATCACTTGTGAAGTTGCAAAGCCTTGGTTACACAACATGTGCGCTATGCTTCGCTCTGCTCTGCTTGTTAGTATTTGTCGTCTGATACTCACCTTGACCTTCTTGTCCCAGCCAGCAGAGATGATGGTGTTGGCGTTGGGGGAGGGCTCCTCCTCGTCCTTGGTGGCGGGGTTGAATCGGACGGTGGAAACCCAGTCCTCATGGCCCTTGTCGGTGATGGTGTACTTGCACTCGCCGATGGTGTTCCAGATCTTGATGGTTCGGTCTCGGCCGGCAGAGACAATCTGTCGGTTGTCGGGAGAGAAAGAGACGGAAAGAACGTCACCAGTGTGGCCGACAAATCGGTCCTTGGAGACACCGGTCTTCAGGTCCCAGACTCGGAGAGTCTTATCCCAAGAGCCGGAGATGGCGTAAGCACCGTCATGAGAGATGGCACAGTCCTGGACAATGTGGGAGTGGCCCTTAAGAGACTTTCGGGGAACACCGTAGTTGGTGTCGTCTCGGGTCAGAGACCAGACAATCAGGGACTTGTCTCGGGATCCGGACAGCAGAATGTCGGGGTTGTTGGAAGAAGTAGCGAGGGAGGTAACCCAGCCGTTGTGGCCTATGTTAGTGGAGTTTCGGGGGAGGTTTGCGCCAAGCCTGGCCACGTATGTGAATAAGACGAATCAAACAAGTTGACAGTGACTGAAAAAAGAAGTGTTTTCGAAGCAATCATGGCTCTCAACCATTCAAAATGCCTTGTCTTTACAGATCAAAGCCGTTCATTGTCGCCCGTATTTGTCCTCCTTCAGTGCCAGCAGTCGATTCTGTCGTTGATTCATCCAGTCCCCAATCAATCATTCCTTCAGAGTCGAATTGTTCCGTCGTTGTGTTCCCTCCTTCAGTAGCACTCACCCTCAAGGGTTCCTCGGAGAACAAGAAGAACGTTCTGGCTCATGTTGTATTATGCTAACTGGACCGTGAGAAATTTCCTGCGCGCAGTTGGAAATGACAAGATATCAAGGGCGCGGTGAAGAAGCTGCGTGAGTGGGTTGCATAATAAAGTTCGTGACCGCTTTTTCCAAACGGGAAGGTAGTCACGTGATACAGGTCACCGGGGTTCGATTCCAGCTCCTCACAAGTGGCTTGCTTGCATTCAAAATGCACAATCAGATGGTGGGCGACCACGACTGTCTCGAATGATGAGGAATATTCCAGGCGGCGCTTCTACAATAGCCGGGATGCTGGTTTCAGACTTCGTATTGCCATTAGAACAAGGTAATAGCTTAACTAGGGCTGTGAATTAGACGGCAAGTCCAACTATAAGTCAAGTAGTTTCAAAGTGTAGGACGGAAAGCCCAACCAAACTAGTTAAGTATTCTGGGCAGACCAACGATGAAGCTATCAGGTGTTGGAGATGAGCGTTCAAGCAAGCGTGGTGGATTGAATAATGAGGGTTGAATAATGAGGGAAGATGAAGGAGTTCGGCTGGAAGAACCGATGAGCACCCTCTCAGACAGCCTACAACTAACTAACGCTACCGGTACGAGAGTAGATGCTGCGCTATGGTAGGGGAAATCACTGACCAGAATACCATCAGCGCAGTCCATACCGGTTGAGGAGGCAGACTTTATACTATCTGTATCATAGAGGGAATCTGGTGTGCTACAATGTGCTCCGACATTGACCATGATTCACAATGTCTAGATCATCATGGATCAAGCTCCGAGTACATACTGTCAACTCCGGTTAACTCCGAACATTGATATCTTCAAAAGCAACAATACGATGGGCATGTTCTCGCAGGTCCAGTCCTTATGACATATGTTGCGGCGGTAGTTTAGATATACGGGGGATGCTGGGTCACAGTGGACGCACAGGCTGGTCTGAATAACGGCAACAGCTCTGCAATTGTGGATGATACTCCCCTCGAGAAGAAGGAAAAAACCTCAAGTATTGTATGTACGAGTACTTGTACCAGATTTGTGAGTTTTACTGCTTGTAATATAACTGTTGAACGACATATTGAACCGAACCAACAGCACAAATTGTCGTGTACAACTACAAGAAGCAACCACTTTCAACTACTTTTTACTTTTCTCACGATCATCTTCATGGAGAGACGCTACATACTGCACCAAGTCTCTCACTCGAACATGATAAATGGATGTCAAAAGTGTGAGCACATGAAGGGGGAGCAGTCAAATACATTGGGCTACTGGTACTGATACCAGTTCGTCCTGCATACCTCTCAAGAAAAGACTCTTGCCAGAGACTGTATAACAGTATGTTCAATCTCACGAAAGCCCTTACTTCCCCCGGATCAGCACCTCAGCACCAGCCAGCCCATAGTCTCATTCCCAACATGCTATCATTTATCATTACAGTATCCATTCTAAACATCCTTCATCTCTTTATCCTTGTCCTCGGCCCCCAACATGCCCTTGATCTGGTTAATTATCTTGTCGTAGTTCTCCAATGACGTCCATTGGGCCTTGGTGTCCGTGTTAATGGGAAGCACCTTGTCGCGGCTAAAATCATTCAGTCGCTTGATTTCCTTTCGCAGTGTTGTCGACACCTCCTCCAGCGACTGTAGGAACTCAATGGAGTTGACCTTGAATGCAGATTTAAGAGAGGGCAGACCCTGTTGAATGCCCGGTTCCCAGCCCTTGTCGCCCTCCTTGAGCTCAAAGCTGTTGATATCCAGCTCTGACCGTGGAATCAGCAGATCAATCGCGTTCGACAGCGTCTCTGTCATCTTGGCAATCTTCATATCCGTCTTGTGTAGCGATTCCAGCCGCTCAGACACCTCGTCTTGACCCATAGGAAGGGTCGCCAGATCCGTCGCGTGGCTATCGTCTAGAGTGAGCGCTCCACCCGTCGGCGTTTCCGTCGCAATCTCCATCGACTCGTCCCCCACCGCAATCGGTTCTTCCTTCTTGCCTTCGTCCGCCATGGTGTATGAGTGGTGATGAATGCAAGGTCAGAGTCTAAGCTAGCGATAGTGCAGACATGATGAAGAAAAGCACAAGCAGTACCATAATAGAGATGAGTGATGCCGATGGAAAGACATTTATTATGCTGCAACGACTTCCAAATCACAACTAATTAGATTAAAATCATCAAAAAAGAGACAGGAAACCACATTGTGGCGGTTCTCAAAACAAAAAATTAATTGCCATCACCCAGAATCGAACTGAGGTTTCCACGGCCACAACGTGGTGTACTAACCACTATACTATGATGGCAGGCAATATAACTTGTAACGATTCAGAAGCTAGTCATAAGGTGTTATGATTAGTCATGTGCCTTGGCACGTGACCGGATGATGATGACGTCCTCCGGACGTCATGAGTGTGTCATTATGGATGAATACTTGGTATCGCGTGGCTAGGTCACGTGGATAGTGACGTGCTTTACAGAGTTAGGGTTGAGATGCCTGTATATATAGCCACCACTCACAAGTATGTAAGTTAAGTTATGTTTATACGACTTCCGGAGCTCGTACTATTGGTGTACTGTTCTGTAGAGTAGGACGAGCGGTTCCCGCTCGTACCTAGGGATATCTTGAGGATTGACCCATCACCGATCCGTTACACGTGGTAGCGATGCTTTTGGTTCTAACCGGGCCCGCGAGAATTTTGCAGCGAGTGAAAATTTTTCTTCGCGGCGGGAGAGTGTGAAAAATAATGGATTTGGTGATAAAACGAAGACGTCGAAGACGTTGGATACAGAAACTATGGGACAGACGTGTGGCCGATAGAGAGACCGAATGATGATAGCGAGTAGCCTACGTCGATATGACGGGCCTCGGTCTGCGACTCCTGAAAGTCCGACTTGACGAGACATGAGACAACATGAGACGGAAATCCGTGCAGCTGGCACGTTAAAAGCGCCGACATTATGAGCCCTGTCGCCCTGTCGCTATTTGGTACTGTCTACTGACTTGCCAGAAATTTTTTTTCTCTTTCCCTTGGAGATGTTTTGATTGATCTCTTGGTCAGAGATTAGTTGCCGATGGACACGCGAGGACGCTTGTGTCCTAAGGAGGGGAGAGGGGAAGGGAGTGGTCGAGGAGGAAAGTGAGCGAAGCGAACGCCTCAAGATGATGAAGATGCCTTGTGGTTGACGAGGTATCGTCCGACCATTGGAAGCCACGAAGAGGCTTGCCAACGACCGTGATGATTATGGATGAGCGAACGAGGAAACGAGTGAGCTTGGAAAGAAGCATCTGCGAGCCTTCACGAGAAGAGTGGAGAGAGGCTTGCAAGGAGACACTGAAGTGGACCGACGTTAGGAGGTACACGGATGGGTTGACGTTGTGGACTTGCGAAGAGAATGGAAGCGAGTACACTGGTGATCAGTTGGAATGCTAATGATAACTGGGAACCCTCGGAGGAGATAATGGAGACCAGCGGGAATGTCTATGAACGCTGTGAGCCCTGGAGAAAGGATCGACCTGAACGATGAAGTGACGATGAGTCTGTGGAGCTGAGTCTGAAGAGTTCGGCTTGAGCAATGATGCGACGAAAGTTGGTGAGTGCGGTCATGATCCATTGAGGAGGAGATCTGTGAAAGCCTGGATGTACTGGACGTGGTTCGAAGAAGCAAGTACTGAGTAATCGCCGAGACAAGTGGTATTTGACGAGGGCGCTGAGGAGACAATCTCGCGCCAGAATACTTACGACAGAGAGGTGATCCCACAGGGAGCCCGATAACAGCTTACTATTGAAGCTTGAGATTAGCAGAGCCAGGAGCGCAGTATTGAGACTAGCAGCCTTGGATAGAGATAGCGACAAAGAGAAAGTGCATTCGACGGAGACAGTTACGGAGTGATCACTGAAGCGGACGCAAAGAGTAAGATGCAGTGTGAACGATTGGCTGATCAGATATTGCTGAAAACCTGAAGCAAACAGATGGTGGAAAGCGGATATTGCTGAAAACTTGAAGCAAACAGATGGTGGAAAGCGGATTGAAATTTTTGGAGATTTTGGGGACTAGAGACGATGCTGAAGAGTACACGAACAATGTGAACGAGTACTACGTGTCACAGTATTGATGATGCTGTTTGTGGCGTTGATTGAGATCTTGGGAAAGATGAGAATCAAGTGAAAAGATATGTGGATTCTATGAGTGGCCAAGCGACGAGCGCTAAGTAAGACCAATGAACCACTTGGATAAAACTTGTGTTGGATTCGACTTTCATGATGTTTGAGATATTGCCGTGAGCGGTTGAACTCGAATGGTTGGAGTTCGTATCACTGGGATTGGTTATGTGGATTATGGGTTGGATTATGACCCGTGAATCGTATGATCCATGAAGGACGTGGACGTCTCTTAAGGAGGGGAGAGTGTAACGATTCAGAAGCTAGTCATAATGTGTTATGATTAGTCATGTGCCTTGGCACGTGACCGGATGATGATGACGTCCTCCGGACGTCATGAGTGTGTCATTATGGATGAATACTTGGTATCGCGTGGCTAGGTCACGTGGATAGTGACGTGCTTTACAGAGTTAGGGTTGAGATGCCTGTATATATAGCCACCACTCACAAGTATGTAAGTTAAGTTATGTTTATACGACTTCCGGAGCTCGTACTATTGGTGTACTGTTCTGTAGAGTAGGACGAGCGGTTCCCGCTCGTACCTAGGGATATCTTGAGGATTGACCCATCACCGATCCGTTACATAACTTTGTTAGGGATCAGCGGCTAAGAAATAGCCGCCTGATTAGTCTCTCGTGAACCGCTAGCGGAGACTACGACGAGGGGCCACCACGTGGGCCCTCAGTGGGATTACGCTATCATTAATATCGATATGCCAAGCCTGCTATCACGGACAAAGGGTTGCGCCGCAACCCTGGATAACATATAAACCCCTGTATTCCATGTATTCTAATACACCTTTCTTGAGAGTGACTGCAGTGACCATACCTTCGGTATGGCCACCCCGGCTGAGTCATCAGTCGGCTTAGTCACGGGGCCTGGGTTCTAACATCTGGTAGCGATGCACTTGTTGCATGCGATTCTGGGGCGAGAACCAGGCCAGGGAAGGTCGGTCAGGTTACACGACACAACACTACACCGCTACGGTCGTCGAATTCGCCAAGTCACTACCGTTGTGCTGCCTTCAGTTCAGGTCATCGTTCCAAAACCCCGGAATTTTTTTTAGGGGTGGCTGGGTACAGGTAGAGGCGAGTGGGGACGAGCCTCTCTAGTTGTCGGCGTCTCTTTGAGGGGTGAAGATGGTGTCACCCTGGAGTCGCAGTATCGACAAGGCCTCCGTGGGAGGAGGGGAGAGTGAGTATGCACGAGTGGTAGGAGAGTTGGCATGACTATGACTACTCTCCAAGGATGAGAGGTGAGAAGAATGGCGATGGCTATCGACATGTATTGGTGTCTATCGTCTAGCAGTCTCTCCCGTCGTCGTGGGAGTCACGCTCCGGCTGTCGAGGAGCTGGCTGAGTGAGTGATGGTATCGCTGGCTGATGTCTGTGGATGATGTATCCAAAGTGAAGATGTCGGTGATAGG